AAAGGGCCTTTGGCTAACACACCCAGGGTGTGGTCTATTTACTCCAGTATTTTTCACAAGGATTGAGGAAGAAGAGAGAAAAGGATGCTCGAAGGGTGAAGAATCTACACGTGAATATTTCCCATGCGGAAATTTGCTCAAACAAAGGTTCTAGAACATTGTCCCAAACATCGGGGCCACAATGGTTGTGTAGACCAATCTTATGGCTTTGTATGACATATTGTGCCTCCCTCTTTGAACCACAAAGCAAAGAATTTAAATGGTTTTATGTATGTGACAATCCAAATATTTGATATATAGCAATACATTAGTTGACCCATGATTCTAATGGGTTGTTTGATAACCATTTCATTTTCTTTATTTAAAAAAAAATCTGAAAATTTAAAACATATTTGGTAACAAATTTCGTTTTCAGTTTTTAAATTTTTTTTTAAAAAAAAGTGAAATCTAGTTTTCAAAATCACCCTTATTTTTTAAAACAACTTTAAAGTGTTTTCAATCTTCAATTTTTGTTTTCATTTTTTGGCTCTTATTTCATTCATTAATTTTGCATCACCGCACATGAAATATGAATACTCGTCATTTGGGACCCGACCGCTCTATTCTTGTGTTTGGCCCAGTTCAAGGTCTGGACCTCCATATCCAAAATTCACAAAAAAAATCCTAATCCCAAAAAAAAAAATATTCGCTAAAAAATACTAAGAACTTTTTGTAACATGCACTTTCATTCTATGATCTCAAATTCACAAATTGACCCCCAAAAAATTTCATTTCCAAGTTTCACATAAAATTGAAAACTTAAATTAGTTACCAAACAACTTTTGTTCATTTTTGAATTTTCACTTTTTTTTAGAACTGAAATTAGTTACCAAACAAGTTTTCAATTTTCAATTTTTGAAAAATGAAAATTGATTTTTGTAATTTGAAATGGTTATCAAACAAACCCTAAGTTAATTTTGTTGGACACTTCTTTTGCATTTTTAGGTTTATGTGGGTTTTATTCTCAGTGCATTCGAGCCCATTTAAGTGAGATTTTTGCTATATTTGAAAGCTTTTTTCATATAAAAATTAACATTTTTGCTATGTTCGAATTTTCTTTTTCAAATTTTGAATTTAGAGAGAGAGAGAGAGAGAGAGAGAGAGAGAGAGAGAGAGAGAGAGAGAGAGAGAGAGAGAGAGAGAGAGAGAGGGGATCCAAATGGGTCTCAGGAGAGGCTGGGGGTGGATCTCGGGTGGGAATGAGGTGGTTGTATGGTGGCGTTGGGCTTCGGGGTGTCCTGGGTAGAGAGAAAAATAAAGGGTGAGAGAGAGGAAGATAGGGAGAGGACAAGGATAGCAAGATCGTCGCCACTTGCATCCCTAAGGACTTTGCTTCCACTCCCAACAAGGAGAGCCCAAGAAGAGGACTTGCAATGGCTGCAAGTGAATTCAGATTGAGTTCCCGAAAATCGAACTTGTTGGCTTCGCAACTCAGGGAGTCACGGAAACAATTGTTCAGCAAGTCGAGGCCTAGCTCTAAAATGGGCTTCCCAGAATGCGTCATTCAGTGAGTCGAGTTGAGTCAAAGCCTCTCTCTTTCTTTGTAAATTTAAGTCCTTTTATCCTTTATGGGTCCTCTTCCTTAGCAATTTATGTGAATGAAGTTGCTCCAAGAACAACAACAATGGTTGCGATAGGGTTTGGGGAAGAAGATGAGTTATAGATGGATATTTATTTATTTTTTAAGTTATTTATTTATTTATTAAATAATGTTGTTTTATTTATTTAGTTTGGGGCCCACTTGGGCCACTTTATATTAAACTTGTGAGTCATAGTACCACCACATTAGCTTTTAACGGAGGTTCTAACGGAATGACTAACGGACATATTAAATTGGTATGAAAATAAATATTATGTATGTGACTAAGACAAAAAAAATTTGATGTATCGAACTCTAAAATTTGGTAAACTTTACCATAGTAAAGTGAAAATTACCCTATTTAATAACACTTAAGTTGCCTCCTTTCTATTAAATAAAAACTAGACTTGATCTGGGACAACTAAGGCGGTAGATAGGGGTTTTAGACAAGTTATCTTTGCAATTTATTCTCTTTAGATGGTTTCAATTCTTCAACTAGCTCAGGTCACTGGAGAAGTTTTACCCATATCCGTTGTATTGCTACTTGGATGACTCTCTTTGTACTTTTTCAGTTGATCTAATAAACTATTATCGCTTGTTCTAAAAAAAAATATTCATGGCATAATTTAAGCTGCCTCATTCCTAATCCAAAAAGTGGCTAAATCTATGAATTGAAGTGAAATTTACATATAGATCATAAGATTTTTAATGCAAAGTTACTGATTAGTGAATAATTTTTAAATGATAGAGTTAGAGACTTTTTGGCCATTGGAATGTGTAAATGAATAATATGACTTATTTCGCAACCTTCAGCACCACTAAGTCATCACCTAAAGTCCCAACCCCTTTTGTGCCATTAGACTCGAGACTCTTTGTATCGCCCATACTAGTAAGCTTCAAACTACTTTCTGTCCGATAAACAAGTATGGTAAAAGTAAGGGTGGAATCGGTTCTGTTATCGACCCAATTCACCCTCTGACGTACCGACTAACATCATCAGTATATTGGATTTGAGATTTTACAATCCGATCCAATGTGTTCAGATGTCAAGATCCAATCCAATCCCATCCAAGTACATTGGATTGGATTGAATGATCGGTTTGAACGAAAGTATGATAATCACAAAGATAATCGTATAGTATTCAATCCAATGGAAAATACCATTAAGTATGTACTAAATAGGCATAAATAAATTTTAGAAAACATCACTACAACACAAACTTCGACATTTAGAGTTCAAGTTACATCAATTCCTTAAAAAAAGAAACACTAAATTAAAGTCAATATAAAAACTTAGATAACTCTTCAAGGTTCCAGGTCCAACAATCCTTTAATTTCTTTCTTATCCTTATATTATATCATGCAATCAACAAATATGTATATATAATTAAAACTCTTAACTTAAGAGAGTTGAGATATAATGAATGTCAAGATAACAATATTAGATAGAAAGAATGAAACAAACTTACGTATAGAGCATGCAACCATATTCCACATCAAGTTTCATTCAAAGTAAGTTTTGATGTAGGACCCAAAATTTCTACAAAAGAAGAAAATACCATATTAAAATAAATATAACAAAAATAGTACTACTTAATTTCAACTATGAAATTTATCTTAAAATAATATTTACCTGATTCAATTTCTTTCATCTCATCTACAATCTCAAGAACATTGGTTTTTGGTGAAGAACGTAACCAATTTTGAGTGCAAATGAGTGCCTCCACTGTTCTTGAGGATATGAACTCCTAAAGGGATCTAGAATGCGACCACTAGTACTAAATGTTGATTCATATGCTACAATAGAGACATGTATTGCCAACACATCTCGTGCAATATAAGAGAAAATCTTATATTTTTCAGAATTCATCTTCCACCAACCCAGGAGATCAAAGTTCTCATTTTTGGATTCTCACATGTTTAATTAAATACCTGTCAACTTATGTTTTGGACTTTTCACCATCAGTTTTCTTCACAAGTTTCATGAACCTAGTAGTGAAAGCAGTAGCAAAATCTACTTCATTACTATCAATCTCCATCTCACTTCGATTATGAGTCTCATCTTATGTGCATCATTTTCATTGTAAAGCAATTATATTGATCATACAATTCATTTAACTTGCTTCTCACTTTAGTTGTCATCTCGCTAGCTTTATCCTCACCATATAACAAAGAAAAAAATACTGCAAATAACGTTCCTTGTAACGAGGATCAAGTAAAATAGCAACAAACAAATACATGTTAATTTATTGGTAGCTTCCCCAATATATTTTGTATTTCTTCAGCATATTTTAAGCCATCATCTTAAGAAAAACATCTTTACTATGACTCTATCTTTGCAATTGCACATGAATCACACACAATTGTTTCATAAATAGATTTAAGGTTACATACAAAGTACCAGAAAATACTAGAGTTGCATCATAGAAAACTTTCAAAAACTTAATAAAGCAGCGGGCATTATTCCAATCCAATGAGGTGGGAGCCATTTTCCTTTCATCCATACAAAACTCATTAACATACTGTGTATCTTGTTCCTTTAAGCGTCAAAAGCTTTTTGATATTGTTTTGCAACTTCTAACATTAAATAAATAGAATTCTACCTTGTCGGAACATCAAGACATATAGCCTTATGTGAAGAAATTTTCACTCACTCTACATAAGCCTTAAACTTTTGGGACCTCGTTAGACAAGACCAGACATGTCTCGCCAGATTACAAACTCTGGTGATTGACTCATGATAGTCTTCTAGACCTTCCTTAACAATGAGATTTAGTATGTGTGCACAACATCTCATGTGCATATTTTCACCCTTCAATATTGAACCATTCTAATTATTCACTTTGTTTGACCAAAATGTAACAACATGATCATTTGAGGTTGCATTATCAATTGTCACAGTCAATACCTTATCAATTTTCCACTCTAGTAGACATGTCTCAATTGCCCTTCCAATTGTATCACCTTTGTGATTTACAATTGTACAAAAATTCATAATTTTCTTCTGTAATCTCCACTTATCATCTATATAACGAGCTGTGAGACACATGTAGTTAAGATTTTGGAGAGATGACCATGTGTTTGTGGTGAGACTAACTCTTTGGCGATTAGCAACTAATAATCCTTCAACTTTATCTTCTCTTTCTTATAAAGCTTTAAGACATCTCTTGCAATTGTAACGCGAGATGGGACTTGAAGTCTAGGTTCTAAAACACGTAACATATCCCTAAACCCTATACAACTCTAAAGGGTTGTTTACAAGTATAATAAATCTAATAATTGCTTTCCTACATGCCTCTGGACTATAACTTGTAGCAATCAGTTTGCCTTTCTTCTCGCCTTTCTTTGATTGGAAAGAAAAAGTTTTTTGCTTCTTAATATCTCAACCTAGATACTCTTTACATTGATTTTCCAAATGACTCAACAAGTTTGATATCCCATTTCTTTTGCTACCACATGCATACACTTTATTGCAATATTTGTATTTTGCCTTAGGATTTTTTGGATCATCTTGCATTTTAATAAAGTGCTCCCAAATAATTGAAGGAGGTCTAGCAGGTTTTCTCTCACCTTCTTCAATAGGTGCAGAATCATTGGCTTTGGTTTCTTGTGGCAACACTTCAGCATTTGAAGGCTTGAGAGTATCGGGCCCATTAGAAGTTGAAGGTGTATCAGTTTGTGGTTGACTAGTATTTCCAATTGGATTTTCATTCGAAGTTGAAGTTGGAGTAGTCATCTGTTTCAAAAATACTCCATCAATATTTTCATGCTTGAGAAGATGCAAAATGAATAATTGAATAATTGAGTTTTTTAATCCAAAATAATGAAAACTTACCAAGAAAGAAGATGCAGATAAAGCCATGGTGTTACGTTCTGAAACGTGAAAGTGAAACAAAAAGTTTGAACTCCAGAACGTGAAAAGCCTTTTCCTTTTTTTGGAGCGTGAAAGTTGCAACATTGAATGTGTTTTATTTATACTAGAATTGGAACTGGAATGTCAAAGGTCACTAAACTGAAAAGTCTCAGCATTTAAATTTTAAAACTAGGATTTTGGATTTGCACATAGAAATCTAGAATTTTTATGCTATATTAATATTTTTTTTTCTTTCAGAAGAATATCAACAGAGTTATGTTGGTGCGTTGGTTTATGTGTTAAATACGTTGCAGGTGGTCTAGGTTCGAATACTAGGAAAGGCAACCCTACTGCTATTGTACCGTACGTCGTCTCGGTTTTGGCATCAGCAGTGGTCGTTTCGGCATTGGCGGTGGTCAGTTTCAGTCATGCCATCGTGAAGGAGGCTTCCCAGCAGCATCATTGTCAACCTAACATCTTCCTATGTTCTGGTGATGTAGCACGAGAGAGAGAGAGAGAGAGAGAGAGAGATAGAGAAGACGAAAGAGCGAAATGAGAAAAATGAGAGAGAAGAAGCTGAGATAAGGAGGAAGAAAAAAATAGTTTAATAACCAAAATAGTATTTTAATGCAGTAAAAGTAAGATAAAAGATGACATATGGATATTTAGACCAGTTTTTTCTCAACCTTAGATTAGATCCAAAGGTAGGTACCCACAACTTCCTTGGACTATAGGGTCCAGTAGTGGTGGAGCCAGGAATTTATGTATTGGGGGGCCAACATATAAACCAAATAAGACATTAAAAAATTTCAATTTTTCAACCTTAACAATGTTTGTAAAAATAGAAGGCAGAAAACAATTGTTTATTCAATTAAGTATCAAAATAACACTCATCGTTCTTTCATATCTCGAAAACCATTAGGAACAAAAATTTAGTGAATGCTAAAACCATTTGTAATTGAGTCAATGCTAAACTTTGCTTCATATAGGAACAAAAATTTAAATCTCAATCCTTTTTTATTTGGGTAAAAGTGTACTTCTTATTTGATAAAGGAGATTTTTTGAAACTTTATTTGATTGGCTACTTTTATTTTTTATTAATATATTGGTGGGCCCAAAATTACTTAGTCTTTCTATTTGAAATTACTTACTCTTTTACTTGCAAAGAGAGAGAAACGTATCTTTTCTTTTGTGAAGGGGCCACAAACAGTTTATTATTACATAGACTTCCTAAATATGTAGAAAAGCAAGAGCAAAAATTAAATGGAGTAAAAAATTTGGGGGGGCCCAAGCCTTAACAAGGCTTTACCACTAGGGTCCAGGAGAACGGGATTGAATTCTTGAATCGATAAGCAATACTTTTATTATATTGACACACTCACCCACCCAACCTCTAGTATGTTCCCCCTGAAAGCACTTCCACCCATTTGCTATGGCAAAGGGTAAGGGCAAGTAAGGGCGGTTACTGTTCACTTGAATAGTGTATGCCTTAACAAATTTTTTTGTGGTTGTCGACCCATTAGAGCACCTCCACCCCAAAGGGCAAGGGCATGACAAAGGCAATGCAAGGTTTGTCACTATTCACTTTAATTTATATTCTATTTTTATACTTAAACCATTAATTGATAAGATTTTCGGATAAAATTTTCAGTTGCCACGTGTCACTATTTATTATAAAATTCTCATATCAAATTTCAGATAAAATTTTCGGATAAGATTTTCGGATAAAATGTTAGGATTAAATTTTCAAATAAGATTTTCGGTTGCCATGTGTCCATATTTATTATAAAATTCACATGAAATTTTTGGGTAAGATTTTCGGTTGCCACATGTCCATATTTATTATAAAATTCATATCTCATTCATCATACAATTGAAATACTCCCAGTTCTCATAATCCAACACAGTCAAGTACAAGGACGACTTAGTCATTGGAGGAGGCGGTTCCACCTGATCACGATGTGGGGGAGTATTTACCTTCGAATGACGTAATAGTACCATTACTTTCGACACGAAAACCGAGTGCGGGCATTGTTCACTTAAGGAGCCATGTGTAATGGTTTTCCTCTTTTTTGTTTTGCCTTCAGTAATCTATTAAAAAAATGAAATTGGAAATGCAAGAAATATATTTTTTAAAATGACAATAAATTGAATAAAAAGGCAATTAATATTTTCTTTACCTCGTCGCCAAGATTTTGACTGCTTCGAACGTTCGTCCACAACTCTCCGGCTTCGATGGAAGAGGCCATTTGTATTTTTACACAAATGAAATTTTGTAGTAGAAAATTTGGTGTGGAAAGTGAAAAATATTGGAAGGAGATAAATTTGTATGAAGATTTGGTGTGGAAAGTGAATAATATTGGTAGGTATTTATAGAAAAAGATTCTAGAATTTTTGATATATTTTTATTTTTTTATAGCCAAAAACTGGACAACCGTTGGATTGAATAAGATTTTTGGATCGAAGGCTTCAAAAGAAGCCACATTAGCAGCTGAAATTCAAATTTTTTAACGTCACGCTGACGTCAACATCCTTCAAGCAACAGCCCAGGCAATTCTAGCCCTTGGGCTTGCCCTGGCTAGTGGGTCCCACTCCTTGCCCGAGTTGGACCTTGCACGTTGGAGGGTTTTTGGGTCTGGGGCTGCCTTTTGCCTGCCTTTGCCCTTTGCGTTGAAGCTGCCCTTACCATAGCAATTCAAAGGAAATTACTATTCACATGTGATTAATTTTATTTATATGTATGATATGAATAAATATCCATGTATGTATAATTTTTTTTGATAATTTTTCAGAATTTGTTTCGATTTTTTTCTTGGTTGACGTCAGCGCCTATCTTGCCTTGGGCCCTGTCCGGGCTGGACGTCACCGTTGGAGCTGCTTATGCCTGGGCTGGGCTGTCTGCTGGAACTGCCCTTACGCCTATCCATTTATCACCCATCCCACCTCTTGGAATCTATTAGTCCGAACCCAATATCTTCCAAGAGACCAAGAATCAAACGTGGGCTCATCAGCTATAGCACTCGATTGCTCGTCTGCTATCGGCGGTCAGGTGCTGTTGTGTAGCAGCGACGTCGTCTATCAGGTACTGTTCTCTCCTCTGGAACTGAGTCGTTAAATCTTTCGTTCCAGATCCAGATCGATACCGTACCGCGATTGGGTACGGTCGATCCAGATCGAAATTCGTAGGGGGTGAGCGGATTAGGCAACTATGGTTTGATCTATTATTTTCAGTGAGGTTTGAATGTGTATGTTTCTCTTTTCTATTTTTTTTTCTTCAGCTTCTTAATATGGACGCGGTCGCTGCAAAAACTGCCCGGGAATCTCTAGACCTAGCATTTCAGATGTCCAACATTCTTGACACAGGGCTTGATCGTCACACCCTCTCCATCCTCATTGCGCTATGTGATTTGGGTCTCAACCCTGAGGCTTTGGCTGCTGTTGTCAAGGAACTCCGAACAGAACTGGTTCCCCTTTCGCCATCAGATGCTGCTCATGCTATTCCTTAAACTGGTTTGTGTATTTGGATCCCCATTCTGCTTACTCATTTTGTTAATTTTCTTTGGAACATAAATACTTTGCTTCACTTGGAGATGAATCCCATTTTCTTAGTTCGGAAGAGTACTGGAATGATAGTAGGAAGCTAGAAATTACAAAGCACTTTTAAGCAGCTAAATTTTTTGTAATTTTTGTTTAACTAGTTGCTAGTTAGTAGAAAAACTTCCGAGAGTAATGTATTGCCACCTAACATGCTGAGTGGCATGACAAAGTCGCTAACAACTTAACACTGGTTCAACTTTCATTGTAACCTCTTATTGTGATATAAGTTTTGAAGTGAAGTTTCAATCCAAAATAATATCCACTAAGATTTATCAAATGGTTCAGATTTCCCGCCCGAAGCGCTGCCGCCATAGATCCCCCAGCACCACCGCTGGATTTGGAGCTGCTTTCCTTCAAGACCTCCCAATCCTACACCTTTCACTCATCAATACTTTGCGTGTAATCAGTTGTTGAACTAGGTAGGGAACTTTGTTTTATAAGACTGAGATGTACTAAAGAGAAATGTTATCCTCTTTACTAGAATCCATTTAAGTGTACAATAGGTAAGTATTTAGGGATTCAAAATAGTATTTGATGGTCTGATTCTACAAATTCTAAGGACCACATTAGTAAAACACAGAAAAAATTGGCTGGTTGGAAGTCCGGCTCACTTTCTAGAGCTGGTAAACTAATTTTTTCTTGGCCCAAAAATGTGGTACATAAGATCTCTAATATTTTCAGGAAGTTTCTCTAGGGACCAGATACTTCTAAGCAGCCTCCAATTGCTTGGAACTCTATTTCTAAATTAAAGAAGAATGGTGGTTTAGGACTCTGAAATCTAGAAGATTTTAATTTGGCCCCTTTAGCTAAATTAGGTTGGAAAATTTTGATTGAACTTCATAATTGGTGGGTCCATTAGTTTCTCAAAAATATTTGAGGCATGATTCTTTCTTTCAAGTGAAAGCTAGAGATACTGATTCTACTTCTTGGAAATGAATTTTACAAGCTAGAGAAATTTACTCAAAGGCATACGATGGATTGTTGGAGACGGAAATGATATTAAATTATGGACTTGAGTTTATGCTTTTCCTTTAATTATTATAGTCATTCTTCTTCTATAAGTAATCTTAAGGAATCAGTTGCGGATTATATTTCTTTTGGTAATTGGAATGTGGAAAGATTATGTACAATGCTCCCTTCAAATGTAGTTAATTCTATTAGAGGCATAAACTTTGCCTCTTGTTCCTACATCAGATAAGTTTGTGTAGGGGATCTAAACCCCACGGTACATTTTCCATAAAGTATGGTACTAGCAAGAAAGGATAGGTATGCAGATAATTTCCTTAAACATATTCGGAAACTGAGCGTGACCCTATTCAAATCTTTGTTTGGCTTCTTTTACAAAAGAGACTTAACACTAGGGGAAAACTTTTGAGACTTACTGCTATGGATTCTTCTTGTCCTCTTTGTAATAAAGATGTTGAACATTTTAATCATCTGTTTATTGATTGTACTTTTGCTAGGCAATTTTGGCATATTTATACCTTTGCTTCTGGTAATTAATATTGTGGATTGGTTGCATTTGAATTGGAACAAATTAGCTTTGCTTTATGTGGAAAAATATTATAACTATTTGTTGGCAAATTTGGTTCCAAAGGAATAAACTTGTGTTTTTGTTATTAGAAATTCAAAGGGACATGCTAATTTTGCAGGACCTATCCAAGTTGGTTTAACTTATGTCGTTGAAGCGGAAGCAATAGTTCTGAAGAATGGACTTATTTGGGCTAAAAAGTCAAGATTATCTTGCTTATGGGTTAAAGGCCATTCTCAAAGTTTAATCAATTTGTTAAAGGACGATCAACATTCGCCGTGACGCTTGTTTTCGCTTGTTATGGATTGACAGACTTTCAAGTCATTCAAACTCGTCATGTGTTTCGTAATGCAAATTGGCTAATTTGAGTCATCAGCTTGATGATCTTTGTATCTCGTTTGGTAATCTTCCAAATAGTGAGGCAATAAAGTTGTTGTATGATATATTAGGGGATCCACAGGGTGTCCTCTTTCTAATTTTACTCAAGTCATTAAAAAGGAACAAAACAAAACAAGAATGGAAGTCACTAAATAGGATTGTGAAAGTATCCCTACACCCGAGTTCCCAAGTTCGATTACTCGTTCCCCCAATATCGCTTGTATCCAAAATAATAATAATAATAATAATAATAAATTTGCACACCACATTGTGATCAATAGTCCTACAGCATTGTATTGTCATTCCAATCCCATCATAGACAAATATAACTCTATAGATATGCGGAGGTATATATGTGTTTTGTTGAAGTGGTATTTGGTACTATTACAAATTTGTGTATACTTGATAACATCAAACACAAAGAACATCTCCTCCTTTAATATGTACTAAAGGTCATGGTATTATCAGGTAACAAATAAAATGGAGGGGTCGCAGCAACACTCATCCAGGAGACAGCAGCAACATAATGCTGCAAAGCTGCACAATTAGGCAAAGAAGAAATTAATTAATAACTGTATGAGAATTTTTTTCATAAAAGAAAATACCAACAAATACCATTTAATTTGCTAAAAGTAATAATTAAGGGGAAAAGGAAAGACACTTGGGAAGAGAAAGTATGGAATAAAGAAGAACAATTACCATCCTTCAAGGAAACCTGGTTCTCTTTTTGGTGGTGGAGCAGCAGCATAATATTGAGGAGGAGCCATCACAGGAGGTCCTTGATAAGGCCCTGGTTTAAATTAAAATTAAGTTAATATTCAAATAAAACTAGCAACATTCCTCAAACTACTTCCTAAAATTAAATATGGAAAAACTCCTCAAGCTACAATCATGCAGATTTTTTTCTTCTTCAAAAGTTAGGAAGGGAGAGCAGTTTTTTCACCCACACTTAGTGGCGGACCTATTAAGGCGCAAGGAGGTGCAACTGCACCTTCCCTTGCCGGAAAAACCAATGTAGGTGCTTCAAATTGCCCATTTGCTCAATTGGTATACAAATTACCTTATTCTATTTTCAACATTTAAGTAAATGGAGTAATATAAAAATAAATGAAAGTAAAAGGACAAAGACATTTACTTAAGTTTACAATATAAATAAGAAAGTACCCCCCCCCTTCCCCCCAAATTTGGATTCAAATAAAAATACTATAAAATCAAATTCCCACCAAATCAAAATATGAAAAATCGATTTTAGTGCAAAATACGATTTAGGCTAAAAATGATGGCTCATTAAGTCAATATATACTTCATACTAAAATCCCATAAAATCAAGTTTTCTTATTTGATGTGAAAGGAATAAAAGCCGCAAAGGTGCCATGAGGTTCGAACTTGAGACTACTGGTCAACAAGTCAATATCTTTTCCACTAGGCTAGATCTCGTTGGCACAATCTTGTAGAATTTTGCTACTAAATACTATTCCCACTAATTACATCAAGATCCCTCATAGTGATTTTGTAATTAAGATCATATGTGTGTATAGAAGTCTAGAGCTAACATTCCTATGTTTATCAGATTTAAACCTATAATATTCTCTAAATTCTAAATAAACACAGGAGAATCATATCATGAAGAGCAAGGGAAGAATCATATAATCTAACCCTACAGATTAAAGAACAGATTCAGGATTCAAAGACAAAGAAAAAACATGCATACAATTTTATACAGGTTGAAAACTAAAAATAAGGAGTAATATATACGTACATACCTTGAGGTGGATAAGCGTAACCATACTTGGGATCACTCATCTCCAACACAACCCAATATCTGAAAACACCAGAAGAATATGAAATGGGATTTGTGGTTTTAGGTTCTGGCACTCAGATATATATGCATGAAAAGAAGATTGGAGAATATAATGTGTGTGAAAGAAAGAAGTCCAGAAACAATTTTAGAGCTGAAAAATTAGACTTATTTTTTAACTCTCTCTCTCTCTCTCTCTCTCTCTCTCTCTTATGGACACAAGTGGAATGATGAAGAGGGAACAATAACTTTTCCTCTTGTTTGCAACTTTCATATCTTTGCATGATTCCTTGAGAGATGGGTTAGGTTAAAGCTTATGTGTTAAGCTCACAACAAGAATATTATGGAAAGTTATTTGATGGTTGGTGATGCCTATATTTGGTGCATATATATGTAGAAGAAGCTTCCACACTACTTTTGTGTTGCTCCATATATTCCATTCCCTTCACATTGTAAAGTACCAAATTGATATTATATTTGTTAATAAGACTCTACAAAGGAGTTAATGTTATGTACATGTTGAGCATGTACAATAATAAGACGCTTTAGAGCCTTTTATTTTTTCTACAAAGGAGGACTCAAAAAGAGGATTAAAAAGTTGGTTTTTCATGAAAAAAAAAAAAAAAAAAAAAAAAAAAAATACCCTTGAGGTGGTTCAAATTTGGCATGTTGGCACGGAAAAAAATTCGAAATGAACAATTCATGTTAAAGAGCAACATCGAAGTGAGACGCTTAAAGCTGCACAACAATGAATATCAGAAATGAGATTATTAATTTTGTGTGGGTCCCATCTTACTATTATTTATGAAGTTTTAGTAAATATTAGAGTAAGGTGGTATGGAAATCACTCACACACGCTACGCAGATCCTAACTTTCTAACTTAAATATAAAACTTGAATTGAGTCTACTACTGATTTTGGTACGATACTCGTCAATACATATGCAATATGGAAAATACAATGTTGTTGACCGGCGGAATACGGAACCAATACGCGTGGGATACGACTGTGGTTTAGTTTAAAAATATTTGGAAATTATGGTGGTCGTTTTCTAAATTATAAAACATATGGGGCCAAAGGTGTAAATTCGAAGACTTGATTTAATCACACACTCCCAGCCTCTAGGCTAGGTTTTCCTTTGTAAAAGAAATGGCTGCACCAATTTAAAGAACTAGAGGTCCAGATCCAGAAGGAAGAAGAAGAAGAAAGTTCTGCTCCACTTCCACCAGGTCCAGCCTCTTCTTCTCGATTTTGACAAATTTTATCCAACAATAAAGGAAGAAATTTTCCATTTATTTGTTAAATTCATTGTTCATTTTTGACTGAGATTACAGTATATTGTACAGAAGTTAAAGTGAGCCATGTATTCGTCTCTCTCTCGGCTGTCTTCGTCTCTGGTTCATCGCCTTGCTAGATGCCAGAGCCAGCTCATTGCGTCGAGGTCTTTCTCTGTCTCTGGAACGCCACCAGGCAAGTTCTTCTTCCTGCCCTTTCTTTTTGGCCAATATTTCTGTCGTACTATTGGATATTGAACCTTTTGGTTTTGTTGGTTCTTGAGTTTATTCTGTGTTAAATGAGTTTCTTTTAACATCTCTGCAATTGGGTTCAAATCAATTTGCAATTGTTCTACTGTTTTGAGTGTACTTGAATTTCATTTTTTGAATACTGCGATGTGACTTGTGAAATTAGTTTGATAAAATATATGATGGTGAATCAAGAAGCTTTGCTGGGAAACTAATCTTTAATTGGTGTCACTTTCTTGTAAATGATTAATAATATATTGGACTTTACAGGTCCAATAGAGAATTTTCAACAAGGTTTCAATTCTTCTGAGATTGTTTCAAGGAATTCCAGGTCTATGAACTTTGTGAGGGGGATTCTAGAGGAGGATGGAAAGGACAACTTTGGTTTTCTCAGTTTCCTCGATATAATATGGAGCAAAATGCTGATATTGTCCATCTAAAGCTGATGAAAAACAATACCTTTGTTACTGTGACGGACTCAAAGGGGAACAAGAAACTTGGGGCCTCAGCCGGGTCGTTACCAGGAATGAAAGGAGGACCAAAATTGTCTAAGTACGCTGCTGAAGCAACTGCGGAACACGTTGGACGGATGGCTAGAAATTTCGGGTTAAAATCAGTTGTAGTGAAGGTGAAAGGGTTTACTTATTTTAAGAAGAAAAGGCAAGCCATTGTGAGCTGGAAAGAGGGCTTTACCAATTCCAAAGTGGGTATGAATCCGATTGTATATATTGAAGATACAACCCGAAAACCCCATAATGGCTGTCGCCTCCCAAAGAAACGTCGCGTGTAAACACAGTGCACTGTAGGCCTAATGAGTATTATCTTTTACTTGGCTAGAGTATCTTGTCCAATAACGAGAAGTAGAGTCCAAACTCAGCGGTGGCAGAACTTTTCGAAGAAGAGTGCGTTTTTTCTTTTAATCCCTTTAATTTCAATGCCGTTGTGATGCTACTGTGGTCTATTTGAAGATGGTTGTTTCTTATGAGAATATATTTGCTTAGAAATTTCTCTTACAATATCAGTCTGGAAAATTTGTGCTTTTTCTTAGCAGTGTTCAGCTGTAGTGATAATGGTTGGAATTGACTGTACATTGACTTCAATTCATGGAATCTTTTATGAAATAGAACCAGAGATACAGATTGTTTGAAGTAATTCCGGCAACATTGCAACTTCAAGTAACAAAGTAATTACAGGTAACTAGGGGCATCATGCACCTTACCTAAGCAGCTTCTATGTCATGAAGACTGTTGGTAGTACAGAGCAATTTAGAAATAGCATTACTGAAACACAAGTGATAGTAGGTGTCACAGAACTAAGATTATATTTAAGCTTTTGTTTTGATCTCGTGACATTTGCCAAGTTATTTTCCGAATTGTGAACTGTAAATTTGCGAACGGTGAGCCATCTTCTGCCATTTTCCATCCCTCTTCGGCTTCTATTTTTTTCTCCAGCGTAGGGCACGCTTGAATAGAGAGATGGCAGCACTGTACTGATATCTTGCAGTCCTGGAGGTGAAGTCAAACTAGGACAGTCGGAGATGGCCAACGATCTAAGCGAAGGAAAATTCCTCAAATCTGGATGGAATAGTTGGCCATCTTTAGAGGGATCCCGAACCTCTACATTTAGTATCCGTGCATTTATCCACATTTCGTAAAATTTAAGCCACTTAACTAATCTAACATATTCATAAATATTTAAGTTAAAAGTGTGTATTTTTCCAAACTGATGTTAGCGTAGTTAACATTCTTGGAATTTTTTTTTCCTTCATCTGATGAAAAGATATCATCATTTGCAGAGTACCGAGTGCTCTTCACAAACACCACTGCTTCCACGGTTTTCTTCACTGCTTGTTCCTCCAGCATCTTCGTCCATTCTTGAAGATGCTTCACGTACTTCACAAGTCAATCTGCAAACCTTTGAACTTCCAAAATTCACAAACATCTTTAACACCAAGAAACACTAAAATTCACAACACAATCAGAGAAAGCAGAAGAGCAAGCTTTTCTCAACTAAGAATATTTATGGCAAGGCAATCAGGCATTTTATTTTCTCTGTTGGAGATAAAAAGCTTCTTCCTCATAAAATATATGCCAATCTTCAGATTCATATAAAGTCATCATGTGTACTTCCTTCACTATATTAATATTAATATTGTGTGACTCACTGTCATATACATCTAAACATCAATCAAGCATCTCTCTTCCAAATTAAGCTTCTATTTTCTTTTCTTGAAGCTCAACTCAAGTAATGTATTTGTGTGGCCTGTTGTACTAACTATATATAGATATGCATGTAAAAACTAGAATCACCATATATAACCACAGATCATTCAGTCCAAACCCCCTTCCCAAAAAAAGAATAGCCACATATCTTCGCACTTTGAAATTAAATGGCCCAAAAAGATGAAAATGTGAGGCAAGTTACCAAAAGAGGAGGTGGACAAGGAAGCAGAGGAGACCAAGACCAACCTGCAGAAATTGAGGTGAGTATTACAATCCATGAGGAGGCAAGTACCAGGGAGGAGAGACTCAAAAAATTAAGGGAAGAAGCACCTGTTCAGGCTCAAAAGGTGAAACCAAAGATCCAAAAGGTTCCCTTCATGCTCCGAGTCCGAGAAGACACAAAATTCGACAAGTACTACGAGCCAATTGTTGCACCACTTGGTCCTTTCCACCATGCTCGTAAGCTACAGTACGAGTATGCAGAGAAAATCAAGCTTAAATTAGCTGCAAACTTTGTCAAAGACAGTAAGCAGAATGATGCAGATCTGCTCAAGAAGGTTGAGGACAATATCAATGCACTAAGGAACTGCTATGATGAGGAAGCAACAAAGGACTATGGCGACGAATTCCTCGCGTGGATGTTGTTCGTTGATGGGTGCTCCACACTGGAATTCATATACAAATATGATGAATTAGAAAATTTTCAGATCAAGAGAGACCAGGTGGCCTTTGTAGAACATGACGTGTTCTTGCTGGAGAACCAACTTCCTTATCAACTCCTCCAGCTGTTGATGAGCTCGAGCCAAATACACAAGGAATTGAAGAAATCAATCGATGACTTTGTTTGGAGAAACAGCCTTGCTCAGAATCAGAACCAACAAAATCCAGAAGCAGAGCCAACTCATCTGCTTGAGCTTCTTCGGACAACAATGCTAGGAACTTCACCTAGTGAGAAAACAAAAGGTACTAAACTTCCCCACTCTTTTCGCAACGTGCAAGAGCTTCAGGCAGCCGGGATCCACTTTAGGCCTAGTAATAGCAACTCATTGAGGAGCATATCTTTTAATTCTTCTCTATGCCATGGAATCGTTCATCTTCCTCAAATAAAAGTCGACGACTCGACCAGACCCAAGTTCATGAACTTGATAGCCTACGAAATGTGTCCCGATTTCCACAATGATTTCGGGGTCACCTCTTACATATGCTTCCTCGATTCGCTCATCGATCATCCTGATGATGTAAAGCATCTGAGGAAAAAGCTGATACTTCGAAACCTCCTTGGGAATGACGAGGAGGTGGCTCAGCTCTTCAATGAGATAGGCACTGACTTGGTGCCTAACAATGACATTTACTGCTCTGTTCAAGGCAAAATAGAAAAGCACTACAGTAACTGGGGTAACAGAGTGATGGCTCAATTCTTTCATGAGCATTTCAGCAGCCCATGGACTGTTGTTGCTTTCCTTGGTGCTCTCCTAGCTCTTGGGTCGAGCATCGTTCAGACTGTTTACTCAGTCCTCGGTTATCATAATAATAAATAGGATTCTCTATAAGCAGAGATTCACAACTCCAATCCTCCACACCCTCTCCCTGCAATAAGAGATGAGCTATAGGCACTGAAAATGCCTAGGCTTACACCCATTTCTGTTTTCTGGTTTGCTCCAATAACTGTACGCAAGAGTGTGACTAAATAAATAAAGTTGAACATGTATTGGTTTATCTGTTTTCTTAACGTGGTTGAAGTTTTTCTCATGAGTATAACGTATTTGGTATCTTCCACTTGTTCCGAACTGGTTCGTGTGGCTGAATTCAACTTAAGAACTTGTTAGGCCATCTCCAGCAGTAGGCTATACCCTCACATTTAGCTCTTTCACACCCAAAAGTCATATCTAGAAAATAGACTAAATGTGTCATTTCATTGGGCCAAACCGAGTCAGCAGGTCAAAGAGGTCGAATTGTGGGCCAAATGTTGCATGATTGTTGGGTGGGCTATATTTTTTTTAAAAAGCTAGCAATTGCTTAAATTAAGAGGCTTGAACTTCAAAAATTCACAAATATCTTAAACACAAAGAAACACTAAAATTCACAACACAATCAGAGAAAGCAAAAGAGCAAGCTTTTCTCAATTATAATTTATAGAATAGAATTAATTAATTCAATATGAAGATCAGCTACGAACATAAATAACTCAACAACCCACGAATGTTATTGCATCTCCAAAGGACTGAAGCCTTGATCTATAGTGAGGAGTAACTAGGGAAAAAAAAACCTCAAGCAAGTTAACTTTAACGTTGACATCAGTTCTGGGAAAAATAAAACATAAAACATAAAATTAATGATGTGTCATATGTTAAATGGTTAGATTATTTGAGTGGCTTAGATTTCACAAAATGCCGGTAAATGCACGGATCCTAAATGTAGAAGCTCGAGATCCTGAGTTTCTACATTTAGGATCCGTGCATTTACCCGCATTTCACAATATCTAAACCATTCAAATAATCTAACAGTTTAAGATATGACACATGGCATGTGAGTAAACTTTTAAAATTAATTACAAAAATTAAAGTTCAATTTAAAATTAAAAGAATATAAAATCACAAAATTCAGATTGAAAACTACCCCCCCGGGGCGGCGGGTGTGGTTTTTTTAGTATATGTTTTAATTTTTTTATTTAAACAATAAAACATTTGTTTATTTTAATAAATAATTACATCGGTTATGTGTCATGTCTTAAAATGTTAGATTATTTAAATGGTCTAGATATTGTAAAATGTAGGTAAATGGACAAGAGAGCTAAATATAGAGGTTGGGGATCCTCCTTAGAGAAGTTAGAAAGTTTTTTTTTTCAAAAGCTCTCTTGATACGGACACCATACTCAGAAAATTTGTGATTCTCACTTTAATTTTTTAATTTTTAATTTTTAAAATAAATTCATTTTCAACCAGCCCTTTTCAAATACTCAAATTCCCCCCTCTTTCTCTCATCACAAAATCGTCTTTGTTTCTCTCATTATTGTACCATTGAATGCATCTGATTTCTCAATTTTAAAATCCGCTTATAAGAAAATCCAGTCATCATGATGTGAGAAAAACTGTATATGATGTGAGTTAGGCCACTTAGCAAAGGTAGTGAGCCGACCCAAGTTCAAACCATCATTCCTATAAATTAGTAGTTTAGACTATCATATATATATATATATATATATCATTTCTATTGTTGCCCAGATACCCTAATTTCTATAATTTGGTTTTGATATTTTACAGTGCATGTCATGAGCACATTACAATACTTTTGTCTAGTATGAATCTAGAAAGTGTAGGCATACTAAAATTCCCTTTGGATGGAGTGATTTTAAATTAGGGATTTGAATGATATTATAAGGTTAAAGTGTTTGTTTAGACTAATACACTAGTCCATGTACGCGCATCTCTCTCTAACCCTAGCAGAAAAACAAAAAAACTCCCAGCGCCACATCTAGGGGGAGAGGTGGTCTCCCCCTCCTCCCCTCCCCTCCCCTCCTCTTCCTCCTTATTCCTCCTTGAATCTCACTTCTCTCCTCCTCCTTTTTCCAATCTGGTGGGATGAAGACCGTAGGCATGATTTCCCCTTTCACCACCATATTTACCCTGCAGGTGCTGCTCCATACTGTCCTAAAATCCATGGCTCACCTGGATTCCTTCACCTCCCCTTTGATCTGGGTTGTAGCTGCAAATTTTAAACGCGTTTTGACGCGTATTTATTAGAAGGTGTGTAGAGCTCTAGCTTGGGTGCTTGCACCACCTCCTTCCAGGTTCTTGGTTATTTTCCTCTTGGCTATGGAATGGGTTTTCTCATTCTTTTTTTGTTGGATGTTGTCTTTTGGATGTATTGGTTGGGTTGATTCTGGATCTGTTTGTGAATCTCGGGTGGGCTATGTTCTGAGTGATTTTTGGCTTGGTTTGTTGACCTACGAGTGTTTGGGTCTTCATGGTGGTGATTGGCGGTGTGTCCATCTACAATCGGGGAGTTTCTCTTTGCTGGTGGTGGCGGCTTGTAGTTTCTTTTTGGTTGTGGCGGCTAGGTTTTATGTGATTTATTTTATGTATTCTATGTTTATTGTGGGCTTTGTGCTTAATGTGGGTGTAATGCCTCTTTGTGGGCTATATGCCTTTATGTGGGCTAAATGCCTTTTTGTTGGCTTTTGACGTTTTAGGTTCGGCTCAAAAACATGATTTTTATGCTATACTGTACTGGTTTTAGCTAGATTTGTTCATGTTTGTTTTCTAGTTTTTTGGCCAGTGTTTTTGCTCTGCTTTGTTTGTACTGTTCTCTACCTTTTGAGGGTTTGCAATGAATTGCAATTTCGACCAAAAAAGAAGAAAAGTCCATGTACGCCAAGAGTCGAATAAGAAGGAAATAACGAAAATAAGTGGATTCCAAATAACTCATTGCATACATATAGTCATTTGAAATTCATTCCAAACGTTCAAGCTAATGTTTTCTAACTAGTAGTTTCTAGAAAATTCAACTTTGTTCTCAAATCCAAATCCTCTCTTTAAATACCTCCATCCAAACAGAGCCCTATTGAATTACGTGACTCACGTTGTTGATGATTTTATATGAAAATTTCTCTTCAAGGATTGAAATTCTACTTTATTGATTCTTACCGTACGTAGAACACTAGCCTTTAAATGCTTTTGTGTAGGAAACAATCAGGCTTTTTATTTTCTCTGTTGGAGATAAAAAGCTTCTTCCTCATATGATTAGTGTACCTTACTACTAAAATCTATACCAATCTTCCGATTCATATAAAGTCGTCGAGTGTACTTGTTCCTTCACTATCAATATTCATATTAATATTGTGTGACTCACTGTCATATACATCTAAACATCAATCAATCATCTCCCTTCCAAATTAAGCTTCTACTTTCTTTTCTTGAAGCTCGAGTAATGAATTTATGTGGCCTGTTGTACTAACTATATATGGATATGCATGTGAAACCTAGAATCACCATCTATAGCCACAGATCATTCAGTCAAACCCCCCTCCCAAAAAAAGAATAGCCACATATCTTCACACTTTGAAATTAAATGGCCCGAAAAGATGAAAATGTGAGGCAAGTTACCAAAAGAGGAGGTGGACAAGGAAGCAGAGGAGACCAAGACCAACCTGCAGACATTGAGGTGAGTATTACAATCCATGAGGAGGCAAGTACCAGGGAGGAGAGACTCAAAACATTAAGGGAAGAAGCACCTGTTCCGGCTGAAAAGGTGAAACCAAAGATCCAAAAGGTTCCCTTCATGCTCCGAGTCCGACAAGACACAAAATTCGACAAGTACTACGAGCCAATTGTTGCACCACTTGGTCCTTTCCACCATGCTCGTAAGCCACAATACGAGTATGCAGAGAAAATCAAGCTTAAATTAGCTGCAAACTTTGTCAAAGACAGTAAGCAGAATGATGCAGATCTGCTCAAGAAGGTTGAGGACAATATCAATGAACTAAGGAAGTGCTATGATGAGGAAGCAACAAAGGAATATGATGACGAATTCCTCGCGTGGATGTTGTTCGTTGATGGGTGCTCCACACTGGAATTCATATACAAATATGATGAATTAGAAAATTTTCAGATCAAGAGAGACCAGGTGGCCTTTGTAGAACATGACATATTCTTGCTGGAGAACCAACTTCCTTATCAACTCCTCCAGCTGTTGATGAGCTCGAGCCAAATACACAAGGAATTGAAGGAATCAATCGATGAGTTCGTTGGGAGAAACAGCCCTGCAGCAGCACCAGCAGATCAGAAGCGACAAAATTCAGAAGAAGAAGAACAGAGGTCACAACCAGGACAAGACGTAGAAGCAGAGCCAACTCATCTGCTCGAGCTTCTTCGGACAACAATGCTACGTTCACCTAACAACGAAAGTGAGATAAAAGAAGGTACTCAACGTTCCCACTCTTTTCGCAACGTGCAAGAGCTTCAGGCATCTGGGATCCATTTTAAACCTAGTGAGGGCAACTCATTGAGGAGCATATATTTTGGGTCTTATCATCGATTCCATGGAATCCTTCATCTTCCTCAAATAAAAGTCGACGACTCGACCAGACCCAAGTTCATGAACTTGATAGCCTACGAAATGTGTCCCGATTTCCACAATGATTTCGGGGTCACCTCTTACATATGCTTCCTCGATTCGCTCATCGATCAGCCCGATGATGTAAAGCATCTGAGGAAGAAGCTGATACTTCGAAACTTCCTTGGGAATGACGAGGAGGTGGCTCAGCTCTTCAATGAGATAGGCACTGACTTGGTGCCTAACAATAACATTTACTCCTTTGTTAAAGACAAAGTAGAAAAGCACTACAGTAACTGGGGTAACAGAGTGATGGCTCAATTCTTTCACGAGCATTTCAGCAGCCCCTGGACTGGTATCGCTTTCCTTGCTGCTCTCCTAGCTCTTGGGTCGAGCGTCGTTCAGACTGTTTACTCAGTCCTCGGTTATCATAATAATAAATAGGATTCTCTATGAGCAGAGATTCACAACTCCAATCCTCCACACCCTCTCTCTGCAATAAGAGATGAGCTACAGGCACTGAAAATGCCTAGGCTTACACTCATTTCTGTTTTCTGGTTTGCTCCAATGACTGTACGCAAGAGTGTGACTAAATAAGTCAAGTTGAACATGTATTGGTTTATCTGTTTTCTTAAAGTGGTTGAAGTTTTTCTCATGAGTATAATGTTGTACAATTTCTTCAGTGGACAAGGGTATTTGTAGGTTCTTATTTAATAAATAAGGTTAAATTTCACTTTATTATCCGGAAGTTTCTCGAAATTCTGACTTTGTTACTAAAGTATTTTTTTTAATTAACTGCGTATCCAAAGTTTAACTTTTTTACTATTTTCATACATCCGCCAGTCATTCCGTCCAACTGCTCTGTAATTTAAATGATGAAATGCCCTAATTAATATCAAGAAACCCTAATTTAAATTTCGAAGAGAGGATTAAGAAGTCGGCGAAGGTGAGCACAGAACACAGTAGACGACGAAGGCGAGCACAGTAAACGACGGAGAAGAAGTCTGCGAGCGAAGACGGATAAGAAGAGTCGCTCGCTTAGGCTCGTTCGCAAGGGGGTGGCACACTGGGAAGGCCCTAATCCGAGGCCACTGGCACCGTCGATGGTCCAGAGCTTCCTTTACCAGCTCTGCAAGGGGGTGGCTCACTGTCACTCCCATGGCTTTCTCCACCGCGATCTCAAGCCTCAGAATTTAATTCTGGGCAAGGAAATGGGGATTTTGAAGATCGCCGATCTCGGCCTCGGCCGCGCCTTTACTGTACCTCTCAAGAGTTACGCACACGAGATTGTAACTCTCTAGTACAAAGCGCCGGAAGTTCTGCTCGAGTCACTACTCCACCGGCGTCGACATGTGGTCCGTCGGTTGGCGGGTGGGGTTTGTTTGCTATGGAAGAGGGAGAAAGAGGGAGAAATACCTTTTTTATATATTTAAGTTTGTTCTTTTTCGAATTTTTATTAATTAATAAATTACTTAAATTTATATTAATTATTTAATTTGTATGTCCACGTGGTGCGAATTTAGTGGGCCAAATTTCTAACACGTCATTAATTGCAGGCCCATTCGTTGCCACGTCATGAGTTAACAGAACATTTGATGAAAATACTAACAGAAGTATGAAATTGATAGGAAAACAAAACTTTGGGTACGAAGTTGATACGAAAAAAACTTTACGTAACAAAGTCAGAATTTTGGGAAACTTCCGGTAGTAGAGTGAAATTTACCCAATAAATAATGTAATTCTGTATGTTGCCTATTCATTTTATGAGTTGCTGCAGATTTACTTGCAGCTTACTCGGTGTAAGCAACTCTTCCTCAAAAAAATGCTGAAATCTTAATTTCACGAAAAGAGATTATTACAAGTCTCTAAGGATTATTCTTTCTAGAGGTGCAAATGGTTTTTGGGTGCCCTCACATTTCTCTGGATGTATTCTTGACAATTTCCTTTCCCTGCAAATAGAGCGTTGAGAATTGGCAGGTGAACCTAATCTGGAAGCTTGAGGATCAAGGCATTCAAGAACTACTTTCCCACATCCAAAATCACCATCATGTCCAGGCGATGATGATGGTGTGTTGAATGAAGATATTTGGTATCTTCCACTTGTTTTGAACTGGTTCCTATGGCTAAATTCAACTTGTTATGCCATCTCCGCAGTGAACTAAATGTGTCATGTCATTGGGCCAAACCGAGTCAGTTGGTCAAAGAGGTTGAATGTTGGGCCAAATGTGGCATGATTCTTAGGTGGGCTATTTTTTTTTCTTCTCAAAAGCCAGCAACAACTTCTTTTTTTCTTTGGACAAAACCTACAACGAATCCTTGCAAAGTCCAATGTCTCTCTCTGGCTGTCGTTAAATATATATATATATATATATATATTCAGAAATCCTAATTATTGGTTTTTTTTAATATATAAAAAACTCTAAAAAAATTCATAATTTTGTTCTATAATACCAACTTCATTTTTACATAATTTCCCACATTCTTTTCCTCCTTCTACATAAATTCCCACTTTTTTTTTTTTATCCTTTACATATTAAAAAAAAATTCCCCTAATTGTTAGAAAAAAAAATGGCCGGCACTTCGTAGAAAGCATAAATTGGACTTGAAAGGAAGATGAAGCTCTTTGCAAAGCTTTCTTTAAAGTCACCGAAGATAATGTACACGGTACTAGCCAAACCTCGGAGTTCTCACAAATATTACGAGCTTTACGAAGGCATCATTGAAGTGACCCCGAGAAACCACGAAAGTTGTGGAAGTCAGTGGAAGAAGCACATCTATCTAAGCTTGAACAAATGGAATCAAGCATTGAAAAAAGATGAGAGGAGACATGTTTTAGTTATTGTTTTTCGATTAATGTCTATTTGTCAATTTTATTACAAATTCAAAAAATAAGCCACAAAACACCATACATCAGTTGGCGTCTCCACTCCTCCCATTGGTCATCTAATTCGGAATTAGAAGAGGAACCCCAATTGGTATCCATTGCAGAATTGAATTGGAATAACAAATTATACAAAATGAAAGAGAGAAATTGGAGAGGAATTAGATGAAGGTATGAGATATGAAACCCAAGACATCTCTTTCATTGACATTTGAAGCTGAAGATAAGATGTGTCATGAGAATATAAATCAAATAAAAAATATAGAGGGCTAATCATGTACAGACACGTGGCACTCGAAAATTCTATATGAATTTTTTTGGGATTACATCATGATAAGATGTGCCATGTGGGCAAAAAATCTAATCATAAATATGGGGGCCTAATCACATGCCGTGTCGACACATGTATGTCACAAGTCCTATATGAAAATATTTTTCTTGTAAAATAAATTTTAAATAGGGTATAAAGTAGTACTTTACTAAAATTATCCAATATATTTAAAGAATATTCTAAAAACTAATATAATATTGAGGGGGCTATGATTTAGTCCTGCAATGCTGGAGATTGTAAATATATAGCCCCAATGACGGACCCACAGTGGGGTCACTGGGGTCAAACGACCCTATGGAAGCCATGGAAATAGGGTTGGAGGTCCACTTGAGCTGGCTGTGTGACCCCTTGGATTGCCCTCCAAGTGTTTGATGTTTTGCCTGAGAGGAAGAGGGAGGAAGCTGTGCGCAAGAGGAAGAAGAAGCAGCGCAACGCGCTTCTGGTTTTTTTTTTTAAAACACCTGGGCAAAACGACGTCGTTTTGGCCCAGGAAAATTTTTAAAATTAAAAACCCTTCCGTATCCCTCCATTCTCCAACATTAAACTGTTTGTTGTAAATATATGCATGTGGAGCCCACATGTTTTTCCTTTTCCCTGTACAATACCTGATGAGCACGTTTCTAAGGGAGGCCTCTGTTCATCAAAAAAAAAAAGGGAGGCCTCATCTTCATTGTAATGATTGATCAATCTGAATAAAACTCCCTAACTAGGATTTCTCTCCCTTTCAATTCTCTCAATCTTTCAGTTTCTCAATCTCAATCTATTTAGTTTATAACACTGTTTTCTTTTTAATCTTTTTAACCTGTTTTGTTGTTGGAATCAACAAGTCAACTTTATTTCATTTATTATTATTTCTTCCTCTCAAATTCCAATGACTGGCTTAGAAATTAGAATCCATGAATGATGAACTTTACTTGTAATTTTATCTAAGGATGACCACAATATGGTTTTATTACCACTATTTAACACTTAAGAATTCTCCCCACAAAAAAAAAAAAAAAAAAAAAAAACATTGTAATTAGAACAAAATGCATGCATACTGGTTTTAATTTAATGGAAATCAAATTTATAATTGATTGGATGAAATTTATGATTTATATGTATTAGATTGATTTGTTGGATGAAGTTTTTGCTTATTTTTGTTGATTAGGCGGTTGTGGTTTTTTTCGTTTTTTGGTTAATTGGCCTAGGTTTGGTTTGAAATTTTATGAATTGAAACACTCAAAAAATACATTAAAAAACTGACAAATTGAAATCATTCAAAGTATATTTTTCTAATAAAGGAATAAAATTTGGAAGAGAAAAAATAGATAAGAAAAATAACCCATTTTTAAAATTTCTTTCGAACATTTACACTATGACCCTACGGAGTTCGGATCCTGGGTCCGTCACTGTATAGCCCATCACTATTCCATAAAAAAAACTATAAATAATGGGCTAAATTTTATGGGTAGGGCTATGTTTAGCCCTCGAATGCTAGAGATCACCTTATATCCCCAAGACAATCCCAAAGTGTGAAGGTCCTTCTTTTCTTTTATGTTAGTATCTTTTGCTTATTTTGCATCTATCGAACTCTCCAAGCATTTGATGTTCAACTCAGCCCTTAAATTCAATTTCTGCAGATTAAAGAGGTTGCAGACTGTCTCCAGGAGTGCTTGAATAGAGGGTTTGGAAAGTTGGAGAGGCCAAGGTATCTCAAGCATACAAGTTCGCCTGGGGGATAGGTTCGATTTGGTAGAGAGCTCAACCCGTTAAGCCTTAAAAGTATATGAAGTTAGTAGCCAATACACAAGGAAGCTCAGTATAGCTGACTTCAGATGATTTCAACAGTAAGGTTCAAAGATGTGTTCCTTGGAGTGCCAAGGCTGATGGAATCTTAAGATGACTCCAAATTGCATAGTATATTTTCAGTTGCAGCTGCCCTTTCTAGATAAACTTGACGATGACCTTGAGCATTTGATCGTTCTCAAGTTGATTTGGACGAATCACATAAACACACGATTTTTTAGTGTGATCTAATTTTAGACATCGACTGCTCTCTTATTGCATGACAGAGATAATTATTGACACTTCCAAACTTGTTTTCCTTGTGTGAAGAGGGCAATTTTGCTAAAGTGATAGGATAGGAAACTTGTGTTAAAGAATTGCTTATTATATTTTGTTGTGTTCTGTCGATGAATTATTGGGTCCTAGATTTAACAAAAGCAAATCTGATGTGACGTGATGTTACGTTGCCTTCTTAGTTTACGTTAGGCTCAGGATATGCTGTCAATATAAATCTTCAATACTTAACGTATTAGTACTCCATGTATTACTATATATTGTACATTTATTCTGCGAATGAAATCAAGCAAAACACATTTCTCTACACATGGCTTTTCTTTTGACATTTTTTTTTTGGTCGTAATCAATCATGTTCATTAAAACCCATAAATGAGGAGGAAACAAACAGAGAATATAAAGACCAAAAAGGCCAGCTAAAAAAACAAATTACCACAAATATAGAGAACATTAAACTAAAACTAGTATAGTCTAGTATAATAGTCTTTCCCATCACAAAATCAAACCAAATTATAATACAAAGCCACCGTCTTTCGCAAAGGGGACGAAGACCGCACTATAATGGCCACAAAGGAGGGTATACACCACCACCACCACACAGGTCAGCATTGCTGCACATAGAGAACCACTGATCTTCCAACAAAAATAGATATTCTCCAAAAATTGGAAACACATCAACCCTCGAATGTTCCTCCAAAAGTCACCTTCTCCATCACACCAAAATTTGCCAATGCACCTAAGAGAAAACAACAACTAATCACAACACCAAGGTATATACCAAAAGAGCGACACTAAGAGAATGGAGAGTATTGGTGCAAGCACCAGAGCAAGAACCGTAGCAAAAGCTCTAAATACAATCCTAGAAATGACCAACAAAGCGCCTATAGATATGGTTGTTGTATCCCAAAGGAGATTCCAGATCCAAAAAGAGGACAAGGCAAAAAGAGGATGAGAAATTGAGGAAGAAATAAATCTGGTTGAGGGGGTTGTTTGGTGGAGAACGAAGGACACAAAATTGGCATGAGACATTTAATCTCAGTATAGAGCATAAGGCACAAGTAGACACCATAGCGGGAAAAGCACCTAAATCTCAAAGAGAGCCACATGCACAGCCAAACAGGCTCAAACCGAAAGAAGACAAAAGCCTAAGACAGGGGAGAATGGGAGGTAGCAGACCAAGAGAAAGAAAACAAAAAAAACAAAAAAAAAACCGAAAATGGCTCTGTAAAAACAGAGCAACTCCCTAAGAGGTGGAAGATGAATGAAAGGGCAGGAGAAAGGGGACGAAGGAGCAACCTAGAAAAGAAAGAGAGAGGAAGAGGAAATAAAAGAAAAAAAAAACTAGAAAAAGGTGGAGGGAGAGAATAGAAAAAGAGAAGAGAGAGAGAAAGGAGGGGGGACTCTGGGGAGGAAAGGGGGTGGGAGGGGGAGAGGGGAGGAGGGTCAGTGATCCCCCCCCCCCCCCCCCCCCCCCCCCATTCTCTCCGAGTGGCGCAGAAGAAAGGAGGCTAGGGTTGGGAGAAAAAATATCTTCTGTTTAGAGAGAGAGAGCTTAGGTTCATCTGCTAGATTAACAAAGCTTCTTTCAATAATGTTTTGAGCAACCTTAAACCTTTCAGCTGGAACATGGACACGATCATTCTCTGTTCCGTTTTACCTCTCTCTCAAAACCCACACCCAAAAATTGAACACCTCATTGTCTATTCCTGCCTTTCTTTTGACTTCTTCAACCTGAAAATACCAATTCAGTGCCTGTTTGGCATTGCTTATTTGGAGCCATAAGTGATTATTTGACATTTTTGAAACCCCAATTCGTTTGGTAAAAGGTTTAAAAATCACTTTTGTGGAATAATTTATCCAAATAAACTGGAGATAGAAGAAAAGCACAATGAATCGAAGAGAAAGAAAAAAAAAAAAAAAAAAAAAAAAAAAAAAAAAACAAACATGACCAGAAAAATAAAAAAAAGATACAACTGAAAATTTGAAAAATTACTTGGCTTTAGTCTATAGCTTAAGTAGTCTTGATGTGGGTTGTAAAAAAGAAAAAAAGAAAAAATCTCAATAATTGAAGTAGCTTTTTCACGTCTCTAAACATCTAAGAGTTGAACCTCAAATTTTGGGTTTTCATCATCCTCATCCCAAGTGTCTTCTTGGGACTTGGGCTTGGCACTATTCTTGTTGCTGAATCTGTCGCATATCTGATATTCCTGTTTGGCTGGTTGGTCGGCTTGCCTAGTAGACTTCTTTGTAGCGATTCGGTCGTTATCCCAAAGCCCGTAGCATTCCGCGGTCATAAGGACCTCTGCCAGAGTCTAGTTGGGAGTGATAGTCAGCTGGAAGTATAAGTCGTGCTCAGCTGCCAAGCCCTTCTTGAAGGCTGAGGACGCGATTCAATCATCGCACCCCACCATGTTTGCCTTTTCTGTCTTGAATCCCTTAACGCAGTCTTGAAGGGATTCATCGAACTTCTTGCAGATTGAACAACTATTCAAGGTTCTTCTTGATCATCTGATTAGAAGTATATTCCTTGATGAAGACGTAGGCTAGCTCCTTGAAGCCGCTGATTGACCTAGATGGTAGGGTATGGAACTAATCATGGGCTGCCTCTCGCAAAGTCATGACAAACACTTTGCACATCAAGTGTCGTCGGCCTTGTAGAGAAGCATAACCCTTTTGAAGTGTTTCAAATGGCTCTCGGGATTGGAATCCCCACAATGATGTTTGTGGGTTCCTAAAGCATTAAAATTTTAAAAATTCCAGAGGTAATCCAATTCTGCAGACTTGTATATCAATATAATTTTTTTTGCCACTCAATTTCAGTTGAGAGTGTTCCATCTAGATAGGCCAAACTTGGGGTTGAAGGAAATTGCACAAGAGTGCAAGCTGAACTGGGATTCTTCTAACACTGAAGATGGTAGTAGAATATTGAATTTGGGATTCTTCTAACAATCAGGCACTTTACATCCAAATCATTGGCTCATTAGCTTTAGCCCAACTTATTAGGTTTCTAGATCATGCTTGACAAAGGTTTTGAAATGTAATTATGGGCATAGTACAATTTCTCTCTACTTCCATTTGGATAAATGTAACTTTGACAATGAATCTATCGATCCTTGTAATACATGTGGAGTAATTTTTTGAATGAAAATTCTTTATTACGTGTTATCTATTATTGGGAAAGAAGAAATAGTTTTATTTATCATGAAGCTTCAATTTACGGATGAACTATATTGTTATAAGGTGAATTAGAAAATAATAATAAAACATTGATATTTAGTATGACAATGTGCAAAGACTGTTGTTAAAAATGTAACAACAACGTGCATATAAATGTTCTCAATGATGTATTCAACAATGTGCAGAAAACGTTATTGTACACTTATTTCACAACATGTGTGAGGTGCATTTAATGGTGTTAACAACAAGCATTGATATCAACGACGACATGCAAAGCGTGCTTTCGAAAGCCCTAGACCTTTTAACGACATCGGCTTCAACAACATGCGCCACGTGTTGTTAATATCCTTCAACAACACACAATGCGCGTTGTTAAATGACTTTTTTCTTGTAATGCAAGCATAGAAGTTCACTTAGCCCTGGACACAGATAGGTTCGATTTGGTAGAGAGCTCAACCCATTAACCCTTAAAAGTATATGAAGTTAGTAGCAAGGTCTAAAATATCGATGGTATCGAAAATATTGGGAGTCCAAAAGCACATAAATTTCGATGGAAATATCGGGATATTATCAATATCGATAAAAATTGAATAAAAACCGCGAAAATTGTAAGAAAAACTTGGAAATTTTTATTAAAACTTTGGAGGAAGTTTATTTAGTCAATTATCTATTAGTTTATCACAAAAAATTGAAAGGAAATGATTTGCATGATGGATTTAATTTATTTAAGTTGATTATATAGCGAGCTGACAAACACTGTGAGTGTAGGTAATATGTAGTAATTAATGAAAGAAGATTAAACACACCATAATCATTTATATATATAATGATTTACTATAATATTTTACGCTTTTTACATTGCATGGTAAAATACATGAGTGACATAGTACGACATAGAATTCCCCTTTGCGTATTATCACAAAAACATAAGTAACATAGTGGTTAAAGTGTTGAAGGAGTGTAATGGTAGGGGTTCGAATCCCCTTTGAATGTGTTTGTTTTTTTTTTTTTTTTTTTTTTTTTTTTTTTTTTTTTTTTTTCATTGATATTTTCGATATTTTCGATATTATAGCGATATTTTGACAAAATATTGCTAAAGTGTGCGTGAAATTATCGACATCGATATTTTCCGATATTATCAATATTTATTCGATATGTGTATGGATACATTCCGAAATATCCATGACTTGAAAAAATAATAATATCCTTGATATTTTGTCGATATTATCCTTGATATTTAGTCGATATTATCAATATTTTAAACTATAGTACGCAATAGACAAGGAAGTTCAGTAGAGCTGACTTCATGTGATTTCAACAGTAAGGTTCAAAGATGTGTTCCTTGGAGTGCAAGGCTGATGGTATCTTAGAGCATTTCCAGCAAGCAGGCTGGGGGGAGGGCTGGGGGGGGGGCTGGGGGAAAATGCTGTTTCCAGCAACACAAAGCTGCCAGGGCAAGGAGTGGGGCCCAGCTACCTGGGCTGGCCCGAAGGGGAGGCTGGCCCGAGCGCCAGCCCGGGCAATCTGACGTCAGCGCTCTACAGTGCCGCTACAGTGCCCACTACAGTGCTTTTTTTGTCCAATAAAAAAATGAAAAAAATCGAAAAAAATACCCAAAAAATACTGAAATTTTTTACTCTTCACTTTTAACACCAGCAGCCAATATTTTTGTAATAAAAAATTGAAAAAAATACCAAAAAATTACTTCTTCTTTATTTATTTATTTATTTTCTCTCTATACCTTATTTCCATTTTCAACATTTAAGTAAATGTCTTTGTCCTTTTACTTTTATTTATTTTTATATTACTCCATTTACTTAAGTTTACAATGTAAATAAGGAAGTACCCCCCATTTGGATTCAAATAAAAATACTAGAAAATCAAATTCCCACCAAATCAAAATATGAAAAATCGTTTTTAGTGCAAAATACGATTTAGGCTAAAAATGATGGCTAATTAAGTCAATATATACTTCATATTAAAATCCCATAAAATCAAGTTTTCTTATTTGATGTGTAAGGAATAAAAGCCGCCAAAAATTTTCTTGAGAAAATGATTATTTTGAAAAACCATTTTTCATACTTAGTCAATATTGCACCTCCGCTAAAAATCTTGAGAAAATGATTTTTCATACGTAGGAACCCAAAAATCTTATCCGAAAATATTATACAAATTAATTGTTGAAGTAAACAAAGTTGTGAAAAAAACAAAAAAAATGAATAGTATTTGCCATGGCAAGCCTTGCATTGCTGGAAACACAAATTTTTTTTTGCCCTAGGGCAGCCACTATTCACGTGAATAGTACCCGCCCTAGGGCTCCCCTTGCCATGGCAAGGGGCTAACTGGTGGAAGTGCTCTTAAGATGACTCCAAATTGCATAGTATCGATGCTTTGTACAACTGGATGTTGCCAAATCCTAGTATATTTTCGGTTGCAGCCGCCCCTTCTAGATAGACTTGAGACTTGACGATGACCTTGAGTATTTGATTGTTCTCAAATTGATTTGAGTGAATCACATGAACACATGTTGATCTAATTTTAGACATTAACCACTCTCTTATTGCATGACAAAGATAATTATTGGCACTTTCAAACTTGTTTTACCTGATATAAATATGGAAATTTTGCTACAATGATATGATATGAAACTTATGCTAAAAAATTGCTTATTATTTTTTTGACGTGCCCTGTGGATGAATTATTGGGGATTTAACAAAGGCAAATCTGATGTGACATGGTGGTTAGCAAACATGTGTTGGGCCCGGCCTAACGTGTTCACCTTGCCTTCTTAGTTTTCGTTAGGTTCAAGATATGCAATCAATAGATGGTGAGAGTCTCAGAGTGCTATATATAGATCATAAATGTGAACTTTTATATTAGCCGCTAATAGTAACTTCATTTAAGTTTAAAGAAATGATTATGTAGCTAATATGAAGTCACACATGAGAGGTGCATATATGTCACTCTCACTATAGAATTTCACATAAATATTCAATACTTATCATTTCTCTACACACATTTCTCTACACATGGCCTTTCTTTTGACTTCTTCAACCGGAAAATACCAACTCAGTATCGTTTAGCTTTGCTTTTTTAGAGCCATAAGTGATTATTTTGACATTTTTGAAATCCCAACTCGTTTGGTAAAGGGTTTAAAAATCACTTTTGTGGAATAACTTATCCAAATGAACCGGAGACAAATGAAAAGCACAATGAATCGGGACAAAAAATATATCTTTCTTATGACCACGGTTGAAAATTATAATTCCCTCAAAATTTGAGAATTTACTTGGCTTTAGTCTGTAGAGCTCAAGTAGTATTGATGTGGGTTGTAAAAAGGAAAAATGAATAAATCTAAAAAATTGAAGCAAGAATCTCTTTCACGTCTCTAAACATCTAAGAGTTGAACCTCAGATTTTTGTATTTCATTTTCCTCATCCCAGTTGGTGGTCTGGTAGTAGGTGGCACATAGGATGAGCCGCACCAACCCAGAAATTGATCCCAAACCATTGGGAACCAACTAAAATTTTTCAAAGAAAATGGTTATGCACTCTTCTTTTTGAAAATAAATATAATTTAATAAACGTGTACGTACTTGAAACAACAAAAATGTATAGAGAATTACCAAAATGTAGGGATCAGATTTGATGAGTGCATAGATGAGCCAGACAATTCCATTGCAGAAGTTAGCAAGAGAGAGGGTAAACGGCATATATTTCACACTTTTTGTCTTTATGACCATTTTCTGCCACCCAAAAAGTAAGATATATAAAGTCGTGGTGAATGATTTTCTACCCTTAGACGATGATTCATCCAATGATTTTCAACCTTTAGACGATGATTCATCCAAAGGTTAAAAATGTGTGTCAATTTATGTGGATTTTTGTGAGTCCCCTGATCCCGACTAAAAAATATTTAAGACACATGCAATATCTATGCAACATAATAGTATATGAAAATGACTTATTTCTACATACCATGATTGTCAAGGGTGAGGCGTACATAATGATGTTGAAGACAATGCACAAGATGCCAATTATCATAGACCGGGCTTTAGTGGTATGGAGAAAGTGCAGGGTGACGAAAACCACAACAGGAAAGAAGATAACTTCAACCAGAAGAGCAATAAGGATCCTTCGCTGCAAAGGAAATAAGGATATATAGAAGTTTTAATAAGGTATTAGCATTCCATAGCTCATGATATTTCACTTCTTAGTAGTATTACGTACTCGTTTTGCGTTAGAAGAGTATGTTAAGAAGATGGCAATGTAGATGAGTTCGATAACGAATCCACAACCGTTGATTGTAACGACAAGAACGCTATCAGGATGGACGAAGGGCATGCCATAGAAAGACCACATAGCACAATTGAGCAATGTTGCTACATAAGGATCTGCCTTGAATTCTCCTACTGATTTTTGCTTGATTATTTTCAAAAATGTTGTGCTGCAGTATTTTCATAATTCATCACATAACATAAGATCTTTGTAAATGCATAGATTAGAGATCAGAAAAAGATAAAGACAAAGAGAAAGGAGCTAGAGCTTACAATGGGGAGGTAAACAAAAAGAAAGAGATGACATTACCTATGAGAAAAAAGGAACAAGAAAAAACAGTATAGGTAAGATAAATGTGAGAAGAAATAACCGTATCTTTCTCACTGGTGTAGTGTCACCAAAATAGTAATGCCAGAGAGCTAGATTGAAAATAGAGGAAAATAAACGGAAGCGCTAAACGAATAACTGACCGATAAGGCCTACAATGATTCTGATCGCTTCTAGATTCACCATTTTTACGTTTAGCGGAGAATCAAAATGTGGTGAATGTTTTCTTGGTTGTTACACAAAACGAAGAGGATTTTTTATATCGTAAGAACGGAGATGATATGAAGACTACTTGGGGTTTTGATGAGGTTTAGATTGAAAACTTAGAATTATTTAAAGGGCCATTCTGAATTAGAAATTTATTTTTAGCCATATCCACAACAAAATGTGACACATATGGGTGTAAGTGACCTGCCTCAAAGTGTTGTATTGTTAGATCAGGTGTGGTTGTAAACTGCCTTCACTCGCAAAAGATTGTTCACAGAGATGTAAAAGACATGGTGCTGGACAAGACACCGATTTTGGGTGAAGCTCCTGATCCTTTTTGTTATAACAAATGGATAATTTTGTTCCCACGGAGTTTTGTTTCCAATGTTAATATAATTTGTATACTTTTGCTTATATTTTCCGGCCCCCCAAACTTCAAATCTTAGCTACATCGGTGCTTTACAAATCGAGATTGATTCCTCTTTTCGTACATTAAAGTAGTTTAGAGTATCATTTTTGACATTTAAAAAAAATGGGTGATAACCTAATACAACATGTAGCTGCAGCCAATTGGTCAAAACCATAAAATTTTCCTGCCCTTGTTAAAATATGTCAACCAACAGTGACAACTTCCTACTGTGGAGGATGATTGTTGTTTTTTTTTGCCTTTTTTTTGGTTTTTGAGAGATGATGACGAAGTTGCTAGGAAATTAAGATAAGAAAAGGACCGTCCATGCTTATGCTTGAATTCAAAGAAAGAGGGTGGCAAGTGGGGCTGATCATTGCTGTTTGTTTCCCGGGAAAATTCACACCTGTCTGTGGAAATTCGAGCTGTTACATATTTATAGAGGGAGGTCTCTTTCAGTGTTGCCAACAGCTAACTAAACCTCCACACGTCGACACATACACCAACAGAGATAGAAAGATGCAACTCAAATGATAGTAAAATTTCCTAACTTTGATGGTTACACATTTTGCTTTTGCTTTCTTTTTTGGTTGTTGTTTTCTTCTTCTCTTTTCGAGTAGGACAAGTGCACATTATTGCAAATGAACGAAAGTCGTTTTGTTGTATTTGTTTTCAAGTAATAAATTTTTTTAAAGGCAAATGGAAAAAGGGTTTATTTAGCCTCTTGTTTTTCATTCAAGTCCCATTTAAACAAGTTTTCAAAGATTCAGGGCTCTCATGGAATTTTTATTTATTTTTACCTGAAGAAGCACTTTTACTAGAATGTCGAAATTTTTATAAAAAATTCAAGTATTTCTTGAAGAATATTAACATTTTAAAAAATATCGGCCAAATGCAACTGCAAATGCATTTTGTGAAAAAGGGTATTGACTGACAACCTCAACGAAAAAAGTAAAATCATGAGATAAAATTGAAAATTACTAACCCCCTCCATATTCGTGAATGCACAGAAGCACACAACAAACCAAAATTTATGTTAAAAAATGGATCCAAAAGGAGATATATGTAAGGAGATTCATCATTATACATAATATAGGAGTCCAAATTATAAAACAAAAACTCTATATAAAATAGACTTTAAAAACACACAAAAAATCTATTTACAACATAACAAAAAGAACTTCTTTTAAATTACAAAACTGTCATTGATTTCTTAAAACAAACACAACCTCAAAACCTCATAAAAAAACTTAAAACACTCAATAGGACAACAAAGTAATTTAATAATCAAAATTTGATACAATAAAACCAGCTGTCATTTTTTTGGTGTTTTTTGTGTTTGTTTATAAAAAATAAATAGTGTATGATTTATTTATAGTTTTAGTATTAAGAATGAGTATATGACTAAATATCTCTTATAAGCATGCTTCAAATTCAAAAGATAAATCGTCCGTGTACGTAGAGAAACTTGTTTATACCCCGACAACATGACTCGATTTTTTTGGTACTGTTACTTATTCCCTCTATCAATAATACTATGGCTCTTTTCTCAAAAAAGATAAATAGCAAGACACAGCACAAAAGCCATTAATATCTTTCTCTCGAACAAAGCATACAAAATGAAAAGCAAAAACTAATAATAATACTTCCACCATATGTTATCAAACACGAGACCAGCAGAAACATAACTAACTTTCATATTGATCTCATCTATTTATATTATATAATATATATATATATATTTATGTTGTAATTTTTATTAAAAATTAAATATCACACCGAAGTCTGTGGAAGCTTTGAACCCACCACCTTACCCTCTTGACTCAACCCGCTGGCCACTCGCAATTCACCGCCAACTGCCGGGGGACCCACAGCTTGGTACGCCTGCTGCTGCGGTGGCTGCATAACCCCACCTCCTGGCGCAGTATAGTACACCTGCCTCCCCGTCACGCTATCGTACGCCATCTGAGTATACGGCGACGCCTCTGCGTACGTCGCCACATATTTTGGGGGCTGCGGAGGCAGAGAACTTGGCTGAGGCTGGGGAGGCAGAGAACTTGGCTGATGCTGCGGCGGCAGAGTACTTGGCTGCTGCTGCGGCGGCAGAGTACTTGGCTGCTGCTGCGGCTGTGGTACCACATTGTACACCGGCTGTTCCCGGTAAACTTCAGACCCCATCCGCGGCTGCATGTGGTAGTACCCTTGACCGGGCGGGCCGGTCACCGGTCGCACCATTGGCGGCGGCGCGTGATACATACCGCCGCCTCCGGTGGTGGCTGTGATCATGTACATCGGCTGTTCAGGTGCGGCCGTCCCTGGAAACCCCACACTCGGGACCTGCTTCTCCGCCCAGTACCCCGCCGGCGGCGGCACCGTCACCGGAGGCGCCTTCTCTGGAAGTTTCTGTACGTAATAATCTCCGGCACCGCCGCCATACCCTCCGACGAGATTCTCGTCAACCTGTCTCCGATACATGGCTTGCTGATGATCTTGCTCTGCAATTTGTAGCCTCTGCAAATGCCTCTGGAACTCCACCGGATCCGACCCGACCACCCGGTCACCGTGACCCGACCTGACCTGGAATTCTGGTGGCGGCGCCACGTGTTCCGGTACCACAGGCACCGCGGGCGGAGGAGGCGGCACGACGGCAGCGACGCCTCCCTTTTCCAAACCGAAGAGAAAGTCGACGTTATTTTGGACAGGAGGCTTGGAATTCGAGTCGGGTCCCTGGGCGGGACTGGAATTTAGAGCTTCAACGAACCGATCCCTATCGGATCTTCCACCATCCGACCCGAATCCGCCGTCGGGGCTGGCGTTAAAGAGGAACAATCTCATGCGGACAGGCCTAGCGGACGTCCGGTAGACGCGATCGTACTCGTGCATCATGTGCTCCAAGTCGTCGTCGTTGGTGACAGAGATCAGGGCGTCGAGGTCTTCGCCGGGGAGCTGGTACTTGAACGACACGTCGGTTTCGGAGAGGGAGGAGAGCTTGGAGACGAGAGCGGCGAACTTGGTGCTGCGATCGACGGCGAGGATCTTGGTCTCGCCGCCGACGTAGCAGAGCTGGTTGTCGTGCGGGCGGGGGAGGATCTTGCCGCCATAGCTGCACATGAACTTGACTTTGTAGTTCTGGGACTGCGAATTAGCTTGGTCGACGTCCCATGGCGGAGGGTTCTCGAAATCGATCTCGCGGGAGCGAGGGGACGAGTCGCCGGATTCCGGGTAGGAGCTATAGGAGTAGTTCTCCATGGCTATGACGACGAGAGCTTGAGAGAGAGAGTGGTTTACTGGATTTGTGAGTCCATGATGAGGAGGAGGAGGAGAAAGAGGGAGGGTTGGAGAAGACTTGGCCGATCTTTTATTTTTGTTTGTTTTGGCGTTCAATAGGATGACTGGGACAGGTGGCGTTTTTAGATTGGGTAGTGGATGGTGATGTGAGTGGGGGATGGACTTTTGGGGCTAGGGTGGGGGTCACCTAGCCTGTATTCAGGGGAGGGAGAGAGAGAGAGGAGATAAGAGAGTGATGTGTTGACTGGGATTGGACTAATAATAAGGGGAGTCTCTCTTTGCAAATGCCAGTGAGTGCTAATTGAATGTATTTCAAGAAAGATGAAAGTTACATATTCAACAAATGAAATAGTAAAAAGTGAAAGACAATGGAGACATTTGATAGTTACCCTAAATTTTAAATTCTAAACTCTAAACTCTAATGCCGCGTTTGATATTGGATAGAATTAGACTGGAGTAGTTTGGATTAGTAAAATGACTTAAATCTTGTTTGAAATGAAGGAAAAAATGGATGTTTGTCTTTTAACTTGAAGGATTAAGGTAGACTATTCATAAGAGATAAGTTTTTAGTCATCAACAACCTCTTATGAATAGTCAACATTAATCATTCAAGTCAGAAGAAAACACACATATTCTTCTTTTACGTTAGAAATAAAAATTTATAAGTCTTTTTTGGGGTAAATTAATAATTTAGTAATAAAATATGGCAGCCGTTCAATGTATGCTCATCTTTGAACTTCAATGACCATGCCTTCACCATGCCCCAAATTAAGGTCATAACTGTTTCCGGAATTTGAGAAAAAAAAATTATGAAATTCTCATTTCAAAATATGGTGTATATTAATCGACAATGGCAATGTCACATTTTCTACCCTCTCCTGCATGTTGTCTCTTCAGTTGTACCTAGAAGAGGCATTCTCTCACTTGATTATGAAAATAATTATGTGGCTAGACAATAAAGTTTGCATACTTCTCTACATACTCTTTTAGAATTGCACTGAGCAACTGCTTCTGCAAGAAAAAAAATGCCGCCATGGGTGCCTTTTTCAGCACAAATACTGCGAATGTTTGCGAAAGTGACTGGGAGGAGAAGACAAGCAACTCCATCATCCACAAGAAGCAGCTTGTTGCTTGTAAGAGAGAGTCATGTAGTTGCGCCAAGATTTTTAGCAAGTGTAAAGTTATCTTGTAGGGACTTATACGTGAAAAGCCCTCGTATCAATCTTAGTTTATGTTTATAAAAATACGAGAAGCGTAACATTTACATTACTTTTTTCCTCCAATAGATTCGTTAAAATTAATTAAATTTAGCCAAGTGGGTTTTGATCAGATCCATAAAACAGTAGAAGAAATTTGATGCAATCATATGAGTTGTCCGATCCAAATTGATTAATATATCATTTCTGGTGTAAAGGTCCATTAGACATGAATTACGGCAAGAGCTATGATTCTTTGGGCATGGTGGAGGCATGGTGGTGGAGGCATGGACTTCTATAATAATGAATGCTCATTTCTCGTACATTAAATTCATTAAAAATCCTGTGCTGTTCATTTCTATATTATTTGTGTCCATGTCAAAATAATCTCATCAAAATATATTCAACATGGTGTAGCTTCTAGTTTATTGGCTAAAGGGTACATTTAGTAGCAAAAACACTTTCTTGTGACGGAATAGCACTATTTTGCTATCTTCGGCCAATAATGCAGTGACATGTAGAAAAGTTATTCCGCATGTCATTGCGCTATGAGTCGGAAATAGCAAAAAATATTATCCCCGTTGCATAAAAATCTCTCTTACTTAGCAGAGTAATTATAGTGTAGTAATATTATGATCAGAATGTATAACTCGGGTATGTGTTGTAATAATATAAGTGGATATTAATTGATGTTATAACTTGAAAGTGAGAAATCTTAACCCAATCATTCATCTATATTATATCACGTGAATAAATTATATTATGTAATCATATTTCAATACCATAAAATAATTTCTTCATTTAAATATCAGCTAGTTGATTCTTGATTTACTATTTATACACCCATACCTAGAATGTTGGCCATCAAAACCAAGAAACTGTTAGCTATATACTATTTTTGTCCATTTATGTTCATAAATAGCTAGAGTAGGGAGGGATTTAATTTAATGTTTCACTGGGTAAGATTAATATAATAATGGGTTGCATGATGAGCATAGAAAAATGTTAAGAATAATATAACTGTTAACAGCAGGAACAATAGTGTTATTATCTGTAATTGACAGTGAGACACCTAGATTTTGTAGTTGCATCCGCAGTTTCTTTTTTCAACTGCTTGTTTTCAAGTTTACGACTCCCAGATTCTTAATTGTTTGACTAAGTTAACTTCAGAAGGCAGGAACCAATAATGAAATGTTTTGACTATTAATAGTGCCAGGCCTCATGGGACGTTTCCAAGTAACCCTATTCAAGTTTTAAGTTAAGCGAGTCGATTGTCAATGTGAGTTCGTTTTCTTGTACTCAAAATTATAAGAGGGATTCACTATTATACTTAATTTAGGAGTCCAAATGATAAAAATACCATATATGAAATGGACTTTAGAAACACATTCAAAACTTATTTACAATATAACAAAGAGACTTCGAACTTTCTATAAATTACAAAATTGCCATCAATTTCTTAAAACTAGCCCAACTCCAAAACCTCATAAAAACCCCGCAACACTGAATATGACATTAAAGTAATTTAATAATCAAACTTAAATTCAACAGGGCCAACTATTCTTTTTTGATTTTTTTTTGTTTGTTTATAAAAATGATATGATGTTGGGTTTATCCATATCACTATTACTAAGAATAGGTATATAAATAAATACATCAAATTATAATACGGCTTTTAAGATAGAAAAATGAAACGATTTCATTATATATATATATATATGTGTGTGTGTGTGTGTGATTTCTAGTCTTAAAAAAGTACAATTCTTATCCATAACCATAAGGTCATAAACTTTTTCCATAAATAATATTATCTTCTTTTTTTTCAAATTCAATGTGTGGAAAGTGTTTTCCAACACTTACAGAAGTATCATGCTATTCGAATTTAACTCCCCATCCCCTTCAATGGCGAACTCAGAATTTTTTTTTCTATGTAAAAAAGATAAAATACAACATATGACCGTAAAAAATTGTTGAATTGAATGTATTACATGGTTTAGCTGTAATAAGGAGCCACTGTTCTTCCTTCCTTCTCCTCTTTTCCCCAATTTTCAGAGACAGAAGGTTGTCTTCATTTTATAATGATTTTCCTTCACTCATCACAAGTGGGTGTGTCTCGACGTCGGATCTCCACATTCGTTTTGGTGTCAGATCTCTACCACCATCATTTTTGTGATTTTTTCATGTTTGGAATAAGTCACATAGACTCTTTGTATTTTATGTGTAGTTTTCACCTCTCTTTTTGTGAGTTTTATTTGTATTGTTATGACTTGGTTTTTTCAAACTTGATCTATTTTTGGTTGTTCTGAGTTTGCACTCTTAGTTGGCATGCCTATACAAGAATTCCTTCAATCCTACGTGATTGCTAGTGGAGGAGCTCTTCAGATTGTTTTAATTTTGATGTTAGAGCGCTCCGTTATTGTAATGGTCCTTTGTGACTAGTGGCTTTTTTTGCTGAATTATGAATGCAATCTCATAATTTCTATAAATAAAAAAATAATTGATAACATTTACAGTAAATACATTTACATTTGTCCTCTACGAGTTTTCATGTTTTGAAAAAGTTGTACTATAAAGTCATTATCAAGGTCATTAAAGATGTATTTCTCAATATATACAACTAAGCTATCATTCATCAATTGATCTCTCATTCGATTGCGCCACCGATTCTTAATAAAGTTCATACCATAGAATGTCCTTTCTATAGGAGTTGTAGCAATTGGAAGTACTAATGCTAATGTTATGAGCAAATAGACTAATGGATATACTTTCAGTTTTCCTACCTCAACTAATTGTTTTGCCAAGATCAGAAATTCCATCTGCCTTACTTCTCATTCACTCTTCCTTCTATGTTCTAAACTTACGCCAACGGTCGGGATGCAGACGTTTCGCTTGCCTGTACCATGGATCACTGAATTCGGTCATCTTACTCCCCACGAATTGAGATCTAGTGAAACCTCGCCAACGTCGCGACTTTAATGACAAAACCAAGGGCAACTTGGTTTGGTTCAGATGTTGCGATTGTTTTTCTCCATAACTGAGCCGATCGAAACCGATGGTTGGAGGTAGTTCGGTCGGCAATTGATGGATGGAGATGAGCTGAATCGAACTGTATCCACCCATATTGTCGTTTGGTTTGCTTTTGAGTTTTTGGGTTAAGAGAGATGTAAAAAGGAAAATTAAAATACAATGGGCTTATATCTCAAGTGGTTGGAGAATTTACCTTACACCTGAGGTCTTAAGGAAATTAGAATAACAAATTACCGTTAGCAGCACTAGAGTAGTGTGCGTGAAAAAACCCACCTTCCTCCTTCCTCCTTCCTGACTTTGGCCAAAAAAAGACTAAAATAAAATAAAATAAAACTAATATACCATAACGAAAATAAAAAGAATATTAAAGCGTATCGTACTCACAAAACACAGAAGTAAAGCCAACGACAAAGAAATTGAAGGTTTTTTTTTTTAGTGGGAAACAAAAATTGAGGTTAATCCTCTCACCTGAACAAAGGCACCTCCTGACTGGTCAAAGAAATATTCAAAACAGTAACCTATTTAATTTGATTCATTCTCTCTTTCTTTCATGTGCATTTGAAAGTAGAATAATTCTAGTAGTGACTCTGTCATCACGTTCTTCCCATGCATTTTTTTGGTCATAAAGGAATGAACATTGTCATTACGTAACAACATTGTGTAAAAGCCCAATATAAAAGTCAGACAAATAAAAACTAGGGTTCAACTAAACAGAATAAAAGCTCAATCCAAGCGCAAATAATTCAGGCCCAAAATAACAAAAAAGCCCTAACAAAAAGACTACCTAAAATCAGACCTTACACTGTCACTGTTGTCGTCCCCGTTGTCACTGTTTTATTGTCTACACTAGTTGACAAGAAGCTGACAAGACAAAGCAAATGTAAAGACACATAGTGCACAGCGAAGAACAATTCGTCACAGAGATGGTAAGGCTGTTAATACTATAAGTTGAGACAAACTTAAACGGCGTTTCTATGATCACTGCCCCTCTATATATCTTTGAAGGAGACAAATTATGGAGCTCTTGGATTTGGAGCAAGGTATTTTGATTTGAGTGTGGCTGAGTGCATAGAGAGACTTAGGAAAATAAATCAAAATCGTGTTTGACAATGAGACAAGGACCGCGAAACACACACGCACACCAACAACACGACGATATATCGTGGTGCACCCAAATGGGCTACATCCATGTTGAGTTGTATGGTTGTTTTCACTATAGTAAAATGTTTTTACATTGAGAGCCTTTGAGAGTAAAATGAGAGTGAAATACAACTTAGGTTACAAATGAAAGGAGTGTTACCTTAAATAGGCAAGGCTTGAGCCATCCATTGTGGGCTTCCTTGGGGGCTTGGGCTTCATGTGAGCTTAGTGAGCCCCAAACTATGGTACCAATAGTGGTCCTCCAAGTCTTCAGTCAATGGTCTCTTAGCTGGGGACGTGAAATGTAATGATTGTAATCCATATGCTTGCCGAACTGAGCAGTCTTGTCGACCGGAGGGTTGTGTGGACTGGGGGGTCGTGGAGCGGGTTGACTGAAGAATCATGGATAAGGCCGATCAAAGAATCACAGATCAGTTTCGACCGTAGGGTCGTACTAAGGGCCATTTTAGTATTGCTGTCACTTTTTAAAAAAAGTTGCTAGCTTTGAAAATTTCTTCTTAAAAAACCGCTTATAGCAAGAGTGCTTATTGGCAGATTCACTTCCAAACAGACCGAAAAATAAACGAAACTCTAAGCTTTGGAATGTTCATAAGTCGGTACATAATTTCATAATATTTCTTCTTCACATTTTGTTCACTCATATCCGTTACTGAATTCATGGAGCTACCGTCTTTACGTTTCTTGTCAGCTTTTACGTACAATTTAACGCAGCGTTAAAAAAGAGAGAAAACATCGTCATCATTGAGATCACCACCAAGGCTCGAAGGCATCCCAAATTGAAGTGGCCATAGCTCATCAAGGACGCCAGCGTAATTGAAAGCGACAAGTGGCTCTCTCTCTCACCCACCTCCCACCGTCTCTGTGACTATAAACACACTGATACTGACATACTGTTCCCAAATTTGGTCGATTTTCTGCTGAATTTTGTTGCTGGTGAAAATGGCGAAGAAGCGTGTGATGGTGGCTGCCCAGAACATCGACTTATCCGCCGTCCAATACGAGCAAGAAGAAATCAAAGGTCAGGCAGTTACAAGTTCACAAACACAAATATAACACTCGTATGAATATGGAAAGTAATTGTCATTGACTTTGATGAATTGGGTTTTTGGATTTGTAGCTCCCCATTTGACTGGCTTAGCTTTTAAGCTGTTTGTGTGGATTGTTGAAGCACCGATCATAGGTTCTTTGATAATCTCATTATTGAAGAAGCAGAACAAGATGACTCAGGTCTGCAAGCCTTTCAAAATTTGTGTTTCTTTATTTTAAATAATTCAATTCCTTATTGAAATGTATCACTATGTGTGAGAATTTAGATAGTAATTAGAAGTGATTGAAAGGGAATTTTCTGTTATTACAATTTACAGTTGTTGCGGAATACTGTGATACCAGAGGCACCCATGTTCAAACCTGAATATCCTCCCCAAGGTTCTCCATTTTTATTCTTTCAATTGTCTTATTTATTTATTTTTGGGTATGAAATGTTTGTTCTTTTCTACTCTTCTTTTATATTGAAAATGGTTGTGAGGATTACTGACCCAGTGAATGTTATGTGAAAATTAGAACCAGAACCTGGTGTTGTTTCCCTTGATGAAGATGGAAAACCAGAAGACAGAGTTGAAGTGGCCTTGAAATGCCTTCCACAGTATGATCCTGCTAGCTGCTGGAATGGGGATTCAACTCCATCTTTCCGGTACTGGAAGATACGCGATTATGCTTATGCTTACCGTTCCAAGATTGCAACCCCATCTGTGGTAAGTTGATCATTTCTTATGATTCTGTATTTTTAACTGAATTACTTTATATGAATTTATTTTCTTATTTTTTTGTTGAGCTACGAAATTCACAGGTAGCGGAGCATATAATTTCAGTTGTCGAGGAATTCAGCACTAAGAAACCCCCACAACCTTTGTTGATTTCTTTCAACCCTGAAGAAGTCAGGAGCCAAGCTGCAGCTTCAACAAAGAGGTTTGAGGAAGGTATTAAAAGAAGAATAATGGCATTTACTGATTGTGTTGACTATGGTAGACTATTCCAGTGGTCAACTATGATGTTCGTTTGTTTTGGTTGTGTAGGGAATCCATTATCTATCTTAGATGGGATTTTTGTGGCAATCAAGGATGATATAGACTGCTTTCCCCATCCATCTAAGGGTAAATAATTATCACCATTATCTTTAGCAGATAAGTTAAAGAGATGAGCATACTTAGGTTCCCATTCTATGATGGCAGGTGGAACAACATGGATGCATGAGGTGCGCACTGTCAAGAAGGATGCAGTAAGTGTTTCGAGATTGCGTAGTTGTGGTGTGATTTTCGTTGGGAAGGCAAATATGCATGAGCTTGGCATGGGTACAACCGGAAACAATTCAAACTATGGGTAAACAATTTTTTTTATAGCAACCATGTTATGGATTTGAACGTGGAGCAGTAAGCATGGACACAACGTGTTTAATATGCCAAACTTGTCTGTATACCTGTACCTTGATGGTGGACACTGGCTATGTATGCTGATGCATGCATGGAAAGCACATGCATTGTTGTGTTAGATGCAGCAGGACCTTAAATAGATTAGTGTTTAGTTGTAGCTTCATTGAAATTAAGAAGAAATGTACATCTTTGTGCTGCACTTCAGTGAACTTCAATATATTATTTGGTCAATCAAACTTATCAAAAGCCTCAAGGTACTGAATTTATAACTCTATATATCAAGAAGATGTGGTTATCCTTGTTGGGTTTACAATTCCATTTAGCACCTGTAGTTAACACATTGATCTTAGTTGACCTTAATATAAAATTTCTTCTGCTCAATATTTATGTATGTATTTATACCTACTTGTTTGTGTAAACCTTCGTACAATGATGCACATGTTGTATAGTGACTTAGCAACTCAGGCTTTTAACATCAGTATATGTTACTTCAAATAGCTTCCCAAGATACAGGGTTTGTAATGCAATTCATCTCGAACCTGGCTGGTTTAAAGTAATGATAAGTGTATTAAACGATTTTGGAGTTATTTTCTTCTTTCTGGATAAATGTAGATTTCAGACAGACTATTGGTCTTTCTATTGTATACCTGAACGGTCAATCTGTAATATCACTATTTTTTTAATCTCTTGTTTACACTTAATTCCCTAATTCTTTTCCAGTATGGACATCTTTCGATTTTGAATATGATGTATTTGTCCCGTGTGCTTATCTTTGAACTTTGAACTGTGAACTGATAAAGTTTGTTGGTTTACCACTATTCCCAAAAAGCTTAAGTTTTTACGATATGGGCCAACTATTACCGGTTTTTTCTAAGGAAAACTTTAGGCACTATTTGCTTCTGCAAAAGAGATAAATACGAATAGCTTTGTTTTTTTTTCTTTTTTCCTGGTTTCACAATTAGCTTGATTTTCTTACTTGAGTTTTATAGTACTGATTTATTTTCCTCAATTTTGCTTCCTTAGAACTGCGAGAAATCCCCATGCACCAGAAAGGTATACAGGTGGATCTTCTTCAGGCCCTGCAGCAATTGTAGCTTCTGGGCTATGCTCTGCAGCCCTTGGAACTGACGGTGGAGGTTGTGCAAAAGGATTCCTTGAAAGGCTTAATATTGTTTCTTATTTCACTTTCTACAAATTCTGTATGCTTAACTCAATGTAAAAAGGCAGGTTCAATCCGTATTCCTTCTTCGCTGTGTGGTGTAGTGGGCTTGAAGACAACATATGGACGAACAGATATAGGAGGGTGAGTTCTTTCACTTTTAGATTGAGGTTGAACATTATTTCTGCACTTTATGCTGCAGTTTTCCCCTATTATGGCCCTCCACAAGTTTAATGTTGAATGAATTCCTACTCTAGTTTATCTTTTAAGACAGCATCTTGAGCCAAAACGCATACACCAAGTAATACCATTTTGAATGGATCTACTATGCTAAGCTCATCAATTGCCAATGCAAAAAGATAGAGCTTAATGCCACCACTAGTTCTCGGACTAGCAACCGGGGCCTCGTACATATATTTGGTACCATTGGCATTTTGAAAAGGGCTGTTTTCTGTTCTAGGACTTACCACATTATTCCCAAGGGAACTCTATCACAATGTCTTATAAGTCGGACTGTATAAAGATTTGTTTTTCTCTGTTTCCCATTAACAATCTGATTAGGAAAAATAGGTTTCAGTGTAGATCTTCCTCATGTGACACCAAATTGAACCATGGGCAAGTTTATTCATGTTTTGATATATGCTTAATCTCTCTCTCTCTCTCTCTCTCTCCCTCTCTAACTTTTATAGTGAAGCTTATAAGTTTTATCCTATGAAATTAATATGTTAACTCATTAAAATTTCGATAATTCCAATTCAATAGACAAGAAACAAGGCATCACACTTGATGTGATTATGGGATATTGTGACATCTATGTCATACCAAATATTGATTTATTGATTGTCCACTTCTTTTTCGGCACAGGTCATTATGTGATGCAGGGACTGTGGAAATTATTGGACCAATTGCATCTACAGTGGAGGATGTCATGCTAGTGTAAGCAACCATCCTTGTGAACAGGTTCTCCATTACTCTGGCTGGTGTTTGATTCCAGCCTTCTCATGATGTGTGATAAACTTCCCATATTTGCATGTATTTCTTTTCATTCATAATTGCAGTAGACCAAAAGTTTGCTGAACTATTATTCAAGGTTCACAAATTTCAAATTGAAAATGGACTCTTAGAAGTTTATGTTTGTAAGCTGGACTGAAATTGCCAAAGTACTATTCAGATGTCCCGGTTATATTTAACGGTTTAGATTTCATCTGTGATCTATAGAAATGTGAATTGGATAGCAATGTTAGATTGCATAACATGTAATGATGAGCTGATTTGCATATATAAGGTTGGAGTTCCACTGAAAAACTGAGTAAAATGTTTCTTCTTCAAATTAAGCAAGTAATTTCTGTTGCGGTCTTTAAATAAAGAGTCATATAAGGATAGCCAACAGCTGTTTGTTACAAAAACAGAGCCTACCACTATTTTATTTCCAGAAAAAATAATAGCCGCAGCTCTTCATTCCGAGCACAGTCCATCTCGTGCTTGTGCTGTACCTGGCTGTCCTACCAGCAGTCAAATGATCTTCATGTAAAAATTACTTGTTCATTTCCTCGAACTGATCTGAGAATCCACAGTAAACATGTTGTTGGCGGAGATTCAAAGTCTTTACCATGTTCTGTGCGCCAAGAATGATGAATGCTGGTCTGTGTAGGGGTCCAAATCTGTAAACATGAGGTCTTGTGATCCTTCATGAAATTAACCAATAAATTTATCCAATTTCTAGTGATCGGACTGGCAATAATTTATGTACTTGTTATTTGTTAGTAAACTTCAAGTTCCCGTTATGGATTTTCATAGTTTTCAGTTTTGACTCCTTCATGCCCTCATTTCTTTATTTCAAGCTGTGGAAGGACATCACTTGTATTGTTTTTGGGGTGTTGGAAATCAACACATGGCATGCATTACTTAAAGACCCAATTATTGTTATTCTCATCTTTGGTGCATTAGCCAAAGGCAGTAGTCACCTTTGTATGTTACTAATTTTTTCTGACTTAAACAATAACTTATCAGGTACTCGGCAATTTTGGGCACTTCTCATGCAGATAGAATTAGTTTGAATCCGGTAACTTTTGTAAGCCTAATTATTTATTATTTGCGTAAACAATGCACCAAAATAGCTGCATAATTTCCCTTTTATTTTTGTACAATTTTGCTTCTTAAGTCACTTGAATCGAGACCTCATTCTTGACCAATAAATGAAGGTCTATTTACTGGTTGAAAGAAAGCTTGCTGCGTTTAAAAATTCAGGTTTGATAGAGGATTTAAAAGTGTATTGTCAATAATCAATCCATATTTAAATCTAGTCATGAATGGAAATTCACTGCTGAGATAATTTGTTCAATGGTTGAACTATGGTATTTGGTAAGACAGGTTTTGGCTTGTTTGATTCAATTTTTATTAGCCGTTTTACATATTTATTTGCACGTGTGAATTCTCTTAATGTCTTTCAGTACTTGCAATCTTTACAAACTTTCATTCTTGTTCAAGAGTTGGTTAGGCTTCGCTTTTCTTTCCATATCTGACACCAGTTTCCATTCACTATTTTTTTTTGTAGTCCCCACCTTCTGTGCCAAATTTGTCATTTAATGATAGTTTGAATAGTCTGGGATCCTTGCGACTGGGGAAGTATACAGCGGTATTACCCTTTCTATGGTCGATTCAATTGCTTTAGATATTACATGACATCTTATGAATACACAAACACTCTTCTGCAGTGGTTTAATGATGTATATTCAACTGATATCTCCGATAAGTGTGAGGATACTCTTAATCTTCTTTCAAAAACTCATGGTTGTGAAGTAAGTCATCATCATTGTCATTTACTTGATATTTCTCTTGCAATTCATTCTTGCTTCCTAATTTCGGAAATAACTTCTATGTGATCATCTTTTATTGTGATTGAGCTCAGACTGCATTTCCATTTGTGATAGATGGTAGAAATTGTTGTACCCGAGCTCCATGAAATGCGTACTGCTCATGTTGTTTCAATTGGATCTGAGTGTCTCAGTTCACTAAATCCGTATTGTGAGGATGGGTATGTTTCTTTTTGGCTTATCTATAGTGGCAGGGCCAAGAATTTACTTCAGGGGAGGCAAACTTAGATAATATAAAAAATAAAAGGAAATTAACTCATTATATACACAAAAGCTTTAATATTGATGGAGACATTTTCTGGTCATTATAAGTATAAATGTCAATTATGTGTTTCAAATTTTAAAGTATCACATAATAACTTCAGTCTTAATACAATCAAAATTTCTGTAAGATCTTTAATTTCTTTCATTATTAAAACGTCACTACTAACCACATATCAACAGTAGAAGTTTTAAGTTGATCAAGAATCTACTTCAAAAATTTCGTTTCGAATAAACTTGAATAAGTGAATAATCTTTATTTTTGGAAAACATGCATCAAGTGAAATCATTTAAAATTAAATATGTCACATAAGAAGCAATTCAATTCTAATTCGAGTGAAAATTTGTTCAGCCTTTGAAGTTGATAGAAAAATCATGTGAAAAAGAAGTATAAATATACATATAAAAGGAGGCAAAATTACATTTTTAAGAGAGAAAAATTGACGATATAAAAAATATACATTAGATATAGAAAGTATAAAAGTTCAAGAAATGGTGTGAGATTCACATACGAAATGGGTACTGGAAATGGAATGGTCCTTTTCTATCAGTATTTATTTCTGTCTGCTCTTTCGTGTATTTGTTTTTCTTTTTTCCTTACATTTTTTATCTGTAGAAATGGTGCGAGATTGTCATATGATACACGTACAAATATGGCCCTATTCCGATCATTTTCTGCATCAGACTATGTTGCTGCCCAGTGTCTTCGGTGAGGCAAAATGATTACCTGAAAACAATTATATGGCTTTGTCTTCAGTACATGTAGATGCACAAGGGAGTCTGTTTTATTTATTTATTTATTTGTGATGTTTAGTTATTTCATAAATGTAAATATACATATATTTATGTACACTTGTGCAATACCAAGGTAGGGTTAGCAGCACATTGATGTTTGATAAAAATGTTTAGTGGGAAAGTGAAATATTAAAAATATATTACCCTGGTGAATCTGTGATCTTATAATTTTCCATATCTACACTCTAATTTTCATCTAATTTATTTCAGGAGAAGGATTATGTACTATCATATGGAGATCTTCAAGAAGGTTGATGTCATAGTTACCCCCACAACTGGGTATGTAATGGTTACTGATTACAGCACTAATGCGTGCACCTGTGAAAGGATTTTTCCCTGATCTACAACCAATTCGTTTAATGGACCAAATTCAGATGAATTACTATATTTGAATTAAAATTTGGTCCAAATAGGTAATTGACTTATATCGAGTTATTTTGACACTGTCAGATATTACAGGTCTGGATCAGCATATCTGATCCTGTCTTGCCCTTATATTCTTATATAGAAAGCTAAAAATTGATGGTGTAGCATTCTAAATACCTAAATGATTCTCTTGTTTGTATAAACTATAAAGGCACGTTGATGAGAAAGACCTATTATTCATTACTGATATGCATTGTGGAGACAGAATACAGTGCAAAAACATATCAGAGGAATTGTCAAAATGATGTTTTCTGTACTTTTCAGTCGGAAAATAAAAAATATTGAAAACAATAATGCATTTTCCTATTTTACTGTGAAAGATATTCTTTTGAAAACTCTACCGAACAGGTCTTAAACTTCTACAGATATTTTAAGATAGATGTCATCACTAGTCAGTGTTTTTACTCATTTTCTGCCTCTATAGTTAGCTTAGCATTGTTTTTCCCTGAGTACAGGTAGTACTTTTTCCATGAAAAGTTTGAGCTTATGTCATGCATTTTTCCTTTATTACAACTGAAATGATGTTCTTTTCTTTTGTTGTTAACAGCATGACAGCACCCATAATTCCATTGAGTGCTCTTAAAGATGGGGAGACAGACATGCGGGTTACAGGTCTGCTTTTCTACAATCTGAGAGATAATTTTAATTCTTTAATTTCTCTACATGAAGAGTTGTATGGCAATTGCCTGATGAGTATCAAAATGAATGAATTTAAATTGGTTTTCAGCCACACTGATTGGTTGTCATGGCCTCTATCTGCCTCCACGATTTTGTATCCCTGCTATTTGATGTGGTCTTGTTGACCTTTTGTCTTCTACACTCAAAAAAAGTCTTGTCATCAATTAACCAAAAAAAAAAAAAATTGAAGTCTTGTCGCCTATGATTATTATTTTCTTTTGGTTTGTTTTCTAGGTAAGAATTACACTAGGGAAAGGAAAAAAAGAGATGTGATACACTTTTTGCACTTTTTCAAACTTGCATTGATGCACAGCTTCCTTCGTTTCAGGTTATCTCATGCGGTTTGTCATTGCGGGAAATCTTCTCGGACTTCCTGCCATTTCTATACCTGTGAGTAATTTATTTTTTCGTGTGTTTATATCTCAAGTGCCTTAATTTAGTTATGGTTACTTTGGTGTAACTCTTGGTGTACACAAGTTGAGCAAATGGGCTTCCACCTTCCTTCCGCTTTATCCTGTTGTTCTGTCATATGGGAGAGAGAGAGAGAGAGAGAGAGAGAGAGAGAGAGAGAGAGAGAGAGAGAGAGAGAGAGAGAGAGAGATCTTTCTTGAAATCCCCTATTGATTGAGTAGACATCAGTGCCTAAATTTTCAACTTTTACGGCCTTCTAATCAGACTCTCTAGAAGCCCTACCTCTCTAGTTGAAATTGTGGGTAATTATCACTAATTGTTATAGTATTATATGAAATCCTATCCCAGGAAGTTAACCTTTCATAACCATTTGGCCTTTGATTACTCCTACTCTTGCACACCTATATTCAATTGTCATTCCATATCGAAAAGCCATTTCATGTTAGCAAGTGTTCATTTGAAATTACCAAGATTTCACAGGCAGCATACATACACTAGGAGCATACACACTAGGATAGGATTCTTTTAACTGATCTCATTAGTTGGGACCTTGGTTTTTGAGTTTATCCATAAGAGAAAGGTATCTTCGGTCCCTTGTGGTAATTTGACCTAGTCATTCATTGTGTCTTGTTGTTATACTCAAGCCTTGACGAAACAAGAATTTCAAATGTTACAATGACCTTCCTCTTTCGTCTACTGTTTTTTCTTTTGGGCTGATTTTCTACTTTTCTGTACTTGTGTGATATCTGCAGGTTGGCTATGATAAACAAGGATTTCCAATAGGTTTGCAACTGATTGGCCGCCCATGGGGTGAAGCATCAATTCTGCGTTTGGCTTTGGCAATAGAGGTATCAAATTTTCTGAAGTCTTTGAGGGAATGAAGGAAAGAAAATTCTGCAATAGACCTTCAAATGTTTAGGCATTCCGCAAACCGTCTGTAGAAGAAAAGAACAATTTTAATCTGAAGCTTCTTCTCATGTTTTTCAGGAACTCTGTGCGAAGTCCAAGAAGAGGCCTGCATCATTCTTTGATGTCCTAAAATCTAACTAAATAGATGCTTTCACTCTCGAACAGTTTCATGTTTGGAAGACTAAATTATGATATCCTATAATAATTGCCCCCTAGCAGTTTCTTTCAACATAATGCCTTGCCGGACTTTTTTATTTTTTTTTATTTTTAAATATTTATTTTGGTAGAAAGGAGGGAGTTGCCTTCCCTGAAATTATGATAAAGGGGGCACACCCCCTTGGCTAGGAGAAGTTTGAAGCTAGCAATAAGGCTGAATAAAGAATGAAGAGGCTCATAACTGGTAGCTTTCAGATCAACAGCAATTACCAAACCACGAAAAATAGCAGTTCCTTAATAAAAGGTGTGTTAACCGAAAAACGAAGAAGGAAGAATTACCTCCACGTAGTCCCATGAGAACTGAGTGTTTCATTCGTCAAGATCTTGCCATGTGAGAGGGTCCAGAAAAAGGTTCCAATCTTGGGAGACGAGCTTAAATCTTCCACCTAATTGCTTAGGTTGTCTTCAAGGCCTCGATTAGGCATTGCAAGTGCTTTGGAGCCCGCATGATACTACCAAGTTAGCTTTAGGACCATTTGTCATGAACTATCTATGAGGATTTTTATTTTTATTTTTTTTACAAGCGATATTAGGGGAGGGGGGAATCAAACTTAGGATCTTTGGTGCATGTATAAATGTTTTTAATTACTTGAGCTACAAGCCCCTTGCATTTACAGGGATGTTTGAGATGTCGACATAATATGCTTAAGGAGCTTCTATATATGCACCTAGTACGTGGAGAAAATCCCACTGTTATTATGTTGAAGCTCTATATGGTCTTGAGGTGGAGAATTACCAGGTCTGGCTGGGTGATGTAATGGGGTTTAGACAAAATTAGTCCTGCATTTCCTTGAAATAATATCATATTGAACGGTTTTCAGCTTTACTGGAAAATTAAACCTAGATTCCAAAACCTCATACGCATGCTGATTTCCCAATTTGCTCCGACTGCAGAAACCAAAAATTTCACCTGTTTACTCAGTACTGACCATGCATCCGCAGCCTAGAAGAGTAGCCAACATGTCTGAAATTCAAATAGTCCATTCACTACAGGTCATTGCTGAGCAACAAGGTTGAAAAACACAAACAAGGGAAGGACTTGCCAAATAAGCTGGTGGGAGAGGCCAAGCATAAACTGATGTGTATTTTACAAGTTATTCTCTTTAGCAAATAAAGAGGTCTCATAAAATGCAATCTTGTACTCTCTTCATGGACAAACCGGACACCACTTTATGCCTATGAATCTCGGAGTCGTCAAAACACAACAGGATGTAGCATGTAAAGTGAGAAGAGCCTGATATTCCAAGCATGCACAATATCCAATTTGTTCGCAGCTTGTGGCAGCTTTCTTTCTTTCTTTTTAAACTAAATTAGACTTTTCTTTCTCAAGGTTCTCACTAGCAACATCACTAGGGAGATCTAGCCCATCAGGAATCTTTCCTGGATAATTAGTTGTTGAGGAATCAGACCCTGTCATTCTGGAGAACGAAGAGAGGTCATAAGAATCCTAAACAAACAGATGGAATCCCTTTTGAAACTAATGAAACAATCATAAGCTCACCTTCTGTCAACAATGACCATGGAGCGAAGCTCGCAATTTGCAAAGCTGCAAGGACAGTATAGAAGTGATAATGTGATGCTTGATGATTCAGCATTTAAGTCCCTATTTATTTTTAACTTTAGCTAATAAAGTAGGCATGATCCTTTTGAAATATTTACTAAGCTAGTGATTTTTGCATAGAGTGAAAGTCTATATATCACACTTACTGTTTGCACATTTCTTTTTTCGCCAAAGGGTCACAATCATTTAGCAATGCACTTAGTGTGTGAAACAAGAATCCACCATGGGTAACAATTGCTATCTCTTTCTCTTTCCTTGTCGACAACCTGTGAAGTGATGAGAAGAAGGTACCAAACTCATATCAATTCAACTCTTATATTTATGTCTACGGATCTGTCAGAAGTCAGTAAATTTTCATACTTCTCAAAAACTAGGGCTGCTATCTTGACAGCCCATACAAGTTAAATCATACAAGAAAAAGAGCAGTGAAAAAACATTAGGATCTCATGGAGGATGAGATCTTGAAAAGACCTGATAAACTAAAAACCCAAAAGTTTGTGAAGAATAAGGCCTAACTCCAACAACGGCGCATGTGATCCATATAATAAGCTTCTTGCTTCTAAAGGTTACAAGATGAGCTTGATCAAAGCACCTTGTAAACCTTGATAAACTTGGTCTGTCTTGAAGCTGATATTTATAAAGCCCATTAACACATAGCCCCTTTTACCAATCATTATTTAATCACTCATATGCAAGAAAACTGCATTATTCTAGTGCAATCTGGAGTTTCAGCTTTAGCATGTTAACTGATATTGGTTAAGGCCTAAAAGAATCAATAGAAACCCAAGTTCCAATAATGAAACAGGTACTCACCAGTTCAGGAATTTCAATCCCCTAGCTGCAACTTCCTCTTTCAGCTCCCTGACATTTGCCTTCCACAATATATCCTCATCACTTTCTATCTGTGAAATTAATGGGCATTTTGCATGCACATACTGAAAATTAGAAATTAATAACCATCTTTATGAACTGCCACCAAAGATGACAAGTACCATAAATTAAATTATAACCACTAATTCTTCCCCCAGTTATTGTTAACCATCCAATTACTTGCCAGTGAAAAATCAACCGCAGGAAATAGAAACTGATAATCGCTGATGCTCCTCCTGTTATCACAGGGATGAACTCCCTGCAAACAGAAATTTACAAAACACATTTAAAGCCATGAGCGTCAATACAGCAAAGACTATGTATTCTTTGAACTTTTTTTCTTTTAATATGAGAGAAAGTAAAAGAAATAATGCAACAAGTAATAAGCACCAAGTTCAGTATGATTTCAAACGATTTCTCATTTCATGCATAGAAATAAATGAACAAGGTTCTTTTCCATTTCTTCTAATCAAGATCAATAAGAAAATTCTGTCATTCAAAAGTACTTCGAAAACACAAGCCAAGTCAAGCAATGTTACATCACAAGAATTAAACTACCAAGGCACAAATGAAATAATTACTCTCTTCCGTATATATTGAAGATAGCCACTAGGTTTATAACTTGAGATATTTAGTGATATACCCATTCTTAGCACTAATATTATAGATAACCCTCCATCATTGAATTTCTATAAACAAACCCAAAAAAAACCCCAAAAATGACAGCTGGCCTTATTGAATTTAATATTGATTATTAAATTACTTTAATGCCCTATTGAGTGTTTTGGGTATTTTATGAGATTTTGAGGTTGGGCTTGTTTTAAGAAATTTATGGTAGTTTTGTAATTTATAAGAAGTTAAGGCCTCTTTGTTATGTTGTAAATAGGTTTTGGGTGTGTTTATAAAGTTTATTTCATATGGGGTATTTTTATAATTTGGGCCCCTATATTGGGTATATTAGTGAATCTCCCTTATAATTTTCACCAACTGAGGTTTATCAATGCCCCACAATTAGTTGCAAATGATTCACTCACTTTAAGTTAAAATCATGATTAACTGCAAAGAAGACAACATTTTGGTTTCTAAAAGACATACCAAATGCTCTCGACAAAGTTCTATTGCAATGATGGGCGGGCAGTTAAGACTTGAAATTGAAGGATGCTCACTATATCCTGCATTTGCCACCATTAGTGGCAATATATCCGTTCTGTCAGTGTAGCCCTCACCTCCAAATACTCCAACAGCCGTTTGCAGAGCCCTAAAAAGTCAAAGCACTTTTAAGTAAAGCTTAGCAGCATCTAAACCATAGAATGTTTTCCAGGGAGGAGGCATCTTCATATATATGCAGCATTTATGTTAAGTAAAACAACTGGTTATTTATTTCGTTGTAAACATACAACTGGTTATAGCCATGTCATCATTTTTAACTTGATTGTTACATCAAAAAGAAAATTTCTAATGGGACCAACCAAATTCAATAACGATAACTCAAAAGCATAAACTATTTGGTCACTGAGACAAGTGTTTATATTTCTTTTCCTTCTAATAGCTTGGAAGACCAATAAAATATTTAAAAAAATTCATATATCAAATTAAAACAGAAGGATAATTTAAGATTGTCTCAAAATCATATCATCTATATCATCTATTTAGATGCCCAAGGACACACAGATAGTTGTCAGCTTGTACCTAGAACGTTGGGAATTTCCGTCAGTGACTACCAGTATTCAACTATTCATGCCAAGAAAGACTCTAATACCCATGTCCCGAATACACCAAATGACTCTGAAAAGAAATAGATCTTTATAAAATTTTAAAAGTTTTTCCATGTGCTTAGCAAACCTCTAACAAAGAAAGAAAAATCTATTGAGAAAATAACAAACAATTTAATTTCCAAATGACCCCTCTAGGTACCACATTTGCAACTCCAAAATAACACTTCTTTGAAGAAGATTCTTACATACAACCCAACCCTTAGTTTCATCTCCTCTCAAGCTCCTTCCTTATGTAAAGGCACCTTAGTCTAACTAATCAGAATAGGCCTTTTCCGTTGCTCAGTTTGTTTCAATGAAAAAGATTCACAAAATGGGTCTTTCTCTACAATTCTGCATTTTGTACTGAACTTTTCAAGTGACAAATACAAAAATAAATTTAAGAATCTCTGTTCAAGAAAAGCACTATCCAGCAAACAAAAGACAGAGAGCTGGGCAAAATTCTAGAATTATGGCATGATTACCTTAGCAAAGGAGATGTAATGACTAACTCAATCCTCTTGGAAAGCCCAGATTCACGAACATGCTTACGCAAATTATCAACCTGTACCCATAGCAACCAAAATTTTCATTACCATTATTGCTCTCATGACAATGTTATTTTATCTGTAGAAGGAAAATATTTGTTACAGGCCTTTCTTCTTTTTCCTTTCTGTTTTTCTAACACGGTATCTATATAAGAACAATTTAATGCCTTCTTCCCACCTGCTGCCAGCCTAGTGGAGTAAGATGCGCATCAAAATATTCAGGTTTCATTAATTTTTTGTAGTTCTTAGCTCCCTCTACATTGTGGATTCCTTGTCCATGCCTCACCTGAATGCAAGGATTTGTAAGACCACAATGCGATGATTTGAGAGAAAAATCCAAGAAATAGGACAATCTTGAATGTCCTTCAAACCAAAGAAAAATAGCAGCTTCAAATCTATAACAAATGTATGCAAATCCAAAATCAAAGTTGGTTCCAACCAGGTGAATAGTTTTGCATCGGTGCAGCGGAAACAAACTTGGACTTGAACCACTGTCCATATCTGCAGCTTAGCCAATAAAAGATACATTAACATTAAAAGGAGAATAATTAAAAAAAAAGAAGATGATCATAAGAGTACAAGAAAAACAAGGAAGCGAGTATTTGGTGAAAATTATAACTTTAAGTATATAACCACAGTTCAAGATTTAAAGCTTCACATGTTAAAGAGATATAATAATCAGCCATTAAGTAGCAATTCTAAAAACACAACATGTTAATGTTTCGAAATCATCATTTTCTGCAGAATCCAAATATCCCTATATTACTGTTTCAAATTCATAATTTTTGTTTGAAAAGCTAGCGAAGACTTGGGGAAAAATATTGTAGTCAGCAGGATGCATTCATGACTCTGACATAGTCTTCCTAGGAGAATAAATGATCTGCAATGGAAGCCGGACACAATTCAGCTGAATCTATGGACGCTTAAATTTTAACATTTTCTATTTTGGCTCCCATCATTCATTTTTTTTTTTTTTTTTTTTTTTTTTTTTTCTCTCTTTGGTCTGACTGCATTCACTTCTTTGTTTGTTCTTATTGGCTTACTTCTCAAATCCCTCTGTTCTGAAGCCTACCACATCCAAAGCATTGCTTCCTGTCATGGATTTCAACCAACAAAAGGAAGAAAAGAACAAAAGATATTAAGAAATTCAACCCAGTTGCTTAAAATCAGAAAGAGTTCAGGGAAGGGTCACCATTCCCAAATGCGATGTTCCAAAGCCAAAATCTTTAATTCCCGTGCCAGCATTATCTTACAATTAAACCATAACACACGACATGACATGACTTTAGAAATCAAGCAAGGATTCTACCATCCAAATTCATAAATCAAAGGAATATCATGAAAATTATATCATATAAATCGGAAAAAAAATGCACCAAGTCAGTAATCTGCGAAAGTAAAACAAACCCATGTCGAATAAACTCACCAGAAACAACTACAAATTAAGAAATTGAAATATATGAAATACGAGTATGATTTGAGATGGAAGAGTTTACCCGGGGTAGACAGAGAAGATAAGCAAAAGGGTGGACAGTGGGAGAAGAGAGGATGTTAAAGAAGAGTCTTGTGATGGTGATATATATAGGAGTGGCCAAATGGGATTGACAATTCTGCTAGTACTATGGCCAATGATGTGTTGTTGGCGCTACTGGAAATGAAATGAGAGCGACTGGCGGACTGTCTGTTCTGGGCTATGGACCTACAAATTGCTTGTCTGCATTTTCAGTCCATGTAATCTGTGACTACTGGTTGGAGAGCTGTGGTGATTCACTTTAGATAGACGGAATAATGCCACATGATTTATAGCCAGTGTTTGATTCACTTTAACTTGGGGAATATTTCTCTGAAAAAATAATTTTATATAGGGGACATATTTCAATTGGCATAGAGTTTCTATTATTTGCTGCCTTTCTTCTTCCATACCCTTTGGCACACGAGTGATTGGTTTTTCTTTTTTAATATAAATATTTTATTTTAAAATATTAGTAATTCAGTTTAAATTTAAAAAAGAGAAATTATGTGTAGTTGTGTCCTAAGAAAATAGGACTCATGATCTATTTTTTTTATTTTTATAAATGTTTTTGAATATGCATATTGTTAATTTACCATATTATCTTCATTTAATAAATATGTTCATTTGTTAATATTTTCTTTAAGTAATGGAATTTTTGGTATTTTGAATATTTTTACCATACTTTACCTTTCTCTTTATATCTATAGATGAAAATATGTAAATACTCCTCATACGAAAAGGTTGGTTTTAGAATCAAATCGAGTCGAACATTTGTCAAATTGGGGGTATTTTGGAAGAGATGAGTTCGACTCTAAAAGTGGCTCATGATTATATGATCCTCAAAGGTGGTTATGTCAAACGTAAATGGCATTTTGAAGGACATGACTTTGGCTTTGAAACTAACATTTGCGGACGTGGAACAAAAAATTCCCAATGTCTTAAAAGGGCCTTTGTATCTTGAAATCAAGAAAAGAAAACTAAGTTGAGTCATTGCACACTGGTGTGGTGTGAGTCAAGTTGTCTTCGATGTCAAAGTCAGGCTTAGAAACTTCTATGGTGCATCAGCTGTACCGGTACAGCCACTCACGTGACTTTTTTTTAAAAACAAGGGAAACCTGTTGACCCGGTCAAGAGGTAAATGATTTCACGCGCTGCTCCTAACGTCAACAGGTAAACGATTTCACATGCACACTTCGTTGACGTTCTTCTTCCGCAAAGTGGTCTGGTTCAACTTCAAACTGATAATCTTCATGGTCTTCAAAGTCATCTTCTTCAACTCCTCTTCTGTAGAAAGTTTCTTCCTCCTCTCTGCAACCTCTCTCTCTTCGTTGTCATCATTGTAAAAAACCCCCTATTCTAGGGTTTGGATTTTGGGGAAAATTTTAGGGTTAGCATTTCGAGTTGATAATAGGAATTGGAATTCAGTTTTTCCAGTCACTGGTAGGTTGTTGGCGCTCCTCTCGTCTGCAATCGAGCCCTTGTCAAAGCATTTGGTATTAGTTCCTTGTGAAGGTAATTAACACTATGTTTTATGTTATTGTTAATTGAAATTCTTTGGTGATGAATTGGGGCAAGAGGGGAAGTAGGTTTCTCACATTCATGAGATGAAGTGGGTTTCTCATTTTGAAAGTGTTGTGAGGTGAAGTGGGTATCTCACATTCATGGTTGTAATGTTCATGCAATTGCATATCTCTATATGCAATTACTAATCGCCTGTATGCAAATCCAAGTCACTGAATGGAATTACAGTATATAGTTTTGTTTTGAAATTATGCAAGTGACATTGATTTCGTGGTAGGTAGGTAGGTTTGACTGTGTTTTTGAATTTTTTTTATGGGGAGTAAAGTGTTCCGAAAGTGTAATGTTAGGATTGGTTAAGATTTGGATTGGGATTTGAAATGAGTAAGAATCCCGGCCCAATAGAGAAATGCATGGGTGGGTTGTGTGAAATATCTGTGCAATGTTATAATCGAGGGTTGATGCACTTGCAAGTAGTGTCATGCAATTGCATATCAGTATATGCAATTGCTAAGCGACTGTGTGCAAATCCAAGTCCCTGTATTTTTTTCATTAAGCAATGTGATGTTGTGGTGTTTATGGGGTTTAGGGGGTTTAGGCTGTATTAGGGTTTGGATTAGTATTCAAATTCTCGGCGCTAGAGACAATTGCATAGTGTTTTGTACTTGATTTGTGCAAGTTATGGAAGCTCAAAAAAGGGGATCAGCGCAAGGCTGAGAGTAATGTGCAACAATCAAGAGTTGGCCGAGATGCATTTTTTAATTTCATGTAAGTTACACGTACATCTAAAAATTGGAAATGTGGTTGCTTATTATTATGATGGTTTTTTTAATTAAAAATAAATGATTTACAGGAAAAAAGAACGACACGAAATGGGGAAAATGGCCAATGCAAAGTTGGACAGTAAGGTGAGAGATGGCAATGGATTTAGTCAGTTTATTAATTATTTTATTAAAAAGACTCTATTAATGAGAATTTTTTATTTCAGATGCAAGAGGAGATTGCTAATAAGTGGAGGAAATTGAACCCTAAAGAGAACGCAACATATGGTTCTGCCTTGGAAGGTTCGACTGGGCAAGTAGAAGGTTCAAGTGGGCAAGTAAACGACACAATGAATGAGATGGGTTTTATCAGTAGATGTAGCCCGGATTGATTCCATCGTACGGTGGAAAAATTGTTGAATGAGAAGCGGTTAGCAATTAATGCTATTGGGTTTGGTATTGTGTCATCTTTGTCCTGCACTCGTTTACACCGCGAACTATGCCAATTTTTGATTCAAAGGTTCAATCCAGAGACGTCTTCTATAGAACTGCACGGCAAAGTGTTTGGAATAAGTCCCGTTGAGTTTGGGCGTGTTATGGGCCTTAAGAACACCGACGAGGATGTTGAATTCGACTCACTGGTAGAAGATGAAAAGGTGAAACATTTAGTGAAGAGTTTCGGTGGAAATGGCAAGAGAGTATTAGTAAGGGGTTTAGCTGAACAACTGGAAAAGTGCGAAAATGCGGATGAGGACTTTAAAGTTCGATTTGTGATGTTCGCACTTGGCACTGTACTTTGCCCGACATCTTCACCATCAGTGACCGGGAACTATTTAACTTTCTTGATGATCCCAGGGAAGATAGAGACCAAGAACTGGGCCGACCATGGATTCAAGTTCTTATGTGAAGGTGTTAGGTCGTTCAAAAGCGAAGAAAGTTGCATATATAGGACTGGTTTTTTTTTTTGTTTTTTTTTTTTTTCTATTTCTCTATTTCTGTTTTATTCCAATTGGATCCATGGTGGACTATATGTTGATAAGGCTTTGGATCCCATTGTGTCCTGGGACAATCAGTCGGTGTGGAAAATGATTAAATGGGTTAGAAAGGAAGGTGGGTTTGAGAGTCCTACAGTTCGGGTTGTTTCAAAGCACTGTCCAACGAATGAAGTGTCCAGAGTAAACCTTGAAAGAATTGTTCAAGAAGTTTCTATGAGTTTGGCGCCAGTCATACAGGCTAAGGTGAAGCGATCAATTGAAGGACTTGCTTTAGGGCCAATAATACAGGCAGAGGTCCAGCGGTCAGTGTTGGAACTCACTGACAAGGTAATGAGTCAAGTGAGCTCCTTCATGAAAGACGCATGACAACATATTCATCCGGGACATGAAGATGTAAATCAAACTAAGGAGGACGGGCCACTGAAAATACGAGATGAAGGTGGTGAGAATTTTGTGAAGAAGAAGGGTGAAGAATCTAGCAAATTAAAGGAGAAAGGTGCAGTTGATGTAAACGATCCTTGGACGCCATTACCGGATGGACAGACTTTCAGTGAACCCGAGGTATGATGAGCGATTAGGAGTTTCAAGATCGGGTTTCTTGTTATGTTTTAGATTTATTAAGTATGCATTTATTTACATAGTTGTAAAATACTGAAATGTTTTTTTTCGTAAATGTAATATTTTAATTCCCTTTTTCCACAGTTGAAAATTGGCGTGGAAAAGAAGAAGTTCACAAAATTGGCCCATGGTGATCATAGTGGAATTCAAACACGTCGAACGGCCGAAAGGCGTCCAGGGCTTCATTGTAGAGAGCCATGGGTTGACCCATCAAGCGCAAAAGGAAAGGCTATGTAGAAGACAGCGTCTAAGATTAAAATTGGGCCTTTCAAATTAAAACCCGGGGACTTACAAGACTCCGATTTTGAGTTATTTAGTTATATTTTTAGGTCTAACAACCTTTCAAGGTTTACAAATGTTGAATTATGAAATTGACCAAATTCCTTATATGTTGTCGCATACGTGAATTTAATTGTAACAATTGCTTTCTTCATTCGTTGTAGTAAGGAAGTTATAATTCAAATTGGAAACGAACATCATGTCACGAGAGATGAGTTCATGTGCTTAAGGCCCGAAATGTGGATTTCTGATACAGTATTGAACACGCAAGTGTATTATCTACAAGAAAAGGGGTCAGGGAATTGGTACTTCCACACGTATATGTCGATAAGCTTTCATATTTTTCAAACTGTTATAATTTGTGATTTAGTAAATGAATTTACGCTTACACTATATGTGAATGTAGGAGCAAGTTAATAATACAAGTGATGGTAAACTTTTTGAATTGGGTGCCAAACTTAGAAGGGAAAACTCAAACCGGTTCACCATAGGCCTTAAAAAGTGCGAGAAGGTATCAATTTAAGTTATTTTTTACAATATTTTTAGTGCGCTTTTTTTTACGCATGTTTTTCTAAGCAAGTCATTGTGGTTGTAAATTTTCATTCCCGTATTGGATCGAATCGGGAATCATTGGTATTTGCTAGTGGTGCTTATTGATGATAAAAAGGTTGAAATATGGGATAGCCTCCCCGGTTCTCAATACAACGCAGGTCGTTATCAATTGGCGGAAAAAATTGTAAGTTTAATTTACCTAATTTTGGTTGGTATTTTTATTGTCCTAACATCCCGACTAAGAATTGATTTGAATTGATTGTGTTGTAGATGAAAGCTTTGGACTACATTTACAATGATGAGATTGTCAAATATTTTCAAAAGGGATGGCAGTTTGCAAAATTCAACATTGTGCGAAGTGACAAGGCTCGCAGACAACTAAATGGATGCGATTGTGGTATCTACGTTATGAATTTGCTAGAAGACATTGAATGCAAATCACACGGTTCAAATAAAGTGAGTCGGCATATACATCGTTTCATACGTTTGTCTTCCATGTCAGATCTTTTTTGTTAATCATTTCTTTGACAGGATGTTTTTTATTTGTAGTTTCAACATGCAAGTGAGCGGGTTCGCATTGCACTATCATTGCTGAAGAACCCAAAAAATACGCGTCTAAAGGAAGTAAGGGAGTCTGCTCGAAGAGTTGTTGACGAAGAACTTGACAAGTTCGCCGAACTTGGTCCCTTCATCCCTCATCATCCCATCGCAAGGAAGCCAATGATACGCTCCCAGGCAAAGTAGAAAGTTTGACAGTAGGTCATAAGGGATTACAGTTTAGAAATTAGGTGTAATTGCATGTATATATCCCTATTTGCGCACAGTTGAGGTTCGTTGTAATATAGCAAGTGCAATTACATGTACGTATCTTTTTTTTGCATATAGGGACGTTATTTTTGCATTATATCATGTACAATTGCATTACATGACCTCCAATTGCACGTTATCTACTTCGTGTAATACATTGCACACATGAGTTTTTTTGTTGCCGCAATGGGAACATTATAGCATATCTGGGGCCCATACTTCATTTACGAAACATGAGTTCCTAGTTCATTGATAATAAAGGTCTCCTAACCATATTTAGGGGTTTGTTTTGTTACAAAACTAAACCCTCAAACTATTCTACCATACTGATTATAACATTTAACATCCGATATTACAGTTGGAATTATAACATATGAAATTACATCCGAAATTATGACAAACAACACAATGCAAATGATAAAATACTGGTGCTTCATGGACCTCGCTTCTCCAAAATAGCAATTGCTTCGAATACCTGGATTTTGTCCCACTTACTTGAACTAGCATCAACATGCTGAGCATATTTCCTAAACATCTCAAAGCCGATCCCAATCCCTCCATGGTAAATGTGGTACTTGGTGATTGAATCTCCTGCATGACAGACGTTGTTACTAGCCTCGGTGACATCATGGGTTCGTTTCACTTACTGCCGGACATAATTCGAAGAATCAACATCATCATCATCACCCACCCTATTCTTCTTAGGCGTGGAGGAGCCTCTTGAGCTACCAACCATTGAATGTGACATTGTTTGGTTTTCTTTTTTCTCTCTCAGATTGTGTATAAGTAATGTTATTAGTAAAACAGTTGGAAGTCTTTGAGTTGAAATGTATAGGAAGTAACTCCTTAAATAATACTTCGTCTATAGTTGGTACCTAGTACTTGGGACTTGGTAGTTTGGACTGGGGTCCCTTTTTCGTGGGAACGTCGAAGTTTTCTAAATGAACGCACCCTCTTGCGTTCGGTTGAACACATACCCCGTTTGTTTGAAAAAGTAAGTTGGTTGGGCCCATCTTTCTAACAAATAGGTCACTTTCCTCCATGAATGAACCCCTTGCGTTAGTATGAACAAAAATCACGTTCGTTTGGAAAAGTTAGTTTGTTCTGCTTATTATTCGAGGGAACATGTATCTTTACTGAACAAACGCGATCCTTGCGTTCGCTAGAACAAACACTCCGTTTGTTTGAAAAAGTAAGTTGGTTGGGCCCAATTTTGGGGGAACGGGTAACTTTACAGAACGAACGCAACACCTGCGTTCACTAGAACAAACACTCCGTTTGTTTGAAAAAGTAAGTTGGTTGGATATATTTTTTCCGCAAACAGGAAACTTTCCCCAACTAACGCACATATTTCGTTTGTTTGAAAAAGTTTACCCTTTTTTTGAAAAAGTAAGGTTGTTGGGCCATTTTTTGGGCGAAAGGGTAACTTTTCTCCACAAACGCACATATTACGTTTGTGTGAACAAAAACCCTGTTGTTTTGAAAAAGTAACATTGTTGGCCATCTTTTCCGTCGGAACGTCTAATTGTTCTGAGCGAAAGCAAACCCTTGCGTTTGTTTGAACAAACTTCCCGTTTGTTTGAAAAAGTAAGTTGGTTTGGTCTATTTTTCGGGGAACGGGTATCTTTATTGAACGAACGCGAACCTTGCGTTCGCTAGAACAAACTCTCCGTTGTTTGAAAAAGTAAGTTTGTTGGGCCCATTTTTGGGGGAACGAGTAACTTTACTGAACGAATGCAACACCTGCGTTCGCTAGAACAATCACTCCGTTTGTTTGAAAAAGTAAGTTGGTTGGATATATTTTTTCCGCGAACAGAAAACTTTCCTCAACTAACGTACCTCTTGTGTTCTTTTGAAGAAGTACCTCGTTTGTTTGAAAAAGTAAGGGTGTTGGGGCCTTTTTTGAGCGAATGGGTAACTTTTCTCTACAAACGCACATATTCCGTTCGTGCAAACAAATACCCCATTTGTTTAAATTACTATGTTGGTTGGGCCCGTTTTTCGGGGAACGGGTAACTTTACTGAACGAACGCAACTCTTGTGTTCGTTAGAACAAACACTCCGTTTGTTTGAAAAAGTAAGTTGGTTGGGCCCATTTTTGGGGGAACTGGTAACTTTCCTTAACCAACGCAATAGTTGCATTCTCTAGAACAAACACTCCGTTTGTTTGAAAAATTAAGTTGGTTGGGCCCAATTTTGGGGGAATGTTTAACTTTACTGAATGAATGCAACCCTTGCGTTTGGTATAAGCCACACTCCGTTTGTTTGAAAAAGTAAGTTGGTTGGGGACATTTTTGGGCGAACGGCTAACTTTTCTCAACGAACGCAATTAGGGGTGGGCACAGTCCAGTTCGGTCCGGTTCTCACTTCAAATCGGAACCAGAACCGGACTCGGTACTATTTAACCAGTTCGGTTCTGACCGGTTCTAGTCCAGTTTCGGTTTTAAACCGGATTATTAATTTATTATTAATTTAATATTTTTAAAAAAAATTATAATAAATAACTTATTTTTTTGGCTTAAAAATTAACAAATAATCCAATTCATACATTTAGAAATTTTTTGAAGTTGAACTTGGAAAAATAGTGATTATCAAATTTAAAATATGGCATTAGATTTTAAAATTTTGTAAAAATAAAAAATATATATATGACTGGTCCGGTGCGGTGCGGTGTGGTGTAAAACCGAAACCGAAACCGGTTGGAACCAGTTTGGTCTGGTTCCGTTCCGGTTTGTTGACTTTTTTGGTCAACCGTTTTTTTTTCCGATTTTTTTCACCAGTTCGATTCGGTGTTCTGGTTTTCCAGTCCTAATGCCCACCCCTAAATGCAATCATTTCGTTTGTCTGAACAAAAAACGTGGTTTGTTTGAAAACATTTGTTGGCTGGGTTAATTTTTTCGGGTAACCCTTACGTGAACATTTTTCCTGGTATCGCTACTTTTAAAAATTATATATGACAATCACATACTACTTGAATCAGTTAAAAATATTAAAACCCAAGCTTGGGGCCAGTGTATAACCTGAATCCAATACAATTTTAAACATAAACCATACTTTGAACCCTAAAGCCCAAACCCAATTCAGTGTTAACCATAGAGCCCAACCATAAATTTTAACCGTAAATCCTAAACCCTTGAATTTTAATAATAAAGCCCAACCCCAATTGATACGATCCTTAAAGCACAAACCCAATTCAATTTTAACCGTAAAGCCCAACCCATTTCCATTTTAACTTTTAAGCATAAACCACAAACCCTAAACCTTAAACACTTGAATTTGAATCATATATCCCAAAACCAATTCATACGATTCGTAAAGCCCAAACCCTTCAATTTGAACCGTAAATCGTCAACCATAAACCCTAAACCCTTGAGTTTTAACCACAAAGCCGAAACCCATTTCATACGATCCCTAAAACCCAACCCAATTCAATTGTAACTATTCACCCCAACCCAATATAATTGTAACCCTAAAGCCCAACCTAATTCAATTTTAACCCTAAAGCCCAAACCCAATTCAATTTTAACCCTAAAGCCCAAACCCATTTCAATTTCAACCCGAAAGCCCAAACCCAATTCAATTTTAACCGTACAGCCCAAACTCAATTCAATTTTAACCCTAAAGCCCAAACCCATTTCAATTTCAACCCAAAAGCCCAAACCCAATTCAATTTCACCCCTAAAGCCCAACCCAATTCAATGTTAACCGTTAAGCCTAAACAACAATGAACCATAAACCCTAAACACTTGAATTTGAACCTTAAAGCCCAAACTCAATTCATACGATTTGTAAAGCCCAAACCCTTCAATTCTAGGGGTGGGCATTAGAACCGCAAAACCAAACCAAACCAAGCTGAAAAAATTGGAAAAAAACCGTGTTGACTAAAAAAAGTCAAAAATCGAGTCAAATCCGAAGTAGACTGGTTCCGATTCCGGTTTTCTACTATAAGGAACCGGTCCAATCCGAACCGGTCCAATATAATTAATTAATATATATTTTAATATTTTATATATTATATATATAGTTAACATGTGGCTGTTTTGTATTGGGTGTCTAAAATTTTACTGTACACACACACACACTTAGGATCATCACAACTAAAACAGACTTAGGTTTCTTTTCCTTCTTCGATTTGATTTCCTCTCTCTCTCTCTCTCTCTCTCTCTCTCTCTCTCTCTCTCTCTATACGTGAAACTGAAACCTCATCCTTGTTCTTCTTCAGCCGTCGCGCCGCCAAAGCTCTCTCAATCGTCGCGCCGTCGTCACGCAAGCAGGTTCGATTCTGGCTTTCTTTTTTCTTCTTTTCTTTTTGTTTCTTTTCCCCCTTCGATTCTCTGTCTAACCCATCTCTGTCCTCCATCAGCAGTTCGTGCAGATCATTATCCATATTCTCTGGAGTAGGTTGCAGCTTCCAACAGACGCACTCTTTTTTTTTCTCCCCTTGACACAGCTGCGCACTCCTTCTCATCACTTTGCCATTGAAGAATCTCTCTCTACCAAAGGTGAATTTCGCACTCTTCTGTAAATGCTTAATCTTCAATATTGTTATTTCCAATCTCTGTTTGCATTTTCCTTTACTTTTATTGAGCGATTTATTTTCTGAAAATTTCAATCTCTGTTTGCTTTTTTTGCTGGATTATTTACTCAACCCAAAACTCATAAATTCATATTACTGTATGCTTATTATTATGTTGTTTTTAGATCTTAAAAATAAGATAAGAAAAGTGTTCATGGAATTAGGGAATTATATTTCAAACCTTTGCATGCTTTTTAATTTTTTTTTTTTTTTTTTTTTTTTTTTTCTTATGGGACCGTGAAGAAACAGCATTGGAATGGAAATTCTGTGTCCAAATTAGAAACGTGTGAGGGATGAGACATGGTTCTTCTTTGTCATTTTCTGTTGCTGATTAGAACAATTAGAATGTGGAGGGAGCTTTTAGATTGATGATTGAACATAAGAAACTAATCAAATTATCTGTTGTGAAGTTTACGTAATAAAAGACAGAGACACAAATTATTTGTCGTGGATATATAACTTTTATGGGGATGGGGATGAGAAGGTAGAGGTACTAATACTATGAAGCAAAATTTCTGCTCATTATTTGTTTAGGGAATTAGATCTGGTTGATTGCAGCTTTCCTTATGGCATCAATCAAAGTAGAGATTTATGGGGAAAAAAGAAGTTATGACTTATGTTATGTTTGTGTTCATTTTGATGTGTTGGAAGCTTGATGGAACCTAAAATTTGTTGTGGATATATAACTTTGCCGTTATCTATTAGTTATGAAAATTTCTCTTGCAAATGAGTCTTTAGTTATCAAAGTCTTTGGGTAGGAAGACCAATACTGGATGCAGTCCTATTAAAGGTGTGCTTTGATCCTTTTCTATCTTACTTGTGTTTTGATGTTTTGCATAATTCAGTTTGTTAGTTCCATTGCGTTTTACACTAAAAACATGATTTTATAGGAGATAGGTGATAATTTAGAGCAATAGCAATAGCTCCGAATGGTTGGCCTTGCTTTCATAATGTTGGCAAATCTACTATTTTATAAATTATTAAGGGAGACTATCATCAAAAGTACAATGTGGAGACTGCATATTGATTTTCACTTTGTGGATTTTCATGTAGTGTATTACTTGTTGATATTGTTTGGTATGGTATTAATGCTTGTGGGTTTTGTTGGAGCAATGTGTGTGTGTTTGTGTATTTTTCTGTTATTTTGTCTGCATCCTTCTACTGCAATCTACTCCCTGTTTGTTGTATTATTCAATACAACCAGTGACGACCTAATGTATAGTTTAGTTTCTGATACAAACAAAAGAACTGCTTTATTGAAGTGAATCCACAAATTATCCGTTCTTAACTGCATAAGAGATTCCTAATTGAAATGAAGCCTTCAGTTAACAATTCACATGTGAGGCAATGCCTAATGGGCTGGGAATGAATGAATTTTTGTTTGTAAACAACATAGAGAAAGAAATGCAATGAGTACGGAAGCTTGTGAAATGTTTTTGAATGTATGTTAAGATTACTGTATTGTTTTATTTTTGGTCAAAAGAGTTACTATATTGTTTGATGTTGAGGTAGAGATAATCTATTTCATTGTTTGTTGTTTTAAATCAATAATGAAGGATAGTCAAAGGAACAATGAGGACGAAGAACAAGTGCATTGAGGGAGGAGCATCTCATAAAGGTTCCCGGGCCCCGAAGACCACACTTGCAAAGGGTACGAAAGGTAACTCTTCAGTGGCTTCCTCAAGCTCGAAAAAACGGAAGCCAGCAAAACGAATATCAGGTCCTATGGCTACTGGGGTGTTCGGGGTACGTGTCTTCAAACCAAGGGATGAGTATATACGGTATCGCCACTATGCGGATTTACGTGAAGTGGTACGTTCTACACTGAACGCGTGTTATGTAATTACACTTGCTGCATGAAATTCATATAATTTTTCAAAATTCTAAAATGATACCTGAATTCCAAAGGAAGAACAACATCGAACTCCGGAAAGGGCCAAGATAAGGGTAGCAAACATCTCTCCTCAGCTATGGTCAGCGCGAATACCATGCTGGGCCGCCGAAAATGAAAGTAAACTTATGCGGATACCCCGTGGGCAAGATAGCCCTGATCTACCATTACCTGATGGTGTCACACATGTAAGTAGCTTCTATTGCATAATTTATTAATACATGAGGGCTTCAGGTGGTCATTGTTGTAATTACACGTGCCTTAATGTAGGTAACTGCTGAAGCTGCAACTGAGCTTTTGGACCTAATTGCTGGGTTGAATGATGTATTATTTTCAACTGCATGGCAAGCAAGCATAGAGATTAGGCGCCTACGGCAAGAGAATGTGAGTCAGTTCAACTTCATTTCATACTGATTTCATAAAATTAACAAACATCACGGATGTTATATTGAAATAACAAACCATGGTATTGAACATGAACGATGTTATATTGTAATAAGAGATATTGAAGAACACCTCAGGAACAACCATTGCAAGTTCGGGTCTTGTTCAACACGTCTTAGATGATGATGCAGAACATGTAAGTTTGTTACTTCCAACCTCCATTGTAAAGTTCGATTTATAAGATGTTCAATTTTGCAATTTTAAATAATATGTTACATTCTGCAATGCAAACCATCATCACTCGTGTGCACAACAAAACTGAACAAAATTGATTATTTATATATGTCAATGTTTCCCTTTATGTAGGAGTGTCGCACAAAATTTAAACATGACATAGGTAGAAAAGGAAAGACCAAACTTGTGATACAAGAAGAGCATGAAGAAGATGAGGAAGAGGAAAAAGAAGAGGAAGAGGAAGAAGAAGAGGAAGACGACGAGGAAGATGAAGATGAAGAGGGAGATGAAGAGGAAGTTTGGATCGAAGACGGGGATGAGGATGAGGATGCCGATGGGGACGGGGCCGCAACTAAGGGTAATCCGGATGCAGAACAACCCTTCACATACCAAAAACGCAAAGGTGAGAAAGTCTTCGTTCACGTACCCCAAAGAGAAAGAAAACCAAGTAAATTATGGATACAATGACATTTTTTGGATCATGTTATCTTCGTTTTGTAAAATAATAGGTTCAGTTTATTGGCCCTTATCGTTTCTCATGTAGTATATTTCGGTTCATTTTGCGGCCTTCAATCGATAGTACAAAAAATAGGTCTAATTATGCCAGTAAAAAAAAAATGATCCATTTTTCCTTTGTAGAGGTTTGCGCATAATCACTCTCGCATTGCATTCACATCGTGCAATTGCATGTTTACAATGCAAATGCTGACCGGCTGTGTGCAAACTAAAGCTAGCTTCAAAACGCTAACCTAATTAATGGATAGTGCAAAGACAAAGAAAAGGAAGTTCCGAATTTTATTAGGACCCTATGTGTATTATTCAATATTAGGGTTAATCACATTTTGGTTTACGAAATTGGGGATATTTTGGAAAGTCATTTGTGCTACATGGCAATGTGTATTAGGACGTAATTTCGATAATTGGTCGATTTGTAATAGAATATGTTCCGCTTATTGCCCCTTACCATTTATTTACATGCTCTGTATTTCAGTTGATTTCGCCCTTCGATTTATAGTTAAAAAAAATAGGTCTAATTATGCCTGTACAAAAAAATATGATCCATTTTTGTTATTATGGGTTTGCGCACAGTCAGTCTTGCATTGCATCATTGTCATGCAATTGCATGTGTGAAATGCAAATGCAGACCGGCTGTGTGCAAACTAAACATAGCTTAAAAACGCAAACTTATTTAATGTATAGCGCAAAGACAACGAAAACCAAGCAACTACTTTATTACGACCCTATGTCTATTATTGAAATTAGGGTTAATCACATTGTGTTTTACGAAATTCGGGATCTTTTGGAAACTCATTTGTGCTACATGGCAATGTGTATTAGTACGTAATTTCGATAATTGGTTGATTTGTAATAGAATATGTTCGGCTTATTGCCCTTTACCATTTATTTACATGCTTTGTATTTCAGTTGATTTTGCCCTTCGATTTATAGTTAAAAAAAATAGGTCTAATTATGCCTGTACAAAAAAATATGATCCATTTTTGCTTATTATGGGTTTGCGTACAGTCAGTCTTGCATTGCATCACCGTCATGCAATTGCATGTGTGAAATGCAAATGCAGACCGACTGTGTGCAAACTAAACATAGCTTTAAAACGCAAACTTATTTAATGTATAGCGCAAAGACAACGAAAACCAAGCAAATACGTTGTTACGACCCTATGTCTATTATTGAAATTAGGTTAATCACATTGTGTTTTACAAAATTCGGGATCTTTTGGGAAGTCATTTTTGCTAAATGGCAATGTCTATTAGTACGTAATTTCGATAATTAGTCGTTTTGTAATATAATATGTTCGGCTTATTGCCCCTTACCATTTATTTACATGCTCTGTATTTCGGTTCATTTTGCCCTTCGATTTATAGTTCAAAAATAGATCAAATTATGCCTGTACAAAAAAATATGATCCATTTTTCCTTATTATGGGTTTGCGCACAGTCAGTCTGGCATTGCATCACTGTCACGCAATTGCACGTGTGCAATGCAAATGCCGACCGGCTATGGGCAAACTAAACATACCTTAAAAACGCAAACCTAATTAATGTCTAGCGCAAAGACAAAGATAACCAAGAAAATACTTTTGTTCTGAACAATACATACATAAAACAATAATAGGTCATTCATATGAAAGCATCTTGTCCATCACTAAATCTACATTTAATGTTAATTGTTACATGTAAACCAAGTTCCAAAACTACAATTGTTTTGGGTTGAACCGGTACATAGGGAATTAGGTTCACAATTGTCGAATGAGAAACCATCATCACTATTGGGGGTAGAACCGGTTGGGTCTGCAGTAGAAAAACTATCAGAACCTGACAAATCAACCACATAGTTGCCTCTGCATTCAAAAACCTTTTGACTAGGATAATTGTAGCTAATGTCCGGTGACGGCCCATAACTATACTGATAGCTTTTACTACCTGATGGGATATTCACACATGCATTTCTACTTGGATGCAAGTTTCTTTGAGAGTAATTACGCTTTGTATGTCCATATCCGCGACACAAATGACATTGTCGACGCTTGCACGTCCCACCCTACCTTGCTTGAGTGCCTTTTGTCTTAATGATATTTGGATCTTTCACAATATTTGGAGGACATTGCTCAGCACTACCCAATTTCAGACTTGTCTCTTCTTCCTTTTGCCGTAAGCCTTCACAAATTCCCTCCCATCTACTAAACTCATTCATCAACATGGCATAACCATCTGCATTCTTCGATGCATAAAAACATACTTTGTTTGACATAGCACTTAAACTTCCATACCTCACCATTTCTACAACTTCGTTGGTAGTGTCTTCGCCTTTGCCGATAAATTCCCTACATGTATCAGTTTGGGCACTCTTTGTCCATCTCTTCATTATGAGTGCTGGAGGAATTTCCATAAGGTGCTCGCACTTCATTACATAAAACAGGTGGCAACACGGGATTCCTTCACTTTCATATTTCCGACATCCACACTCTATCCGCATATTTTCCCCACCGTGGTAAACACAAGTCCAATTATTATGCGGTTCACCATATTTTGACAATACGTATACAGGACCTCCAAAATTATGCATCACATTATCATGGGTGAGTGTTGAACAAGATTCGATCTCATGACGTACCAATACAAAGCACCTATGCGTGTAAATCAGATAAGCTTATTGCTCGAGTTTTGTCAATGTGGTTTTAAGGACTGATGTTGAGTACTTTGCGTTGAAACCATCCTTCGCCGTGGTATTTCTAAGACGTAACATAGCCCTATCAATTGCTGGAATACATTCAAACAACTTCACCCATTTCCTCAAGTAATCTTTCACATACTTGTTCATGGACTCCACATGTTGAGTGGTGCACATACCACTGAAAAACTTTCCTCTCATACATGATTCAGCCCATGAGTCTCTTTTTGGATACATCATTTCCAACCATTCTTTTTGTTTCGGAGTACTCGCTTTTTCCCTCAAAACCTTCCATTTTTTTCTCAAACTCATCCAATGCAAATGGTTCCCAAATACATGCCTGAAAATTTCTTAGCAATTCATCATCCTTCAAGTTATTTTGTGCATTCCTTGACACATGCCATGAGCACAACCGATGGTTAGACATGAGAAACACATCATCAATGGCTTTACGCATCGCCTCATCGCCATCCGTCAATATTGATATTGGCTTCTTATCTTTCATGGATGCCATGAATGTTTCTAATAACCACTTGTATGTTTCAAATGTCTCGTCCTGCAATAATGCGCAACCAAACATTACAATAGAACAGTAGTTGTTCGAACCGACAAACAACACTAGGGGCTTGTCATAAACATTTGTTTTGTATGTGTTGTCGAATATGAGGACGTCGTCATAGGCAATATAATCCAAAAGTGAAGTGGAGTCCCTCCAAAACAGATTACCAAGCCTATTTTCCTCATCAACACTGAACTTACAAAAGAATTCTGGATCCATTGCTCCTTTCGCTTTCAAGTAAGAGAGTGCAGCTTATGTGTCACCGTCAAGCAAAATTTCCCTACGTGATGCATCCAACTTATTGTACAGATCCTTTATTTGAAAACCAACATTTAAATACCCGCCACATTGGTCGACCATATGTTTGACATATTCTAAACAATGCTCTTCGCATTCCCACTGCTTGTGCTAAATCGAAATTTCGAACGACATGGTTACATCGGAGATATGGCGATTCAAGTGGAGTAACTAGTTGATGATTGTGATGTGGTTCAAAATTCATAACGACGTAAACGTCACGTTTTTCTCATAACCCACCCAAAAATGGGCAGAACAATTCTCTCTTGTAATTGGCTTCGGTGGTCGAATCCTATCTGATCAATCATTAAACTTCTCATTTCTCAAACCTTCTTTAGAACAACACCACCGTCTCCTACATACTCTCCATTCCGAATTTCGAACCAATTTGTCTTTTCTCACCCTAAATCCAATGCCCTTTGCATAACTCATATAATATTCTTCCGCTAATTCTATCGTTTTAAACTCTTTCCCCATAACATCTTCTTTCCTCGGTGCAATCATGTCACCACCATTATCATCACTACTTTGACTAACCATATGTTCGATTGACATATGCCCACTCTCTGTTGTCAGTGCCCTGTGACTCGACCTTTCACAACCACCCAGATACCCTGAATCACTACAACCACCCTCTGATGTCTCTACACCTCTGTCCATCTTACCAAACCCCTCCATGCCTGAGAAATATAATTTCAAACTGAAATTACATTATACTCTATGTGCTAACATACTTTCTCTTAAAAAAACACAAATGAATAATCTCATGCAATTGCACATACTTGGGTCAATAATTGCACCATGTATAATTGTTTCGCAACTAAAAACATGCAATTGCATCAACTCATTACCCAAAATACTTTCAAGTCCTAAACCAGAAAAGAGGGTTCTTTGAATCTTACTTGATGTTTCCATACTTTCAAAGCCTCCTCCTTACACTTCCTTTTGCCTCCAACTCAAATGTCGTACTTAACAGCCAAGGATCTTCAAAATATTTACAACCACGTTGTTATTACAAATCCATTCCCCTGCGAAATAGAAATTCTATATCAGACAATGCCAACAGAAGAAACTAAATTTATTAAATACTTCCAATTTGTTGACCATTTCATCATGGAGGTTAGACCCACCATCAATTTGGTATCTGCATATGAGTTTTGGGCAAGCAGAGAGAAGAGTTGAGGACCTCAAATCAGTAAGCATTACCTTGTTGCAAATGCGTTTTGCCCAAGCACAGACAAGAGTTGGATGTGCTTAGGATGGATTTTGGCAAGTGAGAGAGAAGAGTTCCTGGCAAAGCAGAGCTAATACTTCGTTGGAGCAGAGCCAAGAGTTCGTCGGCAAGCAGAGACAATGGGCAAGTAGAGAGAAGAGTTCTTGGAGGCGCTAAGGATTGGAGTTGGGCAAGCAAAGAGAAGAGTTCCTAGAGGCGTTAAGGATTGGATGGGCTCTTAGGATTTTCGATTTGGGCAACCAAAGAGGAGAACGCGCGTCTTCTTCATCCTCCAAACCTGCCTTTCTCTTTCCTCACATGCCACTCACGTGTTTAATAACTGGGGCTCAATAGGTTACTAAGTCATTGAATCTCAGCCTTCCTTTTTTAACATGGAAACTCAGCCATTGGATAGCCGGCTGTACCGGTACAGCTGAGGCACCACAGAATTTTTGGGTTCTTAGTTATAGAAAGAGTTACCTTCTTCATTAAGTGGAAATTGGCTTTTATACAATCTATTGGTGATTGGTTTCTCGTCGTCCTAGTCTACATGGCATGTGCCTATTGAGTCTGCCGAGACCCATTATCCCGCATTCATGTCAATTATGTCTAACCTAAACGTGGAATAATTAATGGGTTTAATATGCATGATGCTTGGGCCATTACTGTATAATGGCATGATTGGGCTTCAAATGTGTTAGGCCTATATGTGGTCCAATTTCTCTGTTGGCTTAGCAGAGGTGGCTTCCTTAGCCAAGTGCTTCAAATGATGTATTCCATTTCTAATCAATGCATCATTAGTTGTTTATTCATTTCCCACGTGTCTCAAAGGGCAATTTTTTTTTCTTTCCCAAAAGTCACTTTTGGTCTCTGTAGTTTGGCACTTCAACTACTTTTGACCTTATAGTTTCAATTCCATCAATTTTACCCTTGTAGTTTCATATTTGAAGCAATTCAAGGACAAGTTAGTATTCTTGTCAATTTCTTTGACGGTGCAAGGGGCAATTTCGTCAACCCAAAACCCTTGAGTGTAAAACCTTGCCTGAAACTCACCCCATTTCATATTAGGGCTCGAAATTTATCCACCAATCCCAATTTTTAAAGAACCCTAAACCCAAATGGCAAATTTCAAGCCCTAATCTGAAATAGGGAGATTTTTAGACTAGTTTTTACACTCAAGGGTTTTGGGTTGACGAAATTATACCTTGCACCTTCAAAGAAATTGACGAAAAAACTAACTTGTTCTGGAATTGTTGCAAATACAAAACCACAATGGCAAAATTGATGGAATTGAAACTACAATGTCAAAAGTGGTTGAAGTGCCCAAGCCCAAACAAGGTAAAGAAAGGCTGCCCAGGCAAAAACAAATGTTCATATTATTGTGGCCCAGCGCACCATCCCAAGCACTCAGCCTAAGAGGGTTGTAGGAACCAAATACATCATAATCGGGGCCCACAACATATCCCTCTAGCGCTCGTTGTTCCCAAAAAGGGCGGGGTGTTTGGGCCTAAAAATTGTGCGGAGCCCAGCCCATTTTTGAAACCCACAAGGCATAAGCACAACTTGGGGTTGATTTAAAGAAACTGAGAAAATAGCCCAAAAATCTAGAAAGCCTAGCCCACGAGAGTAAACTTGGATTTTGAAAAAACTGAGAAAAGAAATCAGCCCACAGTCCCAAAACTCAACCTGGGCTTGGCGTGATCAAATGAAAAAGAGAAGAGCCCAAAATTGAAGCAAACCCACGTGACTACCTGACTTTGAAAAGTCAGCAAATTCAACTAGTCACAAGAGAGTTGATGGGGAATTAATGAAGGCAGACCTTACATGAAGATTTCTCCAGTCTTTACATACAAGGAAGAAGACCAAAATCCTTTTCTATATTCAGAAAAATTTTGCTCCAAAACAGGTGCCATTTCCAAGGGATAAGCAGGCTATATTTTCTAAAAAAGATAAGTAGGTGTTTGTGCCTAATAAATCACAGTCGTCAGAAGGGACCTCTTCTCGGCCGTAGCACCTGTTCAGGGACTGAAACGGCCACGTTTCGTCAAACATTTAGCCTTTTCGAAAACAGAAGAAAAATACGAAGGTAGGATCTTCTCGGCCTCACAACCACGGCATTATGGGCCGAGGCCGAGGTCCATGAGAGACATGGCCAAAGATACTATGGTCAAATCGCCACGTGGCCTCAGGGTCCCACGCCCCATTTAATGAAGTAGTGCCTCTGACCGCCACAGAAAAACCACTGGGTGCAAGAAGCATTTAATGCACAAGGGCAGAAGGGAAGTGATTGAAGTCAGGATTTGGTAACATGAATTAGAGTGGTTAGGCGCAAACATTCTCACAGCTTGAGGTCAGATCACCAACCACTAGACCAGAGCACTAAATGCATTCCCACGGCCAAGAGTGCAGAGCCCATGATCAGGGCGGTGGCCAGGATTTGCCGAGATTTATGGGGGTCACACCACTATGCTTCACGATCCCAAATGCCGATTTGACTACCCACTTGCCCCGATCAGACTCCACCATGCAGATAGTTTCAAGCCATCCGGCAGATCTTGTTTCAGCCTCGATTGGCCCTTCAGGACTCCTCCTATAAATACTAAGCTCAAGACCATGTTTAAGACGTTCAAACACCAAACCAAAAGCCTCCCACAGAGCAAATTATATTTTCTGTAATGCACTTTCAATACCTTTATTTGCTTTCTTATGAGTAGTGGTAGACTGTAAGGAAAATCCATTCATCAATATATCATACGACCCTTGATTTTCAAGGCGCCGGAGCACCACCTCTGTTATCGCATCACTCACCCCATATATCATACGACCGTCGCTCTCTGAGCAACGCGCTGGAGCACCGCCTAAAAACCCACCACCAACACCACCACTAAATGGCCTTATAGCTCAGGCCGTGAACCTGACGGCCGAGATTCGTTCCTCACTCGGTCACAATTGTTTTGATTAGGAGTCGAACGCAAAACAGGCGCAACATTTAAACCATCTTCTACCCGAACCTCATCATCACCTCGACGCACGGTAGACTGTGCTGGCACGCCCGCGCACAACTGCACGGCATCCAAAAGGAGAACGTCACGTGTTGACGCACATCCCCTCGGCCCGGAGCACCAGGCCGCGAGATTTGCGACGGACCAACAGTAGGGAGCAGGGAGTTGTTCACCTGGAAAATCAAACTAACCATCATGGCATATTGAACTCTTACAAAAAGGAGATAAAGGTCAAAGATAGCTTTTCTTTCAAAAGGCGGAGAAGTGATCACCACAATGAACTGACTGTTGATGGTTTGTTTTCCAGAATAGATAAAAATCCCATTTTCTTTGACATTTAAAATAAAAGATCTTATTTTTAGAAAATCTGCAGCCCATTATTAAAAGATTAGAAAACCCACTCCAGCATTTCCTATAAATATGAGAGAAGGTGAACAGATCAAAGACAGCCAAAAAATCAAAATGATCACTTGATCTCAAAAAATCTTCAAAACATTGAAGTAACCAAAAGCTCATTGAGCCACAAGAAACAAGTCAGCTATAATCCAGAATCTCTAAACTTCAGTTCAGTTTCAGAGAAATAGTCATTCAAAGCGAGATTTCTCTTGTTACAAATTTGGTTCAGCATAAGCCAAATCAAGTAGAGCTCAGGTTTTACAAATATGAAAACCTCAACAAATTTATGGAGAGCCCTGATCAAGCAAAACAGGTACCATAGTGCAGTTCCAGCTCAGTAATCATCAAATCCAACCACTTCTTCATGTGTTGTTCCATTCAGGCTATATCATGTATATCTATACACAAATTTCAACATAAACTAGTCTCGAGAGCCAAACCATAAGAAGCAAATCAATCATCGAAGTCCTCAATCTGGCAAAGGCGGAGCTTCTGCCAAGTAGCCACCTTCTGAAGGTTTCACCACATCTTTGTTTTACCATGGTGGATGGAGGAGTGGAGGTGGTTGTGGATGTGGATGGTACATTGGTGACAATAGAGGAGGTAAAAGTGGCGTCAAAGCCATACCTAACTTATTCCACAAGAAAGTCAATTACATGCCAATCTTGGACTAAAACAACTTTTTTCAAAGTAGGAATGGCTATAATATGATTATTTTCCAGAATAGGAGAAAAGTATCCAAAGAAACGTTCCCACAAATGCTTCTTTGCCTCATAAGTAGAATCCAACTCCAATTGCAATGCATGCCTTTCTTCATCTGTCTAGTTTAAGTTTTTCAATTCATCCAGGTTTTCTTCATATTCTGTCATTCTTTTTATGACATTATATAAATACTAGAGGTTTTCATTTGTTCTTAGACTTGTCACAGCCATTTGCCAATTTGGGGAAATGATTTTTCTTTTGGTAAAAATTGGGGAAAATTGGTTTTCTTTTGGTAAAAATTGGGGAAAATGAGTTTTCTATAAATTACTTTTCTTGCATGCGGGAAGCCTTTTTTCGATCGCGCAAGCTATAATTTTTTTTTTTTTTTTTTTTTTTTTTTTTTTTTGTATTTTTCTAGACGCGCATTTTAAAGAGAAAGATGTATGAATTCTAGAATTAGTGAAAAACATGCATCAATTAGTGAATTAGTGAATTACTTTCATTTGGCAACAAAATGTGATCGAAAAAAGGCTTTTTGCACGTGTGGAAAGTAATTCATAGAACGGCGAGGTAAGTCAAATATGGAAATTCATGCATACTGTAGGGGCACGTGATGGAAAAAAGGCCAATACTTTCCCATGTTCTAATAATTGACTTGGAAAAGGCAAGAGAAAACAAATGTGGCAAAATAGTTTACTAATTCATTCATCTTTCTTTTGTTGGAAAAAAAAACTAGGTATAATTGCTATATTAATGGATAGAAAATTCAAAAATAATTTATGCAAATTTTTGCTCAAAATTAATACATACTTAAACACATGTACAATACTAAGCTAACATGATACAAATTAGAAAAACCTGGAAATAATGGTCGATGTAAGTGCTATGCACTCTGTCCTTAAGACAATTTATGTCCAACTACTGTGCTCATGGTTGATCGACATTTGTCTCCCAAGATACAACGACCTTGTCCTTACGATAGTAACACTCCAAATCATAAGGCCCTAGCGAACCACGATTGTGTTGAACTCTCTCATATGGACTCACTTATGAGACTACAAAATCTCTATAATGCATTATGTAATGAATATGTATATGTAAAAGTCATATCTTAGTCTATCTAACATGTGAAGATCTTGCCTACTTATATATGTTGAGAAGCCATTTTTCAAAATATGTGACTTTATTTGAAAGATCAAGTGATGCATTTGTTAACTTCGAAGATGCATTACTTCAAACTTGAAGAGACATATCTCTTCATTTAATTTCCATTTAATTTCAGAAAATTCTAATAAATTTTCTAATTCTAAGTATTGCAGTGGTTGTCTCGGCTCTATCGACGTGAAAGTATAATGTTTAATTAGAGCTATGCGCTACTTATAGTGGATATTGTTGAAGATCATAATATCCAACATAATCTTGAACGTTTATAAGTTGTCCATGATTTGTTTGCACAATGATATTTCAACCTCTGAGGTTTTCAAATTCCTCATTGCCAATTATTATTGCAGCAGCCTGGGATACATATGGCAAACCACCACTTCTTCAAGGTTCTAGAATTTCATCAACATGCACATCCATTGAAGTGAAGGCAAAGACATGATTATAAGCTCGAATGTTTTGCCTAAAATGTCTCCCCTCAGTAGATTGGTTATAGAAGAGCTCATTCAAGCCTGGAGGGGATGGTATTCGAGGTAGCTTAATCTTTCTATTTAAGCAACACATTTGGAAGGTTTCATATTAAAACATACGTACGGTCTTCACATTTTGGACATGTTGCTGGAGCTGGTAATTATAATTTTGTAACTCCGATGTTCTCATAAAAATTTCTAGCACAATTATGTGTTCCTGTTATTCCCACTGGACGTTATCTTTGAAGAACATTGGTGTTATGATAAGTTCTATTCTCATTGATGAGATTAAAATATTAGTCTGTTTAGAAAGGAAACAATAGTAATAAGATGATTAAGGATTGACTTTGACTCTGAGTTCAACCCTTGACTTTGACTTTGACCGTTAATTTCAACGTCTTATCTTCTTCATTTGTTTCCCAAGTTTCTTTTCTCTTCATTTGTACCTCTAATCTTATTTCTTGATGTGCGATCTATAGGTTCCTTTTAGGAAGGTAGTGGGTAGACTCAACTTATCTGAGTTGAGTTGTGAATTAAAGTTCACTATTTAATGAAGGGAATATTGTGTGAATGGTGTTGTGTAGAGATTTCTAAAAACTCTACAACCAAACTTTGAGAGTATAAGTCATCTAGCATGTCATATTTAATATGAAATCAAAGGAAGAGCAGAAGCATTAAATAAACTAGGGGTTCTGCTAGTCTCATTTAGTCTCAATCTTTATAAGTCTATGAAAGTGTGCATCAAAGACTCTCTAAATCCTATTTGAGAAAAGATAAGATGTTCATACCCTTGGAGCTAATCTTGAAATTAAGAATGGTGTTCAAGTAGAGGGAGTGGTCCCTTTGTTGTTGGCTCTTCCTTTGATGTTGATTCTCCACCTTGTAGCTCTCCAAATAGGTACAAAGATATGCACCTGCCCAAAGCTATTCATCAAGGATTGAATGGGATGAGAGAATGAGTAGACAACAAGTGAAGAGTGGTGCTAGTACCCTCACTTGATGTGATAGATTCAAGGGGTTAGGGAGAGAGAGCTTGATGTTTTCTCTCTTCCAATTTCTCCAACTTGAAAAACCCTAGGATGATAGGACACCATAGCTACATACTTATAGGATCAAAAATGTCACAAGAGTGACAAAAATACCCCCAAGCTCTAGTGTAGCCGCACCCCCCTTGTGTGTCACCTTTTTGCTATCATAGTCCAACACATTAATCCTATAATGTGTCACATGTGTGCCTAAGTCCATATGGTCAAATTCCTTTTGAATTTCCAAGTCATATGGGACATTTAATTAAAGTTTCATAACTTTAATTGAATAATTAAATTAATATAATCATTTAATTACTCTAGTGGCTTAACTAATTTAATCACTCACTTGTCTAACGAGTATTGGTCCCGGTCATCCTTAGTTGACCGTGTCAAGTGTCGGGTCAACTATTTGACCTTTGACCTTTGACTTTTGACTTCGATCTTTGACTTTCACATTGACTTTGACCAAGTCACAAAATCATTCATTCTCTTCTTAATTTCCCAATTGATTCCTTTTCGGTGTGCAATCTTATAGGTTCTAATTAGTGAGGTAGTGGGTATGAATGATTCACTCTGAATCAAGTGTGAATTGTATCCCTCCATACAATTCTCCCTATTGGTGAAGGCTAATTATAATTAGTCCTTACAGGGCTTTCACAAGTCATTAGTGACACCTAGTAGTATGTCATGACTACCCAAGCTAAAAAGAATTCATTTAGAGAACCTAGTCAGTTTGTGATTACAATGCAATTCGATCATTCTCTAATTCAATACTCTATGTCATGTTCTCGAGATATGTAAACTTGTGTTAAAATCCCTAATATGACATCGCTAGATTATATGATTCAATTTGATGAAATTGTAAAAGTTCTTGTTTCAATTTTCATCCAATACTTTGGCCAAAGATTCATGAATCATATCTTTGGAGTATTCTTTCTTCTTACTAAGAGCAGAGATTTCTTGTTGTACATTCACGATTCACCTGCCTCTGCGAATATGCTAAGAATCCTGAAGAACACCTTTAAGTCACATTATTTTGATACGACCATATAGTGCTTTCAAAGAGAAACAACATATATACCAGACAACTATGATGTCTTAGGTCCAATGATTAATTTTCATTATCATTACTTAGAATTCTTTGTTTGACACTTGTGGGTAAGACTTCCATACAAGAATTCTAAAGTTGATCGCTTTCAGTGGACTCCATCTTTTACAGAGCACCTGCACATCTGTCTCAATGTCTCTACACAAATGACTTGAGACTAGTCATCCTCCCAATTGAGCAGACATAATGTGTACCAGTCTTTGCGGGTCACCATTGTCCAATTGGTGATCCTATGACTATGAACATTTTAGGATACAATATTTATACGTATGGAAAGGTCTCGTGCATCTAACTTCTTTAGACCACTTTCCATTTATATCTTAATCCATGGACTTGCTACTTTGTTTACGTTATGTATCTAAAGCAACGTTCTTGCCCATTTGATTATTATATATTATTTTCTTAGAATTATCCAATTTTATATTGGCTTCTAGGGCACATATCTAACATTTAATTCATCCTATTGGTAAAGATCGGCTAAGTCTGAACCTTTCATGACTTCCACAAACCATGGTTGACACCTAGCAGTATGTCATGGTTATCCAAGTTAAATAGGTGTAGGGAAGAACCTATTTAAATTGGAACTGCACCCTTCGCACGATTTGGCCGAGTTTTATGAGTTTGTATTTTTCCTTCTTATTTTATTGTGTTTTTGTGAAAATAATCATCCAAATTCTAAACATGAATTTCTCATGAGCTATTGGTTTTTTTTTCTTTTTTCACGAATGTTTCTGTCCAATTTTTTTCATGAAGCCTGTGAGCCCAACTGTTTTCGCCGGACTATATAATAGTAGGGATTTCATTACATAAGTGCCTTGGTGGTATATGGAATGTTTTACCATTCTTTATCTTTTGTTTTATATATACTAGCCCCTTGGCACATGCGTGAGCATGTGCCAATTGGTTTTATTTTTTATTTTTTATTTTATTTTTAGAATTAAGAAAAGATAACATGGGTAGTTATGTTCCATTAAAGTAAGATCTATTATCTGATTTTGTTTTTAATTTTTAATTTTTTTAATATGAAAAAAGTGAATTTACCATATTATCCTAATTTAATTAATAATTTCAATTCTTAAAGTTTGAATTAACCAATGACATTTTCTGATATTTGAATGTTTCATCATTCTCTGACTTTTGCTTTATATATATAGATACTAGCCCACACGTGTGCCAATTGGATTTTTTTTTTTTTAATTTTATTTTAGAATTAAGAAAATATAAAATGGCTAGTTATGTTCCATAAAAATAGGATCCCTTATTTGATTTTGTTTTAATTTTAATTTTTAAATAGGAAAAATATAAATTGATCATATTATTTTCATTTAATTAATCATTTTAATTTTTAATGTTTGCTTCAAGGGTATTTTCTGGTATTTTGAATGTTTCACAATCATTTTATCTTTTGCTTTATTGTTTTTTGATGTGGGCCTTTTGCTTTCTATATGATAGCCAATTGGTTTTATTTTTTATTATTTTTATTTTAGAATTAAAAAAAGATAATGAATGGTTGTGTTTCATAAAAATAGAACGCATTATCCGATTTTGTTTTCAATTTTAAAATTTTAAAATATGAAAAAGTGTGACTTTACCATATTATCCTCATTTAATTAGGATAATTTTAATTCTTAATGTTTGTATTAACTAAAGACACATTTTCTGATAGAGTAATGCAACACTTAACACATTTTATTTCACATTTCCATACTTCATGATGTGACATGTCCATATTATATGTCACATCAATTAAATTAATAAAGTATATTTTAATATAAAAAAATGCATTAATCACATTAATTAGCTAATACGGTATATACACATCAGCTGTCACATTATGCGGTATAAAATTGTGATATAGAAATGTGGTAAGACTAGTATTATTCTTCATGGTATTTTGAATGTTTCACCATTCTTTGCCTTTTTCTCTATATATATAGACCTCATTTAATTAATAATTTTAGTTTTTAATATTTGCATTAACCAAACACATTTTACGATATTTTGAATGTTTTACCATTAAATATATATAGAGAGAGAGAGAACTGTTTTTATGAGATTTTAACTAACAGATCTGAAGAGAAATTGGCACGCGGTGAAGCTTACGTTGGTTTTTCCGAAGGCTCAAAGCCCCTGTCTCTGTTTCTCAAAAATAGAAATAGATGACAAATGCTTCTTCACCATGGCACCCAAGCTACTCTCACCCCTCTTCCCATGGCTCATTCTACTGACCCTCCTGCTCCTCTTTATCTACTCTTCACTCCTCCCCTTCGACACCCCCTCTCCACTATCCCCACAACACAAGAAAATCCCCACTTTACCTTCCTGCAATCTCTTCAATGGCCATTGGGTCCAAGACCCCAACCGCAGACCCATGTACGATGAGACCTGCCCATTTCACAGAAACGCCTGGAACTGCTTGAGGAACAAGAGGGACAATATGGGTACCATCAATTCTTGGAAATGGGTCCCTCAAGATTGCGTTTTGCATCGGATCGACCCGGTTCGATTTCTGGGTCTGATGAGGGATAGGAATATTGGGTTTGTCGGCGACTCTCTGAATGAGAACTTTTTGGTGTCGTTTTTGTGCATTCTGAGAGTGGCTGATTTGGGTGCTAAGAAGTGGAAGAGGAAGGGGGCTTGGAGAGGAGTTTATTTTCCTAAGTTCAATGTTACAGTGGGGTATCATCGGGCAGTGTTACTCGCCAAATATGAGTAAGATTGTCAGTTTTCTATGCAATTCTTTCATGGGATTGTTTTGCTTCTGCTACCTAGTATAATCTAATGAGAAGAATAAATGTTGTTATGTGCTACCGTTACGTATATTGTTACAAAAACGAACAAAGTACACAAAAATATGAACCTTATAAGTTAAATCAAGCATCTTTGGGCATACAGATGATTTAAGGTTGTTCAAAACAGATTGGTACTGACATTGACGAGTTTGGTGGATTTAACCTTAAGCAACTTAATTTTGTATCTGGAGGAAACGGATGTTTAGATATTAATGGATATGCATAAGTGAAGTGGTTGGAAAATTTTCATTTCTTTCTTGCTTATAACATTCTGTTTTGGTGTTCCCTGAGGTTTGAGGGTAACCTGTGGCGGTCTTCATGGTTCCCTTCGACTGAAACTCAATCTAGAATCTTGTTAGTCGTCTTTATCTGAGTTTCATATTCGTCTGAAAAAAATTCTGAGAATGGAAATCTCACATGCTCATAGCTCATTAAATCAAGGTGGCAGCCGAAACAGCCTGCACGTGGTGACCAAGATGGAGTGAAAGGAATATATCGAGTAGATGTTGATATTCCTGCTGATGATTGGGCCAACATTGCTGATTTTTATGATGTCCTTGTTTTCAATACTGGGCACTGGTAATTATCTTGTCTCTTCTCCTAATTCACCAAAGAGGTTGGTTAATGAACTGATTTATCCAGCGTTTATTTATATTTTGAAAATTTTAAATTCATGCCAATAAGGGTCTTAAATCTAGTTTTACTAACATCATGAATAGTATGGTCTTCTTTCTGTGGTACTGATGAAATGACTTCTTCTATTCCTTATTATTAATGGGACTTTTATTGAAACATGAATGCGGGGAAAAAATTTATTGACATAGAGATAATCACACACACACACAGAGGTTGTGACTGGTTTCTGAAATGAACAGAATAACTTTAAGAAATATTGAAGTCTTCAAAAAGAAAATCAGAAAGCTCCCCCTTAATAATGGATACACTAGCGCTACACTCAAATCTCTTGTTCAATTTGTTTCATTGAGCTGGCACCTCCTTAGTTGGTTTGCATACTCTGTTATCCATTCATATTTCTGCAGAAAACAGCATGGAATTACTAAAGAATTTGTGCTTAACTAGGTGGAGTTCTGATAAGTTCCCAAAAGAGACTCCTCTCACTTTTTATCGTGCGGGCAAACCAATCTTACCTCCCCTTAACATATTGGATGGATTTAAAGTTGTTCTTGAGAATATGGTCTCTTACATACAAAACAAACTTCCTCAAAATACACTCAAGTTATGGCGGTTACAATCACCAAGGCATTTCTATGGGGGTGAGTGGAACCAAAATGGCAGTTGCTTGTTCAATAAGCCCCTTGAAGAGCAGCAGGTATGTATTCATGATGGCTTTCCTTTGTTATGCCACTTACCATGGTTTCATATATGAGCTGTAATGTCAGTTTGGTTTGTGTCCATTGTGGAACAAAATCGTAACTTTCTTTCAAATTTTATTTATGTGCTCTGGAATATTCATGAACAATTCATAACCTAACCATGGCTTGAAATTGAAACCAAATCTCGTACTTCATTTTGTTTTTCTCTTTCCTCTAATTTTTGTTTAGACAATGCCTTGTGCCCCCCCTGCCCCCCGTGTTCTTGAGAAAATCATATAGTAATACCTCAACAGCTTGACTTGTGGTTTGACCCCAGCAACAATGGACCGAATAAAGAAGAAAGACTGCTGAATCATCTGATTGAAGACATTTTGCAACGAACTGATATTCAATTGCTTAACCTGACTTATCTGAGTGAGTTCAGAGCAGATGCCCATCCAGCAATTTGGTTGGGACAGAAGGATGCTGTCGCAATCTGGGGCCAGGACTGCATGCACTGGTGCTTACCTGGTGTACCAGATACATGGGTTGACATTTTAACAGAGCTGATCCGTACTGGATTGGAGATAGGATGATGAACACTTGGTAGAACCTATGATCTGAAATTGGATACAAGGATGACTTTCACATAAGCTGAATTGAGCCGAATCAGCCGATTCTTTTTGTACACGAAGTAGGACAAGATAAAGGTGGGCATTGGGTGCATACAATCACAGCACAAGTCTAACTGGGAAATTTGGAGGCAGCTTATAGATGGAGGAAAGCTGCTGTTCCCTCTCTTTCGTGAAGGAGAGTGGCATGGTACAGATTGCACTCAAATTGTAACAAAATCAAATTAAGAGAAATTGTTTTGTAACAAATGAGTAATGTTCTTTCATCACTTTTCATTAATATTATTTGGGGAGGCTCCTGGATCCTTACATCATGGCTTATGGATCCTCAAGTCAAAAATTGGAATAGCCAAGTATGTAGGATTGGTTTTTAATGTATTTAATCGTGACTGTTGCTTAAATAGCGTCTCCATTTTCATTTATTTCGTTTTGTTTCAAGCCTAGAAATTGTGATGAGGTAGTTAATCAATTGGCTACCTATGCTCCTCCATTGATTCAAATGATTTTTTTAGAAGTGATATTTTAACTATTATAATGTTCGAGTAAAAGTATCAAACTCGGATGTAAGAGAGCGAGTACACCACTTGCCGGCAAAGTCTGAAGACACTAATAAGAAGGATAGTAATAAAATATTGTTACAAAAGTTGAAACAAGTACTCCAAAATGTGAAGTATACCCTCAGTTTAATGCTTATATAGATTTGGGATACAAACAATATTTGAGAAAAGCGAGACACAGGACTTTGAATGCAAAGTAAGAAATATTGTGAATCACTTTAGCTACAAGCCTGCAATCCATGGCAGGACTCCGATACACATATTACTCGTTCATTTGATAATTAATTGCTAAATGCATTTTGTTTAGAAAGGAAATGTGTTTGTTTCCAGTGATGAACAAAAGAAAAATGCATTTAATTTCAAGTTTTTCTCCTACAAAATGCTGAAGAAATAATGTAAAACATAGACATATTTGTTGTAAAAAAATTTATCTGAACATAATTTTTCATAATGTCAATTTTAAGAATAATTTTTTATAATGTCAAGTTTACAACTACTCAAATAAACTTCGGGATTGACTAATAAAGTGTTAGTTGGATTGGTCCAGTCTTTTGATCTACTCCCAAGTGGTCCTCCATTCAAGTCTCATAGTACCCATGTGTGTTATTTCCCCTCTTCCCTTTCTAACTTTTGCACCCGAAAAAAAAATACACACACACACACTTCTGGATTGGGCTTGATATTGTATCACAGGGCCACACCATAAACATTGCCTGTGGGCTAGCTCTCAAAAAATGGACAAAATTTTCTTTAACTACACTCTTTCTCTTACTTCCTCCTGAGCCTCTAACCAATCTGAAACAGAAACTAAAATCCTCAAAATGGCACTAAGAATGAATCTCCTTTCCCCAAAAATCCCCAAACAACCTCCAAAATTCCACACCAATTCCTTCCCCTCTATAACCCGTTTCAACACCAGACCCAAAACCCAAATAATAATCCACTGCAACAACAAAAACATCAGTGATGCAGAGCTTGCATCAGATTTGTCAAAGATGAACACCCTTTTCATGCAGAGAGAAGAGGCCATGAAGAAGAGCAGAGAGCTTCTCTTCACAGAGCTGTGCCAGTACCTCAATTCGAAATCAGAGGAGGTGAAGAAGAAATGGAGGAAAATGGAGGAGGAGGACAAGTGGGTTTTGATAAAAGCGTTTGTTTCAGAGTGGGGGGTCAATTTTCACCCATTGTCTGCAAAGTCTGTTAAGGAATTGGTTGAAGAACATCTCCATGAAGAAAACCCACATGCAAAATCTTCTGCTTCAGCATTTTTTCCTGGTTTGAAGAGAATGATGGGGTTCTCAGAAGACAACTAGTTCACTTTTGGTTTGCAATTTGGGTGTCAAATATTAGCGGTTTTGTTGGGATGTGAAATTTGTTGAAATAACAAATTCAGATACTCTAGAGTTTATTCAATTTTTTTGTTATGATGGTCAGGTTTCCAAACATCTCATTTGGGATAACAGATGAAAATTTTACTTGAAGCTTGTTGGGGCTGCTTGATCAATTTTCCTGAGAATTTCAGAGTGAAATTTCCTAATAACTCAAAAGAAAAAAAGAGAAGAAAAAAAAGTGTATTTTCTGAAATCATATGATATGTTCCTCCAAGGCAAAATGTACAAATGTTGGTAGTGGTTGGCCTTGGCAAATTGCAGCTAGATATCCACCTCCTCCTTTTGAGAAAAAGAAAACATGCCGACACTGGTATTTACGCACTCAATATTATATTGCCTTTAAAGGGAGACATTTTTCTAGGATCTATAATTTGTAACAAACTTACTGCTGCCTGAGTAGTTTTGTTATCGAAGTTCAAATTGTAAATCCATAAAAATTGCATTCTCTTTTGGAACCATGAAACATCCAAATTGGAAAATGCTCATGTTCTAGGCTGCTTCCAACAGATGACCTTTGTATTACATCACATTCCATGAAATTAACAAATGTTTGTTCAACATTTTATGCAAATTAATGGAACTTCAAGAATCAAACGACGAGTTTGGAAGGAATGTCTATATACAAACTGATATCTCACATGGAGGCAATGTACGGTATCACCATAGATCTTGCAGAGAAAGGGTGATTACAATTCAGAAATATAGCTGGCGGCACTGAGCAGCTGAAGCCTCTGCTGGACAATACGGGCATTTAAATGTTCGTGTGCTGCTCTTGGTCAGCTTCAGGATTGATTGCTTGCAGAGAACATGCAAACATGGCATCAACATCGGCGGATTCTCTTCACTGCTTTGATCTCTACTCACAGGACAGACAAATATTGAATGGAACTGAAATTCCTTCCCCAACTCCACAGGGACTGGCAATTGTTTCATCGCCTGCCACTCCTGCTTCTTCGCAGCCATTACATTTGCCAACTTCAAGAGAGTTGGCAACCCTTCCAATCCAGCAGCTATTGTCATACTCAACGGGCTATTATAGGACTGCCCCAACAGACTGCAGAACTGCCGTGTAAGATCCTCCATCGACTTCTCCCAATGGGTTGGGGATGTAAACTCAGAATATGGGGAGCTGTCAAGCCTTCCTGGATACAACAGGCAACCCATGAGCTTCAGGACCTCTTCCTTGTGAGGGGAGGCAGGAGAAGCAAAAGGGGCAAGGCAAGTCCTGGCATATTTAAGTGCATCAGCTTGAGTTCCTTTTTTCAAAATCTCCAGAAACTGCAAACTATGAAGTTTAAGCTCGAGATTTGACCCACTCTGATTCAGTTTCTCGCGGTTAGCAGAGACCCAGTTCAGAGCAGGCTCGAGGTTCTTAACCTTCATAGCCTCAAGTATCTGATGCATTACCAAGAACTGAGATTTTAGAATGGTTGACTCTGGTTCTCCAGCCTCATCTATTATGCCATCTCCCAGATCAAACGAACCTTGCCGGTAAAAATGATTTGCAATCAGCTGATTCTCAATGTGATGGTCGAAGTCAACATCTCTGTATGCCTTTGATATGTCTGGATTCAAGGACTTTTCCAGGAATTTAGTGTACTTGCTAAGGTTTCCGTTTAGTTCCTTATGTGAGCCCTCTAACAGGTGGATTGGGCCAATTCCATTGAGCTTGAGTTTAAGCTCTGCAAGGATGGATCTATAATCAACAGGAGAGGTGGGATCATGAGCTGATAGGAGTCGTGTCAGTGCCTGTTCAATTTCGCAACCAACTAGGTCAATTACTTCTTGGGATCTAGAAGAACATAATTTTTGCTTCTTAACAACACGCTCAAATGCATCTTTGATGGTACTTAGCTCCATTTTCTTGTTTGAGCAGCAAGCTTCTGCAAGACCAGGCAATAGTTTCTTGGAGCACAACACCACAAAATAAGCTATGCAAATTAATCTTCTTGAATGTATTTATCAGAAAACTGGAATTTTATGTCTTTTACAACAGAATTCTACTAAAGGCAACCCACAAAAGCTAACAAAGGAAATGGAAAGTTGTGTCTCATCAATGAAGGATATCAACAGATGAGCATAAAGAGGATATATGTACTAAATAGTAAACAAGAAAATGTAGGCGGGCAGCATTCAACATCATAGTAGTCTCATTAGTTATTTGTGATTGTCCTGTACAGATAAAGAAAACAAACCAAAATGCATATGTAAAGGTTTACTGATGAAATATAACCATAAAGAGGTCAACCTGAGCTTTACCTTGCTCAGCCTTGGGCTCATCTAAAACTTCCCACAGTTAAGTTAGATTCCTGCACAGCTCAACCCGAGCTAGCTAGTCATCTTTTACTACAATAATTTGGTGCTGCAGATAGAGATATAGGTCCCCAACTCCCTAAGTTTTAAATATTGCAGCCCATAACTCAAAATCAACGAACGCACATAAACCTCAATTCAAGCCATTGCATTAATTCCGATATGCATGTAAATTGAAAGATTGAGATTCGTATTATTTATAAGGTTAGACTAGGATCTACACTGCAAGCCGATGGAAATCCTCCTTCCTATCACTTAAAGACGACCACAAAATGCCATACGTGGCCTACCTTGCCTAAAACCACCTTATGTGGTGAATTTATTTCATTTATGGCGATTATTACTATTTGTTAATCAGTCAACTGAGCATTGGACATGGGTGTACCCCGTGCACAACTGTTGTATCTTCTTGGATGCTCAATTTCCAACAGAAGTGTCCTACGAAAGGAGCACTGTAAAGAGTCAATTATTCAGAATAAAATTGGTTCCAACTAAAGTACAAACATAATAGCTCACTCAATAGTTACATTGGATTTAGGGCATCATCTTGGCTTGCATGGAATCATACATGCAAAATAAGGCTTCTGAATTTCAATGACTTGAGTACACACATAAACTGTCCCCACATCTTCCCCTATCATACAAATACCATCCAACATTGCATCACTTTATTTTAGTAGAAATTTCTTGGTTTACGTTGGTGCATAGCAAGTATGAAGGGAAAACTGTAAGGAAAAAAACTTGACAATGATGAATGAAGACTCCACTGCTAAAAGAAGAAGATTCTATGAGCCAGTGCAAAGCAAAGTAACAACTTCAAATACAAGGTAGGTATTCTCCCTAAAGTTCACAAAACCACCAACAAAAACAAGCACCCAATTGATATCACAAATGTTCGAAAAATAACAAAGTTGACAATCAAAACATAAAACTCTTTTTTATTGTTATTAAAATGAAACACAATTTGGTGGCCAAAAGAAAAATATATATATCTCTGTAAGGATACCTTTCTTGCTCCTATCTGTCGTCCCTCGAGAACGAAAAGCTGTTCCTGTAATGAAAAATAAAATAACAATAAAAATGCTACCACTCCTGGTCATTATAGCATAGACCAAATTTTGTTTATACTCGTTAAAAACCAATTTTGAAATTTCTAAAAACAGTAATAGAATGCCGAGGTCAAATTATACACAGAGCAATTGCCAAGTTACAATCACAACCAAACTGAATTTCACAATTTATGAAATAAGCTAATTTTCAAGAACACTGAATACTGAAACTCATAATATACACACTTAGTGGCCTGAAAAAAAAAATATCCACCCTTAATCCTGATAATTAACAACTTCCTACTACTAATTTTAGAAAACCCATCCAAACTGAAATTAAAGAGAGCCAAACGAACATCCCTTCGCTCAAATAATTTTCAATTGAATCATTCCATATATAAAATATATGATTTGGAAGCTTAAGTTTACTTTTTTTTTCCCCCTTCGTTTTCTCAGCAACCAAACAGAATTGACAGAAATTACGAAATTGATATGTCACCAAAAAATCAGTTAAAAGGGAATAAAGATTACCGAAATTGGATCGAAATTGAGGGAGAGAGAAAATCTCGATGAGAAGCTCTGGTTCGTTGTTGGAGGATCCCTGAGAGACAGAGAAGACGAGGAAGAAGAAGAAGAACGCAAGCGTGCGAGTTTGTGAGAAAAATGTTGGTGGCACACGTGTGATTATCTTGTCGTGCTGAAATTGCCCTTGAGCTTTTTACTCTATTACGTTTCTATCCTTAACATTTTGGGATTTGTTTTTTTTTTTTTTTTTTTTTTTTTTTTTTTTTTGGTACGTTCGGATGCGCTGCTGTTCTTTACGTGGCGTGATATTTACGTGCCACGTAGCGTTTTGTTGGACATGCGGATGCGGAACACCAAAACAGAATAGTAAGAATTACTAAGAAATAATCCATGATTAAGCGTAGAATAATACATTTAACTAGCATCATCAAAACAAATCAATTGGCACTCCCGGACCAAAAATGAGGTTACCATCACTACTACTGTTGTAAAGAATAAATATGTGGAGCCCATTTATTATTGGTTTCAAGACTTTGGTGCATAATGCTTTCATGCACATTCACGGGAATGGCTTCACATTTGCCTATAAAATGCTTCCTTCTTTTGCGAATGCTCCCTGCACCAACCATCGGTGAAGAAAATGAGAGCTCAGGTAGAGAAGAAGGGAGAAAGAAAGGAGAGTGAGAGCAGAGAATTCTCCGAGAGAGAAAAATCAATGAGCCAGAGAGATTGTAAACACTACAATTGTAATCCCTATTATTTTAATATAATATGCTTTCAATATTACTTAATTACTTTATGTATATATCCATATATGTATATCAGGTGGTGGTTTTATCCCTATATTATATTTACTGTTTATTTAAAGTAGTATGTAGTAGTATTAGTACTCATACAAGCACATTTATTTTATCGTTTATGTTAAATTCAGAGAGACGGGCCAATGGCCCACTACTAACATACCGATATTGTCCCCAACTTAACCACCTACAAAGCCTAGTAAGTGTGAGGTTTATTATTAGTAGTTGAACCATTCATTATATATTGTATTTTATTTAGTCAAGTTTTTGATGTAGGACTCATATTCTTCAACACGCCCCCTCACGTGGGACCACCACATAGTAGGCCATACGTAGAGCCAAGTCCACATCGAAGTCAAACATTCAAACCCAACATGTGAGCACCATATATTGGATAATGGTAACCATTCAAGCCCAACATGTGAACACCATATATTGGGTAAGGGGTAAGAGTAAAAACCCAGTAATTCAGGCTCAATCAATTCACCTGCTCTGATAGCATGTTAAATTCAGAGAGATGGGTCAGCGGCCCACTACTAACACACCGATATTGTTCCCAACTTAACCACCTACAAAGCCTAGTAAATGTGAGGTTTTATCACAAAAGGCATCGGTGATATTAGTAGTTGAACCATTCATTATATATATATTATATTTTATTTAGTCAAGTTTCCAATGTGAAACTCATATTCTTCAACAGTATATTTAGTTTATATTTTAAAGTATGGTGGGAATTAACATTCATACAACAAGCAATTTACTTTATGAATTTATTTACCGCACATTTATTTTTATTTAAAGTGTGGTGAGGGTTTATAATTCATTTATTTACAAGCAACTTATTTTTAATTTACAAGTGTGTTATGATGAGTTTTATAGCATACATAGATCAAGACCATAAGTTCCTTGATCCTCGTCATACAACTACATCAGGACCAGAAGATCCTTGATGATGAAATAAAATGAGAGCTGGTGGTCTCTCCAGTACTATATATGTGAAAAAGTGATCAAACCTGAAGATCCTTGATCCTTTCATGACTTGAAGTTCCTTGATAAAAACAGTACAATATACAGGAATAGTGCCATACACATGAATACTAAATGTACTAGCAAATGTATTGTACACATGTCATCAATAGTAACTATACACATGAATAGTGATTGTACTGGCAAATGTATTGTATGCATGAATAAAACCGTATTCATTACTTGATGAATAGTATCGTATACACCAATAGTGACGTATACATGAATAGTACCATTTTGGGTAAACCATCACTATATGCAAAAGAGGGGGGGACCTATAGTTCCTTAAACTCATGAATGAACAATTATATGAGATACCAGAAATTCCTCAAAAACATGGACACTTATGTATGAGCCTGAAGTCCCGAAATATGTATAAGAAATTATAAGAATGTCTTACCATGAGAATATGTGATTTTGGCCTAAAGTTCAAAATCTAACAATGTTAAGAACATGAAGTTTCAACAATTAAATGGACAACCCTTGATGTATTATTGCGAGTTGTGGCGTACTGCATGTTTCTTCGGCATAAGAAAATGATGAATTTATCAAAGATCGATTTTATCACAAGCGACACCTCAAGGAAGAAATATATTTTGTGAATCCGTGAAATGAATAGTATCAGGATAAACCTCAAAGGATGAAATGAGGCTCCCCATATTTTGTTATATTATATGATCTGGGTCAAAAGCCCATGGATCCCAATTTATGAGAAATCCTTAACCTGAAGTTTTGGGTATATAGTAGTTAATGCTCTTCACTACTATATTACAATATTATGGCTTTTCCTCACTTTATATTTCATACCTATTTGAAAAGCTTATGTTTAACGCAGGCCAGAAGTTCAGGACTCACATGCATTGAAATATATATAATTTGAGAGATTTAATGTGGTTATTTGAACCTATAAGGCACAAGGTTCCAAACCGTCATGCACCAACCATCAAAGAAGAAAATGAGAGCCCAGGTAGAGAGGAAGGGAAGAAGAAAGGGATGAGAGGAGAGAAGAGAGCAAAAAATTCTCAAAGAGAGAAAAATCAGTGAGCTAGAGATTGTAAACACTAAAGATGTAGCCCTATTATTTTACATAGTGGAAAAGTTACTAATGCTGTTCTCCGAGGACGCAGGTATGACTGAACCCTTTTAAATATTGTGTCTTGTTTACTTTATATACAGTTCAATATTCCTGCATGTATCGTTCATTTTACAACAACCACCACGATCGTGCACACATTTATCAACCACCATCTTATTTATAAATTAAGGGCCTCTAAAAAGATAGACTTTAAATTCATTAATATTTTTAAGTTAGTCAAAGAAGAAACTTTACAAATTTTAGGACAGTAATTTCCATCATTTTCACCAACAGGCATAGGGTCTAGCCTAATGCAAAATGGCATTGACTAACAGAACATCGGTCTCATATTCGAACCTCCATGGCACATTGGTGGTGTGTATGACACATCCCCTTGTAGTTTAGACGCTCATATTAAAAAATAAATAAAATTTCCCATCATTTTCGAATTCCATTGTATTACTAAATTTTCTTGTCCAAACGCAAGGTGGAAGTTCAACTCTATTTATTTGACTTGTAACTATTTGATTTAGTGACATGAGGCTCCACTTTGTTGGTTGAGGCCTTTTTTTATTGTGTGCAAACAAAAGAAAAGGCTCCTCACATAGAGAATAAAATCACATATTAATACGCAAGTTAAGACCATTTTCTACTTGATTAGACCCATTAACTTTCGAACATGCCCGTAAGCTTTATTGATACCACACAGCACCCTTTCTCTTGATTTTTCTTTTTCTCCTCACTATCAAACCATCAGCAAATGCAAACTGATGAAATGCCAACAAGTTATAACGTTTGAAATGATTTCATTTTTCTCGCAATATACTGACCAAGAGCTGTGCTGTTGTGGAAGAAGAAAATCCATTTCTAGAAAGAAGATTTTTGTTCCTTTTTTCCCCTTCCTATCACTCCTTAATCCCAATTATTAATCCTTACTTCGTACCTCTTTAAAGCCCACTCAAATGTCTAATCCCTGTGTTTGGTTGGCGGGATAAATGGAAATGTTGGATTAAAATACGATCAGTTATCCATGCACCTAATATCTTGTGTTCGAATTCACCCTTCCCAAATATCGGTAGTGTAAAAAAAAGATGTACAAAGATGAGCAAAATAGATGTTGCAATTTTCAATACCATATACAAAGTCCTTATTCAAAACAACACAGTCAACAACCTCAAACACCTGTGTGATGATACACAATCAACCATCCCTGATTATCCCATGACTTCTGGATTAAAAATTTGCAAGAAAAAAAAAAATACATTTTTCACATGCTCAACAAAAACATGCTTACATGAATACATATGTCCAAGATTTTCCAAAGTCCAAACGGCTACAACGATTTCAGTTCCACGTTCAGATGCAATGCCGTAAACTAAAACATCTTAAGTCATCCAATCTGTTGCCTTTTATTCCTTTAGATAGTAAAAAAATTGAAGAAAAAAATTGGGGAGGAAAAGTAAGAGGGAACGTGGCTAAATGTATATGAACTGTTACTACAAGAATCATCAACTATCAAGACCAACCTCTGTTATATGTAATAAGCATCAAGTTCCCCCCAAAACTTTGGCTTGTTGCCTGAAAATCTGTAACTATGTATGAGTAGGACAGATTTAATTGTCCCCAAGAATGTCAATCAATAAAAACAAAGGCCTCCAAACTACTGCCTTTCTGTGTATACAGTTGCGATAGCAGGGTCAGTACGTGGAATTCCAACATAATTGCAACTGGAGCAAGAAAAAAACCAGCTACGACGACCCTTACTTCTGGATTCGTTCCACCTTGGCTCGAATCTTTTCTTCCAATACAGAAGTGTCTGTGTCAAGATCAAACATCCTATTTAGAGCATGCATATTCTCTAGAATCTCACTCAAACTACGATTGTCGCTTCCATCGCACCTGAGGTGCTGCATCGGACCATGAAGGAGTTTATTCACTATTCCCATGCTAAGATCATAAATAGCTTTTTGTTGCTTCTTTGAGATATCATCGCCCATCTTTGACAAACACTTGTCAACCTCGCAAGCCCTGATCCTTTCAGCATAAGCTCTAAACTTCTTGATAGTAGGAACAGTCTCAAGTGAATCCTTCCAAGCTTCAAATTTACTTAATTCCTCAGTGATAATTTTCTGAGCTTCCATAGCCTTCCGAAGCCTATCCTCCTTGTGAGCTGCCACAACCTCTTTGAGGTCATCCACGTTATATACACATGCAGTTTCAAGATCTGAGACACATGGTTCCACATTCCTAGGTACAGAGATGTCAATAAAAAGCCGATTTCCAAGTTCCGGACTGACAGATGGAAGCATCTGTACATGTTCTTTCAAGAATAACGGGGTTTCTGATGCAGTGCTGGTGAAAACGACATCTGCTTCAGCAGCGCTTCCTAGCATATCTGAGAGGGGTTTGTAGATTATTTCAACATCTTTGAACTCTTCACGTAGGGCAGCAACTCTCTCCTCACTCCTATTAACAATCACCATTTCTCTGCACCCTTTAGAAACTAAGTGCTTAATTACGAGTTTTCCCATCTTGCCTGCACCAATCACCAACACTCTGGCAGTAGCATAGGAAGGTTTAGGAAGCTTCATTAGGGCTAGCTCCACAGCAGCCGAACTCACAGAAACTGAGCCTGAGGCAATGTTGGTCTCAGTTCTCACTCGCTTCCCAACAGTGATTGCATGCTTGAAAAGCCCACTGATTTTCCTGTCAAAACCAGGTACTCCTTGTCCAACTTTCACAACATGTTTGACTTGAGCAAGGATTTGACCTTCTCCTAGTACAAGAGAATCAAGCCCAGCAGCTACTTCAAATAGGTGCTGGGTGGCATCTTCGTTGTACAGCAAAATTCGGTGCTTAGAAAGCTCAGAGACGGGAACACCACTTACCTTTGACATCCATTCAGTCACTTCTTTAACCCCCCGATGCTGGGAGAGAGCCACGACATATATTTCCATACGGTTACAAGTGCTAAGAACAGCAGCTTCTTCTATATGATTCAAAGCACAGAGCTCACCAATGGCTTGAGACCACTGTGCTTCAGGGATGGCAAGTTTCTCACGTAGCTCAACTGGAGCAGTGTGAACATTTAGGCCTATAACAGCTACGCTGCTCCTTTCCTTCGTATATCCTGAAAGAAATTAAAAAGATTGTTCAGAAAATTGAATCACCAAATCAACTAGTGGCATCACACAATCTTCAAACTCTGTAAGAAACATTTATTCCACCAAAAAACAAAAACATACACTTCAACCTTTTCAGAGTAAAGATTTTGCTTAACTGTCACATAATCACATACCCATTATACTAAATTGAAAACTAGAGGAAAATTTCAGAGATTAAACTAAAAACAAAAAGTAAATGCTTTGCTAATTCTCAGATGAACACTTAATAGGTCACTAAACAGTCATTGTTCTTTAACTTTTAGCAACCATTTTAAGAGCCCTAAACCACAACCCATCAACGATTTATGAAACTAAACTGGTTTACTGGACGAATATTACGCAAATGAAATCATTTGACCAATCAAAATTCCAAAACAAATTAGAAAATTAAACACAGCGAACTACCAATTCAAAACACAATCACGGCTATCAATCGGAAAGTAATAAAAAATGAATTGAGAAGAGAACTCACTGTCAGCCGAGGACGTCTTGAGGAGCTCGAGAGCCGAAGATCTCAAAGACCTGGAAGTGGCGGTCTGAACCGGTTTCTCGGCGCCAATTTCACATCTAGGATTGAACGCAGATCTTCTGAGCGTCTGAATCGGGAAAGGCCTGTGCGGGATTCGGATTTGGGAATGCGCAGACTTGGAGAAGGAGGAGGTGGCGCGCTCTGCGTTCGGCCATGGAAGAGCTGCGACACCACTCGCAGCCGCCGCCATTTGTAGAGAGAGAGAGAGAGAGAGAGAGAGAGAGAATGAAGGCTGCAGAAGAAATCGGAGTAAAAGGTGGATGGTGATGAGATGATATATGAAGGGAGAGAGAGAGAGAGAATGTGGAACGAAAATGTCAAAGGTTTGATTGTGGAGTTTGGAACTTGGTGCGAAGGGATCAAAAAGTTTGACCGATGAGGAGGGGGAGAGGAAGCAGCCAATGTCAAATGTTAAAAACAAAAATATTAAAAAGAAACACGTTTTTGTTGACAGACCAAAAAACCAAACCAAAAGCAGGACGGTTTAGGCCTCGTGGTCGGTATGCAACCCCATTATTGACCAACGCCCAAGTTGTTTTATGTTTTCATTTTGAACAAAAAAGTCGTCGGGTTTGTTGGTAAAATAAATGTTTTTGGTCCAGCTAAAACAAATGTTCTTGGAATTTGACAACTTTTACGCCTTTGTTATTATCGTAATCAAGCCTTTCGGTTTTTATCAATGATATTTCTATCATTTGGTAAAGAAAAAATGAGAGAGACAATTGAGAAAAAAGAAATAAAAGAGGTAGTTGAGAAAATAATTGTGTGCGTTTTTTCTTCTCATTAGTAATCTCTATTTATAGAGTTAGGTTTACAAGAATCCTTATTCTACACGGATTCTGATAAGATAATTAGATAATCCATACCAAATGGATAGCCTAAACCACATTTATCTATAATTCAAAACACAAAAATTCGTTTATTTTTCTCACGTCCAATGATAAGCTTTTTTTGTTGTTGGAAGGGCGTCCAAGGACAAGTTGAAATGTGTAAAATTGAAGCATTTTGCCCTTTGTTATTCTTAGCTCCACAAAACCAACTTGAAGAAGTCCACCCAAGTGCAACCAAATAAGAAACATTTTTAAGTACAACTAGGCCCATAACACTTTTTATCATCATTTTTTAGCTAAAACTTCCATTTTAAAGTATTTGTTTTAGTATAAACGATAGTCTAAACTATAATGAATGAGATTTTCTCATACACACAACTAAGATGTTATATGGGTTCAAACCTAAGATTGGGCTAGACCCCATTGACTATTTTAAAGTCATTTTAAGTAAAATCAATAACCAAAACAATAAAAAGAACTCTGAAAATGAGAACTATAAAAAAAAAAAAAAAAAAAAAAAAAAAAAAAAAAAAAAAAAAAAGATAATAATTTTTATTTTATTTTTAAAGAAGCTAGGTGAGCGGAGTTGTACTTATAAATGTTTGTTATTGAGGTGCATCGAGATTATTGTTGTAATTACAGTTGGGTTAGGTTTTTTAAAGTTGGTTAAGAATGACAAAATTGCATTGCGCTAAATCCCAAAGCAGCCTAAACAACGTTTAGTCCTTGTTCCCCACAATGAGAAACAAATGAGTTTATTAATTGCAAAAGAAAAATGCAATAAATTTGCATGAAATATTCAACGTGAAATCATGAATACCGATTGTTATGATTTTTTCACCAATAAGACGTTAAGTTTTTGGGAAATTGAAGAGCCACTGGTCTTATATTCGACTCATAGATGATGATTATGATATATATTTGTGATGAGTTCAATACTTTAATTATAGTTTATTTGATTGTGATAGTGTATCTTTGTTGTGAGTGTATTGACCCGTTGTAAGAGTATCTTATAAATATTGAAGAAAAAGGAGAAGGCTCCCAAAATAGCGCGGTGCATATTCAATTGCAGTTGAACCAGTCCAATCTTCTAATACCATTTTCTTGCCTTTCTTTTATCTTCAAATGGGCTTGCACGTTCTCAAATCCTCACCCCTTTCGTCTTCCTCCAAGACCATAATCTTCAACCCCACAATCACACCCACTGTCACGAAGCTCTTTCACCCTCCAAAACCTGCACCCACTTCTCTCTTCAGAACCCATTTCAGAGCTCTACCACCAAGACCCATCTTAAGCGTCATACCCGCTATTGGGCTTGGCGGGTCTTTGTTCCAGAGTAAGCGTAGCTTTCGCGGTGGGGTTGTCGTAGCCATGGCTGCTCCTGGGTCGGTCCAGAAATCAGAGGAGGAGTGGCGGGCCGTGCTCTCGTCTGAGCAGTTTCGGATTCTGAGGCAAAAAGGCACAGAGTAAGATGTTTGCAATTGTTTAGTTGCTTAATAATTTGATTTAGACTTCTAATCTTAATTATATTGATGCATGGATTATGAGAAATAACTAGCAATTGCAAGCATTTTAGTTTATTTACTTGGTACTTATTTCTAAATTCATGTTTTTTGTGGAAAGTTTTGAATTGGGACTATTGGGTTTTGTGTGTTGGATAAGAGTGAAATGAGGGAGATATCATTTTTTTTTGGGAGTTTGAGGCTTTGACACTGAGCATCCTTGGGTCTTGTTTCATGGTGTAAGCTTCATAGTCTAATACATTAAACAGGAAGTTCATTTTCAAGATTTTACTAACATTGGAGGAAAAAAAGATTATAGCAATTGAGGTCTTCCAGCTAGTTTGAATTGAGTAGGTTGAACTAGTTGGGTGAATCTCTTTATATTTGAACTGTGGGGATTACATACCAATTAGAGACTGAGCTAGTATTAATTATTGTTCTTCATCTATTTATCCATGGCTTCTAATGCTGGATATTACTAGCTTGGGTAGTGGAATTTTAAATGAATACCATCATGGCTAATATAACAGCAATAGATGTCTTTTGCTAAATGAGTGGATTTCCGGTTTTCTATCTATACAAATTGGGATGAGTACAAGCATCATTAGGTGGTGATAATGGTAACTTTATCATATAGAATGTTCTGATTAACTGTTGCCATGTTCACTGCCATGACTACCACTTCCTCAAGGGAGCAACGTGTAATTGGCATAGGATGTTAAATTGTCAATATGAGAAAAAGAAGGTAGGAGGAGTAGTATCCATAAAAAAAAGATTCTATATTGAAATTGGGCAAACTTACAGTGATTGTCCCAAAAAAAGAGAGGAAGGAAAAATGATTCCATGTTCATAAGGTATGACTTTGAGATTAAAATAGATTGTCATCCTACAATGTACACTTCTTTATTTGGGAGAGGAACTGACTGGTATAGACCAAAGACCTAAAACATTAAGCATGGCATTAGTGGAGTTGAAGTAGGGGCTGATGCTAAGTTTAAATTGCAAATGGGTATATTTGTGCACTTACAGAAAGAGGGAAATTATTAGTTTGTGAACAAATAAACATTTGGTAAAACAGGAAGTGTGATATGTAGTCTCTGAGTCATGGAAAGTTACCAGTTAATTATCCTCAATTTCTATTTTAATTATCATTGTTGATTTTAAGAAGACCCTTACAGTCATTCTAATTACTGAAACTGTTGTGGGAGAAGAACCTGTGCGACTTACTTATTTCTCTAAACTCCACAATTTGTAAAACAAAATTAAAGCAGGAAATGGAAACCATGATAGGCTTCGATTGGAATGGCTGTTGCAAATCTTCAGAAATAAAATGGATAGCTAGATAACTACTGTGTAATTGATGATGGCATGCATTGTGAAATGTAACGTGCTTAATGCTTCGTTATATTTCGTGATGGTATCTAATTAATATGCAAGAATGCAAACTAACTTGTGCTCGATATTATTCGATGCTATAAAGGTATCCAGGCACAGGAGAATATGACAAGTTCTTTGAGGAGGGAGTCTATGGCTGTGCAGGATGCGGGACTCCTCTATACAGATCCACCACCAAATTTAATTCTGGATGTGGTTGGCCAGCTTTCTATGAGGGTCTTCCTGGGGCCATAAATTATAACGTGAGTAGGCTTCCTTCGTGCTGTATTGTTGATTGTTTTATTTATTTATTTATCTTCATTCTCTTCCAGCTATCAGTTCTATATTTAATGAAACTTCTTTATACTATCAGCCGGATCCAGATGGAATGAGGACCGAAATTACATGTGCGGCTTGTGGTGGACACTTGGGTCATGTATTCAAAGGTGAAGGCTTCCGAACACCCACGGATGAGCGCCATTGTGTGAATAGTATTTCACTAAAGTTTTCTCCTGCCAATTCTAATCCTTCGCAGTGAAGCCCTTTGCATGCTGCATTTCAATATCGCCAATTCTAATCCTTCGCAGTGAGCGCCATTCTGTCAATAAAGCGGTTGTCATGGTAAAGAATAAAGATTGATGCTAAACCTTTATGTGCTACTGCTGTCATTCTTCTTTTTGTATGCCGTAACTTACACGTAATTTGCCAAATTGGTCTTCGTTTTCTCCTATTCCTCCAGCTATACCAGCTGATGTTGTGTCTGAGTTCTGATGTATAGGAATGGACTCATGTATCTTCCTCAGTATGCCTTTTGCATTCTTGCTTTAGCGAATGGTTTACCTAGAACGCAAACTAAGGTTTTTTTTTCATGTTCTTGTAAGCCTTAAATGATGCATCATATTTAGTGAAATAATTCTTGCATATGTCTGTCTCATATCCGCTAGTCAGGTTTATTACCGTGACAGGGGTCATGTAGATGTGTAGTTTGTACACAGCTGTTGTATGCAGGATTTGTTATATATGCCGCGGTATACATCCAACTTCGGTTGTGCATTCATATTTGGTTATAGACTACGCTGCATTTTTCTCTTCATTTTCATTTTCTACCGTTTAACATGTTTAGAAATTAAAAAAAAAAAAAAAAAAAAAAAAAAAAAAAAGAAAGAAGAAAAAAACATAGAAAGAGGGGAAAAGAAAAGAAGCTTCTAATTTGAATGAAGTGAAGTTTTTTGGTACAAGTGATATTAGGGGAAGGGAAATCGAACCTAGGGTTTCAGGTGTATAGTTAAATGTTCTCAACTATTTGAGTTACAAATTCCTTAACTATGAATCTTCGCCATCCATTAAAATTGAACCGCATGTAAATTGAGAGCGGGGAAAACTGGACTGGGGCCATATCAGTTCAAATTGATTCAATTTCCTTGGATATCTTGTATGAAAATCGAACCGCATATAATTTTTAATTTCAGTTTTGATATGAGAGATGAACAAGACCAAATCGAACTGTGTCCACACATAATAATTCAAGTCGTGTTGTTTTTTCTTGCCAAAATTGCCACTTACTGACTGTAGTAATAACACTTTCCTATGTAGACCATAGTTAGTAAAATACGGATTGAGAAACGTACAAATAAAATATGTACATAGTTTATTCAGCAAAAATGTGAAAAAATACAATTGAAAAGTTTGGCCACTATGTAATATTTTAATATAATTTATTTAAAATTTTGTAATATATATTAATTCTATTCAAGAATATGTAAAAGATAAGTGTATAATATGTGAATTTTGTCTATATTATTGAAAATTTGTATTAAAAAAAAGTGTATTAAACGTAAAAAATACTTAAGTACATGTATAATACTTGTAAGTTTGAATTTAAAAAACATGTATTTTATCAACTCTTTGAAATGTGTACTGAAAATAGAAGTATTTTTGAAAAAAAATTACCTGTGTACGCATATAATACGGGAAAATGCTAACTGGGATGTAGACTATTAAAAAAAACATTTTCTCATGCAACATTTTTCCTCTTATCTACTAAAAATTCTTGTCCGAGATAATTACAAGTCGCAAGGCCTTTGTGGCCTGTGGGCAATCGCCACGTGGAAATTATGCTAGCTTCCGAGTGAATAGGACACGTATATAATACAGGAACAAAAATGCTAAGCTTACCACATTTTTCATACCACAATTATACCACCTCTCTAATAGAGGTGGGCCCCATTGTATTGGTGGGCTCCACCTCTATTAGAGAGGTGGTACAATTGTGGTATGAAAAATGTGGTAAGCCTAGCATTACTCATACAGGAAATCCATTTCGTTGCCCAACGCCTGCCTTTCCTCCACAGACTGTCAAACGCAGTCACATACAAGGCTTATTGGATTAATCTCTATCTCTCTTTCTCATACATACATAGTTTCAGACCCACAGGCCTCAAACGTGTGTACTTCTCGTCCTCATCTTTTGGTTCTCTTTCTTTTTTGGGTCTGGCTCTTTTGGGCCAATAAGTTCCTCAGAACGCTGAAAAAGGACGGAGATTCAGAGGGGCCAACTGACTCAGCTCTGTGTGTTTTTCTTCAAATATATACAAAATAACTTCTGAGTTTTGTAAATTTACAGCAAAGAGTCCTTGTGATTTCTTCAATGTGGGTATTCTTGTGTCATCAGCCTCAGCACTATGTTGGAGTCGGTGACTTATTTTGAAAGCTATAAGGTACCCTCTAACATCCATTGTATAATTCGAAGTTTCAAACTTTAAGCTCCACTCATTATTTGGTATTTTTCTTAGATTAGTGTTTCCATTTCTTTGCTTTCTTGAGACTTGAGTTACCACACTAAGTCCCATCTGATTTGTGGATAAGGCTGATTGAGTTTCTTTTCTTAAAAAAGGAAAAGAAAAAGCATTAATATAAAAACATAATTTTTTCATGTCAATGTTACTAAGTTAAGTTTCTTGATGAATTCAAGTTATTTGTAGTATATTTGGTACGTATTTGTGAGCGCATTGTTCGACTTCAGCTCATATATTTGGAGCTAAATACTTTTTTTTCTGGATTGCCCAAGAAGATTTGAAAACCGTATGTAACTTTTCAGTCTTGTTACTTATCCTCTTTATTTCATGTCTACCAAATGATGAACTAAAGAATGTTTTTTTCCTTAAGGTGACCACAGGGAACAATTTATAGCAGTTTGGAAAAATTGACAGTTAGTTTGGACTTGAAATGCTGATTAATTTGTAAAATTATTCTAACTGTCATTTATTTGTTAAAACTTTTGCCAATTTTTCCAAATAATATGTCAAAGTTTTCAATCCACAAAAGGAAAACAGAGTATGAAATCATCCAAAGTTTCAGAATTATTGTTTAAGATCCAAAGCCATTAAGTTTTCCATGCTTCTTTTTACTTCATTTTGACGTTGGAGTCAACTAGTAATTTGAAACTGTTCTATGTTCACATTCTTATTAGAAAACTAAATGGTGGTAGCACTAGTCTATATCTTTTTGCTCTCTTCCTTGCAGGGATACAACACTATCAAACAAAAGAGCCCATTTATGGCCTGCTCTCTTGCCATATCACGGTTTTGTGGGCGTTCTTTTATTCCATATTCTAGCAACCAGCAAGTAAATCCAATATCATATGCCACTAATTACAAGATAAGGCATCCCCCCTTTGTTTCAAGAAATTTCTTAGGAAATCCTTTGTTAGCTGCTTCTGTATACAGCTGGCGAGGACTTGATTTCTCAAACCATGGACTGGCCCATTCAGAAAGATTTCGGATGTATGCAGCACTTGATGTTGCCACTGCTGTTGATGTTATTAATGATTTGGGATTTGATACTTTGACGTTCTTAGCTGTTACAGTCATTATCGTTCCTGCGTTCAAGATCATCAAAGCTAGCCCTGTAAGATTGTTGTTGTACTTGCCTTTTGTTTTTTAAACTTTTTATTCTTCTTCGGATTATTGTCTTTTGGCATTGAGATGATTGCACATTTTGTTTTCATAAGTTGTGTGCAATATGGGCAAGCATGTGGTAATGGAGGATTATTTGTGTATATGCCATGTAATTTTTTTTACACATATGTGCCCAGTGTCTACCCATGTGCGTTTTTATGTGCAAACTTGGAAACTCATGTTTGCATATAACAATGTTTTGATAATTACATGAGATGGCTTCGTAGATGACAGACAGCATATGTTTGGTTTTCAGATACTTGGTTTCTTCTTCGCCGGTATTGTACTCAATCAGTTTGGCTTGATTCGAAATCTTACAGATGTGAAAATTTTGTCTGAATGGGGGATTCTTTTCTTGGTAAGCATTCTTTCTTGTTGTGCTGTTGGAACAGTTCATAATTCTGTGGCCTTCTATTCTTATGCTGTATCTGTACCATGTTTATGAATACTGAAAGTTCATCTCTCTCTCTCTCTCTCTCTATTAAACTTCTGTTGTCCTTGAGATTTGAAATCAGCATCTCATACAAAGCGAGACTAAATGCCACTAGACCAAATGGTCATTTTCAATATACATTGTTGGTCTATTCCTTAACAACTTAAGCTTTTGGGGTCAAATGGTTATCTAACATATTATCAGACCCTTGATTGCATGATGTCATGGGTTTGAAACCTCCTACTGGGCATACCCCACTTTTTTGTTGGTTAGCGAAGTGCAGAGTGGGGCTGCTGCAACTATATGTTTCCCTCTCTGTAATTCTCTGCCTCTTCAGGATGGGGCTGCAGGTGAGGGATGGTGTTAGCTTGATATACATTGTTGGACCATTCCTTACCAACTTAAGCTTTTGGGTCCAATGGTTGTCGAACACTTGGGATGAACCAATAAGCAATTTTTTTTTCCGTCTGGTCACCCCTGTGTACTTCCTGTGCAAGGGGGTGGTGTCCTTCGTTTCCTTTTTTTTTTCGCTTTTACAAAGGAAAAAGAAAGAAGGAAAAGAATCTCTTGTTGTCTTTAGTTTTTGATGCTCAAACATAAGTACATCCAGGTTAAATTAGTTTCCTACTGGTTGATTATTGTATGCACCTAACTGTGACACTAAAAGTAAGAAAGATACACGTATTTAGGGATCATTAGCTGGACTTAGTGAGGATTATGGACAGGGAAATATCCGGGAAGGTTTATGGAAGATGTGTTCCTCTTCTTTGCATAATGTTTTCTTAGACGTATGTCATTTTTCTTTCTGAAATTTGGGCTTCCCCTAAAAGTTAAAGAATGTGATTTTTCAAAGAAGCTTGTTGTCCTCACATGATGATATGCTGGTCCGTACATACCTCTCAAATTGTACTTCTGTAATTATGACTGTTATGTTTTCCCTTTCAGCTATTTGAGATGGGCTTGGAGCTTTCGTTTTCACGTCTAAAGGCTCTTGCAAAATTTGCCTTTGGCATGGGATTAACTCAGGTATTTCGTTGACTAAAAGCAGAACTCGCTGTTTCTAGTATCTCAGTAGTTGTGTAAATGAGATGCTTCATATTTTTGTCCTTATTAAGCATAATTATGAAACTCAAACAGGAGTAGTTAGGGTATGAGTTAATAAAATCATCAGATACATGTGATATAGCTGGAAAAATGTGCTTTTAGAGGTTATTTTCAGAGTTTATGGCTACACTTGTATTCTGGCAATAAGGAAGAAATCAAATGAGTATTCATCAGGAATAGTTAAAATAGAAATTGAATTGCTATTCCTATTCATTCTTTTGGCTCAGGAAGTGGAACAGATAGCAGGAAGAAATAGAGTTTGCATTTCAATGATTAGTTTGCTAAATAGACTAATTGATTGGAATCAAATAACTTAATTATACTTTTAGATATCTCAATTTGTGTGTGTGTGTGTGTGTGTGACACGCATACCACTGTCCTGTACACTAAGTCAAATTAGCTCTAAGACAAGTACAACTAATTTGGAAACATTGGGCAATTTACTTTATACCTACTTTTTCGTCTGGTTTTTGGTTCCTAGGTCCCCATTAGCATTAGTGCCAATTAGTAGCCGCTCTTTTTGGAAGGTGAGGTACTCATGTCTGATCGCGGATTCCATGTGTGTGTGTGTGTGTGTGTGTGTCAAGTAAGCTCTTCTCTGTGGTGCTATTGATGAGTTGTGGTTCCCACTTTTTTTTACTGAACAAGACTTGAGAACTCCTCTCTGGTATGAACAAACAAAGCATGATTTAATTTATGCTCAGTTGAGAGAATTGCCACTTGGATGTACTGATCAGTCTTCTATTTGTAGTCAATTAGACTGCAGAGTCATTCCCTTGGAAATTTCATTCATTTCTGCCACCATCCTACCTATCAGCATGTCATAACATTACATAGAATTTAATTTGGTTGTACTGTTAGTTGTATGATGATTGAACTAGGAACTGAATGGGGAAACTTGCATATCTTAAGGGCTAAGGGTCTTGCAATACCATTGTTTTAGTTAGTAAAGGAAATACTATGAAACATTGAGACATTGTGTCTTAATGGAAGTGTACTCAGTGCTTCTTTGTTGATTAATAATTTTAAACACCTTGTTATACAACCATTGTCATTACTTAGTCCTATAATTTCTCTTTGTTTGCATCTTATATGTTAAGCTTGTGTTTACTTTTTATGAATGCTTTTTTTAATTGCATTGAAAAAAAAAACCATTTTATAGTGCTGCCGCTAGAATTTTGACCTTTTTGTTTTTTCAACTTTCTTCCTCTTGAAGGTCGTATTGTCTACTCTTGCTTTCACAGCCTTTGAACTCCCTCCTAATGGGGCTATTGGAACCAGAATTTTGACGTTCCTCTTTAACTCAAGGCCTGATTTGGTGAGAACTCGGCTCCATAGAACATTTTTAACATTTTTACCTATGATTTCATTCTATGTAACATGATATTACCATTCTTCTGCTTTTTTATATCTACGAACCTTTTGACTTAGTTATTTCTTGGAGTCCACTTTATCATACTGTTCAGGCTTGCATCCACTTTGGGTGTAGTGTTGACAGTTTTCTTATATTTTTCTCTTCTTCTCAACTTATAGGAAATATGCTTTTTATAACTTAATTAAGATTTTAGCCAATGGGCAAGGTCACTAAGCTAGTGGCTAGTTGCTCATATCAGGTGTTATGTTATTCTTATTCATCCCTTTAAATTCAGGATGGTATTACTTTTTATGCTCTTAGTTTCATATCTTATTTGTCTTATGCGGCTGTATTAGTTTTATTCCATAAATATGCCATGAAGATAGAGCTTCAAGCTACTGTTCATTGATTCATATGTTATATGCATAACATATGTACAGCTGCAAGCCATTACTTAAAACAGTTGAGTTACTAGACTGCCAGATAGTTTATTTTATTTATTTTTATCAAGGACTGCTATATAGTTATGTGCCCAATCATGCTTTCTTCAATGGGCACTTGTAAACAGGTTCTTTGAGCTAATGGTATAGCATGATATTTCTAAGTTTAGCTTGAGAGGTAGGCAGATATGTTAAGTTAGAACGTGGGTGCTATTGAAAATCCTTGGAGGGATAATGCAAAAGTGTCAAAGTGATGCTTACTTTGTCCCACACCCACACTATATGATTCATGATTGGTCCCTTCTGCTCATAGTTATTTTTTTGTTTCTTTTCCATTGGAATGCATGAATTGTTTCTGTTTCCTCAGTTCAACTTGGAAAATCCTGTAATTATATGTTCTTGAAGAATTTCCACATTTTTTTGTTTGCTGTTGTGTATTGATTAGTTTTTGGTACATAAATGTCATACTAGTACATTTAGTCATTATATTTTGAAGCACTAAATATTTTCTTTTATTTAAATAGTTAAGAAATTTATTATCTTTATACTACATCAATTTGTTTCTTTACCAGCTATACCATTTTTGTTTATGTATGCTAATTTTTGGTGTTGAAGTTGTATTATGAAAGATAACATGCTAAAACCATAAAACCAATGAAAATGTTGTGCATATTGTGTGGTGGTGTTTTGTATCATGACTTTGACTACTGAAGTGCTGTGGTGACAAAATTTTGAAACTTGGTTGCATCTAATAATTTGGAATGCAGAGGGAAAAACAATCCAAAACTCAATTATGTAACATTTAGTCCAAGTGTTTTTTGTAACTTTTAGCATTTGAAATGATATCAAGCATTGAATTGATAATCTAACTAGCTAGGTGCTAGTTATGTAGTTGAGTAGACAGTACAAAACCAAATGGGAAAGTTAGATGGAGTTTCCATTAAAGGAATATGAAGGGAAGCTTGGGAATATTTCTTCAGTGGTGTGTGTTATGTAAGCTTGGTGAGGAGAGTGTGGACCACCTTTTCTCACATTGCCCCTTTTCCTTAAGTCTTTGGGGGCTTTTGTGGAGGGAGGTTGGGACCGTTTGGGTGATTCCGAAAGGGTGCGCTGATTTCCTTTGTTCTGATTTTGAGGTGTGGGGTTCGGGGAAGAGCGCCTCAACCTTGTGGGGCTGTCTGGTTCACTCTGTTTTCTGGAACATTTGGATGGAGCGTAATAGGAGAATTTTTGAAGACTACAAGGGAGTGGGAGTGAGTGATTTGTGGGATAGAGTTAAGTACTGGGCAGCTTTGTGGGCTTCTGTTACTGAAGATTTTAAAGATTATTCTGTTTCTACTATTTTGAGGGATATGGCAGCAGTGGTTATGTGAGGGTTGGGGGGTGTGTTGTTTCAGTGGTTTTTTGGCTTTGTTCCTCCCTGTTAGTTTGGGAGGGGTTGGTGTTGTTTGTTTCTTTGTGTGTTCGTGTTGTTCTCCGGTTGTGGTTGTCTTATCCACCTCCGTGTTCTTTTGCTTTATAAATTTCGTTTCTTCTCAAAAAAGAGTGAAATTGCCAAATCCAATAGAAGAATAGGAAAACTAAATAGTTCTCAATATGTTTGCAATTTCTGGTTTAAGTGAAATGTTAACTGCAGAACTGTGAGTGGTGTGGCTCCAAAGAAACATATTAAATTCAATTTTTTGAGACAGAAGTTCTTCTTTTAAACATCGAATTTATGTTTGTACATCAGATACCACAGCTTCTTCTTTTAGGCCTGCCCATAATTTAATTTTTTCCTTCATAAATTTTTACAACTAATTTACTTATGGTGGTATTCCAATATGAACTTCATTATCTGTATCCAAATGCTTGTCCTGGTAAAATATTCAAATACGATAAATTTGCTTTCTTAAGTTCATAAAGTTTTCTTGATGTTTAAAGTCACTGGTGGTCTGTCTTTTAGTGTTTCCAACTGCATCATGATACAGAAAGCCCTCTGTCCCAGCCATTTTTAACTTTTAATTTTTTTGGTGTACTTCCTTTTGTAATAGGTCAACATCAGAAGCATTGATGAAGCCGTAGTGATTGGTGCTGCTCTCTCTCTGTCTTCTTCAGCTTTTGTACTTCAGGTAATTTAATTATGAAAATGCATATACTGATTTTTCAGATGAACAAGTCTATTTCAATTAGCTATTATCACTACAGATATAGTGGTGCCGTAACATGGTTAGTTATATTCAAGCCAAAGTGATCATTTGCCTTCTCTTTTTTTTTCTGTCTTTTGCTAAGCTAAAGTGATAGTGTCTTGTGTAAGTATTTCTTCTTTTTGTCTACTCTATGGTTGTGATAAAATACTTCCCAGTTCTATTAAGAACCATGATAGTTTACTTCTTCCCAGTTTTATGGTTGTACAATGGCATTTGTACGATAGCATTTTAGTTTTCTAAGTATGAACAATGAAGCCTCGAAAAAACCTCCCATCACGACTTCTTTTCATCCCTTGATTGGGCTTAATCAATCCTATGGTGGGGAATTCAACGTCTCAGATAGTTTTGAGAGCATCCAGTGTTTCGATTTGTTTAACTTCTTGCCTTTACAAGTTCTAAAATGGACAGTAATCCCAAATGTCAGGCAGTATTTCCCAAAGGTTCTTCTTTTGTTTCCATTTTCTCATTACCTGTGTCTTCTAATTGGATTTTTCCCTTAAATCCATGGAACAAATCAATTTTAGAGGAATGGAACTAATTCTTTATTACTCATACCAATGTATTTGCTGTTAATTTATATGCAATATACTTAATGATGTTTGATATTGCTGCATAGAGCTTACACAGCATAATATATAGCTACTTGCAGAGAAAGGTGAACTCCCTACAAGATTTGGCTCAGCAACTCTAGGGATACTTCTTTTACAGGTTCCATTTTAAACCACAATTGAAGTTACATATATATTCTTTTTCCTTTTCAGGTTCAGTTGTCTTGATTTGTTAAATTGAATGGAATGAGCAGTGCAATGGTGTTGCTTGTTCTTTTACTTCCCATTCTGGATTTTTCTAGGGTCGTCATGCAAAGTACTGCTTGATATTTGCAGGACATAGCAGTCGTACCTCTCTTAGTCATACTTCCAGTGCTGGAAAGCCAGGTATTTGAAAAATTCAGTCAACTTTATAAGCTTAATGTGGAATTTGTTAGTCAATCAGATTTGAACGTGCAATCTTGTTAATGTCATTAGCATTACTGAATACTGATGGTAGCACAAAATGTCTCTGTCTCCTATCGAAAGGAAAAGAAAATAAAAAAGGAACAATTCCTATGGGTATGCGTCCTGAGTGGTGGTCTCTTTAAGATGAGACCACTATTCATCTTATTATGCAATCTGTGCAATTTTTCTGTGAAGAGAATGAATTTTGGAAGAGAGAAGTTCCAATGCTATGAGAATCCAACTTAAAACTCAAAGTGATGTTGTCATTTTTCAGTTCTAGGTCTGGTTGGAAATGTAATGTCAGTGAAGGATACATAGTGTTGGAAAAAAATCGCTACATTATGCTGTGGGGATTTTTTTTTGCATTTAAAACTTTTTGGAGTTTGTCTGCTATCAGATACAAGTCACTTTTTGACCATTCCTTAATTTTTTTATTTGGCAGAACCTAGCAGAGGGCAGTATATGGCCAATGCTTCTGAAGGAAAGTCTAAAAGCCTTAGGTGGACTGGGTATTCTTTCTCTTGGAGGAAAATTCCTTCTTAGACGAGTGTTTGAGGTTTGCATGATAAACAGTACGGCTTAAGCTCTTTAATGTTTTTTTTGTATGTTATTACTGGGCACTAAAATTTAGTTTGTAATATCAGTTTGTGGCAGAAGCAAGGAGCTCTGAGGCTTTTGTTGCGCTTTGCTTGTTGACAGTTGCAGGGACTTCACTTCTCACCCAGCAGTTGGGTTTTAGTGATACGGTTTGATCTCACTTCTCAAACTTGGACCATATTTTAGATTAATACCTGCTCTTTCTATGTAATAGTTGAGCTTCATTGCATATGCAGCTTGGAGCATTTTTGGCTGGAGCACTATTAGCAGAAACAAATTCCGGACACAGATTGAAGCTGATATAAGGCCATTTCGAGGATTACTTCTTGGGTTATTTTTCGTAACTACAGGGACGTCCATTGACATGCCGGTACTGAAGTACTCTTTAGTTACAAACATCATTTCATGTTTCTGTTTTCAAGATTTAAAAAAAATTTTCCTCTTTTTTTTTTCCTCAGAAACAATCTTTGAAATCGTTTTTGGCTGCCTGCATGTTTTCACACAGTGTTCTGTTTTAGGTATTTCAATGACAGAATAATGTTTGTGGACGATGGGACAAGCAATCCCTTTTTTTCTTTCCAAAAATTGTTAAGTTGGATTCATATGCTGGTGCATTTTAAACTTTCCTTTCATTATTTTAATGATCTGATAAGTGGTCCTATTGTCTTGAAAAATAAAATGAATTTATGGTGCTTATTTCTGTAGACCTGTGTAACATCTTCTCATATCCAAAATTTGTGGATGCGGCAATAATAGAAAAGCAGAATAATCATTAAAAATTCAGCATGCACAAGTCATATTTTCTTTTCATATGCAGCTTCTTTTCCGAGAGTGGCCGAATGTGCTTTCACTCTTGGCAGGCTTGATTGTCATCAAGACACTGATCATAACAGCAATAGGCCCTCGTGTTGGACTCACTATAAAAGAAAGTATAAGAATAGGATTGCTTCTATCTCAAGGAGGCGAGTTTGGATTTGTAGTTTTTTCTCTCGCAAACAGGTGAGCTATAAACTCATAACTCATAAGTTATATCATGTAGAAAATAATCTGCAACTACACATTTCAGGTTTGGTATTTGTTTTAAAACATTTCCTGCCTTGATGAAACAGGCTTGGTGTGCTACCACTTGAGCTTAACAAGTTGCTTATAATAGTTGTTGTCTTGTCAATGGCATTGACCCCATTGCTTAACGAAACTGGAAGAAGAGCTGCTGAATTTATTGGTGACAATTTAGATGCCGAGGATGTAAGTTACTACATCATAGAATGCATTTCAAGATTTCTGAAGGCCACCATAGCTGGCCATTGATGTATCTTCTGGATTAAGTTTCCATGCATCAATCCTTTAAATCATAAGTCAAGGCCATAATGTACTCATTTAAAGTTTTATCAGAAACTGAACAGAATCATTTAAGTTTCATAACTCTACTTTCACACTAATCCACTTTTAATTTATTGTGTTCCGATAAAATCATACAACCATCCAGTTTTCTGAATTAGTTTTAGAGTTATGATATGTCCATATATTCAGCTTCAGTTAGTGCCTGATAAAACAAATTTGTGCAGAAACCTGCTGAGGTGGTCAACTTTGATTCTAGTGAACCTGTTGTTATTCTTGGATTTGGACAAATGGGCCAGGTAAGGTTATAACTTACATCATTCTGCAAGACTGAAAATTTGAGTGAGGTTTAGTTCTCAGGTCCTATTGTAATTACTCTTCTTCTTCGTCTTCTTCTTCTCTCTCTCTCCCTCTCACTCTCATGTCCAGGTCCTTGCCAATTTCTTGTCTACTCCATTGGCTTCTGGGATAGATGGCGATAATCTGGGATGGCCATTTATAGCTTTTGATCTTGATCCTTCTGTGGTGAAGGTCAGTGAAATTTTCTATTTGTGTTGCTTCCTATGTTAGAGAGGATTTGATATGCATGAACATGATAACTCCTTTTCATTATATTTGAATGAGTAATACTTGAATAACTTGTAATAAAGCAAGTGAAATCATCTTATTAGCCATAATTATCTGGTTGAAAAAGTCAGCGTATTATAAATTTGATTAGAACTGTGATACATTGTCAGGTAGAAAATAATATATTGTTTTTACACACCCTGAGAACGAAACGATTTCCAAACAAATGGAATTTTTCATAGTTTAGTATTCTTGAGTAGTGGATTCTGATATAGCCCAAAAGAATATTGTATTGCAAGCTATATATGTTGTTTCGGGAGTCTATATCCATCTTATCATCTAGATTTCAAATGTTGTTTGGGGACTCTAAGTGGGAAAATATCTGCTTTCAGCTTTAATTATTAGGTATTCTCATCTTTCAGTCTTTGAGATAAACATTTAATGAAGTTTACTAGCAAGTTTAAGTTTTTAAGAATTCAATAAAATGCAAATTATGACAAAAGTTTTTTTTGGGACAAAAGGCTGTATTGAATCTATTATGTATGTATAAATGTATGGTTATCTGATCCCACACATGCACTTCCCACGTCGAACATACACGTTATCTATACTCGACCCCTATATACAACACTATGTGTAAATGGAAGGAAAAATGTAATACAAAAGATTTGAAATAAAAGTAAAAATGAATGAAAGTAGCTCATGTTCATTGTTATGTAAGCGAATATGGAGTGGTGGGAGATACACTACTTGTAACTTAACCAAAAAACCAGTTGATTTACCAAATCACATTCACTATGTATTAAAATAACCGAAAATTAATCTTATACTGAAGCTATGTTTGCAATAATGAAGTTTAAGACAGCTACAAGCGTATCCCTACATTTGGCTATATATAGTAGTATACATACAGACTGCTAAAATATTATTATCGACCAAATATTGCAGGGGAAACTTTTCAACTAATCTTCTTGTGAAGTATTTGGAAGAATTATATTAGATTGCTTATATGCAGATTGAAATTTTTACCTGGAAAGAGTTTATTGTTGTCATTTATTTTTCCTTAAACCTTATTCATTTTTTGGAATGACATTTGAAGGAAGTTTGGCATCTGCTTTTAAACTGTAATGGAAAATCCATATGTTTGTTACAAATCTTTTCTTCGTTTGGTATGTTAAAGATCAACTGATACTTGTTATGACATATTACTATTTTTTAACCATTTCATTCACAGGCGTCTAAAAAACTTGGTTTTCCAATTCTTTATGGGGATGGATCCCGTCCAGCAGTTTTGCAATCTGCTGGTATCTCTTGCCCAAAAGCTGTCATGGTCATGTACACTGCCAGGAATAAAACAACTGATGCTGTTCAAAGTCTTCGACTTGCTTTCCCTGCAGTAATGTTCTCTTTCTCTCTCTTCCATTACACGCACATAGGATGTACACATACACTATAGACACAAATATCCTTGTCTTATGAAAAAACAACTAGAAGACCGAAATTTTATTACGATTTCACTAGGAGCCACAACAAAGGGGAAAATTGTTCGCATGAACTTGTGGAGTTTCAATACTTGTCATTTGACAGAAACACTCTTGTATGTATCAATCATGCTCTTTAATACTTACAATCAATGTCGTCCAATATGGGGCTAAAAGGCCATGTTTCAGACTGCTATTGCAGCATAGATTATCATTGAACTGAGTTTCTCTAATTTTGGCATTTCATTTCAAAGGACATTCAGTGGTTTTGAAATCCATTTTCTAGATGAAGCCTGAAATTCTAATAGAGCAGTTGTCTTTCCTCTTCTTTGGGCATCTCTTTGGGCTTCGGTTTTGGGGCAGTTCAAGGACTATCACTACCCTACCATCATGAGAGACATGATGGCAGTCTTAAGATGATTTTACTGAAGTTTTTGTGTTTTTTGTGTTTTTTAATTACAGAATTATTTTAAATCTTAGTAGGTCAGACACTCTTTTTTTTTTGGTCTTGTTTGTTTTGATCGAGGATTTTTCCTCTTGATTATCAATACAATGTTTCTATTCAAAAAAAAAGAAAAAAGATTTATGGATATGGTTTCCCACCGACTTTCATACATGTCTTTGTGTGTGCGTGTGTGGGTTCTCATTATGCATTAGAATGCTCTTCTACATTCGTCTGGCTTCTGGGATGGTTTGGTTATACAGCATGCTCTGTGTCCTGTGAGATTGATAGCTTGGAGCTGACAGTATCTTGGTCGGGTTTGAGTTTTTATGCAAGGGACTCAGAGTGAATAAGGGATTGAGCATATAATTTTGAGGGTTTCATTTATTTTTATTTTCTAAATTTGTTGAAACCTCAAAAGCATAGAGACACCAAAACAATACAAGAAAAACATATATAACGAAATCAAGAACAAAACCTCTAACAGATACAACCAAATCAGTGCCAAACCCACAAACAGAACACATCCCTATTTTACAGCAGCTTCCCGGTCTGACCATAAAATAAACTCGGAGGTTAGAATAAGAAAATATCACTTGTGCCTCAAGGAATTTTTCAGTGAACTCTCATTTGAAGGGAATTATAGAATCAATAAATGTGAATTGACATCCAATTCAATCTGAGAGTCCCAGTCCTTTCCTGCCATACATAGTACCAGCTCAAGTGCTGTGAAGGCTAAATTCGTTCCACTTAATAATTGACTTTAATTTTGGATCTTAGATAATTTTCTATTTTGTTCAGATCTTAAATCCTTTTCTATACTCTTCCTCCTTGGTTTGAATGTCAATTTTTATGGCGAAAATTCTAAATTTGCAGGTCCCAATTTATGCCAGAGCTCTGGATCTCAAGCACCTTTTAGATCTGAAGAAAGCAGGTGCAACAGATGCTATTCTGGAAAGTGCAGAGGTATCAGATTAATTGATTGCGTTTGTTTGAATTATTGAATTTGACAAGTCTTTTTATGATGCAATTTTGTACCTGACTAAATATTTTAATTCATGCAGACAAGTTTGCAGCTGGGCTCTAAGCTTTTGAAAGGGCTTGGAGTTATGTCTGATGATGTGAACTTTCTCCGTCAGCTCTTTCGTGATTCCATGGAGCTGCAAGCTCAAGAAGGAGTGAGCAAAACTGATGATAGAGAATTTAATAGTCTGAAGCCTATGCAGGTACTTGCAAGTATATTATTAGCTGCACTGAAATCACTTTGTCAAATTTAATTGTTCATATTCGCCTTCTGGATTCAGACCTGAACCTGATTGAGAGCATGCCATGCATTTTCCTTTCCCTGGTTGAAAATTTATTAGCTTTTCATTTTAAGATGTTTGTCGATAAACCGATCTTTCAAGAATGACAAGCATTTTAAATGGATATGATCATCTACTTAATGTTTGAGACCAAAGAGATCCTAAACATTATGAGAAAGCTGTGTTAAGTTTCGCTGAGGCCCGATTTTATCAAGACATCATTCATAAATTATTCACAACACTCTCTTTGAGTGATTTTTCTATTTAGAATTTGATTTCTAAACTCATATGAACTGTCCATCTGGTTCTGCTAACATGCATTCCTTTCCCCTTAGTTCTCATTGTAATCTCTTGTATAGTCATGGTGGAGGGAAGTTTGAAGACGTAAACTTCTTGCAACTTCAACTTGAATTACTATGTTATTTTTACAATTGGTTCCATGTATATATTCTGGGTTTGCATGCAGTAGGAAAGGATGATATATATAACTAATGGGTTTGCTTGACAAGGTGAGAGTTGCCGACTTGATTGATGATGCGGTACCCGTTCCATCCACGTCCTTAGAAGGTGAATCATGGGGGGCAACCAGGGAAGATAGTTCTTATATCTTGACAATTGAGGGGAATGTGGACAAAGCAAATCCCGAAAACAGTGAGCTCCAACAGTCTGAGCATACAGAAGAGGAAGGAGTTTCACATAGTGGCTTAGAAACGGAGAACAGTTTTGCAATTAAATCACAAGATGTTGACGGATCAAACTCTTGTGTAACAACTAAAGATGAAGTGTAGTGTAGTATAGGGGGGAAAATAGTGTAAAGCTTGATTTTTCACTCCAGTGAGCTCACAATTCCTTGAAGGTGTCAAAAACTAGTCTGCTAAAATTTGTTTCAGGAAAAGTAGCAGGGGGTGCTAATTCTTTTTATCATACCACAGGCTTGTATATATTTTATTCTATTTTATTTTTATATTTTCTGTCAATGCAAGAAATATAAGAAAGTTTTTGTTTCTTTTCCTTTTGTTTCCCTCTTTCTAATTGTATGTTGTATCCTGAGTTTCAAGGTTGGTTCATTGATGGGGTCTTGTGCAGAAGTTTCAATATAACTGTCTCATTTTTCTTTGATGAGCTAATTTTACATGTTCATAACATCAACATTATCATTATGTTGGGTGGGGATATATTCACATCACCATTATCATGAAAACAAGGCAATCTCTCAGAAATCAATAGTATATTTTTTTTTGCTCAAAGAACTTGTCAATTTTGGATGTTGGGTTGGGATATATTCTTGAGGGATATTTGTTGAAATGTCATCTAAACTTACACCTTAGTTTCAATTGTCACCTGAATTTTTCAAAATCCATGATTTGTCACCTTAGTTTAACATAATCCAATTTTCCATATGTTTTCAAGGGTGTTTTAGTCTTTTCATTTTCAAGAATATTTTTAAAATGGAAAAAAATTACTATTAAAAAAAATAAAGCTTAAATTTAAAAATGGTTGGGGGTTAAATGTGAAAAGATATATAATTTTTGTAATTTCCAAAGGTCTTTGCATAATTTTTTTATAATGATTTTTCCATTTTTAAAATACTCTTGAAAAGAAAAAGACTAAAATACCCTTGAAAAATTAGATGAAGTTAAACTCAGGTGACAAATCATGGATTTTGAAAAATTCGGGTGACATTTCACTTAAATTTTTTTTTCAGGTGATAAATTGAAACAAATGTATAAGTTCAGGTGACATTTCAATGAATATCCCTATTCTTGACGATGATTTTTTTTTAAAATGCGCTTGATGATGATTATTGTTATTGTTTAAGAACAATTATTTATCTAATGGACCATTAACTAACGAAAGAGTAGATGCAGTCAAGTTCGAAGATCTGGCATTGGCATTGTGATTTATCATGAAGTAGGGTTCATTTTGATAAAAACGCTAAACACAAGGGTATCTGTGTAATTATGTCATGTAAATTACTAGTTTCGAAAACCCAAAGCTGAAAAGTGTTGACATGAAGTCAACTTTCTTGGCTTCTCTAAAGTCTAGGCTTCATGGGTTGATCCACCAAATTGAACTTCCACTTCTCTTTCAGATAATGTCCAATGGTGCGTTTGGATGAGAACATTTAAAAGTACAAGTGAATTTATAAATGACGAAATTTAAAATGATGGAAATTAATGTTTTAAAATTTGTAAACTTTCTTGTTTGGGTTGGGTGTTGAATTTAAAATACGGAATTTAACTTTTATTTATAAAATTATATTTTTTAAAATTCAATTTCTCTTGGAATTTGAGAAATGACGATTTTAAATAGAATTTACAGTTGAAATTTATGACCTCAAAATTACATATTTTTCCTCGCATTGAATTTCTAAATTTTTATGTTTTATATATATCCAAACATGGAATTATTCATGTCAATTTAGAAATGATGACTTTTATCAAAATCTCAACCTCATTTCCGTTATCCATTTGCTGGCTTTTGAAAGTCCCCCTAAAGCCAACTATTCTCATCATCCAAATTGTATTTCTTTTCAGATCCATTCCATTTCCAGATCCAGATCCAACTATTCTCATCATCTCAGCCTTGTTTTGTTTTGCTGTTGTTGCTGCTAGAAATGGAAGCAGCAGGCATATTTTTATCCCCTGCTTTGCAAGTGATCTTTGACAGATTGGCATACCCAGCCCTACAAAAGGTTGCTGAAATCTGGGGTGTCGAGGACAACCTCGACAGCCTACGAGATGCCTTGATGAGGACTCAAGTTATTCTTCAAGATGCAGAGGAGCAACAATTAACCAACAAACCTGTTAGGCTTTGGTTGTCAAACCTCAAGAGTGCTGCTTCTGATGCTGAGGACATTCTGGACTTTTTATCGCTTCCGAAGCCGTCTTCCGCTTTAAAAACCCAGCTACATATTTCAGTTTTCCAATTACAACAACCTCTGTTGCTGAAAAAATTAAAAAGGAACTCCACAGATTAGAAAAGACGATAAATGAGGGACTATCGACATTTAATTTTAGAGTGCCTTGCACAGAGGAAGACTGGCTCTTGCGTCGGCGACTCAAATTCTTCACTAACAAGAGGGAGACTGGCTCTTGCGTGGTCGACTCAAAGATATATGGAAGAGATGATGAGAAAGAGAAGTTAGTCAAACTGTTAGTATCTAAGGGAACTTCCCAGGATGGATATGCAACTTGTATTCCAGTAATTGGTATTGGAGGAATTGGCAAGACCACACTTACTCAGTTGGCATATAACGATGAGAGGGTAGTCAAACACTTCGACTCTAGAATATGGATTTTTGTTTCTGAGGATTTCGATGTCAAGAAGATTATGAAGACAGCCATTGAGTGTGCAACAGAGGATGAATGCAAGTTGTCGGAGATTGAAATACTTCAGTCTCGGCTTTCGAAATTGCTACAGAAGAAAAGATACCTGATTGTGTTAGATGATGTTTGGACTGAAGACCAGGATGATTGGGACAATCTAATACCTTTGCTTACAGGGGGTCTTGATGGCTGCAAAATCATTGTCACTACCCGCAGTCAAAAAATTCCATTCGTGATGGACTTCCCGAATTCACCATTTTATTTAAATGGTTTGAAGAATGATGATTGCTGGTCTTTGTTCAAGCACCGGGCATTTGGACGCGGAGAAGAAGAGAAGTATCCAAATCTTACACGGATTGGAAAGGAGATTATCAAAAAAGTAGGAGGTGTGCCGTTAGCTGCAAAAAGTTTGGGAAGCTCAATGCGCCTGAAAAGAGAAGAAAAACAGTGGTTATTTATGCGAGATTGTGAACTCTGGGAATTAGATGAAAGCCAACATAAAGTTTTCCCTGCCCTGATGTTAAGTCTACCACCACATCTTAGACAATGCTTTGCATTCTGTTCACTATTTCCCAAAAAATATGAGTTCAATAAGCACAAGTTAATTCATCTATGGATGGCAGAAGGCTTCATTCCAAAAGAGGGAAGCAAGCAACCTGAAGACATTGGTGAGGAATACTTTTCCGAATTGTTGTGGATATCTTTCTTACAAGAAGTACGGCTACATGAAGGTGGAGAAATAATTGGATACAAGATGAACGATATCATTCATGATCTTGCACAATATGTTGCAGGAAAAGAATATGTGGTACTTGAACAGGGTCGGCCACAAAATTGGTCACCAGCAGAGATTCGCCATGCATCTGTTGTTTATACATATGGTGCAATTACAATTCCAGAAACTCTATATGAGGCAAAACATTTGAGAACTCTCTTATTGATCGGTGGTTCCGGCTTCTTAAACATAGATAAAATTTATTCAAGTTTTGAATACTTGCGTGTGCTAGATCTCAACAACTGTGATCCTATTGATGTGCCTAAATCCTTGGGTGGCTTCATGTGTTTGAGGTATCTTGACTTGTCTTACACGCTTATCTCCCAGTTACCAGAAAACATGAAGTATCTCTTTTCTTTGCAGACCTTAAACCTAGTTGGTTGCAATAATCTTGAGATTTTGCCTTCTTTGGGATCCAACCTAAGACATCTTAACTTAAGTGGATGTGTGCGTTTGACTGGTATGCCTTCTACAATTGGATTGTTAGTTCAACTTCAGACATTGCCACTTTTTGTTGTGTCGAAGAAGGCGAGGAGTATTAAGCTGCATTGTTTAAATCTTTATGGTGAGTTGAATATTACTGGCTTGGAGAATCTTAAAGATGCTTCTTCAGCAAAACTGCATATGAAGAAAAATCTTGAGTCATTGGGATTATACTGGGGTTCTATTCTGGGATTTAAAGATTCATTCGCCAAACCACCTAATGCCCCACCTGAAGTAGGTGTCTCGAGATCACATATAGCGCCGCAACTTGAACAGCTTATTGAAAGCCTGCAACCACACAAAAATCTGAAAAAGCTAGTTATAAATGGATATCCAGGAACCAAATTTCCTGATTGGGCTCTCCCAAATCTTATTGCCGCTGATTTCACCAACTGTAGAAGTTGTAAACATCTTCCAGCCCTTGGGAATCTTCCGCTACTTAAGATGCTTTCTTTGCATGGAATGCATGGCGTTGTGAGAATTGGTAGAGAGTTCTATGGTGACAGCACTGACATATGGTTTCCATCACTCGAAGAACTATCAATTAGTGATTTTGCAAAGTTGGAAGAGTGTTCAAGTGCAAATTATGGAAATGCATTCCCTAGATTGAAGAAATTAACTGTAAAGAGTTGCCCCAAGTTAGCACGTATACCGCTACCTCAGTCCCTTCAACATTTGGAGTTGCGAGATTGTAATCATAGGATGATGCCCATGGCAGATTTAAGTTTGCTATCTGTGCTTATTCTTGACAAAATTCCAGAACTAGTGTCTCTCCCAGAAGAGCTTTTTGCATCAGCTAGACTGTCTTCCTTGAAGATTTTGTCTTGCCCCAAGCTTCATTCAATGCCTTTGCATATGCAAAACCTTAGTTCTCTGAAATCATTGACCATTCGTTGGTGTGGAGAGTTGTTCTCTCTGCCACAAAGTTTGCAGAACCTTAAAGCTCTGGAGTCAATGGAGATTAGTGACTGTCACAGTCTAACATCCCTGCCAAATTGTGGAATTGCAGGTTTGGCTTCGCTTCGAACTTTGTCCATTGAAAACTGCAGTAAACTAACTTCTCTGTCGTCGAGTTTGGAGCAGCTCACATTGCTTGAGCACTTCACCATCATGTACTGTCCAAAGCTTGGTTCCTTTCCAGCCGGTGTGCAACACCTGTCCTCCCTTCGAAGTTTGATCGTTCTGAGCTGTCCTTGGTTTGATTCTCTGCCAGAAGGGTTGGAAAATGTAAAGACCCTGCACTGCTTGGAAATTAGTAGCTGCCCCAATCTAACAGCTTTGCCAGAATGGTTTGAGGATCTTGATTCTCTTAGATCTTTGACCATATATGATTGTCCTAATTTAAAACTGTTGCCACCGGGTTTCAAGCTTCTCACTAAACTCCAGCACCTCTCTATTCAAGAATGTCCTGAGCTTGAGGAAAGATGTAGACGCGGTAGCGGTGAGGATTGGTCGAAAATAGCCCATGTCCCGCATAAGTACATTGGATCGCCTCAAGTCAGGCAGTCTGGCGATGCAAGCACATCTGGCAGCTCTTCTGTCCAAGCATCTTCTCAGTAAGACACTTCTATTTCCTTGTCATTAACAAGCTATTATATATCATTATGGTAGATCATTCCTCCTGGTGTTGTCACTGTTGTGGCGTGCTTTATTATTTTTATCTTTATAGTGGATTTCTGTATTTTTATGTACATGGCTGTTTTGAAAATCCTCTGAGTTTGTATTGTATGGATATCAACATTAATAAAATTTCTATGTTACTTGTCTTTTGAATTTTGATTGTGTTTATTTTTGTATTAAATAATGTTTAGTCATATTGCATTGTTGTAGATTTTTGCTTGATAGTTGCCAATGCAAATTTGCAATGCAACAGCAGAGTCACCAAAAGATGTGACATGGACTTTCAAATTACTGAATTCATGAAAGAAAGTTGTCATAAAACTGAAAATCTTTGTGCTTTATGCCCTCATCAAATGCAAATTTTGAATAGTTTCTGCTTCGGAATGTGAGTTTTATATGTTTTGGAACAATTGGTTGGATCTTTGTTGCTTAAAAATCTAAGGTGGGTTCGTTTAGGTCCAGATTTATCTGTGGTTAGTTTGTTGCTTGTTTGGCTTTAGCCTTTGATGGAATGTGATGAAATCTAACAGCAGGGGGGAAATTGACTTTTAAAAATAGTTCAAATGCTGAATTTTCTAAACAAGAGGTTAACGGGCAAATTTAAAGTATCAACCAATACGACAGTTTCTTTTTATTGAATGACAAAGACGAACTTGAACAAGGAAGAATAGCATCGACTTTGGTTGCTGCTAGCTCAAGCCATAATTCACCGCAACCAAAGAGCATTGCCATTTGCTTGCCCAGTTGGCCGGCCTCAGCCACTTTCAGGTAATTCCTTGTACACCTTGCCCTCATCGTCAAGATTAAGTACTATCAGTGTTTTAATCTATTGAAAAGCTTAGTGAAATTACAAATGTAACAGTAATTTTTAAATTTTCAGTTAATAAAATGTCCAGCAAAATTGTTTTATTTTGCTCTGCTTCTTCTCCTAGCTTGATGGTACCAAGACATGAGAAACCAGCGGATCAACTTCGGATCTTTGTGGCTTTAGGTCCCCAAGTAGTGAATATTCTTTGCTTTCCTAGTCAAACATGGGGTCCTCTAAGGCTCTAGCCAAGAACAAGGACAGATTTTGGGTTCCACTCACCTTTAGTCCACTTACACTCCTTTTTGTTTTTTAATTCTTTTTCCGTATGGGAAAGAGGCATCTGCATAGTAAGAGAGTGTAAATAGACATTTGGTGATAAGGTGATATATACATAGCCCTTAGTTTTTATGATTACCCTTCTCTCCCTTTTTTGTTTTTTCCTTTTGTTTTTTTTTTTCAAGCTTTCTTTGTTCGTCTATACATCAAACTGTTTAGATTAAAAGAAGGGGGTACCAGAAAGATGGTTCTTAAATCTTGACATTTGAGGCAGACATGGGTGAAGCAAAAGCATGACAAAGGTGAGCTCCAACTATACCTGTGTTTATACCATATTTTGTAAATAGACCAAAACTGGTCTATCTATCAAGGGAATATATTTTTAAACCTAGGCCCAATATCTTTTTCTTTTCTTTAAAACAAAAGGAACCTTTTTTTTATTTTTTATAAATGGGCCGTCGACAGATTAGAAAAATTAATGAAAGCCCACAGCATCAGGAAGCCCAAATCTTTGAGCCACACTAAAGTTACAAAAATTGGTAACCGTTGCATATAGACCCACGTGAGGGTCTGAAGAAGGATTGTCACCACTAATGGCGACTTGACCTTCTTCTCGCCCAACAAGAAAGCCACCTTCTTCTCTAAAAAAGACCAGCGGTTTTGTCAGAGACATTCCATCCTTCCACCTATGAACCGGTCCAGATCAACAGATCAATAGCTAACTTTAGATAACAGTCAAATATCTTCTTTCAGCTATCATCATTGAAGTTTCTTTCCTATATATATAGAGCCTCCGCAACAGAAGAAGGGGACCCTCTCTCCAAAAACTAGACGCAACGTCGCGAAAACACTTGAAAAACTCAAGATCTTTTCAAACAAGCCTGCTTAATTTCCAGATAACCAGTTGACAACTCATGTGTTCGTCTTTTTGTTGCTCTGCCATCGCCATGGTATGATTTCTTTCAAATGATCAATTTGAATTAATGTATCCATCTAACTAGATAGAGAAATCTCTAGTTTTTCCTTACATTGTAATTGATATTTTGAATTAGTTAAATGGATAAATTCAGAACTCTAGTTCTTCTTTGTTATCAAGTTTAAATCAGATAAAGAGACTTCAGAGTTTATCTTAACTGTTTCATTAAGTATCTGCTATTTAATTGTTTTTACATATCTCTATAGATTAATTTAATTTCCCACCTTCGCGTTATTTAAATTTATCATTCGAACTTAAATCAAAGGTCTAGGCCCGAATAGGGTCCTATTGGTTAGAAAGTAAAAGGTTAATTCAGGTCCCAATTATATCGTTGGGCCCAAATTGACTAGAATGTTGACCTGATCTAAGGGCTGGTTGAATTTAAATTAGGTTTCTAAACCCAAATAGGGTATCATTAACCACGATTCTGGTTCCCTCCTTGTTTGATTAGGTATTGCTCGTATCTATTAGACTGACAAGCATAAATGAAAGAATATTGACGTCCTTTTGATTGAGGCATAAAAAAGAACTCATCCAGGCCAGTACCCCTCTTGGAGCACAATGGCTTGAGCAGAAGTCCAGAATAAGCGCAAACACAACAAATCAACATCCTACACCACTCACACCAAATCTATTGGGTTGGTCTTATACCCAATAGTGGCACGCCTATGCAACTCTTGATCAGGATAGAAGGAACAAGCCAATAGGGCCCAGCCCGAGCTCGCCCGTTCCTGTCAACTTGATCCAACTTTCAATTTTGTTCAAAGGTTGAAAGAATCCTCTTTGGGAGCCAGAAATCCAATTGGGGCATTGGTGTTGATCAAACGACCTCCTCACTCTGCGGAAGCAATCAGATCCAAGTCATCATACCATCAAAAGGAGTTTTCGGGGGAAAAAGGACCAACAACCTGTAAACGGGTCGAATTTGGATTCGAATATACCTCAATCCAAATTCAAATTCATTTAGAATCAGATTATCATATTTGGATCGTATTTGGACTATCAAATTGCACATATCAATCCATATCCGTTATGCATCATATTATCAGAGAGATTCTTATGTATCTCTTTTACTATATCTCTACTCTTAAGAAAAAAAAAAAAAAAAAAACAAAGTAAACCAATTTAACAGATCAAACACACAACTATAAACTCAAAAGAAACTTAACAAAATTTAAATGTTGAGAAAGTATAAATAAATATACCGAATGTGTATTCGATTTTGTACTCCCCTAAAATACCTCTTTGTACAAAAAAGAAACATACAAAATTTGAAAATTTTCCAGTTTTGGAATAGGCTTTTGAGTTTCTTGGGCCATAATGTAATCATCCAATACGACAGATTGGGTCCCCTATTTTACAAATGAATGAAAGAGGCAAAAGAGTAGGAACTTGGGTTTTCAAAAAGATGAAGGTTGCTTGGGTTTTTCCTAGTGACTGATGAAGGTGCTTGGGGGTTTCCTAGACAGTACTTGTTGTCTGACAGAAACACTGTTGCATATATCAATCATGTTCTTCAATACGTACAATCAATGTCGTCCAATATCGGGCTAAAACAAGATATCCACCAAAACAATACAAGAAAAACATATATAACCAAATCAAGACCAAAACCTCTAACAGATGCAACTAAAGAAAAACATATTTTCTTTTAAGGATTCGTAGGATTTGTATGCACGGTGGCATCAGTGTGGTGAGGATAATTAAGCCAAAGCAAAGGCATATATATAGGATAATTAAGCCTTGATGAAATGTGGAAATAATGAGCAAAGAGAAAAAGATGGAAAGAGAGAAAAAAAAATCTATCTCCAGATTCTCCACCATAAACCAAACAAGAAAAGTATGTAGAAAAGCAGTCTTCATCTCGTGAAGTGGGGTCGGTCGGTGGAAAAGTGTCGTCCTTGGATTAAAGCTTTTCAAAGAGAATAGTGATTTGGCTTGCAAAAGTAAAGATGTATGAAATGAAAGACCTTGACTTTTAGTGTGAACCACATATTTACTGGCTTTGAGGGGAATTAAGTAAAGACGAAGAAAACCAATGAATGAGAAAAATATAGGAAAAGAAAAGGAGAGGATTGAGCTCAAGAAAACTAAGGTGAAAAGCATAGGGAAATTGAGTAAATACACCGGATGCATTCAAATAATTTAGTTGCCATCAGCATTTCTGTACTTCTTGCCAGACCCTAAAATTAACAAAAGAGGGTGGAAATAATGAGCAAAGAGAAAAAGATGAAAAGAGAGAAACAAATATCTATCTCCAGATTCCCCACCATAAACCAAACAAGAAAAGTAGGTACGTAGAAAAGCATTCTTCCTCTCGTGAAGAGAGAAGGTGGGGGTCGGTGGAAGTGTCGTCCTTGGATTAAAGCTTTTCAAAGAGAGGGTCCATCAGCATTTCTGTACTTATTTCCAGGCCCTAGGGTTTATTTTCAAGTTGTTTAGCCCTAGACTATTACATAGTTGTGTCACTCGTTATTTTTTTCAAAAATGCTCACTCATAGCTTAGGATTTAGGGCAGAGACCAAAACCCCAGAGCTAAACTAGCTCTCAAAGAACGATTTTAAACATTAATCAACCATAAATTATATAAGTCATAGTCTCTGAAACTATACGAAATCCGACACTAGTAAGCCCTAGTAACTCGCAATAAAACTTAAAGATTTCTGTAATTGTGTCAGGGCTAGAAACGAAAACACCACATAGAAGTTTCAATAATTCTTTACAAAAATATATATGAAGGTGCTTGGGTTTTCCTAATAGTCACTGATGAAGGTACTTGGGTTTTTCCTTGTAGTCACTGATGAAGGTGCATGGTTTCCTGCTCAAAAAGGGGAAGGAAGCTGTATTGCTTGCTCCTTCTAGTGGCCCTGACCTTTGTGCTTGTCAACGTATAGAAAGTAGAAATGAAAGATCTTGACATTCAACCTACCAGCTACCATAGATGGTGCCTCGTCATCTTCAACAGTCTCATCAACAAAATTGAACTTATCATCTTGTTCAGTTCCATATCATTCCGTCTTGAACTCTCTACCCAATCTGAACCAGACAGGTTACATTGATAGTATTAAATATACAGACGGATACATGTACAGTAATGTAAGTATCTAAAATGATTATTTGTCAATTTATTAGTGCCATACGAATTAATGAATTTAATCCATATATGGGAAAGAGGCATCTGCATACTAAGAGAGTGTCAATAGACATTTGGTGGTAAGGTGATGTATATATATATACATAGCCCTTAGTTTTTATGATTACCCTCTCTCTCTTTTTTGTTTTTTCCTTTTGTGTTTTTTGTTTCAAGCTTTCTTTGTTCGTCTATACATCAAACTGTTTACATTAAAAGAAGGGCAAGAAAATCATGTGGGGTGGTACCAGAAAGATGGTTCTTAAATCTTTGAGGCAGACGTGGTTGAAGCAAAAGCATGACAAATGTGAGCTCTAGACCTGTAAACGGGTCGAATTTGGATCGGATATAATCACATGATATGTATTACAAAATACAACGACTCCAATCCTTATGAAAAAACGCTACAATTCACAAGGACCCTTTGAACAAGATTATGCAGGACACTCTCTTATATAAGACTATAAGATGACTATATGATAGACTCTGTATAGAAGTACATAAACTGAAAGAAAGAAATTTTTTTTTTTTTTACTGTATTTATAGATGCTAAAGAGTCCTTTCCAAAGGGGTGTGTCCCAATCTGGAAAGTCAACCAATGCATCCCTTGGATAAAATGCATTGATACCTTTTCAGAAATCAGCAAAGGACACCATGGTCCAATAGACTCTTACTAATTTCCATTCAAATAAAAAATATTAATATTAATTAATATCAATTTTCCAACAAGTCACAGTCTCCGAAATCATAACGAAATCTGACACTAGTAAAGCCCTAGTAACTCGGAATAAAACTTAAAGATGTCTGAAAATTAAAATAAAAGCATTACTGTAATTGTATTAGGGCTAGAAACAAAAACCCCACTTAGAAGTTTCCAATAATTCTTATATAAAAAAACAAACATAAAGGTGGGTTTTCCTAGTAGTCACTGATGAAGGTGCTTGGGTTTTTCCTAGTAGTCACTGAAGAAGGTGCTTGGTTTCCTGCTCAAAAAGTGTAAGAAGGAAGTTGTATTGCTCCTTCTAGTGGCCCTGACCTTTGTGATGAAGGTGCTTCGGTTTTTCCTAATAGTCAATGATGAAAATGCTTGGTTTCCTGCTCAAAAAGTGTAAGAAGGAAGTTGTATTTCTCCTTCTAGTGGCTCTGACCTTTGTGATGAAGGTGCTTGGGTTTTTCCTAGTAGTCACTGATGAAGGTGCTTGGTTTCCTGCTCAAAAAGTGTAAGAAGGAAGTTGTATTGCTCCTTCTAGTGGCCCTGACCTTTGTGATGAATGTACTTGGGTTTTTCCTAGTAGTCACTGATGAAGGTGCTTGGTTTCCTGCTCAAAAAGTGTAAGAAGGAAGTTGTATTGCTCCTTCTAGTGGCCCTGACCTTTGTGATGAAGGTGCTGGGGTTTTTCCTAGTAGTCACTGATGAAGGTGCTTGGTTTCCTGCTCAAAAAGTGTAAGAACACTACTACATTTTAGGCTTTGCGCGACAAAGGGATCTTCGTCCCACAAAAATGATTTTAGTCGCACATAATTATGTGCGACAGAAGTTTCGTCGCGCAAAGTTCGTGAAGAAAGGATTTGCGCGACGAATAAATATCATTCGTCGCGCAAAACAGTGCGACGTATTACAACTTTGTTAAAAAAAACATTTCGGGATGACCCTAATGTCCGTCGCAAAAATATTTGCGCGACGAAAAACTGGTCGTCGCAAAAACAATGCGCGACGGAGTCTTCCGTCGCGCGAGATACATGAACTTTGCGCCACGAAATAATATTCGTCACGCACGTAGTCTTTGCACAACAAAAAAGTCGTCGCGCATACAAATTTCGAGCGACGAGATAATTCGTCGCGCATACAAACTTCGCACGACGAAACAATTCGTCGCGCATACACATTTTGCGCAACGAAATTCTTCGTCGCGCATGATTAAAATATATTTGTCAACAGGGTTATTTAAATGATTTTGCGCGACGATTTACGTTTCGTCGCGCAAAAGTAATATATATTATTAAAAAAAATTATTATTATTTGATTTTTAATTTTGTAAAAAAATAAATTTGGTTTTTTTTTATAATTAAAATGAAATTATAATAAAAAGATTAATTGCAAAGAAAACATTTATTATATAAAATAAAAGAAATGTATACAAGAGAAATATTGTAAAAGTAATTATAAAAATAAAAAACTAATCAAATAATGTTCCAAAATCTACTTGGTCATCTGCCACATGCGGCTCGGAGGTATGGGCGTCTGCAGGGGCCGTGGTGTGCTGGGGATGCTCGGGGTGGACGGGCTCGGAGGTCGACGCACCAAAATTCGGGATTGGAATGCCGGACCGCGCGAGGGATTGCAGAATCACCGACATCTGACCCTCAAGCTCGGCAACCCGCGATGTCAAAACAGTCACCTGACTGTTTGCCTGCGACGATGACCGCGGTCGAGGTTCCCTCTGTCGGGCATTCCCCATCCCCCTACAATACGTTCCCAGCCTCCTCCCGAGAGTCTGATCCAACGTCTGCGTCAAAATTTGAAATCCAGCATCATGCGGAGGATCCACAGACTCGATCGGATTCTCGGGAGGAAGTTGGGAGGCGGACTCTTGAAGAACCAACTGGCTCCTCTCCACCATCGTCGTCTGTTTAACATTACATAAAATATAAATTCAAAAATGCATATAAATTGAAAGCGTAACATAAGAATTAAAATTAAATAATACTTACATGAAGGGACTCGGCCAACTCATTCCCAGGTCGAACATAAACGTCACCAAAGACGTCGATCTCTGGGAATTTCGACCCCCCCCTTAATTGAACAAGAGAAGGAAAATATTAGTATGAACAAAATAAATTAATAATAATGACGTATTAAAAATTAAATATAAATTATATTATTCTTACCCGACGCCGTGCATCCATCCTATATGAGAAGGGCCTGGAGCCGGAATGGTGGAGAAGAGTCTTCTTCTTCCTATTGCCCTTATTCACTTGGGCTTTATTCTGTTATACAAAAAATAAAACGTAATAGTTGAAATATAAATAAATTAAATAATAATGAGATATAAAAAATAAAATAAACATTAATAAGAAATATGTAATAATTAAACAAATATTATTAAAAAAATACCACATAATCGGGCGCCTGAAAATGAGCGCAAAGCCACGCCCAACTATCCTCCCGCCCCTCAAGCTCCTTCGGGCAACCTTCCTGAAGAGCGACTTGCGGATCATCAAACGCCTGAAAATGGTGGTGCAAGTCGCTCTTCCACTGCTTGTACCTCTCACCGAAGAGTCTGTTGACGTACGACAAGGTCTCCTCGTTGAGGTCCTCTAAGTGGTAGTTCGTCTGCAATAAATTCATTACATACATTAAGTAATAGAAATATATAAAGTTTGAAAGAAAAATAATTAAAAGATAGGAAATATACCGACAACTGGCCGCGAACTTGCATCTTGATCTCGTCAGGCATGACCTTCCAAGACTTCCATTGCATCGGGCAATGGGTCCGAACGATGTGGCCAATGTCGTGGGCCAAGGAGCTATGCAAGTCCGCCGTCGGTGCAGCCCGATGGCGCTCGTCATATCCAATGCCGATACGACTGTTGGTCACCCGGGTGACCTTCGCCGTCTTCAGCTGCCGACACGGCCCTCGGGTGTTCCTCTTGGCTGCAAAGGGATATGACAATATTGTTAAATAAATAACAAATTGAACCATAAAATTCCCAATTAAAAAAATGTTAAAAACAAAAAAACGAAAATGGAAGGATATATATACCTGGAGGTGCCCCCGAGGCACCAGTACTGTCAGTCGATGTGGTGTCGGTGGTGGTAGCGGGCCGGTGTCGCCGCCTAGCGCTAAGAGGCTGCACCACCGAAGAAGATGATGATGCAGCCGCCTGGGATCCCCCAGGACCAGCTAGCACGTGGTCCTGCTCCATCAGTGCTGGAGCAGTGGCAGCTGATACTGGCTGAGCCAGGGGCTCCGAACTCGGTGTAGTCGTCACCGCCCTACGACGTCTAATCAAGTCTGACTTCTGCACAATTTCATTAATCAAATTTAGCACATACAATGTCATTAAAAAATTGAACTAATTAATTAAAATCATAGTTTGACCTAGGGTTTGCGATTTCGAAGTATCCGGGACTTCGATCCACGATCCGTCGAGTCCTAAACAATCCTATAAATACATGGTACCACATACGTGAGTTTCAGCTCAATCCAACGGTCCGAACATATCAAACCCAAAAATCGCACAATAGGTTCGAACCGTTCGAGACTCAAACGATAACCAAATTCCAATCCGAGCACATCTACACGCTCGTGACAACGAAATGTTTGCACTGGGACCCAATGCCCTATGCCACAATACCCCACGCGCCACCACACTCGCCGGCAGCGCGTGGGTGCCCAAAGCGATAACAATCACCGGGAAATCCTAAAAATTAAGGGCCAAGGTTCCTACCCTAGGTTCAAAACATCAATTGGAGGCACTTTTGTTCTCGGACCTACCCCGAAAAACGGCCGGAAGTGGCCAGAATTTCAATTTCAAAACCGGCCAAAACCTAGGGTTTCAAATTCACTACCCTATGCACACAATCAATCAAATCCTACCCAACCATCAGCTAAAGCATCAAAAATAGTCCAGAAAGCATACCTCAATTGCCGATTTGGTGCCCGGAGGAGAGAGAACAAAGGCAGCGAAGATTTGGCCTAAACGGAGGAAATCACGGCGGCAGAATGGACGGCGACGGCGGAGAAGCTCCAGGGTTCGACGCTTGTGGCGGCAGGGTCTAAATTGGGGCGGAGTAGGGGCTGAGGTCACGGCGGAGAGAGAGGGAGGTTTTAGGGTTCGAGTTTGAGAAACTGGGGAAGAAGGAGAAGATCGCGATTTTCAGAAAACTTATTCGACTTTGCGCGACGAATAACCAATCCGTCGCGCAAAATTCATTAAAATAACTTTTGCGCGACAAAACTGACTTTCTGTCGCGCAAGGTTCTGAAAATATCACCTTTGCGCGACGTAAAAACATACTTTCGTCGCGCAAAGTTCTGAAAATATCACCTTTGCGCGACGAAACAATTAGTGTCGTCGCGCAAGTTTGTCCAGCCGCTCAAATTTTGGGATTTGATTTTGTGCAATCTAGATTTTTGCCCAAAAAAATTTCGCTAAGTGTTGGAGCGGAGAAGGGCTAAAATTCTTTCATGGTTTTGCGCGACGAAGGTGCTTGAGTTCGTCGCGCAATCTAGATTTTTACCAAAAAAAATTTCGCTAAGTGTTGGAGCGGAGAAGGGCTAAAATTCTTTCATGGTTTTGCGCGACGAAGGTCCTTGAGTTCGTCGCGCAATCTAGATTTTTGTCAAAAAAATTTCGCTAAAATTCTTTCATGGTTTTGCGTGACGAAGGTGCTTGAGTTCGTCGCGCAATCTAGATTTTTGCCAAAAAAAATTTCGCTAAGTGTTGGAGCGGAGAAGGGCTAAAATTCTTTCATGGTTTGCGTGACGAAGGTACTTGAGTTCGTCGCGCAATCTAGATTTTTGCCAAAAAAAATTTCGGTAAGTGTTGGAGCGGAGAAGGGCTAAAATTCTTTCTCACATTGCGCGACGAATGCAAGGTCCATTCGTCGCTAATGTTTTGCGCGACGAATTCAAGGTGATTTCGTCGCGCAAACCCATACCCTTGTACCATAAACCCTAAAACCTATACCCTAAGCCCTAAACCCGAACTCCTGAACTAGTTTCAATGATCCAACTGGCAATCTTCTTTTTTATAGTTCAAGATCGTATACGTCAAAAATCATAGTGAATGAACATTCAGAGATTGAGTAACGGGACAAAACTTTTCGACGGTTCTAAACAAATTGTCCCGATTCAACGGTGATTTTAACTCCGATGTTGAAATTTTTTTACAGCTGCGGTTCTTGACCCTATATGAATACAAAGATGTAATTCGATCTTCAATTTCAGATATTTACAGTACAGGACATCACATAATCTTATGTTATACTGAATGAATGTATAAATAAATTCTTCATTTTTGATGAATATTGTGTTTTGATGGAATACGCATTCTAGGAAACAAGTTTCAGTAATCCAGCCGTCAAATATGTTTGTTTATACTTCGAGATCGTATACGTCAAAAATGAGAAAAAAAAACATTCAGAGATCAAGTAACAGGACAAAACGTTTCGACGGTTATAAACGAAAAGTCATGATTTAACGGTTATTTTGACTCTGATTTTGATGATTTTTTACAGCTACACTGTTTAACCCTATGTGAATACAGTGAACTACTTCGATCGTCAATTTCAAATATATACGTGTGTATATATCAAAAATATATATATATATGTTTGCGCGACGAGGTCTTTTTGTTTGTCGCGCAAAAGTTACTTGCGCGACGGAATTATTTGTCGCTCAAAATTTAGAGTATGCGCGACGTGTACATTTTCCGTCGACAATTATGCCTTCGTCGCGCAAGGTTATTTTCATTCACATATTATTAAGCTGAATTATTCATCATTACATATAATTAATTGTATGAAAGTATGATTTATTCTATTTTCTTTTGATTTGAGAATTGAAGGATTGTTGATAATCTTATTTTCTTTGTATTCATTTTTTTCGGTTATATGGTTTTCATTTTTTAAAGGTTTTTTGTCAAAATAAATTTAAACTTTATTATTAAAATTACTTGGATATATTTATTTACCAATGGTTTATAACTACATTTATTTTAATAATGTTTCATTTCTGCACATATATAATGTTTGGATATAACAAGTACATATATGAAAACATTTGCATTACACAAAATATGTCCACTAACATAATAAAATTACAAAAAAAATTCATCATTCATCATCTTAACTATAATAACTTTCGTTATCGTCGCTATCATCACTTTCGGTCTCCCAATCCTCTTCCTCCTCCTCCTCCTCCTCCTCCTCCGCCTCCTCTATAACTACATCATCGTCGTTGCTCGGGCCAACTGCAACATCGTATCGCGGAAGATCACCGAGGTCAATTGTAATTGATTGAATCGGTATTTCGATTGAAGACACTCCTTTTATTTGAAATGGCTTTTGTATAACATTAGTATCTCGAAGTGTTTCCGCATCATTTTCCATTGAAGATTCTAAACGTTGGTCAGCCACATTGTCGACGTCGTTGTCAGTTGGGTCTAGTTCTGGTATAGCATACACGTTCCTATGATCCATCTTTTGAACAACGTTCCAACCGCTTCCGGCTTTAGGGTCATCTAGATACACAATTTGTGTTGCCATGTTTGCCAAAATATAAGGGTCGTCATCATACCAAGTTCTGTTCATGTTCACAGATAGTAAGCCATGATCGATTTTAACACTTCCCGCCTATTTGGGTTGGTGTCAAACCATCGACACTTAAACATGATCACTTGGTATCGATCTTTGTAAAGCAATTGCACGACAGTTGTGAGTTTGCCATAGAAATCAATGTCCGTACTTTCGCCTCCACCTGGGACATGGACACCGCTGTTTTGCGTACACAACTTGTCATCTTGTGCTTCGCCCAAAAATTTGACGCCGTTGACATTACAACCCGAGAACAATTCAGCGCGAATCGGGCCAAACGCCAAGTTATATAACTCATCACTGTAAGTTGGGGAATTTGATGATTTCAACTTATTCACCTAATATTATACAAAACCATTCATATGTTAGTCTGACAAAATTAAAAACTACAATTTATATTTCTCAAATAACAAACACTGATAACTTACAGAATCCAAAAACCATTGTGGAAACAATTCACGGTGTTTCTGGGAAACCAAATGTGATGGATGTTCTCGCTTCATCATCTCTTCATGCTCATATAAGTATCCCATGATCTCATCACAATTGTTCAGTACGAACCAATGCGCTGAGGACGATTGAAAACCGTCTCCACATCTTTTAAATACATTCCGTAGAAAGTAAACGACTCATATTGAACCCAAGCCTCTACGATTGATCCTTCGGGCTTCGCCCTGTTGCGTACACTTTTTTTCAGCTCTCCGAGAAGCCTGCCAAAATAAAACGATATGATACAAATTAGCAAGCATGTGATAATGATGCATACACAAACGATAAGGATTATATACCTTTCTATTGGATACATCCAACGATAGTTGACAGGACCAGCAAGCAATGCCTCTTCTGGCAAGTGAACCATCACGTGCATCATACTTGTGAAGAAAGCTGGAGGAAATATCATCTCAAACTTGCATAGGACTTGGACAATGTCATGGCGCAACTGAAACATGTCCGTTTTTCGCAAAGTTTTTGCCGTCAGTTGGGAAAAAAATCTGGACAACAAAATGATTGGCTTCACTACATCTTCCGGCAATAGGTGTCGAATACCAACAGGAAGTAGGCGTTGCATAAACACATGGCAGTCATGGCTCTTAAGTCCAGTAAATTTACCCCCGTCAACATTCACACAACGTGCGATATTAGAAGCATACCCATCGGGAAACTTTACTGACGATACAAACTTTAGAAACTCTTTCTTGTCATTCGGTTTTATAGAAAAGAATGCAAGATCCCTTCTAGCTTTATCATTGTCCCTATTCATCTATAAACCCCTTCGTATGCCCATTCTTTCCAAATCAAGACGAGCTTTGATCGTGTCCTTTGTCTTCCCCTCGATATCTAGAATCGTGCCCACCAATGTGTTGAATACATTTTTCTCAACATGCATCACATCTAGATTGTGCCTCAATTTTAGTTTCAACCAATATGGGAGCTCAAAAAACATAGGCTTGTGCGTCCAATTCATATGTGTAGAAGGTCTGATACGACTAACTGTTTTCCCGAAGGGAGCAAAATCCAACCGGTTAAGCTGGTCCAATATCTCATCACCGGATCATTCTCTGGGTCTAAGGCGACGCTCTGTGTTCCCGTCAAACTCTTTATCTTTTTCCCTCCACTCATGGTCCCATGGCAACCATCTCCGATGACCAAGGTAACAAACTTTTCCAGCGTGCCAACCAGAAGTTACATCTTCCTTGCATACAGGACATGCCATATAACCTTTTGTGCTCCACCCAGAAACCATTGCATATGCTGGGAAATCATTCACAGTCCACATAACTGCTGCCCGCAAAGTGAACATCTTCTTAGTTGATTTATCATACGTGCGAACACCGTTTGTCCATAAATCCTTCAGCTCATCATGTATTCTTTTTCATGCATTTGCAAGGCGGCAAATTATATGGGAATACGAAAATCGGCCAAGTGCTATGGTGTTGGTTTAGAACCCCATACGGATTGAATCCGTCAGTGGCAAGTCTCAATCTAACATTTCGGGGATTAGCAGCAAACTCGGGGAACGTTCGATCGAACTCTTTCCACGCCTCCCCATCTGCAGGATGCTGCATCACATCATCGTCTACCCGTTTTTCCTTATGCCATCTCATGTCTGTGGCAGTATGCGTCGACATATACAATCGCTGCAACCTAGGTTTCAGGGGCAAATAACGCATGACTTTTTGTGGGATCTTAGTCGTCCTATTCTGAGATGTCATCTTAAACCTCGACTCATTGCATATAGGACATGTATCTAACGATTCATGCTCTTTGTAGAATAACATGCAATTGTTTTTGCAAGCATGGATTTTTTCATAACCCAATCCAAGACCATTCAACACCTTCTGCGCCTGTTTATGGTCTTTCGGCAAACAATTGTCCGTCGGAAGCATTCTCTTGAAAACCCCCAAAAAGTAATCGAAACACAGGTTCGACATACGATACTTTATTTTTCCGTGCATTAGCTCCACAATGGCCGTGAGAACGGAAAAGCTCTCGCACCCCGGGTATAACTCTTGGTTGGCATTTTTTAACAATTTTTCATATTGTTCAAACTCCGCACTGTCTATTGGTGTAGGCACATCATCTTGCTCTTCTTGATTCATGTTGGTCGATGCAAATGGAAAAACATCCTGTATAATATCCATGACTTGATCATTAGCATCCACAATAGGTTGAACATTGTCCACTCTTGTGGCATTTGAAGACGAAGCATGCTCTAATTGTTCCCCGTGAAGGTTCCAAATGCTATATGTCTCAATCATTCCATTCCTTACTAAATGAAATCCAACATTTTCAATTGTCTCCCATAACGTGTTGTTGCATCTCCTACAAGGACAACGGATTCTAGTTGCACCCGGGTTATGTCCACGTGCAAACTCAATAAAATTCTCGATTCCATCCAAGTATTCGTCTGCGCATCTGTTCGGGTTCTGTATCCACCTTCTGTCCATAATTCCTGAAACCAGAATCACAACACAACAATCACAACAACTTTATACGAAGTTATAATGTCACCTTATGCCTCCGGTAAGGGTCCTATCCCATTCGGGAATGCATACTCCTGCCACGTAACCTACGACTACATGAGATTAGATTTTCGACGTGGATGAATTTCGCCAGCATCTCGCTACAGTTCTTGAGGTGGCCATAGGTATAAATACCTACGTACCACCCGAAGAACGTACCGAGATGACATCGAAATATCCACAATCGAAACCTAATCCTGTAGCCATAGATTACGTGACAACACTATGCATTACCAAACTGTCCAAATAATGGGACAATTCAAGAATTAATTGGACCGCAGTCATGCATTACGCATCCATGCACGAAATCCAACTAATCTCAAACGGGAAACTAAGTGTTAAACTAAACTAAAGTTAAATTTCAAATAACTTCGTACATCACAACAGATTGTTCTACGTTACACACAATTTAACAACATAATATAAATATAACTTCACAAGAAAATTTTAAACATAACAAATTAACATTATTAATATATAAAACGAATAAAATACATTCTCAATCGTTCTCCACCAATCGCTAATTACAAATATCCCTAACGAAAAAAAAATAAAAAACCTTAGTACGAACTTAAATTAATACTTTTAAACTAATGATGAAAAATATTTACCCAATTAATGTATTGAAGTCCCAGCAGCGGCAGAGAGGTTGAGAGAGAGGCAGAGGCAGAATGCTTTGTTTTTGCATTCTGCCTCTGCAATGGCAGAATTCTAATATGAAGAAGAAGGACTTTGTGCGACGAATACATAATTTCGTCGCGCAAACTTCCGTCACAAAAAACCAAATAGTCCGTTGTGCAAACCTTTTTTTTGGTCGCGCAATCACCTGCCGACATCTAACTTTTGCGCGACGCTGGTATTTTTCGTCGCGCAAAACAAGATATTAGTCGCGCAAACTTGGAACTTTAAGCGACGAATAGTATGTACGTCGCGCAAAAAAAAATATCCCAACTAGGTAATTTTGGCGCCAAAAATAAAATATCCCTCGTTCTCTTACGCAACGAAACATCTTCCCGTCACGCTAAGCTGTCTTTTGCGACGAAGAATTTCGTCGCACAAGCTTTTACTGCCAAATAAAGGGACCCACTGGGTTCTGTCCGTTTTTGCGTGACGAATCAGTGTACCGTCGCGCAATGTTGTCTTAAGCGACGATATTTCTCATCGCGCAAATGTTTCGCGCCAAAAAAATTCCACCCGCTCTTTTTAACTCTGTTTGCGCGACGACGATTTTTTTGGTCGCGCAAAGACATTTCGTGCGACGAAAAATTTGGTCGCGCAAATTTTCAGTGGATTGCGCGACGAATGTTTTCTTTCGTCGCGCCAATATGTTTTGCGCGACAAATTATTGTTCGTCGCGCAATCTTTCGTCGCGCAAATGGTGAAATGTAGTGGTGGAAGGAAGTTGTATTTCTCCTTCTAGTGGCCTTGACCTTTGTGATGAAGGTGCTTGGGTTTTTCCTAGTAGTCACTGATTCGGATCGAATCGGATTATTATATGATTTATTTTGAGATGTACAAAAAATCAAAATTTCATTAGTAGCCTCGTTCTTTTATTGTATTTATCTACTTTTTATATCAAATTTTAATATTTATAACTATATAAAAAATTAGTTTTAAGTGTATTCTTAGTGCATATAAAACTAAAATTACTCATTTACACATATAAAATATTAATATAAAGTATAGAAAAACTAAATTATACTCCATTCTAAGTCAGATCGGATCAATTTTGCCTATTTCATTTGCATACTCCCTTGGAGATGCTATGGATCACTTTTTCTTTTCTGTTCATCCTTTTTCCACTTTCATTCTCTTCTTCCTTGTAATTCAAGCCGTTGTTGTTTTGCTTCATGAAAACGGAAATTCAATGTTTTTGACAAAAAAATAGAACAAGAACACAATGTTCTTTTCTTATTGAAGAAATATTAATCTGAAAGGGAGAGGTTCTTATATATCTCCTTTACTATATCTCCACTTTTTGAAAAGAAAAAGACAACCAACTTTACAGAGGTTTAAAGAAGATGAGGTGAGGGCGTGCTTACCAAATAGAGAAATGCTAGCAACCTTCTCTCTAACCTTCTCCTTTGGACCTTCTCCCTTCTTTGCTTGACATGTGTCATTCTCCTTACACTTAAAACAATGTTATTAATATATTATACAAGCTAACTTTTGCTTTCCAAGTTTACCCTTATTAAATGTATTCAATTTATCCAAAAACATTTCACAACTTTCTTACTATCTTATTAATTTTTTTCTAACGTCAATTATTTTTTTTAAAGAACATATATGCTTTTTTTTAAAAAAAAAAAAAAAAAATGAAATCCGTTTTTTTTAAAACACAAAGGACTTTTTTTTTTCCTATCTAAACCCTTTGTTTGTTTTTTTAAAATTTATTTATAAAAAAAAGGGACATTTCCTCTTAAAAGCAAATATGTTCTTTAAAAATAAATAAATAAGATGGTAAGAAAGTTGTGAAATGTTTTTGGATAAATTGAATACATTTAATAAGGGTAAACTTGGAAAACAAAAGTTAACTTGAATAATATATTAACGACATTGTTTTAAGTGTAAGGAGAATGACACATGTCAAGCAAAGAAAGAAGAAGGTCCAAAGGAGAAGGTTAGAGAGAAGGTTGCTAGCATTCCCCTATCAAATATGTTATCACCTACAATCAATGTCGTCCAATATTGGGCTAAAACAAGATATCTACCAAAACAATACCAGAAAAACATATATAACGAAAACAAGACCAAAATCTCTAAAGAAAGACATATTATCTTTGAAGGCTTGGTGGATTTTTATGCAAGGCGGCATCAGTGCGACGCCCGGAAATGACTAAAATGTCTATACACCTATACATGCGCCATGTGAGCTATGGTAAACCCTAAACCCTAATGTAAGAGTTGATTTACTCGACTGTTGACAGAAGTTTAGGGGAAAAGTGAGTCAAATTAACTTCTAAAGTATTAACAAAATAAAAAAAATGTAGGTGGGTGGAAATAATGAGCAAAGAGAAAAAGACGAAAAGAAAGAAACAAATATCTGTCTCGAGATTCTCCACCATGAAGCAAACTATTAACCAAATTGTAATTCTCTTCAGATCCATTCCATTTCCAGATCCAGATCCAACTATTCTCATCATCTCAGCCTGTTTTGTTTTGCTGTTGTTGCTGCTAGAAATGGAAGCAGCAGCAAGCATAGTTTTATCCCCTGCTTTGCAAGTGATCTTTGACAGATTGGCATCCCCAACCCTACAAAAGCTTTCTGATATGTGGGGTGTCAAGGACAACCGCCACAAGCTACAACTTGCCTTAAAGAAGGTTCAAGCCATTCTTCAAGATGCAGAGGAGCAACAATTAATCAACAAATCTGTCAGGCTTTGGTTGTCAAATCTCAAGAATGCTGCTTCTGTTGCTGAGGACCTTCTGGACTCGTTTATCGCTCAAGAAAATATAGAAGGCTCTTTGAGGAGTGCTCGTAGAGATTTCACTAGTATCAGTTCTTATGTTACAGAAGGCTATGATGCTGAAAGAATTAGAGAGGCACTCCGCAAGCTAGAAATGACGGTACATGACGGGCTCTTTGAATTTAATTTTAGAGAGCCTCGTATAGTAGATCGACGATCTACCAAAAGGGAGACTGTCTCTCGTGTGGTCGACTCAAAGATATATGGAAGAGATGATGACAAAGAGAAGTTAGTCAAACTGTTACTATCTTCTGAAACTTCCGAGGATGGATATGCAACCTGTATTCCAATAATTGGTATTGGAGGAATTGGCAAGACCACTCTTACTCAGTTGGCATATAACGACGAGAGGGTACTCCAACACTTCGACTCTAGAATCTGGATTTTTGTTTCTGAGGAATTCAATGTCAAGAAGATTATGAAGGCAGCCATTGAGAGTGCAATAGGAGTTGAATGCAACTTGTCGGAGATTGAACTACTTCAGTCTCGGCTTTCACAATTGCTGCAGAAGAAAAGATATCTGATTGTGTTAGATGATATTTGGACTGAAGACCAGGATGATTGGGACAAACTAAGACCTTTGTTTAGTGGGGGTCTTGATGGATGCAAAATCATTGTCACTACCCGCAGTAAAAAAATTCCATTCATGATGGATTTCCCAAATTCACCATTTTTTTTGAACGGTTTGAAGGATGACGATTGCTGGTCTTGTTCAAGCACCGGGCATTTGGACGAGGAGAAGAAGAGAAGTATCCAACTCTTTCGCGGATTGGAAAGCAGATTGTCAAAAAATGTGGAGGTGTGCCTCTCGCAGCAAAAAGTTTGGGAAGTTCAATGCGTTTGAAAAGAGAAGAAAACCAGTGGTCAATTATGCGAGATTGTCAACTTTGGGAATTAGATGTAAGCAAACATAAATTTTTGCCTGCACTGATGCTCAGTTATCATCACCTACCGTCACATGTCAAACAATGCTTTGCATTCTGCTCATTATTTCCCAAAAATTATGAGTTCAAGAAGCAGAAGTTAATTCATCTATGGATGGCAGAAGACTTCATTCCAGAAGAGGGAAGCAAGCGACCTGAAGACATTGGTGACGAATACTTTTCCGAATTGTTGTGGATATCTTTCTTGCAAGAAGTACGGCTACATGAAGGTGGAGAAACAATTGGATACAAGATGAATGATATAATACATGATCTTGCACGATATGTTGCAGGAAAAGAATATGTGGTACTTGAACAGGGTCGTCCACAAAATTGGTCACCAGCAGAGATTCGCCACGCATCTGTTGTTTATAGATATGCTGCAAGAATTACAATTCCAGAAACTCTATATGAAGCAGAACATTTGCGAACTCTTTTATTGATCGGAGATTCTGGCAGGTTAGAGAACGGAGATAAAATTTATTCAAGTTTTCAATACTTGCGGGTGCTAGATCTCAACAACTGTGATCTTGTTGATCTGCTGAATTCCATGGGTGACTTGATATGTTTGAGATATCTTGACTTGTCTTACACGCGTATCACCCAGTTACCTAGAAGCTCACATCATATGTTTTCTTTGGAGACCCTAAACCTAATTGGTTGCCATAATCTTCAATCTTTGCCTCATTTGGGATCAAGATTAAGACATCTTAACTTAAGTGGATGTGTGCGTTTGATTGGTATGCCTCCGAATATTGAATTTTTACGTCGTCTTCAGACATTGCCACTTTTTGTTGTGCCGAAGTTGGGGAAGATTCAGCTGGAAGGTTTAAATCTTTATGGGGAGTTGAATATTGCTCACTTGGAGAATCTTTGTAGGGAGTTGAATATTGCTCACTTGGAGAGTCCTAACTTCATGGCTTCTATACAAAGTCAATTCTTTTTCTCTTTAATGAAATCAGCAGAACTGCAAAAGAATGAAAATCTTGAGTCATTGGGATTATATTGGGGTCTTATTCCGCAATGTAGAGATTCATTCCCAAAACTACATAATGCCGAACCTGAAGTAGGTGTCTCAGGATCACATATAGCACAACAATCTGAAGAAGTTATTAGAGGTCTGCAACCACACGAAAATCTGAAAAAGCTAGTTATAAATGGGTATCCAGGAATCAAATTTCCTAATTGGGCTCTCCCAAAACTTGTCGCTGCTGATTTCACCAACTGTAGAAGTTGTGAACATCTTCCAGCCCTTGGGAATTTTCCGCTACTTAAGACACTTTCTCTGCAAGGAATGCATGGCATGAAGAGCATTGGTACAGAGTTCTATGGTGACTGTAAAGACATATGGTTTCCATCACTCGAAGAACTATCAATAAGTGATTTTGCAAACTTGGAAGAGTGGTCAAGTGCAAATGTTGGAAATGCATTCCCTAGATTGAAGAAATTAACTATAAAGAGTTGCCCCAAGTTAGGACATATACCGTTACCTCAGTCCCTTCAACATTTGGAGCTGCGGAATTGTAATCCTACGATGGTGGCCGTAGCAGATTTAAGTTTGCTATCTGTTCTTATTCTTGACAAAATTCCAGACCTAGTGTCTCTCCCAGAAGGGCTTTTTTGCATCAGCTAGTCTGTCTTCCTTGAAGATTTTGTCTTGCCCCAAGCTTCATTCAATGCCTTTGGAGATGCAAAACCTTAGTTCTCTGAAATCATTGACCATTCGTTGGTGTGAAGAGTTGTCCTCTCTGCCACAAAGTTTAAAGAACGTCAAATCTCTAGAGTCACTGGAGATTAGTAATTGTAACCATCTAATATCCCTGCCAGATGGTGGAATTGCAGGTTTGGCTTCACTTCGAACTTTGTCCATTGAAAACTGCAGTGAGCTTACTTCTCTGTCGTCGAGTTTGGAACAGCTCACATTGCTTGAGGACTTGACCATCATGGACTGTCCAAAACTTGGTACTTTTCCAGCAGGTGTGCAACACCTCTCCTCCCTTCGAAGTTTGATGGTTTTGAACTGTCCTTGGTTTGATTCTTTGCCAGAAGGGATGCAAAATTTCAAGACTCTGCAATGCTTGGAAATTAGAAGCTGCCCCAATCTAACCTATTTGCCAGAATGGTTTAAGGATCTTGATTGTCTTAGATCTTTGATCATATATGATTGTCCTAATATAAAACTATTGCCATCGGGTTTCAATCTTCTCACTAAACTCCAGACCCTCTCTATTCAAGAATGTCCAGAGCTTGAGGAAAGATGCAGACAAGGTAGCGGTGAGGATTGGTCGAAAATAGCCCATGTCCCGCATAAGTACATTGGACTGCTTGAGGTAAAGCGGTCTGGCGAAGCGAGCACATCTGGAAGCTCTTCTGTCCAAGGATCTTCTCAGTAAGAAACTTCTATTTCATTGCCATCAACAAGCTATTATCATTATGGTAAGTCATTCCTCTTGGTATTATCATTATGTATTTCTATGTACGAGGCTGTTTTGAGAATCCTCTGATTTGGTATTGTATAGATATCATATTAATTAAATTCCTGTGTTTTCGTCTGAAAATAAAAAGCAACACTCCATATAGGTGTTGTTGATTGATACTTTTGTTTCGAAATGCGAACATTGTAGATATATGACTCTCTCAATATTAAAAAAGCATAAAGAAGCAACCTTGTATAATTAGTTCAAAAGTGTTACTTGTCTCTGTAAGTTGATGAAAGGAATTTTCTTTTGTGGTTTTGCCGCTGCAGGGCCGCATGGGTTTGATGTTTTGAGGAGGGAGATAGTGGCCACAGGGGAAGGTTTATTGATGATAGGCTTTTTGGGTTTTAATCGTTTTATACTTGCAACTGCCTCCCAAGAAGCTGTTTCATTGCTTAATGGCAGAATGGATTGGTGGAGCAACATTGACAATGTGATGGAAGATATAAGACGGTTGGTGGTCGACATGTTCATGATGGATGTTTTGTATCAAACTTGAAAGGGCAACGGTGTGTGGCGCATGCTCTTACTCAATTTGGCTTGAAGGAAGGCTCCAGTTTCGTTTGGGCGGCACCACCTTGGTTGGACTCTCTTTTAGGGAAAGATAGGGATGTGGGGGTTGGGTGTTTTTTCTGTATTTTTTGTGGAGGTGTTTTGGTACTCCTTTTCCTTGTCCAAATTTTCCTCTGTGTGGGGATTTTTCATGGCAAAGGTTTTAACGAGGCCATTGTTTTTGCCTTCTTATACGTTTTCGTAGTTGAATGAAATTCTCCTTTTTATTAAGGGGTTTACTTCTCTCTTAATTTTGATTCTGTTTACGTTTTATTTAAATAAAGTTTTAGTCATATTGCATTGTTGTATTGTAGATTTTGCTTGATAGTTGCCATTTGATTGCCCATACAACAGCTCTCTTTGCTCGACAGCCATCACTTGACATCAACTGAAGGCCGTCTCACTGATGAAGGTGCTTGGGAGTTTCCTGGGGGAGTTTCAATACTTTTCATTTGACAGACACTTACTATAAGAAAATGTGTGCGAGAGGGAGATCAGCAGGCAACATTGACTTACACTTACTACAGATTTGGCGTCCCCTCCGTCAAGGCTAGTCTTTATGTATAGACTGTTCAAATTAGTCATTCCTCTAACAAGAGAGACCATTGCTGGGACAAGGTCATCTTTCAAGCTACTACAATGAATACCCAATTTACGAATATTATCCAATGGTGCTGACATGGAACCTTCCTTGAATGCCTGCAAATTTATCAAGAAAGAATCATAAATAGAAAGAAGGCATGAAGCTACACCCCAGGAGATAAAAAACCAGTAATAAAGTTTAACTAGCTGCTACATATCTCAGAGTCTAGATAAGTAACCATCAATTGATAAAAAAATTTAAACCATAATGTTTCTCAATTTAAATCATTTTATTAAAACTATATTATAGGATTTTCAACTTAGTACACTCTCTGACAAATAAAATATATACATGGAATTTAAACAGAACTTGCAGCATAAATAAGAAAACGCATTATTCCAACAGCTAATGTCAACCTTTCAAATGATTTCAAATTCCTACAAAATATAAAGGTGTTGAGGATAGTGTCAATTTTACCTTCATGGTCTCCTCGTTTATGATAAGAACCTTCGCCCAGGTACACTATGAAGAAACTCAAATACTTTATCAAATTTCTCAAATACTTCATCAAATTTATTTCTCTGAGACGCTAAAAAAATCTCTACTTTTTCCAAACCAGTTAATTTCCCCAGATTCAGACTATTGTTCAAAATGCCTTCCCATTTCAAATATTTCAGATTTGGAGCAAAAATATTCACCTCTATGCTGCTCGTTAGTGCGTGGTAATCCTTAAAGCTTATATCAATACTTTCAATTTTCTGACCAGAGATGTTCAGATGAATAGGGTTAGGATCATTGATCCAAACAAGAAGGGATTCTAAAGACGAACTTTCAATAGAGATTTTTTGCATTCCTCGAATCCAAACCCAAATAAGCTGTAATTCCTTCATGAATTTGCAGGAACGTGAGATTCATTTGAAAAACCTCTCATCCACTATTGTAACTTTTTCCAGTTTTAAGTAACAGAGATTACTGGAAAAGGATACAGACGGGGCTTCAAGAATCATCCAAGTCAAATGCACTGATAGAGACTGCAAAGACTTAGAAAGAAAAACGCAAGATGGAAGCGCAAGAAAATCACATGCCAAACGGAGATCAAGCACTTCAACATTGCACCTCACCGCATTAACAATCCAGGTGATCACCCGAAAATGATCATCAGAAAACTTGCTCGCTTGTTCAGATCCAAAGCAGCTCCAATTAATGCTGAAGACTTGCATCCTATGATCACCACGATAACACAAGTACCTATCCAAAGAGCTCATCAACTTCACTATCTTCTGGTTGGTTACTCCACGCGGTTTGCAACTTGAATAATCAAAACTCACGACCGGAACTGATAGATGAAATTGCCTGCATCTTTTCGACACGGCGCCCACTCGAGTGAGATCTTTGAAAGAGAGGAAGGAAAGAATCCGATGAGCAACTTCGTCTGGAAGATTGCTAAATCTGTCTATTGCATTTTCAGCACAATTAACATCTTCAGCTTCACAACTTGCAGATGCCCCTAACTTACGCTTGCGCACCATAACTAACAGAAACCTTTCAAAAAGAAAATACATACATCAATCGAACTTGAAATGAGGGATTTAGCAAAATAGCATGTTATGTAAACAATCACTTACAGGTGTTGGTGCTGGCTGAATCAGATTTCGTCTCCGGCAATGCCGTTGGATTCTGAAGTTACAGGCACAAACCCAACACAGAAATAGGAGGAAAATGGCAAGGTTTTGAAAGGCATGCCTTCGAACGCGAGTCGAGGCGAGGCAATCGTAAAACGCCTCAGGCGCACATCTATTTAGAGGATGTTGTCAAAGGCGTGCGCAAAGTTGCAGAGCCGTAAGCGAAATTCCAAAAGCGTGCGCGAAGTTGCAGAGGCGCGGCAGAGCAAAGAAGAAGACGCTGCTAAAATCTCTGGCAAACCGATGACGTATGGTCAGTTGTTATGTTTAAAGAGTCGAGCAAAACGCTAACGTTCATCTCTCTAGTTTTTTTTTTTGGGACAAAGTTTTTAAGTTTAAGAAAATAAAGCCAAACGGTGTCATTTCCTCCATTACTTCACACATTAAACTTTCAATTTAATGACGCCAGCATGGTAAAATGTCAGCTTAATTGTCTATTATTCCTTTGAATTATTTTTTCGATAAGTAAGGATTTAAAATATATAAAAATGACTAATTTGAAACTCGCCATAAATGTGTCAGAAAAATGAGGAAAAAAATATTTAAAATTTTTTGTGACTCCTCTACGTGATAAAAAAAAACTAGTTTGAGGGATAGTTTTTTTTTTTTTTTTTTTTTTTTTTTTTTTTTTTTTCTAAAAATTTGGAGTAGAGAGGGGTGGTGCGTCGCCGGAGTTGGCTTCACACCATCGATGTTGAGGTGGAGTTCTTAATTTTGTTCAAAAAAAATCTTTTTACTATTATTTAGTAATTTGATAAGATATAATTTTTACTAGCCCCTCCACATGCGCTTCCGCGCCTGCGAGAGGCATTTTTTAAAAAAATTTAAATTTATTTTATAATTAAAAAAGATAATGGATAGTTGTGTTCTATAAAAATAGGATCCATTATCTGATTTTTCTTTTCATTTTAATTTTTTTAATATGAAAAAATGTGAATTTACCATATTATCCTCATTTAATTAATAATTTTAATTCTTAATGTTTGCATTAACTAAGGGTATTTTTTGGTATTTTGAATGTTTCACCATTCTTTGCCTTTTGCTTTATATATATATATATATATTTTCTTTAAAATTACAAATTGACTCTTAATATTGACGGAAATTGGATGGGCATTCAAAAAATTGACATCAAGTCCTAAATTTTCCATTTTCATATAGTTTAAATTCTTATTTATAAAATTTAAAAATTGGCAATTATAGTATAATTCAGGTGAGCAAAATAGCAATTTATCCGTATTTATAAATATAGTTTCAATTTTATTAATTTAATCATCACATTTGTTCTAATAACAATGCCTAATTTTCGTCGGTTTAACCCGTTAAATTTGTTCTTCGATCATCTCCTCCTTGAAAGCTAAAATTCATAAAGCTTAATTTCAATACAATTATAGTAAATAACCACTATGTGAAAATTGGGTAATTTTCATGTGAACTGCTACATTCAGAAAGCTTACTTTACACCATGCGTGTCGTTTCTCCATAACTTCACAGATTCAAAAATTATTAAGGGAGTTTCACTAAAACACCCAAAATGGGGGTTGAAATTATAAAAAAAACTCAAACACTATTTAAACATAGAAACACACCCAAAACCCATCATTACACACACTCAAAACCCATTTATAAACACACCTAAAAAGTTGACTTTGGGGTTGATTTGGGTGTGTTTCTATGTTTAAATAGTGTTTGGGTTTTTTTATAAATACATGCCTAGAATTGGGTTTTTTTTAGAAATTTGTAAATTATTAAACTAATTAGTCTCACGTCTTTTATTATCTTGCCTCCCCCAATAGAAGGTTCAAAAAATATATTTCCCTTTGTTTCAATTTTTGACACTAGCTCCTAGTCTTCCAACTATTTCTGAACCGTGCCTCTCTTTAGTAGCTCCCACACCATTTTTTAATCTATTCAAACAAGATGTGAGAAAAATCTTTACCCTAATGTTTTCGTTTGGCTCTCCTTGAACGCGAGAGAGCGACCCCAGCTTCTTCCATTCCTATTAAGTAAACATGTTGTGCTAGTTCTTTTTGGTCATTGCACATGGTGGTTCTCTTTTGGGAGCAGATGGCTCATGTTCAAGGACAATTTTTTTTTCCAACCCATGCATTATTATGTATCGAGTGAGTTTGGTTGCATTTAACTGTGCTAAGAGGCTTGAGGACATACCTCCTTTTAAGGGGCGAGAAATGTTAGGATCCTTCACTAATGGGCCTATTGTTAGCAGCCCATAGACATAGACACCGTGTTGTAGGAGGAGAACAAACAGCTATCAGTGATGCTAGTTGTTTACTCTAAAGACATGCAAGAGCAGTTGGAGGCCTTGGAGATACCAGGTAAACGGAAGCAAGGAGATCACGACACAAGTTTCTCTCATGCTAAGAGAGTGATCTTTGGAAGCTCAAGTGATGAGCCCCAAGAAGCAGTGTGTGAAAACCCAAGAGAGGATGTCTAGAGGGCCAACCTAAAGTCTCATGTTGTGGACAACTAGTTTCTCTGTGTTCGTTCTTTTAATTTTTGAGTTGTGAGTTTTGTAACATGTTATTATTTATGAAATTTAATCAAGGGTCATTGAAGTTTATGGTTCTTTGTATATATTGATGTTGCTTTATTAGTTGCAATGGTCATTTAAAAACTCGTAGGGTATTATTTAAGAGGTTATATACCATTTGGGAACAATTAGCCCGAGTCAATTTTGAATCCTGAATCCGTGCCTGTAGACACGTGTAACGTTCTCTAGCCAATACTGTTGGTGAGCTCACACTTTATTTGGTTTGAGGCTTTTGGCCATTTTGGATATGAATGAAGATTTGTCTCCTCTCTTTTTGGGTTTTGGTACTTATCATACAAAAAAGAAAAAGGGAAATAGCTCTAAAGGCCACCTTTTTTTATAATTTTAACTAAAAATACCACCTCTCCTCTAAAATTTTAAAACTATCACCTATAAATATACATTTATTGTCCACTTATTGCACACATATCACTTTTGCTGAAATTTTGTTTTCTCTCTATCGCGCCTCTCACTCTCTCTATTGTGCCTCTCACTCTCTCTGTCGCTCAGCTCTCTCTGTCTCCGTTACTCAGGTCTCACTATCTCTTCAGTCAGCTCTCACCCTCTCTTCTCTCTTTCATCGTTGCGGGAAGCTCGCAGCTCTCTCTCGTGTGGCTCTCTCTCTCTCTCTCTCTCTCTCTCTCTCTCTCTCTCTCTCTCTCTCTCTCACGCAGTGGTCTTCCTCTTTCATCCTTCACCTGCAAAATGTACTGTTCATCGTCAATTTGAATATGTTTAGGAGTTTCTTTGAAGTTGGTTTTATGGGTTTCTATGAAATTGGTTTAGGGATTTCTTCGAAATTGGTTTAGGGTTTAGGGGTATCTCTGAAATTGGTTTAGGGGATTCTCTAAAATTGGTTTAGGGTTGAGGTTTCTTTGAAATTGTCTGATTTTGATGATTCCTTATTTGAAACATTGAATGGGTTTGTTCTTTGTGGATTGATTCTTGCGTTTGATTTGGGATTCTGTTGTTTTGCTGTTGTTTTGCTGTTGTTATTGATGTTTTATTGATATTTAGTGCTGTTTTTTGCTATCATATTGCCAATTTAGTGATTTTGTATTGGCATTTTAGTGTTGTTGTATTGCTAGTTTATTATGGTTTTATTCCCGTTCCATTATGGTTTTAATGATTTTGGTGATTTATGCAATTGAAGTCTGTATTTCCTGTTGTTTTATTTTTATCCAAAGAAGGAAAATTGTAGGTGTCATTTATAGTCTCTACATTACCTGATTTGTGGCATCCAATGCTTAGAAATTCTAGTAGGTCATTTTTCAAGATATTGAAATATATCAGAATGACAACATATACATCTGTGTATATATGTTTATTGTGAAATTACATATGGAGTAGGAAGCCATTATTTGGATCTGTAAAAGTTGTAAAAAAGCAAGTATCAAAACATTGAGAGAAGTGGAATTTGATAGGGGCTGGTGTCACCAGACTACAACTGGAGCGAAATTGATGTAGTTGGTATCTGGCAGGTGCTGAATATGGGTAGAAAGGGAATGGCTCATCATAGCCTCGTGCATGCAGCGAGGATGAAGGCCAAAGACATGGATCTTTTGATGGACCTCTAAAAATTTTCATTTTCCACGTTTTGTGCAGCTGGGTAAGGGTGAGTGTTGGTTTGGTTGATGTTGTGTTGGGTGATGTTATGTGAAAGTGTTGCCTTCGTTTTCCCTTCGCTGGATAGTATTGTTAGGGTTCGGTGGCGATTTATTTTGCATGTGTAAAATGTAGTCTGAAATGGATGTCTACATATTGTATGTAGATTGACCTAATATTGCCATCTTATTATGTGTGTATTGCATTAATATTGCCACTATATTGTATATATATTGCACGAATATTGCCACCCTATTGAAGTATATTGACATACTATTGCTACCGTATTGCGGGTATATTGCCTTAATATTGCTACCCTATTATATCTATATTGGCCAAATATTGCTACCCTATTGTATGTATATTGACTACGGCTCGTCAATGGGTTTAAATTTAGGCTACTTCATGCGAAAAGAAGAAGAAGAGGAGAAAGAAATAACGTGCTTTAGAAAAAGAGGCACTCAACAGCATCATAATTACACCGGTAACACGGTGTCACAAATAATTTTTAAAAATAATAACAATGAAAAAAAAAAAAAAAAAAAAAAAAAGATGGTATGAATAAATATGCAAAATACTATGTGTACAAATAGGGTGTGGAGGAAAATCATGATTATATTTGGTGGTGTGATTATGTTTGGTGATATGATATGTTGTTTTCCTCTTATTCTTCATATATGTAATTGTTGTATTAATAATTGACACAAATTAATCTCATAATCATCAAATTATAAACTAGTAATGAGTAAAGAAAAGTGAATGAAATGAAACAAACCAAGGAACCCAAAATAAACACAAACAACAATTTCTAGCACCCTTTTATTGTCACTATATCCCCACTGTATCACCAAGGTAGCACCAGTTCATCGCATTTTAGGTAGAAACGAATTATGCACTTCCTCTGTTTTTCAGTTTTGACATATCTCCATTTTTGACCTTTAACTTTTCAACCGATCATGCAAATTTTGTGTTTTGTATATGGTTGGATTCAACACAGAAAAATGAAGAAAACTACACGGACCAAATGTAAAAAATGGATACAAAAATTAGCATAATTCAGTGGAAACTAACACAACGTTTCAAACAAGTAAACTATTATATCTCCATAAAAAGCAATTATATTTATATATCGAGCTGTACGAAATAGTTCAACTTCACAATGTACAGATTAAGTATGCTAACCACGACGGCAACTCGAAAACAAAAACCTAATTTTGAAAACCGAATGACAAATACATCCCTACTGGTATTCATTAAACGTACTATCAAATTTGGTTTGACAAAATTAAAATGGATGCATATTCCTACTCCAAATTGAGTACAATTGATTTGCCATGTCTATAAAATGGAAACAGTTCATGTGCCATGTAAGGCAATTAGCCACCGCTATCGACATTATGGATCGCCACATAAATCACTTCCATCATAGCTTCCATGTGTGCATATTCATATAAAGGATCTCCTGAAATAATGAAGGAGCAAAATGAATTCCCAAGTGATAAGTGAAGACTAAACTCAATTGACAAATATTATCACATTTACCTCATATATATGCGTCCCTTCATAAAGCCTCTAGCGCAAGCTTCAGACGGTAATATGTGATCTTCGATGGGTCAATTTTATCCAACGAAATGCGGGCACTCAGATGCTCGATGAATTTCACGGTTATGATTCCGCAAGAGGTATTGTCGGGGCAATAAGTTAAAAAATTAGAACTGCAGTTATGTACAATATCGATAAACTGCACTAAATTAGCATAGCTTACCCATCACGTTGTTGTGGCACATCTCCAATGCTGCAAACTGTGAATTGCGTAAACGTGGACATCTTCATCCCTCTTTTCTTAACTTCTTCAATCTCAGAAGCGTCATGAAAGCGCATATCGTACAGCACCCGTGCTAGAGTATCGCTAATAGGCTTCAGATATTTGACAAGCTTTGATACTTGCTTTTAGGCCCTTGTCAAATTCCACTACCCTCAATGTTTTGATACTTGCTTTTACACAACTTTTACAGATCCAAATAATGACTTCCTACTCCATATGTAATTTCACAATAAACATATATACACAAATGTATATGTTGTCATTATGATAGATTTCAATATCTTGAAGAATGACCTACTAGAATTTCTAAGCATTGGATGCCACAAATCAGCTAATGTAGAGACTATAAATGACACCTACAATTTCCCTTCTTTGAAAAAAAAAAAAAAAAAAAAAAAAAAAAAACAGGAAACAGACACATTCAATTGCATAAATCACCAAAACCATTAAAACCATAATGGAACGGGAATAAAACCATAATAACCTAGCACTACAACAGCACTAAAATGCCAATACAAAACCACTAAATTGGCAATACGATAGCAAAAAACATCACTAAAACATCAATAAAACATTAATAACAACAGCAAAACAACAGAACCCCAAATCAAACGCAAGAATCAATCCACAAAGAACAAACCCATTCAATGTTTCAAACAAGGAATCATCATAATCAGACAATTTCAAAGAAACCCTTAATCCTAAACAAATTTCAAAGAAACCCCTAAACCAATTTCAGAGATACCCATAAACCCTAAACCAATTTAGAAGAAATCCCTGAACCAATTTCATAGAAACCCATAAACGCTAAGCCAACTTTAGAGAAACCCCTAAACCATTTCAAATTGACAATGAACAATGCCTTTTGCAGGTGAACGATGGAAGAGGAAGACCACTGCTTCAAAGAGAGAGAGAGAGCTACATGAGAGAGAGTTGCGCATGAGAGGCCGAGAGCTTCCCGCGACGGTGAAAGAGTGAAGAGAGAGTGAGAGATGACCGAAGAGATAGTGAGACTTGAGCAATGGAGACAGAGAGAGTGAGAGGCGCAATAAAAAGAGAACAAAATTTCAACAAAAGTAATATGTGTGCAATAAGTGGACAATAAATATATATTTATAAGTGATAGTTTTAAAATTTTAGGGGAGAGGTGGTATTTTCAGTTAAAATTATAAAAAAGGTGGCATTTAGAGCTATTTCCCCCTTCTTTTTTTTTCTTTTCTCAGTTGTTGCTCTCCTCTTCCTCTTCCTTTTCTTCGTTCTGCCAAACCTCACAAAATCCACCTCAACCATAGAATCTCCCTTAACTCTATCTCATCTTAGTTATATCTTCCAACTAGGAGCTTATTTCAACCTCAAAGTTGAACCCCAAATTTGGACTGGACCCTAGCCAAGGCGCGACTCACCACCTCCGTTGTCGGCCTCCACAACAAAGCCATAGTCTTGACTTGCCACCTCCATTGTCGACTTCCGCCACAAAGCCACGACACCTTCCTTGTCGATCTTCACTGTGGTGAGTTCTTATATTGGTTTTGTTTTTGTTTATTTAATTTTTTTTGGGTTTTTTTGATTGATTGAGATTATTGGGTGATTGCTCTCACTGTTTTGAATGATATATTAATGGGTTTCTATTGTGACTTGCTGTTTCTGTGATTGAATGAAATTTACCAAATATCTTATGTGGTTGTTAAACTCTTGGACTTGGATACACTGTTTTGTGCTTATGATTTGTCTTTGAAATGATGCATACATTGTTTTTTGATTGAGACTTGGACTTGCAGATCTCCTTAAAAGTGATGTATTCACTCTTTTGGATGATATTCGATATGAAACAACCCTGGACAGTCAAGGTTTGGCAATTTGTAAGTAGTTAGTTAGTAATAGGATACCCTAGGTTAATGGCTTTGGGTTGGATTTAACTTTAAGAGTTCTTAATACATGCCTTCCTTGCTGGAGCTTGAAACACAGCTATGCTAGCTGAACCGTTTCACTTTGCATAATACTGATGTTTTAAAATTGTTGGTTATTAATGTTTAATTGATTTGTTTATCTATATTATACACTAGTTGATAGATTTTTTATTGGTAGCTTAACATGTGTGTTAACAAAAAGAAATTTTATAATGGTCAGAAATGGACACAATTGCAATTTTGGTTTGCTACAATGGCAAATGGGTAACCTCAAAGAAGATGTGCACATATGAAGGGGGTGACTCAAAAGGCATAACAGTTTCGCGAAACATCACGTTTGGTGAGCTTTTGGAACGGGTGCATAAGATTTTTAATAAAGACAACAGGGAAGACAAGCTTTGTTTAAAGTTCTCAGTTTCAATATCCTCGAATGAGTGTAAGCATATCAAGATTGAGGACAATGATGATGTTAAATTTTTTATTAAGTACATTTGTGAAGTAATTCCTTCGAAAGTGGCTCCTTTACTGGTGAGCATAGAAGACAGAGAAGTGACAAATGTCGTAGGTGATCGTATACATATCACGATGGATATGAGTCGGATGGCCTGTTCTTCAAATGCCATAGTTGAAAGCAATGGTGATGTACGTGGTGATTTTGGAACATAATATTTAGACATGATTGATTTTACAAGGGTGGAGGGGATGCACAGTGGTGATAATGGTACGGAAATGAATGGCTTGCAAATGCACTCAGCCCTTCCTATTTTGGCCAATTTGGAGATATTTTCACAAGTGGGTGTGGTGGGTTTTGGAACAACGTCTGAACTTTCTATTCGACATAATTGGAGGCAAATGGGTGAACAAAATGTGCACAATTTGGGTATTGTAAATGATGAAGAAGAAGATATTGAAAGTGCGTATTCACGGAATAATTGGGATCCAAAATTGGAAGTTGGGAAAATTTTCTCTAGTAAGGAAGCCCTGTCCAACAAGTTACAATTGGCAATTGTAAAAGGTCACTTTGAATTTAAGGTGAAGCAGTCTTGCAAGAGTCGATTGGTTGTGGTTTGTTCTCAAGGCCCATGCCCATGGCGGATTTGTGCATCTAGTTATGGAGAAAAGAACTTCATGATTGTGAAATATAATCCGATTCATTAATGTGATATGTGTTTCATACATGACAAGCATCATCACGCAAGTGCTAAACTCGTTGGTAATGCAGTGAAGCGGATGTTGAAAGATTCTCGCACAATATACACACCAAGTGATATAATCAGAGACTTGAAACAAAACTTTGGTGTCACCATTAATTATTGCAAAGCTTGGAGATCAAGGGAGTTAGCTCTAATGTCCACTAGAGGTTAAGTATAGGAGGCATATTCTCTCCTTCCAACTTATTGTCACGAATTAGAGTGTGTGAATTCTGGCACAAAGACATACATCCACACCGATGAGAACAATCACTTTTTGTATTTTTTTTATGGCTATTAGGGCATGTATTAGAGGGTTTCAATCTTCGATGCAGCTAGTCATTGATGTGGATGCCACAAATTTAAAATGTAAGTATAAGGGTGTCCTTTTTGTTGCCAATGCATTTGACGGAAATCGAAATATATATCCTCTTGCTTTTGAAATTGGGGATTTAGAGACGGATGCATCATGGCATTGGTTTTTCAGTAAGCTTCATGAAGTCATTGGTGAGTGTCCAAATCTTGTGATTATTTTAGATCGGAATATTAGCATAGAGAATGTGTGGCACAACATTTTTCCAACGGCGCAACATGGCATATGCTTTTACCATATGAAGGGGAACATGAAACGCACTTTCAAATTGAAAAAACGTGATAAATTATTGCTATACTTTGAACAAGCTGCAAAATGTTATGGCATCACTAAATTTGATCATCATTTTCGCAAGATCAAGGTAAATGATGAGGTTGCTCAATATCTTGAAAGTGCAGGATTACACAAGTGGTATAGAGCTCACATGGATGGACGTCGATACAATGTAATGACAACAAATATTGCAGAGTCAATCAACTCAGTCATTCGGTTCGCAAGGATGCTACCAGTGGTGCATTTGATTGATGAAATCATCAATTTGCTTGTGAAATGATTTAGTAAACGTCGTGATTTTGCTTTGAAATGTACATCAACATTGCACCCTGACTTTGGCGAGAAGAAGCTGAGACACAGGTTGGAATGTGCTTCAAGGATGAATGTCGTGAAACTGAATCACGTAGAGTATAATGTCGTGGACGGTGATATGGACGACCACGTACATTTGACGAATAATACTTGCAGTTGTAGGAAGTTTCAGCTTGAGCAACTACCTTGCAAGCATGTAGTTGCAGTTTGTCGTTTCTTGAAACTAAATGTATACTCCATGGCTTCTCGTTATTACACTCGAAATACATGGTTGGATGCTTATTCAGATACCATATACCCGGTACAGCCTCAAGAGTTGTGGGTTATTCCTGAATATGTCCAAAGTAGAGTTGTGTGTCTTCCCAATGCAAAGGTCATGCCAGGTCAATGAAAGAAGTTAAGGATTCCCTCGCAAGGAGATGATATCATAAGGAGAAAATGCTCAAGGTGCAATAGCACAAGCCACAATAAAAGCACTTGTAAAAACACTGTTCCACTACCTAATGTTGGACATACATTATGAATTGTGTGGGTTTGTTAAGGAGTGTGAATTTGAATTGTATTTGTATTAGGTTTGGTGTTCTGTGGATTGTGAATTATGTTAAATTTTCATAATTTGGTATGTATTTGTGTATTCTATGTGCTACATTGTTGTTAACATCTGTCATTTTTGGGCCTATATTGTATATTCAAATTTTCTGATTCAGTGGGTTGAATCGGGGGTGGGTATGCCATTCTCATCCCCATCCCCATCCACACCTTCATACCTGCAATACAGACTTTAAAAATAAATAAAAAGATATACGAGAGCAATACACTAGCAATATACAAGCAATAAAGGGCTATACAATGACAATACACATACTCCCCTATAAATTTATCCCAACACAGACTTGAAAAAAAAAGATATACGAGGGCAATACAATAGCAATACACAAGCAATAAAAGACTATACAATGGCAATACATAAGCAATAAAAGACTATACAATGGCAATACACAAACTTCATACTCCCCCTATAAATTTATTCCAACACAGACTTGAAAAAAAAAAGATATACAGGGGCAATACAGTAGCAATACACGAGCAATAAAAGGCTATACAATGGCAATACAAAAACTTCATAATCTCGTTATAAATTTATTTCAATAGACTTTAAAAAAAAAAGATATACGGGGGCAATACACAAGCAATAAAGGGCTATACATGTGCAATACATATATGTCATGGCATTTGCCAATTAAATCACTGATTTGGTTACATTTGTATTTTTTTTTTCTTCTTTGCAAAGGGAACGATAAAACCACGGAAACTAGAGATTGATAAATTTCCTTCTAACTTGACCTTCATAAATTGATGAACTAACAATGTTATCTCATTTACATCTTAAGATATACCATAAAAAAAAAAAAAAAAAAAAAAAAAATAAAAAAAAAATTTACTCCTCTTGGTTGGAAATTTGAACACATTACCAAAATTCGACGACATTTCCTCTTAGAACATAATTTAAGCTGAAAGTTAGCAATTTCCTCCCCAAGAGAACGCTGCCACTTGAAACAAGACAATCTTCCATCTGTATAAAACGGATCAAAAATGCATATTAGAAGCAAACCATTCAATCACAATGGAAACAAAAACATAATATTCAATCACAAGTGAAACGAATTTCAAAACAGAAACCAATACTAAAACAGATTTAGAAACCAATACCAGATTCAGAAACCAATACCAAAACAAGTTCATACATATTTACAGGCACTACAAGTATCATACACATACATTTACATGCACTATAACAAATAGAGTGGATAAATGTAAAACTACAGTATGATTTACATTTTTTAATAGAAGAAAGAAAAATAAATTATGATATACATCATTTAAGAGCTGAGCTTGAAGTTTGCTGAGTTATATATACCTTTGAGAAATCTATCTGTGATTTCTCCAGTGAAGGACGACCTTCAAGAATCCTCTCTTTATACAGATTGTTGGCTTTTCTAAATGACCTAATTCTTCATATAGCAAACTTTCACAAGATAGCATCATTGCAAAACTAAAGTTCACATTCATGCACACAATTTCGTACTACTCAATTGCAATATAAAAATTATTATAAACATGGCTAAAGTGAATGTGTGTCTTGGCAGGCGAATAAAAATACAAATCAGTAAATCATCAATAGTGCATTTGGCATTGTTCAAACAGTTGAAGAAGCACAGTCTTAGAGAAGAAGAATAGCAAGACAATGGAACTGGATAAATGCAAGAGCTATCAACAAACCTTCAAGTTTTCCAAGAACCCTTTTCAAGGCACCAACACAACCTTGGCATGATACCAACCTTGAGGACTATAGACTGCACTAAAAACATATTCAAGATTGAATTATGAAAAATAGAGAAAACCAAGATCCAACATATGCCAACTTTACAGTATCAAACTTATGTTAAAATATTTGCATTCTCATAAAACTTACACAACTCCACAGTCAATTTTGGAGATATCCTCCACCTCAAGACATAATCAATTTATGTAGTTCATTCAAAATCACATCCCAAGACTGAACAAACAATTTCAGATCATTGAACCAAGAGACCATTGAACCAAATAACTATGTTTCTTAATTTTATTTTATTTTTGGTAAGAATAAAAACCTAACTCAGTAATCAAATTCAATAAGCAAAAGAAAATCTTCAAAATCATTGTAGATTGGACAAGCTTCAAGCATAATATTCCTTAAGACAAACAGAGAAATATTTGTTGCACAATCTCAAAATTTTGGTTCAAAATGTTCTTGTATAATCCCACTGAAATAACATTCTCTATACAAGCTGAAAATATTAATTGTAAATAAAGAGAGTAAAATTATAAATTAAACCCACAATTATGTTTCAACAAATTTCTGTTTAATCTCACCCAAATTTGACTTGGAGGGACTTGAACTCGCATCAAGCACCAAAAATCCAAACCCATATATGTAATTGAAACAAGGAGAAGAAAACCCAAATGTGTAGGAGAAATGCCAAGCTGTCTACCTGAGACACCATCTCTAAGCATGTAGGTTGAAAGAGGTGACAGAGAGTGAGAGATGGAAGTGGAAAGGTCGTCGTCGCAGATGTGGGTTAGGGTTTCTGAGGAGGTGATAGTGACTGTCGCCGATATAAGTGCAAGCGAGAGAGAGAGATAAGAAATGAGAGGAGGGCTGAGTGAGTGAGATCGAGAAATTGTGAAAGAGGATTTGAGAGAGTAAACAAAAGTGAAAGATGGGTAATAAACTGAAAATTGGGAGTTTTTATAAAAGGCATTTGTGATTGGGTTTCAAAATAAGGATATTAGTGAATAAATTAGGTGAGCCAGGAGTAAAGCCACCAATTTGCCAACAAAAAAAACGAAGTGAAGGATGGGCATTAGGCTGTCAATAAGGAGTTTTTATAAGGGGTATTTGTGATTGAGTTTCAAAATAAGGAATAAATTAGGTGAGCCAGGGGTAAAGCTGCCAATTTTCCTTCTTTTTATCGAATGACAAAGAGGAACGTGAACAAAGAAGAATAGAATTTAAATTGCTGCTAGCTCAAGACGTAAATCAACGCAACATTGCCATTTGTTAGCCCATATGGCAGTAACTTGAACACTTTTCAACATCAACTGAAGGCCATACAACAGCTCGCTTTGCTTGCCCAGTTGGTCTGCCTCAGCCTCTTTCAGGTAATTCGTTGAACACCTTGCCCTCATCGTCAAGATCAAGTGCTATCAATGTTTTAATCTACTAAAAGCTTAGTGGAATTATAAATGTAACAGTATTTCTAAATTTTCAGTTAATAAAATGTCCAGCAAATTTGTGTTTTATTTTTGTAAAGTAGTTTTAGATTATGTTAGAGCAGCTTCAGCGCTGCTATCAAACTGGGTAAAAGGCCCCCCGGGCAAGCCCAATACAGCTCCAGCGCACCACTTGCAGCCCGGGCAAGCCCAAGGGCAGATTTTGCCTGGGCTTCAGCCCGAGGGTGCTGACGTCAACGAGCAAAAAAAAATCTAAAAAATTATAAAAAAATTCAATTTTTTTATAAAAAAAAACCAAAAAATTATGGATGTTTTCCCTATAAATACATAACAATTTTATTCACTTTCCCTATAAATACATAACAATTTTATATTTTGTTGCATATATATATTTTTTTCTTGCCCTTGACTTGCCTTAGACTTTGCCCTCATGAGTGGAACCACAAATGCAAAGGCTGACACTATTCACGTGAATAGTTGCAGCCCTTGCTTGCCCTTGCCTTAGACTTAGCCCTTGTGGGTGGAGATGCTCTTAGTACAAAATCCCACCCATTCTGTTGCTCTGCTTCTTCTTCTAGCTTGATGGTTTAGCCCATCCCATTTTTTTTCTTTTTTTTTTGGCCATTGTTTCATTACTGCTTCTTCTTCTTTCCTCTGCTTCTACCGAGAAAGGGGAAATTACTGCAGCAACTGCTTATTTTTGTGAATTTAGGTCCGCAAGTAGTGACTGTTCTGTTTTGCTTTCCTAGTCAAATATGGTGTATTCTAAGGCTCTGGTCAATAACAAGGACAGATTTTGGGTCCTCTTTTACTTTGCTAGTGAGAAAATGGGGAAATGGGGAACTAAATGCTAGTGAGAAAATGGGGAAGAATCAGAGAAATTTTTAAAAAAGATGAAGGTGCTTGGTGGTTTCCTAATAAAAAAAGTTTAAGAAGGAAGTTGAAATTTTTCTCCTTCTAGTGGCCCTGCATTTGGACCCTTGTGCTTGTCAGAATATCATTGGGTAGGAAGTTTTCAAAGAGGGGCCAGGCTAATAATAATTCTCTCATAGATCCCGACTCATCATAGATCCTGACCCATCAACCAAAATGAACTTATCCTCTTGTTCAGTTGCATTCCATTTCCAACTCTAACCAAACTGAACCAGACATTCTGATCTGAGCCTTGTTTTGGTTAAACTGGTTTGTTGGTGCTAGATATGGATGCAGCTGTAGGCATAATTTTGTCCCCGGCTTTGCAAGTTCTCTTTGACAGACTGGCATCTCCAGTCCTACAAGGGCTTGCTGATAGATTGGGTTTCAATTACAACATATTCCAGAGCCTGCAACATGCGTTGGTGCGGGCTCAAGCTACTCTTGCAGATGCAGAAGTGCAACAATTCACCAACAAAACTATCAGGCTTTGGTTATCAGACCTCAAGAATGCAGTTTGTGACGCTGAGGATCTTCTTGACGTCTTTACTGCTAAACAAACCTGCATGATTGATGAAGACTTTGGTGAGCAGACATTAGACAGCTATGCAGTTCTTACTGACAAAGTCAGAAAGATACTCAAGAAGTTAGAAATGATTGTGGGTGAGGGATCTTCTAAGTTGAAAATTAGAGATACCCAGCCAATATCAGATCAACGATCAGATCAAAGGGAGACGAGCTCTTTCGTCGACTCAAGGATTCATGGACGAGAGGATGACAAAGAGAAGTTAGTCAAGCTATTACTGTCTTCTCAAACTAATTACCAGGAGGGTTATTCATATGCGACATGCATTCCAATCATCGGCATCGGAGGAATTGGTAAGACCACTCTTGCTCAAATGTCATATAATGATGAGAGAGTTATTCAACACTTTGATGTTAGGATGTGGATTTTTGTCTCTTCTAATTTCAATATCAAAAAGATCATGAAGACAATTATTTCATCCTTAACAAGTGGTATATGCAAGTTGTCGGAGATTGAGCTACTTCAGTCTCAGATTTCGCAATTGCTGCAGAAGAAAAGATATTTGATTGTGTTAGATGACATTTGGACGGAAGACCAGGATGATTGGGACAAACTTAAACCTTTGTTTAGAGGGGGTGTTGATGGATGCAAAATCATTGTCACTACCCGCAGTAAAAAGGTTCCATATATGATGGACTTTCCAAATTCCTCAATTTGTTTGAATGGTCTGACAGATGATGATTGCTGGGAATTGTTCAAGCAACGGGCTTTTGCACGAGGAGAAGAAGAAAAGCATCCAAACCTTTCGCTGATTGGAAAACAGATTGTCTGAAAATGTGGTGGTGTGCCATTAGCAGCAAAAAGTTTGGGAAGTTCAATGCGCTTGAAAAGAAATGAAAAGCAGTGGTTGTCTATGCGAGATTGCGAACTTTGGAAATTAGATGAAAACCAACATAAAGTTTTGCCTGCCCTCATGTTGAGTTATCATCACCTGCCATCTCATCTTAGAGAATGCTTTGCATTCTGCTCAATATTTCCAAAAGATTATGAATTCAAGAAGCAGAAGTTAATTCATCTGTGGATGGCATCAGGCTTACTTCTGCAAGATGGAAGCAGGCGACCAGAAGACATTGGTGATGAATACTTCGGCGATTTGTTGTGGTTGTCTTTCTTTCAAGAAGTAGAGATTTGTGATGGCAGCGGCTTAGTTGAATACAAAATGAATGATGTTATACATGATCTTGCACGATATGTAGCAGGAAATGAATCCATGATGCTTGAACATAGTGCAGCACAAATTCGCCATGCATCTGTTGTTTACAAATATAGGGCGATTGGAATGCCAAAAGAACTATTTGAAGCAAAACATTTACGAACTCTCTTATTGATTGGAGAATCCGGCTTGTTAAATGACAAAAGTAAAATGTTTTCAAGTTTTGGATACTTGCGTGCGCTAGACCTAAGCAGTTGTGGTGTTTCTCATTTGCCAGAATCATTGGGTGGTTTGATATGTTTGAGGTATCTTGACCTCTCTTACACACCTATCACCAAGTTACCTCACAGCACAAGGAATCTATGCTATTTGCAGACTTTGAATCTATTTGGTTGTCAGAATCTTAAACGGCTGCCAAGCTTGGAAATGATGACCAGCCTAAGACATCTCAATCTAGTTGGATGTGTAAGTTTGGCTTTTATGCCTCATGAGATTCGAAGTTTGCGACAACTTCAGACATTGCCATTGTTTGTCATCAACAGGGTTCCTGGGGCCCTTAATACGCTGGAAGGTTTGAATCTTTGTGGCAAGTTGAATATTACCCGTTTGCAGAACGCAAGATATGCAGCGGAAGCACAATCAGCTGGGTTGAAGTCGAAGGAAAATCTTGAGTCTTTAGGATTATATTGGGGATTAGATTGCGGATTTGGAGATGTCTACGAATCGTTTGGGAAGCCTAAAGCCCGGCCTAATGAAATTAACGATTATATTGCCTTACAATCTCAGGCACCCCCACAACAGCCTGATCCTGTGGAAGAAATTCTTGAAGGGCTGCAGCCACACAAAAATCTGAAAAAGCTAGTTATAAATGGGTACCCAGGAATCAAATTTCCTCATTGGGCTCTCCCAAATCTTACTTCCGTTGATTTCACCAACTGTAAAAGTTGTGAACATCTTCCAGCCCTTGGGAATTTTCTACTACTTAAAACACTTTCTCTGCATGGAATGCATGGCGTGAGGAGCATCGGTACAGAGTTCTATGGTGACGGTACGGACATATGGTTTCCATCCCTCGAAGAACTATCAATTAGTGATTTTTCAAACTTGGAAGAGTGGTCAACTGCAAATGATGCAAATGCATTCCCCAGATTGAAGAAATTAACTTTGAAAGGTTGTCCAAGGTTAGCACATATACCGTTATGTCAGTCCCTTCAACATTTGGAGCTACGGGACTGTAATCCAACGATGATGTCCATAGCAAATTTAAGTTTGCTTTCTGTGCTTGTTCTAGAAAAAATTCAAGGCCTGGTCTCTCTGCCGGAAGGGCTCTTTGCATCACCTTATCTGTCTTGTTTACAGATATTGTCTCTCCCCAAGCTCGGTTCACTGCCTTCGGAGATTGGAAACCTCGCTACTCTGAAATCATTGACAATTCGTTGGTGTGATGAGTTATCCTCTCTGCCACAGAGTTTAAAGAACCTCAAAACTCTGGAGTCACTGGAGATTAGTGACTGTCACAGTCTACTAACCATGCCAGATGGTGGAATTGCAGGATTAAGTTCCCTTCGAACTTTGTCCATTGAGAATTGTAGCCATCTGACTTCTTTGTCATCCAGTTTAGAACGTCTTACATTCCTCGAGCACTTGACGTTTATGTATTGTCCAAACCTTGGTTCTTTTCTAGAGGGTGTGCAACACCTCTCCTCACTTCGAAGCTTCACTATCTTGAACTGTCCTATGTTTGATTCTCTACCAAGTGGGTTACAAAATAGCCGGACGCTACACTGCTTGGAAATTAGTAGCTGCCCCAAGCTAGATGCTTTGCCAGATTGGTTGGAGAATCTTGCTTCGCTCAGATCTCTGACCATATCTGATTGTCCTAATTCAAGAGTATTGCCATCAGGTCTGAAGTCTCTCACTAAACTCCAGCACCTCTCTATTCAAGAATGTCCTGAGCTTGAGGAAAGGTGCAAACAAGGTAGTGGTGAGGATTGGTTGAAAATAGCCCATGTCCCATATAGGTACATTGGACCATCCAGCGAGGCAAGCACATCGAGCAACTCTTAGTTTGGAACATCCGTTCAGTACGAAACTTTTATTTCATCTTCATCCTCAAGAGTGTTATTGTTATAATAATCATCATCCGTCCTGGTGTTTTGTGTGGTGTGGCCCTTTTGCTTTATTCATATTGTTTTTTAGATGGATGGAGTGTCCACAAAGTTTCAATATTTCCTTCTGTAAATTGCAATTTGAGATTTCTATATTCCTATGTGTGCACACTGGCTGCTTTGAGATCCTCTGGTTTTGTACTTATATCATCTTGATAAAATCTGTGTGTTTTTCATTAATATTACCAGTCCAATTGTCTGCTTTCCGAATTATAAATTTTCTTCTATTTACGTTAGTTTTAATTAACCTTAAGTCATGTTCTTCTAGATTATTGCTTGATATAGTTGCTAACGTGATGCCAACAGCAGTGTTAACAAGAAATTGGTGTGTGCTTATATTACTAGTGTAGTCATATTTGGAGGGTTAGCCCAAACACTGCCAAATTATTGAGTTTAAGAAAGAAATTTCTCATGGTGAAGAGCATGAGCTTTGGTGCTTACCAATATGACTGCATAGGAAACAAGGGGTGATCAGATAGATCAATGAGGCATAATTCCATGTAAACAAAGTTTTACAGAGGTTTAAAGAATCTAAAAAAATAATTGTAGATTTTAGCTGTAGCAAAATGACAGATACAAAAATGCACGAGATCATGAAACTGTTTAACGTGCCCTTATGAAATGCAAATTATCATTCAACATATCAAAATTAACTATAAAGTTCAACTCAACTATTCAAAATCACATCAATATGAAATTCCAGAGAAGATTAGGAAGAATTAGGAGAGGTAGGTTAACTTAGGGTTAAACATAAATATGATAATTATATATTTATTTATTTAAATATAAACATATATATTTTCGAGTCGGGTTTGGGGATGGGGACGCCAATACCATCCCCTCCCCATACCCATCGGGGATTTTTCAAGTTCGGGGATCCCCATACCTAATACCTATTTGACCCCAAAATCTTCACCCGTTAAGGGCAGGAACCCAACCTTGCGAGGATTTTTGCCATCTCTAGTCATAGGGAATGGGTGGAGAAGAAGACCGTAAGGAAAAGAGAGGGGGGGGGGGGGTGGGGGAGGGGGGTGGTATCTATAGGTTTTTTTTTCATTTTTTTCTTTAATTTTTTCAACTAAATCATATTCTTTGATTTAGGAAGTTAACTCTAATTTCAATTTTGAATAAAATGAAAACAACGAGATAACAACAAATAATAGTTAGCATTAAATAAATAATGAAGATAATATTAAAATAAAGCAGCATTAAATTACAGGGAGCCACTAAAAGGTGAATAGGGAGTATGGTCTTAGAGCATCTACAATCATGCTCTCTATTTTTTAATTAAAATTTAGCTAAAAAACACAAAAGTTATTTTAGGAGTTCTCTATAAAATTTCAACTTCAATCATACTCTCTAATTTAGGGAGTCATAAATGCTAGAATTATATTTTAATTCAATATAAATGGTTCATCTCTATGAAAAAATAATATAAAAGCAGACAATATTTATTAAAGGTTTTAAAATATGCATTAAATAAGGTAGAATTAAATTATAGGGAGCCACTATGAGTTCATTTTCTCTCCTTAGATTTAAGAGCTTCTAGAGGTCTCCCTATTTTAGGAGCTGGATATGGAGCATGGTTGGAGGTGAGTTTTCTTACTTCCTCCCTAAATTTTATCTAAGGAGGTTGTTTAATGAGTTCATTGTGGATGCTCTTAAAGTTGTATTTTTTAAATTTCTCCTTAAATTTTATAAACACGGTGATTTAGAAAGCTCATTGTAAATGCAGCGAGAAAATAATTAGGCAAGGAAGAAGAAGAATACATCACATTTAAAGTGGAGAGATAAACCGATATTGAAACTTTTTTGGGGATTGGTGGAGGGAGGGAAGAGATGAGACAGAATAAGAATTCAAGCACAACTTTTATAATTGTAAGTTTCAAGGTATGTTAATTTCTTTATAATTAAAAAAAAATGTCAAATGGCATTTTAAATATGTAGGAAAAGTAGTTGAGACACACTTTGAAATGTTAAAATCCATTTGTTTTGCTTTTTCATAAAAATACATAAAAATAATTTAATGTATTTGTTTTTTGGTTGGAAAATTTTGGTTTTAATGTTGGTATTTGACATCCTGCATGGACCGATAAATTTAACAGTTTCTAAATTAATTTCTTTATTGTAATGTTTGATTTAATCTGAACCGAAAATTTTGGTTAAAGGATCGGGTGGAATTGGAATATCTCGAAGTCTAAAACTAATAAAAACCCGTACCGACTTATTTCTAAAATTAATTAATTATTTATTTATTTAAGAATGCGTCAACATATTAATAGCTGGATAAAGAGGTAATGGTAACTAAAAGAGAATCTTTAACCGCATCGTTCCAAACTATATAGCACACCTATTTTTTTGTATTCTTCAAAACATTTTGGCAACATGATAATTGGTACCATGATCTTTGAAACTATGATCAATCCTTCTCAAACTCAAACTCCAAAAGTGAAAAAGGATGGTGGAAAGCAAATTTCTTGTTTCTCTTTACATAAAAGTGAGAGGCTGATGGCAACAAAGGCAGCCTCCAAACTTTATTAGCAGTGTTAGGAAGAAGAGGTCAAGGACACACTTGCTCTCAACCACCATTCAAAACCCAACTCGGAAATATAAATATTTTACATTACTTTTTCACCAAAAGATATTTTCACTGAAGTAATTGTGTCATATTATATTTACCATTACTTCTTCTAATGGCTCAAAAAGAAGCAAAGACTTCTGAAGAAGGTAAGCCTTCGGCAGAGCCAGCCATGGTCATTGCTTCAACCGCAGCTCCGGCTCCTTCGTGGTTCACGCCCAAGAGGTACTTTTTTATTTGTTCCAGTTTGTTTTTGGGTTCTTGGGTCTGCTTGGTTGCTGAGAAAATATGGGAAATTAAGATAAAGGTTTGACTATTGTTTTTTGTTTTTGGTTGGTTTTGTTACTTGGGTCTGGAAAAGGAACGAGAATTCGTATACGACTAGGGTGTTGTAGAAATAATTTGCTGGCTTAGTTGGGCTCAGAAATTTTGGTTTTAGACTTTGATTTCTTAGTTTTCTCTCTACTTTCTGCGCAACCGAACGGGAAATTGGGTTTTTTTTTGTTTTCCTTTGTGGGCACTATTGTTTGATTGGTGAGTTGTATGGAAGAAAAGGGAAAAGAGTGAAAACTGTTTGGATGCTAAATTAGCAAACTGTTTTGAACATGAAAGGGGGTGGTGAGAATCATGTAAAGGAATATAATTATAATCCAGTTCATTGAACTGGGGTTGAGTCAAGTATCATTTGAAGGTATGCAAGACCAGTGAACCACTTTAGAGCCATTAGTATCTTGGTTTTTGTTTCGGTGTGTAATAAATGTTCTTATGCTGTGATTGCAGGTTACTTGCTATCTTTTGCGTGATTAACTTGTTAAATTATGTGGACCGAGGAGCAATAGCAAGCAATGGTGTCAATGGGAGCCTGGGAACTTGTACAGAAAGTGGCGTATGCACATCCGGTACCGGGATACAGTAAGAATTATTTGGAGGTTTCCTTGATTCTCTTGATTTTCGAATTGGATTTTCTTCATGCATTGTTTGATTCCATTTACTTGAATGTGCTGAGTTGTCATGTTGTCTAATGTTGTAGGTGCTATGGTATAGAAATGTTATTGAGTTTTTGAAAAGAAACAAATGTTGTCTCCATGTGGTTATGTTGTTATTGATATAGAGGTTTTATCTATTTCTAAGAGCTCCTTAGTTGAGAAGTTGCTTAAAATTTTCTCTGATTAATGTACTTACTATGGTGTGTGAAGAATATCCACCAACTGAGGCGGTGTTAAGGCTTTGAGGTCGAGGCAGTTGCATGTCAGTTGCCCGTGTTTTATCCATTTTAAACAAATTTCTGTTCTGTTTATTACATGATGCTTGGAACATGTAGAATTTGAGATGGCTAAATTCCTTTAATCTTTGGCTTAAACATCTCACCAGTTCTTTGGGCATAATATTTTACATGGATATACATTTGAAGATTTGTACAACCTTTTATTGTGCTTTTAGACTCCATGCCTTTGGTTTTTTTCTTTTTAAGCTTCTGCTGGGACTTCATGCCTATAATAATTGTATTTCTTTTCCCTCTTTTCTAATAAATGTTTTACTTGCCATATAATTAATCCTGGACAGCATTTATATCCTTAATTTCCTTTCGTATGCAGGGGGGATTTTAACTTGAGCAACTTTGAAGATGGAGTTCTCTCATCAGCTTTTATGGTTGGACTTCTTTTGGCTTCTCCTATATTTGCATCATTAGCAAAGAGGTAACAATCACCTATTATCGCATTAGGCTACCATGGAATAGCATTTTTTAGCCAGGTGCATAACTTTAAAGCTGAGATTTCAATACATTTGAACAGAATCATTTTTTGTTTTTTTTTGGTGATTAGTAGTATATATTTATCAAAAAAGTATGTATAGATTTTTTTCTTTTCTGGCTAAGTGACTAAGGGGCACAACTAATGTACAAAAGATATAATAAAATGCCAGAGTGTATTAGTGAAGATAAAATCTACAGGAAGATAAGAATAAGAATCCTTCCTACTCCACTCAAATAAAGCCGATAATAATTTATAGAATCCTTAGATAAGATCTTGTTTTCACTGAACCTGGGTGTTAGGTTGGATTCTGATCTTGGTCCATTAATTAGGTGCATTATTATGAATGTACTTAGGTACAAATTCTTTGTATATTAATATTTGTAGGTACATTTGGAATATTAATGTACATACACATATTCCAAATAATGTATCGAATCAAAGGATCACAACAAAAATTCAATATAACAATCAGGCTTAATGAATTATATTTTTTATCCAAGGATGAATATCTATTTACCCCAATATTTTTTCCTGGAGCTCCATAACAATGTCTTCAAAGTTGGGCACTTCCTCGCTAATAGAGACACAGTGCAGCTAGGTGTATGGACAAGAGAATGCGATACATATTAGAATATTAACTCAAATTTGATAAATAAGATTTTGTATCTCTAGAATAAAATTGGTGAAAGATTAATACTGAATACAGTTGAATTTGAAGTTAATGCAAGTGCAGATAAAATGCCGAATACCAATGGTTCCTTGATGATCATGAACGTGCAAGAAATTATTTGCAGAGTTATTTTTGGAAGAATTTTACAGGGAACTTTGGTTGTAGAGAAATGTTAAAGTTTCTCTAAGGTGATTACTAGAGAACCTTGATAGAAATATTGCAAATATCCCTAGTGCTATAACCTTAACTATTACTACTAAATTGTTTTAACCCTTCGATGTGAGCTAAGGTGACTACTGCTTGTTTTAAGCCTTTTTCTCTGCGATTTCTCATCTATCTATTAAATTTTGCAGTGTAAGTCCGTTTAGGCTCATTGGAGTTGGATTATCAGTTTGGACCTTTGCTACAGTTGGTTGTGGTTTTTCATTCAACTTCTGGTCCATTACTCTCTGCCGCATGTAAGTAATTTAATCCTTCTTGTTTTATTGCTATATCTGTACCCCCTGGCACAATTTCTTTCTCTTTCTTTGATATTACATTTTTTAGTAATTCAGTAACGTGGGCTACTGTTTGATCAAGTTGGTTTGTTTTGCTTGTTTTAATGCCTTTTCTGTTGTCTACAGGTTAGTTGGTGTTGGTGAGGCTTCATTTATTAGTCTTGCAGCTCCATTCATTGATGATAATGCCCCAGCTCCTCAGGTATGATTTCTTTTGTTTCATAGTATACCTAACATTTTGAATTTGTTTGATTTGAGATTAATATTATATTATGTAGTTTCATTATATCCATTCTATGGTTTTGGTAAGTCTTGCTTTGGCATGTGTTTGCGTTGCCACAGAGCATATATGGTTTACTCAGCCCCCCTTCTATTGAGGGATCCCTCAAATAAAATTATTTGAGGGACACCCTTTAGGGTACCCTACGAATTTGTTTCCTACAATCCAAACCATCTATTTTTTAAGTCTACGTTCATAGATCATCCTTGCAAAAAATTAGACAAATCGGAAACCGTTTCAACATCCAATTGTATCCTACAAAATCAATGAACTCGGTGCTTCAAGAAAGTGCTAAAATTTCAATTACACAATTGAGTGGTCAAACGATGTCGGATTCAAGTGATTTTTTATAGAGATGATCTTTGAATGATTATCTAAAACATAGACGGTTTGGATTAGTGAAATACAATGCGGAGTGGGCCTTACAAAGGGGTCCCTCAAATAGGCTAATTTGAGGGATCCCTCAATGGAAGCTCTCTGATGGTTTACTATCAGAAGTATATTAGAGTTGCGGTGCCATCTTGGCTTCATTTGGTAGGAGTTTAGGCTTTTTCTAAACTGTCACTAGCTTTTGGATATGTTCTCAGTAGTATGTTTTCTTTACTCAACCCCACCAAATATTCTTCCTGAACTTGTATCCACCTCATTGCTTTTTTTTTCTTTGTTAATTTTATCTATTATTTTTAGATCTGCTGTCAACGGACTTATGCCCTGTCTTTTATCTCAGAAAACTGCGTGGCTTGCTATATTCTATATGTGCATACCAAGTGGATATGCACTTGGCTATGTTTATGGTGGGTTGGTAAGTTATACTTATTTGCTACATGGGTCAGTTTTATTTGGAAAATACGGTCTCTTGGTCAACATATAATTGCTAGACAATAGAAATCTACATAAAAAGTGCATATTTACTTTTGGTTTGGTGTTCCTCACTTGGTCCCATGTTGATAAGTTTATGATTATCTCTCATTTTTTAATACATAGGTTGGAAGTCATTCCAATTGGCGTTATGCTTTTTGGGGGGAGGCAATCCTGATGCTTCCATTTGCTATTCTAGGATTTGTTATGAAGCCTTTGCAGCTGAAAGGTGTACTTTTAGTCTTTTATGCATTGATTCATTTTTGTTCAGCAAGTTTTGACGATCATTACTAAGTGATTTCTGAATTCAGGTTTTTTTCATCCTGAATCAACAAAAGCACTAACAGCAGTGGAGACGGCCGTCTCAGAAGTTCAAGGTGCTGATACATATGATATTGAGGAAAGCTGTATCTGTAGATAGTAGGCCTTTTTTAAGTCTCTAACTAGCTGCACAATAGATTTTAATAAGTTGGAACATCTCCAATTAGCTCTGTCGATATGAAGCATTCATCTATGAGTAACTTTGCTATTTTACTGTCATTTTATAGTGCCCAACTGTATTTTGTAGGAGTTTTATTAATTTTGCATGAGGCATTTTCCCAAATTATACTTTTGGGGTAAAAGCTAATTGAGTTCACATAAAAATTTGTATTAGGATAGGTCTGTCTAATAAACTTTCATGACAATTTGGTTACATTGGAAAGCTGCAATTAATGAGGTCCTGTGTTGTTTTGTTTATGCCTTACCTTAAGAGTACAATTGTTTCTCTGCTTTAACTGGGTTTGTGCTTTCCTTGGTGTGGCCATCTTGTCCACTCCCTATGTAATTTTATTGTTTTCAGGATGTAAATTTGTTTCTTTTCTTTTTTTATTTAAAAAAAAGAGGGAAACTTTCATGAAAAATCTCTAAATGCCTATCCTGTAAGAAGATTGCTTCGCAATTAAGTTTCCTGGTAGCAGCTTGAAGTTCATGATGCTGACTAAACTCTGACCATCATGATATGGATTACAAAGGAATTATTACTATTGGTCAAGTTAGTGGATATGCTCTTAGGCATATAACATAATACAAGCATGAACTCATATGCTGGAAAATATGTGTTTTAAAAGTTCAATTATGTGAATTATCACCTTTTCCCTAGTCTTTGTCCCCCTTTTGTGACCGGTAACCTGTGATAATATTTGATGTCACTCTTTTTCCTTTATCAGGATAGAGAAAATTTCCTTTCTGTTCTTAATATTTGTCTTGATAGTTATTTTTTCCCATTGACATTTTTTTTTTTTTTTTTTTTTTTTTTTTTTTTTTTTTAATTTACTGCATAGGTTCAGATAATTTGAATGGTAAAGATGGTTCCTTTTCCAGTAAGGAAGATCTCAGAAATTCTACCATACAGAAATCTTCTGAGTGAGTCACTCATCCATAAGCTCATATATATGTATATATTTTTTAGATTTGGGCTTGTATATACTGCCACTGGACCTCGTAGGGACCTTTGATTCATTTCTCTGGATTCAATGCAATAATTATTGTGGATTAAATTATCTTTGACTAGTACCAATTTGATTGATGGGAGAGAGAGATATGTGGATTAGTACAATTATTGTTAGCATCATATATGTTTAGGTGTTTGTTTTGTTAGCAGAAACTATATGGAGCTTATCAATAAACGGTTTTCAGATTTGATTACCTTAATTGTCATCACAAAGCATTCACTTGAATATTAACCAAATGTAAATTTTTAGATGCATGTGTTTTCAACTGTAAGGGGTTGCATTAGACATTGTAAGGATAACTGAACAGACTATTGGTTTTCTGTGATGAAGTTTGTGTGGGTTCCACTTGTATGACAGTGTTACATTTGACCGGCCAACTATTGGTTCTTTTAACTTCCCATGTTGTTGTCACATGCTCTTATGCTCATAAGTTATAGCAGTTATCATAAACATAATTGCGTATCTGATACCTAAGATCTTATTTTATGGCAGGCTAAAAGTTGGGACAAAAATAATGAATCAAATTTCAAGGTTTATGAAAGATATGAAGGTGCTTTTGGTTGACAAGGTTTATGTTGTTAATGTTCTAGGTACTTATCTTTCTTTTTCTCCACCTTGCTTTACCTACCATATTTTGTATGTGAATTTCTTTGGGTCATGGTTGTTACTTGATAAAATAAAATAAAGACTGAATTTCTTTGGTTTATGATCTATGTGCTAATTCTCTGAAACTGTGAAATTTTCATTCTTAGGTTATATAGCATACAACTTTGTCATAGGTGCATACTCGTATTGGGGGCCTAAGGCTGGTTATAATATATATCATATGGTAAGCATTTAACTTGACTTTATAGATTTGTATCATTCAATATAAGGTTTTCCTTTCTTTTTTATTCTTTCAATGATCATGTTTGATAGTGGTTTGGGTATAGGACCTAGATAAACTTGGTAACCCTGCTTTAAATTCATGGTATTTTGGCAGAATGATGCAGATTTGATATTTGGAGGTATTACAATTGTGTGCGGAATATTGGGCACACTAGCAGGAGGTTTTGTTCTGGATTATATCAATAGCACTATCTCTAATGCTTTCAAGGTAGGTGTTCTGTGTTTATTGGGATCTAGAATATCTTTCTTGATACTGTTGCTTAACATTTACCGAATGCATTATTTTCTTTCTCTTGGCCTTTGTGCATGAAAAACTGAGCTAGTCCATTGCCTTTTCAAACTGACACTTGGTCTTTGGCTTTTGTTTGTTCTTTTAGTAGATCTTTTTCATTATGGCATTTGGTATTTTGTTTTTCTTATAGTAAATGTTCACATCCTGACTGCTTTAGTTTTTGAGAGTAGTGGTAAACCAGCAAAAAGTTATCAACTAATCGAAGTAGGAGACCCTGATTCCAACCTAAAAGTAGGAGATCCTGAGATCAGATCCTTATAAGTCCAACTTCTTAATTTAAGTTGAATTCCACACGTTAGGCCCACATGTGAGGGTGCATGTGAGTATCTTAATTGTTGATCCACATTCTACTGGCTTAATTTCTGAGAATTGTGGTAAATCAACAAAGTTTATAAGTTTTTAAATGTCAAATCATGCATGCATATACACACGGAGGATCAAATTCCACCAAAAGATAAAGAGATTCATATTGAGTAGAAGGCAAACTAGAGGAATAGACACCTGAGGTAGTTCTGAGGAAAGAGGGATGAAAAAGATCTCCATAGAAACAGTGTAGTGGCATAGTACTCCAAAATTTAATGTCTCCTGGGTATCCAGCCTCGGTGGTATTCCTTAATATTGCACAGAAACAAAGAGATGTATGAAATGCTCTGACCCATTTGCGGGATTAAAAACTTTGGCGATTGGGAAAGATAATCCCAGTTGCTTTGAAATGCAACATCCCATGTTTTAACCATCAGAAAAAATAACCCTTCTGTGATTTTGTTTTTATGAGACATCAGAAGGTTATAGATATGGTTACTTCTTCTAATAAAAATGAAGAGTAGTATATGGATATGGAATATGAATAACATTGCAAAGCAATAAGATACTTCACCAATATACAAGCTAAAGTAGTATACACAAAAATGACCTCATCCTAAAGTATTTTTATGGCGTATATTGACTGCTGATGCCTTTCTTCATATACTTCTATGAGGAATAGAAGATGAAAATGGAGTTGCACTGCAAGCTTTCCCCAGGGATTTTGGGGTTTGTCCTTAAAATTAGTCAAAGAACTAAAGGTTTTTCTCTGATACAAATTTGAGAAAACTTTGTAAAGGTTTCTTGCAGTCTTATTGTTATTGCTTGTGTATGAACTTATGTATTCATTATCCCAGTCATTTTTTTTCCTTTTTGTTTCTTTTCCTCATTGCATGTTTAAATACTGTACGTGGACTTTGTTGCAGCTTCTTTCAGCAGTAACGTTACTTGGAGGAGTATGTTGCTTCGGTGCCTTTTGCTTCAAGAACATGTATGCTTTCCTAGCTCTTTTTGCAGTTGGGGAACTACTTGTCTTTGCAACTCAGGTACATTCCTATTGTAAGAAATTTTTTCCTATTATTTGGCTTAAGAACTAGATGGTTACTGTATTAAACTGTTAGCGCGGAAGACATCTATTGCTATAACCAGAATGTTCACTGTACTAAGACATTTATTGCCAGAACTGGAATATTCACTGAACTGGAATATTCAATTTACCTATGCAGGGCCCTGTAAATTACATCTGTCTCCATTGTGTTAAACCTAGTATGAGGCCACTATCTATGGCTATTTCTACTGTTTCAATTCACCTTTTTGGGGATGTACCTTCCGCACCTCTTGTTGGAGTTCTCCAGGTTTGCCTTCCTATATAGCATGGACCGATCTGTTTCCTTTCATCTGTACTATGAACCTATTAATCATGAGTTGCACATTCTAATTAAGTACGTTCTTTTTCCTTTTGGCTTTGGTCTGGTTTTGACTGCGCAGGATTCCATTAACAACTGGAGGGTGACTGCTCTTATTTTAACATCTATTTTCATTCCAGCAGCAGGAATATGGTTTATAGGTAAGTTGCAGTTAGTGATTCCATTACTTTATTATGGAACCATTCCAACTGATGATTTGTGAGACAATAGAAAAGGGCAAGGATGTTCGACGAATTCCCAATAACTAAGTCAACATTTTCGGGTTTCTGGAAAACAGCTATAGTTAATTTTGTGCTTTCTTTCTTTCCTTTCCCCAAGAGGGTTCTTTGCATGCATTACTATGATCAACTTATCTGAAATTTAATCGAGTTCATAATTACGGGCTCTTCAATAATTGGCACAATAGAGAGGGACCAAAACTGAGATCAGTCCTAGAGTTCTTGTAATCGTTGTTTGTATACCCCTACAGGAATCTTTCTGCACAGCGTGGATAGATTTAACGAAGAAAGTGAGAATCAGATCACGACAACTGAAAAGTCAAACACAACACCATTGCTTAAAGGGAAGAAGACAGAAACAACTGAATCTGCCTCTGAACCCTAAGACTTGGCCTTTTTCTCTTAGCTTTGATTGCAACCTGTCACATATTCAGGTCTTGTCTAGTAGCCTGGTAGGTTCTGTTAATTCCTGTAAATATGGTCTAGAGTGCAACCTTTTAAAAATTATTTGTTTACATTTTTATTTTCCAATGGACGTGTTTATATTTGTTTTCCTCTTTGAACTTTTGTTCAAGGGTTGTACAAAATGCAAATTTATAATTTGAGCATTTTCTCGTGCAACGACATGTGTTTTACGAAGTATTTATACCATTTTGTGCTTTACCTAAATATAGCAAAACGTAGTGAAAGTAAAATTCATTCTTCATATATGAGTCTCTCACGCATGAAGATATATCCTTAGCTTGAAGTGTCTTGATTTATGTTAAACAGATACATAGAAGAGAAAGGAGGAAATGAAGGTAGGTGTGAATGATTTTTCATTCCAGGGAGTAGAAATGATTTTTCATCTATTTCATTGATACAACAAATAAAGATTTTATTTGTCAACCTGAGCCACCCATAGCGTGCACAGCAGATTTGTTTGCCGTATTAAAAGAAAATTCCTTATTTCCTTATCAACAATACCAAACTGGATTTTTATTGTTTCTAAATATAGCATATAAAGCTGTGAAGGTAATTCATTCTTCTTTACTTTTATTGTGAGTTGGTATTAAAGAGACATAGTAGAGCATAATATATATCAATGGCAAAGCCTTGCAAAGTAGTGCATGGAGAGACGTTCATGGAGGAAATCCTATCAAGACTGCCTCCTAAATCTCTTATGCGATTCACTCAATAATAAACTATCCATCGTTGGTAGTACCTCCGGCACTTGACAACCTATCCTCCTCCACCTCCACATGTCGTTTTCAAGCTCTATGCCTCCATAGGTTGGTCGCCGGACATCAACATCTACAAGGACAAAATAGTATTTTCACCACTTAATTTTCCAAATGGCGACTTGTTGAATGATAACCTTGCTGGTTGTGTTGTTGAGGATCTTCATTTTCTGCCTTCTATGGGTCTATACACTAGAGGCCAAGGCCAAATCATTGAGGTTGAGCAATATAGCCGTGTAGGAATTGTGGGTCATTGTGACGGCATCTTTCTTCTATTTCTGAAGACACCCACTTTTTCTGTAACCCACCAATAAAAGAATTTGAAATTCTTTCTGAAGACAGGATTTGGCTATGATTCCAAAACTATGTCCTACAAAGTTGTTCGCATTCTATATTGTGGTGAAGAACAATATGGCGAGCGTATGGTTATTAATCCTGCCAAAGTCGATCGGCATGTACACATTGAACAGTAACGGTTCTTCGAGAATGACTCTTTGGAAACGGAAACTACTAGATTTTGGCCTGAACATATCCAAACATGCTTCAAAGGAATTTTTTACTGGAACGGAGTTGAGCAACGCAAGGAATAATTCGCAGACGAACGACATAGATGCGCCGGTGAATTGCTTAGGTACATGGTTATATGGTTTGATTCAGGGTGGTTACAACATGATCCCCTTTCAGCGCAAACAGCTTGCAGTGTTCAAGGTTTGTGGTGCCATTTTTGAAATATGGTTGATGGATGACTTGTCGCTTGACGCTCAAGCATCTTCTTGGACAAAATGCTTCACCTCTAATGAGCTCCCACCGGACATCTATCGGAATGTAATGTTGTTTTGGAACAGCCACGAGGTTCTTATGATTGCCACAGATGGACGTATTGTCTCCTACAATGCCGGGACGGGATATGTTAAGTATCTTCCCCTCAAGACCACTGCTAGCCACTACAGTGGAGGTGCAAGCCGTTGATTGTGTGAATAGTATAGTTTCAGTCAAAAGAGGCAACAAGCTTGAGTTGGGAGCAAACATAGGTCTACGTCTACCAATATAGTTTTGTTTGTTGATTTTTTGTACTATATATATATTCAGGTTGTGTTCACTGTCCTTATGCGCAGAACGTAGAGAGCTTTTCGAGTTTAGTTCCCATACCAGAAGTACATTATTAGGCTCGTTTGAAGCACTCATACCATTTTGGCTATTTGATTCTCTTACTAGTGATGTAAACCTATCTATCAGACTTTACGATGCGTGTGAACGAGGGAAATAAACTTGGGACTTGGACAAAAATCAGAAATTGTAAATCGGCATACACCAATTCCTGTGTCTGGATAACAAAATCAAGAAATTTGAAAACTCCATGTGGGAAAAAATATGAAATTTGGAGGTCATAAATTCCAAGTTTAAATTCTATATAATAAAAGTTTATTCTGAAAAAAAAAAAAAAAAAAAAAAAAAAAAAAAAAAAAAAAACAAAAAAAACACAAAAAAATTAATTACTTTTAAAAAAGTATTTTAGACAAAAAGGAAAAACCAAGAAAAAGGATTTTAGTAAGAAAAATAAGCAAAAGAGTGCAATGTGGGTAGCTTTGGTAACCATCGTTAGCTGAAATTTTACTCTTTTTAAGGCCAACCATGTGCATCCCAGACTGTTCTATTTGCTGGTATTAGTAATTTCTCACTTAATCGATGTCTTATTGTTTATTATATACACGAGGACTTTATGTCAATTTCAAAGGCACACCGACCTACCCTTCTGTTAATTTCTAGTTTCTTCATCCATGGCACCACCTACAACAAACTATTTTTGGTGTCGAAGTCTTACCACTCAAAACGATACGGGTTTCAGATAAGAACAATTGTCTGCAAAAGCTAGAGCAGATCATGACCATCATGGCCAGGAAAAGTGCATGGTTGAAGCTTCTTTGGCATTGGAAAAGAGGTTTCAAGCTTAGCCCTTGACATTTCCTTGGCATTTGACTTATAGATAGAATAGACACACACTTGTTCAAGGCTTTCGATTACAATCTATCAAAGAGGGGGGCGAAAAAGAATTACGGTGGAACACAAGAATCATGACAAAAGTCAAAGGCGAAAATTCCAGCAGTTCAGCATTCGCCAAGCGTCGCAACAGTAACAGAAAAGGAATACTTCCAAATTCAAAGCCAAATTTACTTTACTACCTGATTTGAAATGTACTTTTTGGTGAAATCACACCCCATACATACAGCAGAAGCGTAGTTACCAGCTAATGAAATATATTCAACTGTCCAGTAAGGAGACCAAGTAACATGCTACAAAATACTACAGAAACACTTGGGGGTTATTCCAGCTCGATGGCGAAAAAAATGGTATTCATGTAACATTCATTAAATAACACGACTGGTTCGTCAAACGGAAAAATCTCTAATGAATCGCCAAAAGTACAAAATAATAAATGCCTGGAGTTCCACTTCTAGCAACCATCTATACGAGTGACAGATCTCCAGCAGGAATTGATCTCTTGACAAGCTTAGCCCATGATTCATTGGTTTCGGTTATGACCTTAAGCGCAAAATCCTGTTCATGACAAGAAATGTTTCTAAAATTAGATATAAGGAACACTAATCACACACACACACAGATCATAATCTAATGTTTGGCATTATATTTATTTTATGCTTATTAAAGAAAAGTAAATAAAGAAGGTAATATGGGACAAAAAGCCTTATGCTACTGCCTAGTTGCTGCAACAGTACCAAACCACACTATGAAAGAATTCCAGAAATAAGCGATAACAAGCAATAGAACAGTTGGAACATCGATAATTGAGTTATAGGGAAAAATGACCCGAGAAAGAACTCCATAGCCTAAAATTTCTGAAAATGCTGCATCAAACTAAAAGCCTCTTAAAAGAATAACTATATATACTAGGATTAGCAGCCCTCGCATCCTAGCCCTTGATTACTTACATAACTACGTAATCCTAACCCTCCAAAATACTCACATGGCCGTCAAATGACTACTTATAAAAGTGTAGGAGCATAACTATCATTTTCGAAACTAAATAAAAATAAAATTCAAACAAAACAAATAAAAGACAAGGAAACAACTAAAACCATAAACTAAATAGATCACAAGCCAAGTTAGCTAGCTGACCCACTTAGTCTTGGAAAGCCTTATAGATGCTCCCGCATCAAATCCACCAGGTTGGGAAAAACTCGACTGCCATGAGAAAGCTGCCAGAACTTCAGTAAGGATCACGTATGTTGGCTTGCCTTCCAATCCAAATTATCACCTGCTTGCAACTTACCATCGAAGATAGCAAACTTCAATTTTAATTTCTTTGGTAAAGGTTGTCCAAGTATTATCTCTAATGTCATTGACTAAACTCATCTGGACTTTTGGGCTCGAAACTGAATACTTCCCATCCAAACAAAGAGATACTTAGAATATCGGCTCATTTTAAACCATTACATTCATTCTCAATTATCAATCTTGAAACCCGTTATTTCTTGACATCAATTTTCTCCTGAGTTAGATGATCACCCAAACTCTTGACAATCACAAACTAAAAATTCAACCCTGATAAAATCAACACTTTCAGAAGTATTATTATCTAAAAAATTCATCTGGTCCTGGGAATTTAGGGTTATGAGATTATCTTCAATGATGTCTTCAAGAATTTCTTGCACCATCTTCCTTCAAAAGTTTTTCAACACCAACTTCTTTTTCACTCACCAAAATATTTTGTCAAAAGTTCTAACCCCAAATAAACTTTGCAATCATCTTATGAACAACAATTAAATACTGGCAAGGATATCTAGAATAATAAGAAAACCCATCATATTCCAAGTCATCCAAAATTTCATCAACGAAACATTCGACTTATACTTAACTGGTTGCCAAACTCATTCAACGATATCATAAACCATACCTGAATAATCAAAACTAACTGTCTGCTATGATCCCGATATTCTTGGTTTCTAGCATCATGAAAGGGGTTTTCTTCATATTCTTCACAACCTTCATCCTTAAAACCACCTTCTGATATGTCCAAGGAGTTGCAATTGCCTTCTGGAATCTATGCACAGGCTTCCACAGGTTCCTGTCATTGAAGAGCTTGTATCACTCTTCCCAAATCTTCAATCATATGCCACAGCTCAGCCATCTCTGTTGTTGGGCTTGGTTTCCTCATCAACAACTTCTACCATGTCCAACCAAAGTGTAGACCTAGGTTACAAATCCTCTTGAAAGAGTATTTAAACTAGGGTTACCGCAGCCCTAGCATCCTACCCCTTGCATACTAATAACTACTTAATCATGCCCCTCCAAAATACTTACACTCACACGACGATCAGATGAGTGCTTGGAAGGACTAGGAGTATAACTATCATTTGTCAAACTAAATAAAACATAAAACTCAAAAAAGACAAATAAAAGACAAGGAAACAACTAAAACCCTAAACTAAGTATAACCCAAGCCAAGTTGGCCACATAGTCTTGGAAAGCCCTGTAGATTCTCCTGCATCAGAAGGTCAAACCCAAAGGACTGAGACAGATCGTGTAGAACTACAGCTTTCACAACCTATTTAAAATGCCAGGTTTATTGTCCTACCTGTCATGACTACTACACTAATTCCACATTGATGTATGAGTTGACACCTGAAATAACTGTCCAGCAAAGGCTGTTGGATTTACAATCATGTTTCGAATGCCTTCATGTTGTGGGACATCATGTGGAATTCTGTTTGAAGCATGCCCTATTGCTCAATATCGACTCCAGCAAACAAGTCAAACCAAATAAAAAACAAATAAATACACTGCATCGGAAACGAGTACCTCTGCCACCCCCAGTCCCACTGCCTGGTTTTGAAGTCAACTCTTGATACGGTCAACATTTGACATGAATTATGCTTTTACATATGCAATTATTGAAGACTTTACAGTCCAAAATTAGATTGTACTTGGGCAATGCATTTTCTAAGCCCATCACTATATGTATTGGAATAAAGAAACGGACTTTAAAACAGGAGTAGTCCTTCAATTACCTTAACCCTTTCCCCTTAACTAGTTTTGAACTCAAATCTTGTCATGACTCCTTGCAACACTTGCATTTGGCAAGGAGGACTATGCTACTAGGTCATAAGGTCATTGGTAACTAGTGACTGAATCATTAAAGGAACCAACCATGCAAAATAAAAAGAAGCAAAAATAATATAAAGAAAGACTCTTGATAATAGCAACTTGGCAACCTAGATACAATTAGAAAATAGAAAGGAAAAAAACAACCAATAGTATTATTCAAAATAAATTCAAGGATAGCAATTGAAAGATAACTGTAAAATTACCTTGTTTGCCGCCTTGTTGCCAAGACCAAACTTGTTAGCAGGCTTTCCATCAGGGATCTTGTAGTCTCTAAACCAGTCCCTTATTGCAGTGAGAGTCCCCTGAAGTAAACCATAGCATTAAGCCCCACAGGTTTTGGCACTTTTTACCGTAGTTATTCTTTTTCGAGCAATTTATTAATGACCAAATACAAATGTTAATGTGGCTAACGGATTCATTCTGCATAAAGTAAGATCTGATAGCGGTAAACGTGATCTTATGCACAACAAAAAGCGTTTGTCTTCTACAAGAATATTTATCCTCTTTTTTTGTAAAGAACATGTATCACCATTTTCATTTTAGCATAAGCGCCCGCAATAGTTACCCACTCTGCTCAAAAGAGAGGGTAGACTTATATCCATTTCTCATACAGTAATCATAAGAATTTAAAAATTCAAAACAACTAAAACAATAAATACCCATTAATCAAGGTTTCTATGTTTGGTGAGTGTGTAATTGGGAAATCTGTTAGTGCTTGGTTAACAAGCAGTACATACCGGAAAATGCTTCTCAACATCATCAATGTCATTGACAAGAGAAGCTTTGGGATCATCCAATGAAATTGCAACAATTTTCCAGTCAAGTTCCCCTTCATCAATCATAGCTAATGCAGCCAAGGGCTTTACTTTGAGAACCTCGCCAATCTTTCTCCGACTTTCGCCTATCTCAACAACATCAACTACAATTTGTAGCAAAAATAACGGTTTTAAATTAGGGTTTAGATGACACAAAAAAAAAAAAAAAAAAAAGGTTTTAAATTTCCTTCTTTAGGTAACACTCAGCTAGGACAGAAATTGACAAAAACGGATAAGTAGTCATACCTGGATCATTATCCCCAAATGCTCCTTCAACTTCACTATTAGCAAGGGATGGGTCTTCCCATGTTTGTGGAAGCAATCCATAATTCCAATTTATATTGTAGCTGAGAAGGATTATAAAGTTACTAACAAAAGATAACTTCAGGGAATTTAATTATATGTTAAAAACTAGATCGTGCACACACTATCTGTGCAATGTGATGGTGGTTGCAGTAGAAAAAGAGAAAGTATGCTTTACACCAACATATATGTATGTATGCTCTCAAAGTGAGAAGAGTAATTGATCAAATCCATGGCCATTAGATATGTAAGATGAAAGGAGTAAGTTGGATGAGGGGTAATGTGTAATTATTACAATAACCTTAGTTTTAAATCATATTATTGAAATTGTTTAACGGAAGTGGGGGATAGTCAACATTTCACATATGTGATTCCCAGCAGGGTTTGCGTGTGTAATGTGATGGGGTTACAGCATGAAGAAAGAAAGATTTGTTGAATGAGGGTGGATTGGTTGGAACTTGGAAGTGGGCTAATGGGTAACTACTAGAGTATGTGAGTAATGTGATGATGTTTCAATATGAAGAAATAAAGTAAGATTAGTGGGATGAGACTCACTACTATAGGAAGAAAGTTTAAGCTTGATATATATTGTTGGCCATTTCCTAATTCTTAAACTTTTGAAAGAGGTCCTGGATTCAGTCCCCATTCCCCATTTTTTTTCTTGGTTTGCAGGTTGCAGGATGGGGATACACTTATATGTTTCAAGAGCTCCTTGCACTTGTATGCATCTCCACATGCAAAATGGGGCTGCATCTACACGCTTGATATAGATTATTGTCCCTTACCTTAAAAAATAAACGATGGAGCACCAAAAACAACTAAACTTACATATCAAACTGTTTCTGTGTGCATCTATCAGGCCAAATAAACAAATAAAATCTGTGCATCTATGAAATTGAAAAACAAAAGATTATCTGCACCAACAATGACTTATCTTCTAATTCATGATGCTGCCTTAGCCAAAAGTTACACTTGATACAACGGTAACATATTCAAGCACCAAGACAAGGACAAACATTATAATATAACCTTAGGAAAAGTAAAAACTAAATCTTACGGATAGTAACGAAGTTTTCCTTTCTTTGTATCCTGCTTTATCGGAGTGTGTGGCTCATCAGTAGCAACCTCCATCTTTGCACTCGATTCTTTGGGTATTTCAACCACACAGTTGAATAAACCATTACCCACTTGCAAAGGTATATCATGCCAAGGTGAAACCTATATTATATAAACCAACACGTTGTTTTAGCAGATTGAGAGAAAAGTCAACTTATAAGCGTGTAGAAACCCAACCATGTGTCTGGACACCGGGAATTTTTAATTCCTTTTACAATTGCATACACATATTCACTCTTTTAAATACAAGTTGGAACTAAGAATCGCTCAGAGACAGTCAGAACTTAATCTCAAAATAAGAAAACACAAAACCATATTTCTACAATTACAAAAAGGTGCATTATATCAATCTGGAAACCTGAAAATTGAAAATAAAATTCAAATTTGAAAGAGAGAGACCTCAAAGAAGCAAATGATCTATGCCGTCTAAAATCAAAATCAATTCAAATATCTCATTTGAATATATAAAAATCCAAATGCCTCAGTAATGCATAAAAATGGTATTAAACCCCATTTATGAGGAGCTTCCACATTTTTCATTTCCTCTATTTTCTCGGAATCCAAACAAACAACAGAACAGAAGGATTCAACCGAAAATGGGAAAAAACCAAATTAACCTTTTGACCAACACGGTCGACGAAGAAGACTCGGTAGTCTAGGGTTTCGGGCTGCCCTTCCTCCTTGATCTGAACCTCGGGGTTGTAGATAGCTGTGCAAGCGAAGGACCTCCGGCACGACGAAGACAACGACGACGGTGCTCTTCTTCTGGTAAAGCAGAGGCTGGTGCTGTACGGCCCCTGTTTGGCAAGGAACGACGTCGTCTTGGAGAGAAAGCAGGAAGTATTGGCGACGGTTAGCACTCTCGCGGTGGCCATGGCTTTTGATGAGAGAGAGAGAGAGTGATAGCTGATGACTGAAAGGAGTGTCAAAGCGATAGTGTGCTTTATTCTTTATTTTTTTATTAATTTTTGTTTTGTTTTTTGTGCTTGGGCTTTTCAAACCACGGAACAAGTGGTAAGCTTGGATTGGCTGGTCTTTTGTATGTGTGTGTCAGTGAGTGACAGGGTGGAATGTGGACATGTTTGTGAAAACGTTGGACGACGATTATAGGAGAATAACCGGGATCCGATCCGATACAACTCCGTTTTAGGAGGCCTTTGAAACCCAAAACAAAAAAAAACAAAAAACAAAAAACAAGAGGAAAGAAAGAGAGAAAGGGAGGCCCAAAATAGTATTTGATTCCAACTTGAGATTTCTAATAATAAAGTGAAGGAATTACTCGACCAATAACTAATTTGTATATTTTTTGAGAAAATGGCGATAGAATTTTATTCATAAGAGAAGAACCAAATATAAAAATTGGGCTATGTCCTAAGGGAAGTTTTTCTACACATAAGAGTTCGGTCATCGGATTAATTGAGTAGCCTACCCTCTCAACCCAACGCGGAAGAAGGAACCTTGCCCTTAAAAGAGTATCCCTCGTCCCCTTAAAGATCATACCCGAAACTATTTGTTACAGTCCTTAAAATGTACATTTGAAATAAAGTAAGAAGGTTCCTCAAACCAATACACAAGAGCACCAATATGGAAAGCGAAGCGTGCAAGACAATGGGCCACACCATTGGCAGTACAACGAATATGGGTAAAATCATCCTTAGTGACCTATGATAGCAAGCTCTTAGAATCCTCCACCATTGGACCAATGACTCACATAACTAACTCGCATATAATTTATCATATTTTATGTGAATCCCTGACATCGATTTCTCCTTAGCAATTATTTTCATTAGTTTCTTATATCGTTTTGCACCTTTTTTTTTCTTTCTTCAACTTGATTCGTTAAGATACAAGTAAGCACTTTGGTTCGGTTTGTAAAAGCTCAAAACCGCATATCTCACATTTATACCTATAGCCCAAGCATCAAACCTATCATGCAGTGGTTGGTCCTAGCTCTATAACTCAACTCAAACCTATCATACAGAAGGTTGTTAGTTTAACTCAAGCTAATTTCATACCAGGGAAGCAGATTGTTGACAACAGTATTGTCGAGTTGAACAAGAGGTTTTGCACAAGAATTTATTACTTGGAAAATTGACCTCTTCAAAGCCTATAATGATTGCATTCGGATTTCATTAATGATGTTACTTGTTCTCATCATGTTTGTTAGGTACCAAGTCATTCTCAACGGTGAGCTAATTGAAAGGTTCTCTCCTAGTGGTAGGGTTTGGGGAAGTTTCAATTCAACAGTAAGCTAATTGAAAGGTGACCTTTTATCCCCTTATATCTTTGTGTTATGCACGGAGAAATTATCTCATATTATCAACAAAAATGTATCCTCTGGAACTTGGAAGTCTTTGAAGGTTGTTAGATATGGAATTGCTATATATCCTACTTTTTCTTTGCTAATCAAGCATTGATTTTAGGCTTACTTGGGTAACCATTTGTTCCTCTGTTATTCTAATACATATTATGCAATTTGTTGAACTTCCCATGAATACTTGTAATCAATTGGTTAAGCCTAACAAGGACCTTTTGTGGGTTTACAATGGTGATAACTTATAAGGTCATCTCCAACCCATGAGGCCAAACCTAAAAAATTCCAAATTATTGCCCAAAATCTCTCCCAACCCAAGAAATGAATGCGCCAAAATTTGGGAAAACCCAAATTTGGACCCAAATAGGAGTCCAAGTATTGCCCTGGACCTAAAAATTAGTGGAGCCCACTTGCTATGTCAGCAGCCCATATGCAAGCTTTCCTTCACTAGGGCCCGCCAATAGCCCATGTGGAAGCCTTTGGGTTGTACTGATGTTATTTTTTTTATTTTTTTTAATTCTAATATTAACTTAAATCAACGATATATATTAAATCTAAGCTATTTTAACGGTAAAAAAAAAGGATCTGACAGTTGAAATTTAAATCCAAATATCAAAATAATATTTTAACTTAATCTAAATCCGATCCAACATCAAAACTCACCCCAAACTCTATAAATACCCACTCATTTCTCAAATAATCTACCAAAAACATTATGTTTGTAGAATTTCAATTTTTAAGGTCAAATTGTTCAAAAAATTAAATTATGAAGTTATTTAAAAAGATTAAATAAAGAAAGTTATCCATAAAATAAAAAAAATAAGACTTAAACAATTCTTAAACAATTTAATAAAGTTGCGTACTTAAATTTGAGTCCGGATGGTTGGGAGAAAAAACTATTTGAGTCCGGACAAAATCCAAATAGTTACTTTTTGGAGGGGAAAATTTGGGTTTAACCCCAAATAGGTTGGAGAAAGCCTAAGGCTATAAGATTGACCTTGTTAATTGAGAGAAAGTTTGTAAGGGCAAAGAGCCTTGGAGGTTTAGGCATCTAAAAGACTCATTGTATGAATTAGGCTTTACTTGCTAACACTAGATGTAAACTTGTTCAAAATGAGAAAGGTCTTTGATCTCAAGTTTTTAATGATAAGTATCTAAAATGACCTCGACCCAAAAAATAAAAAAATATCTAAAATGACAAAGTTCGCTTGCAGCTCCAAATATCAAACTTAAAATTTCTCCAGTACTTGGAAAGGTGCCCTATCTTGTGAAAGGAAATACACACAAAAGATAGAAAGGCTGCTGTCAAACTTACACATCCATCACAACCTTATTCCATATATATAATTACAAGGGACAATGAAGTATTGAATATACAATCAATCACAAAATATGTGTAACCCTTATATAAATGTACATCAATTACAATCAATGACATAATTAAGCTTCATAAACCAATTGAGAGTAGCCCAACTTATAAGTCTTTGCTAGGTTTCTCAACTTTCAAATGTGGGACATTTTCACCTTCACATTCTCACACCCCCGCACGTTGGTGAATTTTTTAGCATAACACGTGGATAATACATATTGGGTGACGTGGAACACGTGTGATCGTTGGGCTTTCACACGTGGGCTAAATCGCTATGATATCATGAAGAATTGGCAACCTTTTGGATTTTTATTTTATTTTTTTTATAATGGTTTAGGTTGGAAGAGGGGCGGTACAGGAGAAACCTGAGGCTATACTGATATCATGTATGAGATAAAAGAGGGGACATCCAAACATCAAAGTGAACAAGTTCTAAAGGACCAGAAGATTCTAAAAAAGACAATTCAAATGACAATTTATGACCATTTCCTAAAGGACACGAATGACACAAGGAAGCACTAACTTTGCTAGTGAGTGTTAATTTATTTTAGGACACTAAATGCTGAAAAATAAAAGACGACAAATGACCAAGCCGGGAGTGCCAAAGAGCACCATTGACGCGAACACCAAGCAAGACTACTAGAGCACCATGTTTGTGTTTAGATGAACCAATCGGGTAGAGACCGTAGAGACCATTCTTACTCGGTCCCTAGAAAAGGATCGTCCCAGTGTCCAAATTCTACACACAAAAACATATGGGATAAAGAATACCAATTATGATCAACACAAAACATATTAATATACAAAATATTAAAAGAAGCATTGGAATAAAAGAGAGTGTTAGGTAATGCATAGGTAGAAGTAGGGGTACAAACCAAAGAAGTCCCCACTTTGGCTATTTCCAAATATGTTCCTCCAAGTACGCCGTTAACACGATCTCCTCCATGATAATCACGAGGATTGGTAAGTTGCCCCAAATCATGGGCAACATGGGCATTGGCACCCGAATCCACGAGCCAAGGATGCATGGTAGATGAGTGTGGTAGGCAGACAGTTGGGCTGGATGCCCACGATTGTCAAAAGAGGGAATAGGAACCCAAGTGAGGTAGTCAGCGGCGTTATGCCCAAACCCACGACATTGAAAACACTGCAATTTCATACGCACATCATAGCAAGAAAAACTCCAAAAACACCGACTCCACCAAATTGAGACGAAGAAAAGTCACAAGACTAACATAATCAATTGGCCATTCACGAGAAAGCGCCCCTGTAACTGTGTTCTTATACATAGGACCCACTGTGGCAAGAATGTGATTAACCAAGTCCTTATCCGATCACTTGCAAGTGCAAGATTCTGAGCAATGGAGTTGAATCGATCCAACTAATCAGTGATGGAAAAATCACTGCTCACCGTCTTTATCAACTCTTGGCGCAACTCAGACTCAGTGGGGGAGGTGAAATGACACTCAAGCTTGACCTATGTCTGACTAGCCGAGGTGTTGAGCGCAACAGGAGAAAGAGCATTGGGGAGAGAGAGCCATGGATCTAGGAGAGAACCTGTTGGTCTTGCTGAAGCCAGACCTTATATGCTAGGTTGGGAATAGAGGAATGATATGCGCCAACCACACAATGGATAATTTTTGCGTTCCAATTTGATAGAAAAGACGGAAGGAAGGTTCGGGGCAGGGAGAGAATTGGAGAAAGAATAAGAAAAGGCGTCGTTTAGACAACAAAAGGCTATGTATACCATGAAAGGAAATACACACAGAGAATAGAAAGGATGTTGTCAAACTTACACAGCCATCACAACTTTATTCCATATATATAATTGCAAGGGACAATGGAGTAACCCCTATAATGAATATACAAACAATGGTGTGACCTTATAATGAATATAAAATCAATCACAAAATATGGTGTAACCCCTATATAAATGTACATCAATTACAATCAATTACATAATCAAGGCCCAATAATGGGAAGTTTCTTACTTTAGCTTATCATCTTGTTCGGGTCTCATTTTCTCTCTGAAGGATTAAAGTGGAGAGTTGGCAATGGTTATCAGTTATAACATATTGTTTTTGAAAGATAATTTGTTGGGTTATGTGGATCGTGAGAATTTTGTCACTATTTCTCTGTCTAAAGATATGCTCGAGCGGCATGTTAGTAAACTTTCTGCTTGAATAGTTATGCATACATCCGAGATCCCGTATTCAAATTCTTCACCTCTCAATATTGCTCGCGTAAAAAAACAAAAACAACAAGCATAAACATGTCAAATTGGGTCATATTGATACAAGCAGTTCGATACTTTGATACCAAATATTTTCTCGACGTTTTGTATTATTAAATTACAAATCTAAAATACCTTTATAAATATTTGCATTGAAATGGTATTTATCCGTTGGGAGAAATAGGGCCTTCAATTTTGTTCACTTGGAAGTGCAGTTGATTCATCACACTTCCAATAACAATAAGGCAAGTAGACACCATCGGTTTTCTTACAGATGCAAGAACCAAGTGCTTCCCAACGAATTATGCAACCTCGATTGTAGGCTTATTCGCTTAGTGTATCAGGATTGCATTTTCTAATAAAATGTGCCCCACAACATTCTTGAGCAGCAACACCTTGGAAACCTGGAAAACATGAATTCAACACTTTTAATTTACATGCTCATTTTTACTTATACTAGATTAATTAGAGTATCTGCAATGGTTAGGATCAATGTAATTTTATTGCATGAAATTGAACTAAAACAATAAAATCTCACATGCAATGGTGTGATTTAGTTCACTGCAATAAATGCATTTACAATAGAGGGTGCTATGTGACCCTCTATTGAATTGCAATAGACTAACAATAGGACCCACATGCCAATTAAAAAATAGAAAAAATACATCAACTAATGCATTATGCCATTAAAAGCATCCGCAATGGTTGTTCAATAGTTCAATGTAATAAAAAAATACATCAATTAATTTTTTTTTCTTCAAATATATTCCAAATTGGTCTCTTTTTAAAGATCTCTTTGAGAATATTTCAATTGTACAATTTTTAGTCTACATCTTTGCCTTGGTGAGTCATGTGTACTTTGTGTGGGACCCAAGACTTGGATGAGTAAACCTTGATATATGCGATTGATTTATGATGTAATTTAATTTAGCTCATAATGAAGTCAAAATCCCTAATTTAAGGAAATTAACTGGTAATTTAGGAAAACGACTCATGAAGGATAATTTATTCCTGTTTGGGAACATAATTTGATTTGTTTAATGTACAGACATGTGTCCACCTTTTTCTCAATGAATCATGTGCGACATGTACTTTATGTGGGACCCAAGACTTGGACGAGTAAGCCTTTATATACGATTGATTTATGATTTAATTTAATTTAGCTTGTAATTAAGGTAAAATCCTTAATTTAAAGATGATAATTTAGGAAAATGGCCAATTAAGGATAATTTATTCCTTTTTTAGCATATAATTTGATTTGCTTGATGAAGCAAAGTTTTTATTTTAGCATAAACACTGTACCATAAAATGAAAGCAAAGTTTTTATTTTAGCTCTAAATTTTACAGAAGGGAAAATAAACAAGTGAGAAAAATGATGTTTTTAACCAAGCTAAAAAACAAATAAAAACATAAACAGAAAAAAATGGATAAAAAATAGAAATAGAGGCTAAAATTGCTTCCCCTACAGCCCAATAGATGGGAGAGTGTTGTAACAACCCGGTCCTCAAATTAATATTTAATTATTAAATTATTCCAGTAAAAGACAATTATACCCCTAGAATACTTTATTGGTTTAAAAGTTGATTTTTTGCCGGGAAGTAATTTGGGGATTTCAATTATATCGTTGAGTAGAGCGCAGCGAGATGAGTCCGTAGACACGTAACGGGCTCAAATCGGAGTTGTAACGAAGGAGTTACGATCAAAAGAAGTTTAGTGGCATAACTGTAAATATTTCAAACTTCAGTTTATATAAACCCAGAAATTTCTGGGTTTCGCAAAGCTTGACCAGCCAGCTTCCCGGGGCGATTTCTCCCACCTCCGGTCACCGATTCAGGCAAGACCGGTCACGTTAGAACCACCACACTTCCCTCTTCCAGTCCCAGCCCATCTCAGTCTCGATCTGCCGTCGTGGTAGCCGGAAACCGCCACGAAACAGGGCGGTTTGGACAGTTTTTGACGGAATTTCGTGGAGCTCGTTCTCCCTCCTCCGGCCATCGTTTCAGACGAGTGAGGTATGGTTTTCTAGCTATTTTTCGTGCTCTAGCTGCTGGTTGGGTAGGATTTCAGAAATTTCCAGCGTAGATAGCTCGATTTACGACCTAGGTTTTAGCAGGTTTTCGGGTCACTGTTCCGGCCAGTTTTTGGGGTAGGTCCAAGAACAAAAGTGGTTCCAAATAGGGTGTTATACCTAGGATAGGAGTCTTGAGCTTAGATGTTGAGTTTTTCTGGAGGCGTTATCGCTTAGGACACCCACGCGCTGCCGGCGCATGTGGCGGCGCGTGAGCAGATTGGTCGAGACCCCATTCAGTTCCAGAATGATCCTTGGGTCGTCATGAGCGCGTAGAAATTCGCGGATCTTAATTCGGATACCGTTTGAACCCCGAACGGATCTCGCCTAGTGTGTGATTTCCGGGTTCACTAGTTTTGCACCGTTGGATCGTAACCATTTTCAGGTATGTTGATCTAGGTATTTCCAAGATCGTATAGTATTTGACGAATCGTAAAACGGAGTCCCGGATACTCCGAAAACGTCAGCCCTAGATTATGTTTTACGGATAATTGAATCAATTACAGGTCAGGGGCAGGTGAAAGAATTACGTGTGGCTTGATCCCTCAGAAAGGGTACGTAGGCAGCCTACAGTTACCAGGCGCAGCCACGAGATAGGGCCCCAGAGTTTGTGTTATCGCTTCCAGGGCATTTTGGTCATTTACGACCCACAGGCACTAGGTGTCAGTTTTGCACAGGATTCGACCCGGATTCCAAAGTGGAATTTGGGTCAGGTCGTCTCAGTGTTGCCTTGCTAAGCTTGTATGTATTAAACAGACCTGTGCATAAGACGAAGGTGACAATAAAGAAAAGCACCTACTCTCTTGCTATGGCCATCTTCTAAACTTGGCAAATTGCTTTGGACTATTTATTTGCACCAGCCATATATATATATATATATATGTATAACCGTATAGAATCTTTAAGAAGAAGAAATACGCAGGGGAAACTAGTAAGAAAGCTAGTAAAGGAAAGAAAGGTGCGGTCCCAACATGCTACAAGTGTGGAAAAGTCGGACACTATAAATCCGAATGTAAAATGAAGGATAAAATCAATAACTTGAGCATTAGCGAAGAACTTAAGCAACAATTTTGCCAAATAATGCTTAATTCATCTGATTCTGAGTAAGATAGTGATAACGAACTAGCTCAGCTCGAAAATGAAGAATTACTTGAATCTGATACTGAAACTAGTTCAGAAAGTGAAAATGAGTGCGCCTGTCAAGTCAACGATCTCAAAATATGTGTCTTAACCAAAGAAGAAAGTCTGATAATGTACTTAATTGACAAAATAGAGGATCCAGATAAAAAGAAAGAAGTGCTAGAAAGCTACATCTCATTAGCTAGAGCAGGACCAAGTAACCTGCAGCCAGTTGTAACTAATGTAAGGCAACCAGTTGAAAACTACAGCTTTAAAACTATAGTAAATAGGATGAATGATAAAATTCACAAGAAAGAACCTACTCTCAATGATCTTCAGTGCGAAGTTCATGATGTGAAAGAAGAACTTAGAGAGTTAAAAAATAGGGTTAGAATTCTAGAACTTTATTGCCCTTTTCGGAAAGATACAGAAGAAAAATCAGAGCAATTAGAATTTGAAACTCTAATGGAAGATTTTCAAGAAAAAATAGAACCTGTGAGAAAAGAATCCCTACAAGAAGAACAGGTTAATACCATGAAATTTGTTAATAGTATAGATAGAGTGATAGCTCAAAAATGGTATGCAATGATAACTGTTGTGATTGATAGAACCTACACATTTACAGTTAAAGGGCTTATAGATACAGGAGCCAATCTTAATTGTATAAATGAGGGAGTGGTACCTACTAGGTATTTTAAGAAAACTGCTCAGGTTCTACATGCAGCCGTGAATAGCCAAAAAATGGGAATTCAATTTAAGTTGTCTAACGCTGCCGTGCTCAATCAGGGTATTTGTTTTGAAACTCCTTTTGTTCTGGTGAAAGGTTTAAACCAGTCTCTTATATTAGGAACACCATTCATCAATATGCTTTATCCTTTTTCTGTTTCTGAAGAGGGAATTAGAGCTGAGGTAGAAGGTCAACCTATAATCTTTAGGTTTTCTCAACCACCCAAGCATAAGTATATTAATGAAATTCAAGAAAAAATAAAAAGGAAAGAAAGCTATTTATATCATTTGAAAGAAGAAATGTAGCATAAGAGAATAGAAGAGCAGCTGCAAGATAGCAAGATAAAAGAGAAAATTGATGAGATCCAAAAGATGTTCGAAAGTCAAGTTTGTACTGAAATACCCAATGCCTTCTGGAATAGAAAAAAGCACATAATTGAATTGCCCTATGAGTCTAATTTTGACGAGAAGAAAATCCCAACTAAAGCTAGGCCAATTCAAATGAATGATAGGCTAATGAAAATTTGTAAATTTGAAATACAAGATTTATTAAATAAGAAGTTAATTAGGAAAAGCTCATCTCCTTGGAGCTGTTCCGCTTTTTACGTAGAAAACGCAGCTGAATTAGAGAGAGGAGTACCAAGATTGGTGATAAATTACAAACCTCTAAATAAAGCCTTGAAATGGGTTAGATATCCGATACCTAATAAGAAGGATCTTTTGGATAGACTAAATAAGGCAGTCATCTTTTCAAAATTCGACATGAAATTAGGATATTAGCAAATCCAGATCTCCGAAAAGGACAGGTATAAAACAGCTTTTAATGTCCCCTTTGGACATTACGAATGGAACGTTCTACCTTTTGGATTGAAAAATGCTCCTTTTGAATTTCAAAATATTATGAATGATATATTTAATCCTTACACTTCTTTCACCATTGTTTATATTGATGATGTTTTAGTCTATAACAACACTTTAAACATCTAAATATTTTCTTGAAAGTTGTGAAACATGCAGGATTAGTAGTGTCGGCAAAGAAAATGAAATTATTTTCTTCTAAAGTTCGCCTTTTGGGGCATAATATAAATAAAGGACTAATAGTTCCGATTGATCGAGCAATATCCTTTGCTGATAAGTTCCCTGATGAAATTAGGGACAAGCAACAGTTACAAAGATTTTTAGGAAGCCTTAATTACATAAAGGATTTTTATAAAGATTTAGCTCAAGACTCAAAATTATTATATCAAAGGTTGAAAAAGAACCCGGTTCCCTGGTCTGATGAACACGCTAAAGCTGTTAGGAGATTGAAAGTTAAAGTCAAAGAACTTCCTTGTTTAGCTTTAGCCAACCCAGAGGCCTTTAAAATCGTAGAAACTGATGCTTCAGAAATAGGATATGGGGGAATCTTAAAACAGAAAGTTGATAACTTAGAACAATTGGTCAGGTTCACCTTTGGAGTATGGAAACCAACTCAAAAGAACTATTCTACTGTTAAGAAAGAAATGCTAGCCATCGTCCATGCTGTCTCTAAATTTGAAAGTGATCTTTTAAATAAGAAATTTTTTATAAGAGTAGATTGCAAAGCTGCCAAAGACATTTTGTTTAAGGATGTTAAAAATCTAGCATCTAAACAAATTTTTGCAAGATGGCAAGGAATTCTTTCTGCTTTCGATTTGGATATTGAATTTATAAAAGGTGAGACTAATGCACTCCCGGACTTTTTAACTCGAGAATTTTGGCAGGGTGAGAACAAGAAGTTCAGGACAGATGACCCCAAGTAAGAGCTCCTCAGCTTTTATTAAGTCATCCCCAAATGATCCAAAGCCTCTGATGTCTTCTTCTCCATACAATAAGGGTAAGGAGAAGTAGATCGCTGAAAATCCTTTTCGTGAATACATGAATATGTCGGTGGCAATCATTGAAATGAATGATTTAGATAAACACCCTAATTTTCTGGCTGAAAAATATTTAACGGATAATCTTCCTCCCTTGCATAAGCCTCGAATTTTCTATGAAACTCTTATACTTGAAACTAAGTCTGTTAACATCGTCCATCGTCATAGGGGTGAGAATGCTAACACCATATCATTTTCTAAAATTCAAATTTTAAATGTCATTTCCTTAGAAGAATGGGGCCCTAGCCCTGAAAGGGCCAAAAGATTTATTCATCCTGAAATTAGGCCATATTCTTATAATTTTTGGAATTATAAAAAGGCATGGGAATATGTGTTATGTTTCCAAAATCAAAGTTATTCCCATACTTGGTTTATCTAGTTTAAGCTTAGAGCTATGAAAGAACTCCCTAATTGGTTCAAGAGCTTTTTTCTGATTTGGGGTCTTACTATGGAATACCTTCTTCCTGAAATTAAGGAATCCTTTCAAATGAAATTTTGTAAATGGAATAAAAAGCATCCTGATCAAAGGACCTTATTTATGTGGTTCATGATAATGTATGAACTACCATGGATATTATATTCCTAATCTAGTTCGAAGTATCTTAATCAGATGGTGGGATAAATTCACCGGGGATCACCTGGCCCCCACCATGATCGTCCCAGCTCTTATCCCATCTCCCGATTTCGCTGCTGCTCAGCCTTTGGTCACTTCTTCTAATTTAAGTGTTTCCCAAAGGCTACAACTGTTGATAGACCAGCCAGGATCATCATCCTCTAAAGAAGACTTGAAAAAGAAAATCCTTGAGATTCTTGATTTGGACGACGAATATATGGCATCAGCATCTGCCACCCATCCTGAAGATGAGGTGGACCCCTTTGCTAATGAAGACATGCTAGACAATTTCCATCCAGAGCTTTATGGTGGGCCTCAGTAATATTCTGTCTGATAGAAGACAACTTGTAAAATTGTAATTTTATGCTTTCCTGTAGTTTTACTTTTCTTTATTCGGTTAAAGCAAGATTCTCCTGCTTTAACCCAGATTTCTCTTTTGTAAAAGTGTGCTTTTTCCTTTTGGCTGTTTGAGAGAAAATTCAGTGAAGATTTTCAAAGTGAAGATGCCGCTCTACTGTAGGCTGCTTTGTGATTTCTTGTCTTTATTTGACACGACAGCAGCCCCGAGGCTTTAAAAGGAGGACCTCTACTCAGTTGCAATGCACCGAAAAATCATCGCCTCCAGAAATAAACTTTGTACTTTTGAGTGTTTGAGTGTTTTTTATTCCAAGTATTGCTTATGCGAAGCTTCTGTTAAGCACTACTACTCTTCTGCCTTTATGTAAGTTTGCTAAATATTAATGTTATCATTTATATCGTTTTTTAGTTTCATTATATTCTTATCCTTGGTTTTGGCTTTGCATGTTTGAATTTCTAATAATTATCTTGTTTATTCTCTACGTCTCTACACTACCTTCCGCGCATAAATTAAAGCGAAAAATCGATTAAAATTTTGCTCTTAAGAGGCTGGGCTAGTACCTAATATATATATATATATATATATATATATATATATATGTAAGACATAATTGTAGTTGGATACCATCCTAATTGGATTTTCTTTTATGAAGGATGGTGTATTTCTAGGAAGGAAGGATGCTTATGCATTTATGAGGTTAACTTATATAAATTTAGGAGCTCATTTTCTCACTCGTCTTTTCCCACTCCCCTCTTCTTGACTTACATTCCTTTCTCTTTTTAACTATTTTTAATTAATTTTGTTTTTTTTTCTCTTTCTTATTTTATCCTTATTTTACATTAATTTATTTTTACTTCATTTTTTATATTATTTCTTTTTCTTTATACTTAATTTTTCAACTTGTACTACATTTTCTTTTCTTTATATTTTTATATTTTTTTATGCCATTAAATAAACATATTATATATATATATATATATATTAGAAAACCTATTATAAAATTAATCAAATGTTGAATTAAACATTAGAAAAAAGAAAAGAAGGCATAGGCGGGGAGGGGAGGAGCTGCACAACAATTATAGAATTGGGAACAACCCAACAACCTTATCAATCTCTATCCTCAGCCACTTTCCTCACCGACACCCAAAGGCCCCAACTCCAATCCACCCACCTATAATATAATAAAAGCCCCCCCTGCAGCCTTACCACTCTGCAGTGGTCCTTCCCACTTCTCCACCTACTGAGCAGCTCCTCCCCTTCCCAACTAGACGACACCCTTCTTTTCTTTTCTTTTTTATTTTTTTTATTTTTTTAATGATATATTTTTGTTTCATTGAACTTTTAATGTAAATTAATTCAACTTTTTATTAACTTCAAAAAGCTTTATAGGATTTCAAAATAAAATGAAAAAAGATTATCATGTTCATTTAGCGGCAATTTTAACAGAACAGACTAAATTAACTAACGGTCTTAAACACAAGGATCAAATTGGTCAAATTGAAAACACATGGACTAAACTGGCCAACTTTATAAAACACAGGGACCATTTTGACATTTAAGCCAAAGAAATAATATAAAATTAAAGTAAAAAGAAATTAATGTATGGCAAGGGTAGAATGGGAAAGAGAAAGAACAAAAAAGAAAAAGATTTATTAAAAAATATTAAAAAGCAAAAGGGAGTGTAAGTGGAGAAAATGGGAGTGAGAAAATTAGCTCCCTAAATTTATCAAAGGGTATAATATTTTACAAGGTTAACTTATAGATTTTTACCATGCATGTGAGATTTACATGCACTTTTAGATGGGGTTTGGATGACGATGGGTTGTTACTTGGATCGTGCCAGACCTTTGGTGTACTCCCAAGTAGTGTTGGGTTCAAACTCCTATAGTAGTGTCTAGTGTGTGAATTTTCCCCCACCTCTTTTCAACTTTGCCAAAAGAGAGTTTAGATGAAAAGTTTAATTTTGATTTGATTGAAATTGGTAGCTGGCTCTACCACAATTGGAGGATTGATATTTCTTTCATAAAGGCCAACTTAGAACAGCCCTATGGCCAAAGGTTTGACCAGTACAATTTGACCTAAAAAATTTCACTACAATTTTATTACCATAATAGCCCAGATTATAACTTAATCCAAAATTTCTATTTTCAAACTTATAATTTTTATTAATCTAGGAACGAACTTAAAATTTCAAAATGAGGTAGACTAGATTATGTTTTGTGAGATTTTGGGCTAGGCTAATCCTTAAAACCTATTTACTAACTCTAAGAAAGAAAAAAAAAGGAAAGAAAAAAACTCAGCAGGGCGATAGTGCAGGTTAGTCATAACATGAGTTCGTCCTTGTAATAATTGATGGTACGTATGCCCTTAGAACATCTCCAAGAGATTCTCTAAATTTTAGCCAAATTTTAGCTAAAATGGCTAAAAAGCTATTATAGTAAACTACTTAAAAAAATATTTCATCGAGCAATGTTCTCTATTTTGGCTAATCTCTTATATTTTATTATTTCTAAATTTTTTAATATTTGAGTAATTAAAATTAAAAGTTCATTAAAAAAAATCAAAAACTAAGACATGAGATAGGGTTGTGGGCCTAGGGAGAGAGAAGATGAAGAAATGGAGAGCTATCAATTTCTCTTTCCTCCTCACTATGTAGAGAGCCACAAAACTCAAATAGGAAATTCTCCAAAATGGAGAGTCATATAGCAAGTGTGCTGGAGCTACATTTTGACCTCATTCTAGCCAAAATGGCTAAGGATCATGGTAGTTAACTCTACTAGAGATGCTCTTAGTTTCCACTTTTTATTTATTTATTTATTCATAAAAAAAAGGTCCCACCTTGGACATGACATTAGTTAATGGCACTATTGGGCAAATGTTTTATGTATGATTGTATAAAAATTGGTAGACGATGAGTCTATACTTTATAGGATATAATATTAATAAATATACACATGTTATAGTATGAGTGGATTAGTAATATTATGTACTGTTTTATAATCTTATTGAAAAATTAATGATATCTGGTTGGCTAAGACGTAGGTGGGTTGTTTTTAAAAATTCTTTATCTCTTTGTATTTCCCATACAACGTCACAATCTCTAGATTTCTCAGTTACCCCCCACACATCTCTCTCTCAAGGTCCAAATCTTAATTTTTTATTTATTTATGGAAATATAGCTCAAGTGATTAAAAGCAGTTACTTTTACATCCAAAGTCTTGTGTTTGAAATTCTTTACCTTGGCGCAGAGTAATAATAAAAACCTCCAAAACCTCCAAAGTCTTGTGTTAGAAAAAAGGAAAAATTTATCACGTTGTGCTTTGCGTATTGGTTTTCAGAAATGCTTTGTTTGAGGCTTTTGCTATCTTTTTTTTTTCAACGAACCCAGCACTGTTTGGGTTGGCCTAGTTCAGCCCACCTACCCATGAACCCATGGACCTATGGATACCTCTTCATCTTCACCCAATTCGCAGCCACTCCACTCCATCAGTTCTCTAACCTCTTTCTTCTTCTTCGAAATTCTTCTTTAAGCCTCTCTATATATGGAAGTCACTGGAAGGCTAGAAGATTGGGTACAAAGTGAGAAGTTAGCGGCGTTATAGAAATGAAGGTGAGGGTGGTGTGTAGGAAGCTGTACGATTACGTTCGCTATGATCTGAAAGAGATTGCATTTCCATCTTCGCTGCCAGACCCTCCTCATATCAAGAAGCGCCGCAAGCTCACATGGAATGAGCGGTTCTTGGTACGCCTTTCTTTGGTTCTCATTACACAAGTTGTGGGCTTTGCAGTTGATCAAATTCATACCCAATTGATTTATTTATCTAATTCATGATTATTTTGAAGTAATAATAAGTAAAGCTTGATTTGATTGTTCATATACTTTATGAAGTAAAAGAAACTAGTCCCCGCGTACTCTGGATTGCTTCTGGCGAAAGCAGTACTGATAAAAGTGCTATTGAGCAAAAGCGTTTATTTAAAAATGTGGGTTGGGTCCAATTTTTAGAATGCTTTGCCATTCAAGGTGCTGTTTGTCAAAGTTTATATTTTGTTTCTGACCATCTGAGCCGGTGAAATATTTGGCTATTGTTTCTTTTATTCTTCTTTTAGGTTTAGATAGAGTTTTTGTTTTGTTTTCATTTGGATATGAACTTGTTTCAATGCTTGGAATGTGTTAAAGCTAATAATGTGTGGTATTGACATGAAGGATGGTAATTTATACCTTCTTGCATTGGCTGTCAGGTGTTGAAGGAGGCTTCTAGGCTGTATGCTGCCAGCTGGGTTCGGGATATTGGTCCTGAACTGCGACCTAATGATTTTAAGGATGAAGAGAGTGAAGATAAACCTGGTAGACCACAGGGCCCGGCTAAAGAGAAAGAACCCTCAACATTAGAGGATCTTGGTAAGTAATGTCAACATTATGCTACCATATCAATCAATGTCATAATTATAACTTAATCAAAAGCGTAGTTGTTTTACATGGTGTATGCATACATATGACTATGAAGATGACTGTTGATGCATAAGAGATCTTTGCTTTTGGTTTGCTGATTTGAGTCACATTTAGTGTCATGTTATATTTATACGCAAACTGGCATAAACAATAATAATTAAATCCATTCAAATATTTTACATGCACCAAATCTGCTGTAAGTACTTGAACTCAGTAGGTTAGAAAGTTACTTTTAAAAGTGGTTTCTATATCCAAACAACTTCGAAACATTATACTTATACTTGCTTCATCATGATTGAAAGTGGTTCATCTTTTTGAGATAATGCAAGGATGATGAAGTAAACCAGTTTGAGCAACAAATATCGTAAGGATGGTAGATATAAAGCAAATAGTTGCGTTATAAGGCAGTTCTTTCTGGCTGGTTTTGTATCTGGATTTACTGTATACTGTCTTTTGCCTGTGTCTCTAAATTCCGTTTACAAATTCGGGTTATGATGGTGCAAACAAATCCATTGTGATAAAAAAAATTTTTATTTTTTATTTTTGGGTTGTTCTCGCAACAGGGTTTTCTCACCGTGTTTGAAATCTTTGAGTTTTACAGTTCAATGGGTTTGAAATCTGATTATATTTAATGTTTTTGTCTGGAAATAAAAACTGATAGCTGTGGCTGCTAGAGGAGGAATGGAGACGTTAAAACCTGCTCTACAGCGTGTCTACATGACAAGAGCTTCTGCATACAAAGATGCTCTTCAAAGTTTTATACATGGGTACCAAGAAGGAATCCAGCAGGTTATGGAGAAAAAGGAAAATTCAAAATCTGAACAGGAAAGTGATAAGCCTGATAAATCTACTTAACATCTTCTGTAAGAGGCAGCATACTTAGGTTTCCTCCTGCACAGCTACTGAGGCAAGTTATTGCTGCACCTATAGACACAAGTTGTCGAGCTTTAGTTTTAGCTCAGTTTTAAGAACATCTGCCATGATCATTCATTTGAGTGTTCAAGAAATGTGAATATAATGGAAATTTGTAGTATATTTCTCTTTTGGACACACCAAACATTATCTAGTTTTTCAGAGTTTTGTACTTACATGTTCCTTTTCTCTTAACATGTGATAGAAGCCGTGTTGACATGCCTCTAGCTGTAGAAAATCCTGATTGTTGGCAGAAGTATCCCACAGAGATGGCTGATGGAGAAATTCTTGAGTGTGGTTGCCGCATTGGCCAGCCCTACACAAGATGCTCTCCGCCTGTTTGGTACTGCCAGCTTCAGTTTCTGTAGCAAGTAGTATGTTAAAGAACACAAACAACAGCCCTTGATTCATGTTCCTCTTCATATTTCTTATTGTTGGTCCTTTTGTGTTTTGCTGGCTTTCGTCCTGGGAGTACCACGCAGCAGATCAAGCTTTATTGTATGCAACTTACGTTTACCTTGGTGCAGAATGCACAAAATATAAAAGTGGTGGGCATAAAAACGGATGAACTGAAATGAAAGGGTGGGCATAAAAACAGATGAACTGTCAACACCAACTGAATCGGACTGAACCGGCCGGCTTGGTTTGGTTTTTAATGAAAACTTTTTTCTAATGAAAATATAACTTCCCAATATTAATTAAAACAACTTTTATAGCAACCACCACTTGGCTTAGGGAATTTTTGGATTCAAGAGAGGAGTAAGAATTTTGTGGGAGGAGGGAGACATTTGTTGCAAATTATCGTAACATCCGTAGAAAAAAAAAGTTATGAACAAAATTCAAAAGAAATACCACAAGCACATGGCTATTAGAACTATTGGAACTATTCTACAAAAGTTATATATATCACCTTTATCTTAAAAAAGAAAAAAAAAGAAAAAATCAGCTTAACAAGATTGCTTTTTACCTGTTTTTTTTCTTTGTATTTATGGAACCATAGTTATGTAATGTTCATGCATACGTGTTAAATATTGAGAAAGATGATAATGGTACATCTTGAATTAAAGTGACGAACAAAAATACTCTAATTTTGTGTTATACATATATATATATATATATTTTAAGTGATCGTCTAAATTACTCCATATTAATCTAATTTACCCATAGCAGAATTCGAAGTTGGGTAAAAAATGCGGACTTATTGGCCTGGCGAACTGGCCTAACCTAACCCACGTCTCCTTCTACATTCCAATATTGGTAAAGGAATAAAACCCTAAAAGCCTTTATTTAATTATCTTTGATATATTCGCCATGATTCATGCCGATGCATGATGCAACGAAACCATCACCATCAATTTCACCATTTCCAAATACACACGTAACATCAAAATACACAGTTAATTTTCGAACACCATTTCTAGAGAGGCAGAGAAAGCTCGATTCGCAAACACCAAATTAAGCAATAAACCGTGCCCAATTCACTTCGAAACTGTATAATCTCAAATTCTCGATCCCCCATACAGATTACTCTCCCTTATGCGGTTAGCTCTCAAGAAATGGCTTCTTCAGAGATAGAGGTGGTGTCATCGGACTCCAAAACCCAGAAAAACCCTACCGAGGTGCCGGTGGTCGACGTCTTCTCCGCTTCTGCTTATGGCGATTTTCAGAAACTGAGAAAGTTTGTCGAACAAGACGGTGCCTCTCTCTCCAACCCTGACGTCCATGGCTACTACGCCCTCCATTGGGCTGCTCTTAATAACTTCCCCGATATAGCTCAGTACATAATTGAGGTATTTATGCCGTTTCTATTTCTGTGAATTTGCTTGTTTTTCTGTGTTGGGTTTGTAAAAGAAGTTGAATTCTGTGGTGGGTTTGTTAGGAAAGATTGAGTTATGCAGTAGGTTTGTGTGAAAATGTTGAATTTTTGTTGTTTTGGGGTAAATTCTGGGATTATGTTTGGTATAAGAGCTGGCTGAGCTTGTTTGTTGTACGTTTGGTATTGGATTGCTGCATTGTGTAGCGCTGTCGGTTTGACTTGGATGAACATATTTTTTATTGATGTTGTCAAAGCATGGTGGCGATGTCAATGCGACTGAGAATATACAACAGACAGCGTTGCACTGGGCAGCTGTGCAGGGTGCAATTGCCGCGGCGGATGTGCTCTTGCAGAATGGAGCTAGGGTTGAAGCTGCTGATGTAAATGGATACCGGGTAATTTTCTCGTTTACTTTCTCTTTTCAAATGCATTTTCTTTTTATTTTTCTTAATTCCCTTTTGGTTGAGTATTGGCCATTTCGAATAAGATAAACCTGGTATTTGATTATGCAAGGATTATGAATTTTTGTTGTTGTTGTAAAAATAATGAGAGAGACCCACATTCCGTGGATATAAACCTGCTTCTTCCTCACTTCTCAACACTACATCACCTCTCCAATCTCAGTTCTTACTTCTTGACTTCCGCCCAAATAAACTGGGACTACCCAACAATTATTTGCCCCAAATCCTCCACAACCATATCTTCTGTTCATCTGAAATGATACATCTCTCTCTACCTCAGAAGAATCTCCAAATTATGGTCCTCTGTGACTTCTTGGAGTTCTAAATGGTCATATCACCAGCCACTGCCTTTGATTTTTTTAAAAGAAATTGAAGAAGCTTGATGGTTGAAGAGCAGAGGAGAGAATTTAGGATGAGGCTGAAAAGGAAATTCCCTGAACGATGCTCATCCTGTGATATCTGTTTTGGTTCCCTATGTCCTGCGCTTTACTCTTCTGACTTGAAGTAGTTCCCAATAGTTTTGTCCTACTCTTCTACACGTGTTTGTGGGAAATGCATGTGTTATATATTTTTTAATTTATTCAGTTCAGGTTTATGTTCATTGATGTTATTTTCTTTTAGAGGACTTTTAACTTTCAGTTGATTGAGATTGAGATCATTTTGTAAGCAATAAACAATATGAACCTTTAGAACCTTGATTCCACCATTGTATTTGGACGGAGATGAAGAATTGAGAGTGGAGAGGTTGGATGGTTTACGTAGGCGAGGAAGGAAGCAGGCTATTCATTGGTCATAAGTCTTTGTCATTAGTTTCACTTAAATTAAGTATTGGCCATTAATGAGATCAAACGACTGAAAATGAAGTCCAGTCTTCAACACAAGTTGCTATGAAGTATATACATATCTAAGAAATTTCTTGTTAACAGCATTGTGGATAACCAGGCCTTTGCACTGCAGGTTGACCGGCACTGTGTTGCCAGACATCCTAGAAATGTTTACTTACTAGACAATGTGGAAAAGAAAAAAGAAGTTTATGTTACCGATGAATCTGGACCAAACAGTCAGGCTAGAACGAAGATGATCAATGGTCCAGATTCACAGTTTGGCAACAATAAGCATCTTATGTTGCCAGAATGCCTAGCAAGAGCATTTTCCGTTATATGCATACACAGACATACACATTCATGGCTATGTTAGTAACAACAAATGTAGGAACTTATTATTGCCTTATCAATGATTACTATATTTAGTATGATTTCTTTTATAAAGCCACTATTATGTTATCATGCATGCAATGGATACGTATTGTGCTGATAGTTCTCTTTTTTCATAACTTGTTTGAATTACTGCAGGCAGCTCACGTTGCTGCTCAATATGGGCAAACATCTTTCTTGAATCACATTGTTGCAAAGTATCATGCTGATTTTGATGCACCTGATAATGAGGGGAGGAGTCCTCTTCATTGGTATGCTAAAAGGCTATTAACTGTGGCATATTGACATGGTTTTCGTGTACGTAGAAATTCTGTGACATTGAAACCATGCTTTTAATCATTCAATTGCTCCAGTATCAACCTGCAGTCTCATGAATTAAATTTGTTCATTCTCAAGTAGTTTTCTGCATATGTGGTAAGGAGTGTATAAATGATTGAACTAGTTCTTTATTGTTTATACTGAAAGGGGGAATAGCTAATTTTTCTGTACCTTTTTGTATGTACACTGTGATAGACACTAGTGGGGCTTTGGTCGGCATTATCTTTTCCAATTATTTTGATTGGTCTATTTTGATCATCGGCTGAGCCTAAAAGTGACAAAATTGTCACATATGATTAGCAAAATTGAAGTCATTGATCAAATTATGATGTTCTTTGCAGCAATCTTACATATCTGGAAACATGAATTTTTTTGTTGTGAGATTCTCTACAGGAAAATTAATCATTATGATACTTTCAACCAGGGCTGCATATAAGGGATTTGCAGATACAGTTAGGTTACTTCTGTTTAGAGATGCAAGCCAAGGGAGACAAGATAAAGAAGGTATACTAAATGTGCATATTCATTGTGTGCTTGTTAGTTTAATAGTACAATTAAATTTCTACCGTAGCCGTTTATGTAATGTGTCAAACTGTCTACGTAAAAGAGAGTGGTTATGCACGTTTAGTGGCGGGTACCAAAAAATGCTACGTTACATGTCAATAGGATTTTATCAACTTGACCCAACTCATCTGGTTTTGGTTGGATTGGAATTTGGATGGTTCCTAATTGCCATAATTTGTACTTTTCTTTTTGAAGTCTGAGCCAAATTACATTTATTATTTTAAATGTTGGCCCGATATACAATGGTTAAGAATTCTGAGCCCAATTTATAGTTTTATAACCCTTTAAAGAAGATTCTAAGGTCAATTGGCCAATTTAACACATGAAAACAAGATCAGCACAGGTAAATAATTATTATTCAATCCAAAGCCCTAATAAATTAAAGAACGGACAAAAATAATAAAACCAGAAACATAAAAGGAGTAGCACCATCACTGCAATTTTTGAAGATAAATCTTATACAATCCAAAGCCTTAGAAAATTGTAGTACAATAAAATGCCAGCAAAAAATTAACAGGAAGAAAAAATGGTGTATGCCTGCATGCACTCGCTAGTGACACATGCTCACATCATTCCTTCATTTTGTGGTTTTTTCTTTTTTAATTGAAAAGAGTTTCAGCCCATGCTTCTATACTCCTTATACTGAATTCTTTTTCAATGGTTAATAAATCTGTCTGCCAATCCTCAAGAGAACCATCAATTCCAATCATGCTTTATGTTAAAAATGAAATTGCAACTTCTCAATGACTCATCGTAACTAGTTGGTTGCTTATTTAGTCTTTTGTTTGATATTTTTCTTTTAATCGTGCTTTTGTTTTTGGGGTTATTTTGGTGGTCTTCTTTGTGGTCTGATGACTTGAGGATCCTATGCTATTAGGTTGTACCCCTTTGCACTGGGCTGCTTTAAGAGGAAATGTAGAGGCTTGCACTGTTCTTGTTTATGCTGGTACTAAGCAGGAATTAATGGTGAAAGACAATGCTGGTTTTACTCCTGTTCAGATTGCATCTGATAAAGGTCATCAGCGTGTCGCTCTTTTCCTTGTACGTAACTTTATATATCTAGCACTCCTGGTAGATTTTTCACAACCAAATCTAAACAGGACTTGAAAATTAGATATGTGAATATAAGGTTCTGCTAGTATGGGGTTGTGTTGTGGGTTCTCATTGACTTTTCCATTGTTGTCATTCACATTTTCTTTTCTTTGTTCGGATTTTTCAGTATAATGTATGGTACATACACAAGGTAAACAAATTGGTTAGTGGTTCTCATGGTCTTTCCATAACACACGCACATGCCTCCCCAAAGGTTGAATTTCCATTCATATTATAGGCTTGTTTCTGGAACAATTGCAGAGAGGTCATATGTATCCTTATATATAAATTCTAGTGATGTGTAGGTTTCTCCTGTGCAATAGAAATGCAAAACATTATTTCAATTGAGTTTAACATTTTATCTTTGAATGGGAAAATTGTATTTTAATTTTTAAAGAGTTGATAACTTAATTTAATGGGAATGATTACAAAGTACTTTATAATTATCATCGGTCATGTGTGGTGCCTAGGATTAAATAGGATTGGATAACTCACTAGATTCAAGGTATGTTGAACCTTGAATTTTGTGAGTTATCCACTCCAATCCAATCCTAGGCACCAAACGTGGCCATAAGGGTTTCAGGTGAAGTAGACTAATTTAAATATAGCTTGGCAACCCCCTTCCAGTGGATTCATTAAAATCAATACTGATTTCTGTAGGAAGGGATCTCAATGAAGCATTGCAGCAGGGGGTATAGTGAGTGGGTTGCTGGGTTTGTAGCACATCTGGGGAATGGTCAAGTCTTGGATGCTGAGCTATGGGGTATATATTGTGGTCTAAGACTCTAAAGTTGGCCTAGGATGTGGGGTTTAAGCAAAGTAATTTTGGAGGCAGATTCTGTTGTGGCTGTTCATCTCGTCTGTCATGATGTGAATAACCTTCAGCCTCTTGGCTCAATTATTTTGGGTTGCCAAGAGATAATGAATGACTGCAAAATAATCACACTTATCGGGAAAGGAATATGGTGGTTGACTGGATGGCTGACTTGGGCTCTAAGGCTGAGTTGGGTCTAAGTCTTTTCCAAGCGCCTACTCCTAGTGTTAGGTCTTTCCTTTTTGAGGATATGATTGGTGTTTGTAGGCCTCAGGCCATAGTTTAGTTTAGTTTTTTGAACTCCTCTTTGAGACTTTACCTCCTTTACCTTGTTGACCTTGCACCCTCCCACACACAAAACAAAAAAAAAAAAAAAAAAAAAAAAAAAAAAAAAAAAAAAAAACTTAAATTTAGTAGAACTGGAGATGAGGGTAGAGGGATGGTAATATACGGTAATGGTGATACTTTCAGGATTTTCAGTTTAGTCCATAAAAACTGAAAACTCAAGAACATTTTTTACCTATAAAAATTAGAGCAAGGTAGATGGAGTGGAGAAGTGCGTCTAGGGTGTTCTGTTGATATGTACATTCAATCTTGCGCAATTATGTGGCCACTTGGTGCTGAAGATAGTAGGCTTGTAATGTAAAGAAAGACTTCATTTCTGATTTAAATTAGAGAAAAAAGAATACATTCTTTACATGATCACAAATATTGCAGAAGAACAAAAGAACATTTGAGCATGTGATAAGGCAAGAGATTGACCATTTGTGGACAGGGTTCGATTCTGGGCTTTAGTTTTCTTGGATTTAGGGACAAGACCTTTTTGCAATTTATTTTATTTTATTTATTTCAGATTGGAATGCAGTTCGTTTTCCTTTATAGTTTACAGTATTGGGTATTGCCAGTTCTGTTGATATTTTTGGTTCAAGTAGAGGGCCTATTCCGTTTTAGCTAGTTGGGTTTCTTGTTCAAAGCTCTATACACTTTCTATTTTTCCAATGAAAGTTTGTCCCCTATAATAATTATAAAAAAAAGTGGCTCCATGATTTATGCTTTTTCTGTACTTCGGTAATGCTCATGGCTAATTCTCCTGTGGCCATTGTTACTGAATTTCTTATAAAAAGGATTATTTTTGTATTTTGTGCAGGCTAACCAGCAGCGGGCTCACAGTAACCGTTGGAGAGACAAACTTTGCAGTGGGAAGATGGCAGATATTGGTTTCGCTCCTATCTTGTTGTGTACAATAATCTTTCAAACAATTCTCTTTATGAACTCGGTCCTCGCAGGTAGTTAAGCTATGATGTTCCAGTTTTCCTTTAGATTGCAGATAGATTTGTGTTCCCTCACCAATCATTCATTACTGACTTCATACTTACTCATGTTAGCTCCTAATCTGACAAAGGTTACTGCTGCTGTTGGCCTTTGGGGATGGGCTGCTATTTCGTTAGCTGTGGGTTCGCTAATTATGTTCTACAGGTGCAGTAGGTAATCCTTTTTCTAGAAGCCATAATTAAATGCCAATTGAAATTTTGTTTTTATCTTTTCCGAAATAGTTATTTTGTCATTGAGCCAGTAAGAAAATTTGAGCTCACATTGATAATTGAACATATGGTTTGGAGAATTTGGTAGTCATTTAGCACTTAGGGTTGTTCTTTCCCAACCACCAGATAACCCCCTGATCCTATTTTGGAGGAACCTAATATCTTTAATACATTTCCAAGTGAGATTACCAGCCTGGCAAAGTTATGCTTTAATGATACATGTCCTTATATGTCTACCGCGGTTCTTCCGTTCTATCTTTTATTCTGATATCATTAAACAATTATCTACCACAATTGGTTGCAGTAAAGATCCAGGTTACATAAAAAGAGCAGGGGAATTCAGCGGTCATACAGACACAGTGGTATGCAATGTTTCTGTTTAGTCTATTACCATTTCTACTGTCAAATAGGAAAGAAAGTTCATTATAAGTAGTTCTCAATGAAAGAACTTCCCGAAGTCAGGTTATGTAGCAGAATTCAACAAGGAAAAAGGTTGTGTAGCAGAAAAACCATAATATCTTTTTTATTGAAGCCATCGATGTCCATAAAACAAAAGGTGGTAGGTATGAAACTTGATTGGAACTTAGATTAGGTTGATAGTTTGAATATGATCTGATGACAACATTATTTTACTCTATGTTTGGTTCACTTTCAACCAGAGAAAATCAAGGAGAGAAAAAAAAAACATAATTTTTTAAGAACAATAGAAAGGTAAAATAACCAGAAGAAAATAAAATGTTGGTAGCTTTTGTTAGTACGGTCAACCTTTTCTTCAAATTTCACATATTTTGTAGAGAACCTTTTCTTCAAATTTCCCTCCCCTATCTTTCTCATCTTCATTACTAACCAAAAGGTGGAAATCAAGGGAATTTACTTATATTATGTTCTTTCCTTCTTTTCCATTGCTAAACCAAATGTGGGGTTAGGTCTCATTTGAGTAACAAACATAATTAACCCAACGAATTTGATGAAGCTTTGCTGATTGAGGAACAATGCTTCTATTGAATTGTAAAAATACAAACAATTTGAATATGCAAAAATTTTAAATATTACTGTCAACCGGAAAAGAGACCAACAATTATAGTTATCGTGCCTAAGCAAAAGAGCATCTATAGTGACAGCAGCCCACCAATCTGCATAAATATAGAAATGTCTATAATAACACTGGGAAGAAACGAAACCAATAGAGGTCCTATATAGCCAGGCGAATGGGCCACTGCAATCGAACTCATAAAACTCCACATCCTTCCCATGAAAATTTCAAAGATCATTCTATTTCTTTCCTACCTCACAGCCATCATTCTGCAATTACATAAGACTTTCATCTTCTTCCCCAAACTCGAAGCTTGATTCTTATTTATTAAGAACAAAAGGATGTGTTATTTTGGAATTAAGTAAGACAAGTCAGTCGCCGTTATATAGTTCAGGCATAACTTAAATGCAATAGGGCATTGAAGGAACCATATAATGCAATAAAAATAGCTGAGACACTACATGCACGAAATTTTGAAACCTGCATATTCAATATGATAAAGAGATTGTTCTCTGTAGTGTTTCGAACACAGCTTCACATGGGGTTTTGTTGATTCTTACTAGTGTAACTCCACTTTCTAATAGCGTACTGACATTTTTCAGGATCGTTTGTTGAATATTGATTTGAACAACAACTCTGTATGGATGGGAAATTGGTCTCAACTTTGTCCCACTTGCAAGGTTAACTTTAATGCCCTAATTGTTTTCAAAGATGATACTAAACATAATAATATTTTTGGATACTTCTTTCTGGTACATATAATTATTGCATGTTTGATTAATATAATATTTTCTCACATTCTTTTGCTTCAGATAATTAGGCCTGTTCGCTCTAAACACTGCCCCACATGTAACCGATGTGTAGAACAGTTTGACCATCATTGTCCATGGATATCTAATTGTGTTGGCAAGGTAAGTAGTGCTAACTTCTTATCTTAGTTCAAGTCAATGTAACTTTGTTATGGATTCTTGAGGTCCCATTAGCTTCACTACCTCGCCATTATGCTTCTTGCAGAGAAACAAGCGAGATTTTTTTATTTTTATCTGCATGGGAACTTTGACGTCGATCATTTCTGCTGCCGTTACAGTTCAAAGTATGTGGGTAGCAGACATTATAAGATTTGCGATGCTTATTTTATTTGTGACTAGATGACAGCTGTCTTTTCATGATGCAGGGATTTGGAGTTCAATGCCAGCATGGAGAACTGAAGAAACATGGATTCATCATGTGGTAGTTCAACATCCTAGTGTTGTTGCTTTTCTGTTTTTGGACGTTATTATTTTGGTTGCTGCTACAACTCTGACGGTGGCACAGGCAACTCAGGTAATTGATGGAATCCTCACTACCTATATATTAACTTAATATAGTGAAGACAATATGCGGTCCTTGGAAAAAAATTGAACGTTGCATCTTCTGATATGGGAAGTATACACTTTCTTGGATGGGAAACATACACTCCTTTTCCTCTCTAAATGGATTAACTAGTATGCTGTTGCAGTCAAGGATCTGATTCAGTTTGTATGGTCTATAATTTGGAAGAATATATATATACCTCTTTTTCCGTCTTTATTGGGTATTTTTTGTTTGTTTTTTGGCGGGATAAAGTAGCCATTAAAGAACCTGTCTAAATAATGGGAAAAGAATGTGGGAGCGGATACCAATGGACAAGTAAGTTTAGAGGAGCAGAATTGGACTGCCTTAATTACAAGCTTACATATTAAGTAATTTGTAGGAAAGTGAAGGTACCATACATGTTCTTGAGTTGCGTCCCTTTTAGCATCATTTTAGCGAATGCTAACTAGAGAAATGAAAATGGCTGACATGGATTAATGAATCAATTGGATGATGCAAAATATGGCTCCACATCTCTTTTAGGTTTAAAGTTAATTTTCCTTGCTTTCTTGTTCCTCGACTTTGGTATGTTTTGATTTTTGATCCCTTCATAAGTCAGTGAATTTATACAAGATGTATTTACAATTATCATCTTTTAAACTCCTTCAAAGTAGTAAGTATATATAGATAACGTAGTTTTCATATCTGTGAATCAGATAGCTCGAAATATCACCACCAATGAATTGGCGAATGCTATTCGTTATGGGTATCTTCGTGGTCCAGATGGGCGGTTCCGGAACCCATATAACCATGGGTGCAGGAAGAATTGTGCTGATTTTCTCATTCAGGGCCACACAGATGATGATGAAATTGCTTGGCCTCCATTGCAGCAGGTTACCAGTTAGCATTATGTGTACTCCAGTGTCTTAGGCCATGGATGTTGCTGGGAATTCCGTCTGTACCTGCTTGTACTTTTTCCCACCATTTGTTACCCAATTTTTATACATAAATCCCTGGTCATTTTACTGGTACATGCTCCATTTTCAGTTAGCCATATGTAAAATTGAAAAAAAATGAAATGGAAGAGAAATGAAATCTTTTTATTCTGTAATTGTGTACCTTTTCATAATTCAAGAAGCAGCCTCTCTGTACGTTTCTGTTACGTTCAACAAAAAAAAGAAAAAAGGTAATGGGGTTTTTGGATACACATCTATATGGTGATCCTAGTGTTGTACCAGGTCCTGTCTGGACTAGCCCTCCCCCAGCTTTGGTCAAGCTCAATTGTGATGGTGCATGGGTGGCTCAAACAGGCTGTGCGGGGGGTGGGGTTTGGGGGTGTTGGTTACGGGATGGCATAGGTTGTTTTATTAGGGTGGGAGGCACTAGGGATATGCGTTGGTGGAGGCAGAGGCAGTACAGGAAGCTTTGACCCGATGCTTGGAGTGTGGGTATGATAAGGTGGCGGTGGAATCAGATTCACTTAGTTTGATGAACATGGCAAACCATGAGGTCGCCATGGACTTGGAGATTGAAGGGATTTTATTCGATATCTAGTGTTTGATTCAACATTATCACAAGGTGGAGTTTATGTATGCTCCGAGAAAATGTAACCAAGCTGCTCATTTGGTGACAGCCCATGTTTCTAGAATTGGTGGTAGGCACAGCTGGGAACTTGTTTGTCCTGAGTGGCTGTTTAATTGCCTAGCCCAAGATGTAAACTGTTTGTTCGCATTTAATAAATTTTCTCTAAAAAAAAAAAAAAAAAACAAATTTAAATATTTAATATAAAAAAAACATCAAATTTAATTTTGATAGCTGATATGGCAATCTGCATTATTGTAAAACTCTTTATTCAACCAAGATGTCAAATATAAATTTTATTTTATTATTTTTAAAGGCAAGTGGGTTCGGTATTTAAGAATAAAATATTAAATAGGGTTAAAAACTATACATGGGAGAGGAGAGAAGGAAGCGGGCTCAGCATTAAAATAATAATAAAAAGAAAAAGACATCTCAACATGCGGGCGTCATTTTTGACAACAAAAGTGAAGGATGTCAATCCAGCTAGGGTTTGGCATCATGGTTGGAAGGCTTAAAATGTCGTTTTTTTGGGTTAAAACTTGCCACGTTGGAATTGGCATTTCGGTTGAAGATGCTCTTAGTTAAAAATATCGACTCTGCCAAATTATATTAGCATATTAGTATTAAATAGGGTTAATTGGTGATTTGCCCCCTGAACTTGTACATAGGTTTCGATTTACCCCCTATCATTTTCAGAAAATTAAGGACCCAAACTAATTTTTTTCACCAATTTGTTTCTAGACGTCAAAATCTACCACTTCTCATCCATCCTGCCGTCAAGTTGGAGGTTACTTTTGTCATTTCGCGTCTCGTCCAAAATACCAACTTGATGGCAGAATGGATGAGAAGTGGCAGATTTTGACGTTGACGGATAAATTGGAGAAAAAAATTAGTTCAAGTCCTTAATTTTCTAAAAAAAAAGGGTAAGGGGTAAAACGAAACTTAGGTATAAATTCAAGGGGCAAATCACCAGTTAAGCTTATATTTTATTTAGGTATGTGAGTTTATGGTCTCTTTTGAGATACTATTGTTTTAATAACATTGCGGATTGGCTATTGCTAAGTCGTAAATGGGTGTTTGTACTGAAAAGCATAAAGATTCACATTACGAATCAATACACGTTAAGGTTCGCATTTTTACTGGGAAGAAAGTGGAAGAACCACTAACGATGTTTGAAATCTGGGCAGCATCAATGATCTTCACATTGAACTCTTGAATCAGATACACAATCAAATTTGAGAGCTACCCTCCAGTTGCAAGTGTCAAGCCTGCCAAAGCCCCTATATCATTTTCAGCCCCTATCCCAAATATAAGACACTCCTCTCCAGAACATCAATGAATTGCCAAAGTGATAGCTAGGAATACAAAGTAAATAAATTCAATTATCATAGATAAAGGGAAAAATTCAAATCTAAAATATAGGCCGAGCAACGCATACATATCTGAATAAGAATTTAAAGCCATTAACTACATATTCATACAATCCCAGCATGATGAAAAAAGGAAAGGATTTGGGATCAATTAATGTCTAAATTAGAATTGACATGAATTCAGACCCGAACCTTCATAGTTCACATGCGAGAAACCTTCAATGTGTTATAACCAAAATGATACAATATAACCCTTAATAAATGCAATGTAATGCACAGCTGCATTGGGTTGACCTCCAATTGCGCCTTTGCATCAGTGAACAGAGGTTTGCATGGGATCTTTTTGTTGAAACAGAGGTTCTCCTACTGTCCCATACAAATACAACAGAAATCAAATTAAACAGAATTAATGCCAGAAATTAAGGATTCAAGTGACAAGGCATTTTCACCTCCTACCATACGCACAAACCACTGAAATGCCTTCATGGTCGTCAAAGGTGCAGCAGTTTCAAATTTCATTGTCCACAGATGCATATTAATTTCACAGTGATCCTTTTATCAACGGCAACAAAGCAGGATCCACTTCATCTTTCGACAGTAAATTAACTATCAACTCTGTTGTTGATGCATCTGCAGAAAAACCCTTCTCTACCATTGTTTGAATAAGTACCATCGCCCTTGATGTCTGTTTATTATGGATGAACCCTCGGACAATTGTGTTATAGGTGCAATCATCTGGAGAACAGCCTCTCTCTTCCATTTGGATAAGAAACTTTTCTGCTTCACTTGTAAGGCCCGTGATACAGAGTCCATTAATCATTATAGTGTATGTCCTCACATCAGGTTGAAGTCCTTTTGATGATAAACCACAAAAGAGATCCCTTGCAGATTCAATTTTTCCAGTTATGCACAAACCTTCAATAAGAATACTGTAAATCACAATATCAATATCCAACTTCTTCGCTTCCATCTCTCCAAACAATTGCATTGCCCTAGAAAGTTGTTGGTTTTTACACGGGCCATCCAGTAAAATAGAATAAGTTTGAACATTTGGAAGCTGGCCACAAGCTTGCATCTCGGAGAACAACTTTTGTGCATCATCTATTATACCCACTTTGCAAAAACCGTCCGCAAGAGTGTTATAAGTAATGGTATTTGCAACCAGTCCCTTATGAGACATCCAGAAAAAGCATCATGGCCTGATCTATATTTTTAAGCTTACAATATCCATTTATCAATGTGTTATAACAAACAACAATAAACATCTAGCCCTTGCTAAGCATTAGTTCAAAAACATTTTGTGCCTTGCCTATTTCTCCTCGCAAACAGTAACCATCCATGAGTGAAGTGTACGTAACTGTATTAGGATCAATATCTCTTTGAATCAGCATCTCAACCACGCCTTCTGCTTCCACGACCATTCCCTCCTTACAAAGTGTGTCTACCAAGACGCTGAACGTGAACACATCTGGAAAGATATTTTTACTCACCATTTCATTCAACAACCTTGTAGCTTCTTTCCACTTGCCTAATTTGCAAACTCCATGAATCAAGGATGTATAGGTAATGACATTTGGCGCAATACCCTTGCAAATCATTTATGAGAAGAGGTTTAATGCATCATCAACTAGTGTATCCTTACAAAGATGATTGTGTTATAGACAACTAGGTTAGGCTTGCAAGGCCCTTCCTCCATCTTCCTAAGCAATTGAATAGCTGCACTGTTGTTATCTTTCATGCAAAAGCCCCTTATTATTGTGCCATAAGTAACCACATTAGGCTGATAATTACCTCCAGCAATCATTTTGTTGAAAATTCCTGCCGCCTCCGCCACTCTATTCTCAAGAAGAAAGCCGTTGATCAGAGAGTTGAAGGTAAAGAAAAGACATCTGGTTCAAGACCAAGTTTGAAGAAATTTCCCAATACAGATAAACTAAACCCCATTTGGTTTAGATGACAATAACAATTTATGAGAATGTTTAGAATACAAACATCAGGTCCAATTCCCGACATATCCATTTGGTTATACAATGAAATTACGGCCGAATAATGTTTCAATTTCGCAACTTGACCCAATATTTGAGTGAAACAAACAACTGAAGGCGGAGGTCGCATCTGAAGCATTCTATCAAACACATTGAAAGCATCCTGAACAGTTGTGATTTTGGGTGAGTTTCTCACTGGCTGCTCTAGTTGGGTTCTTGTAGATTTGATTTGTTTAGAAGGTTGAGAGTGAAGGAAAGCAAAGTAATCGTTGGCGAAAATAACAACAGCGCAGTTAGAGTGAGGACAAGGCATACCTCTCCATCTCCTGCTGGTGCAATAAGAAGAAGAAGAAGCAGCTATATTCCGCATCATCATCTTCAGCATCCCAGTGAGTCAGTGAGTCTCAGCCAACCTTCAACATTTGGGAAGCGAGACCGAATCTCGAAAGGGAGCGGCGGAGCTCTCAAGTGCGTGGATGATGATCCAGTCGACAAAAGCTTTGTTTCGATGAGTTTCGGATTAGATTTCCTTTCTAATTGCGTTTAGGCAACAACGAGAACAATGCTATGTCAGGAAAGGGCTGGGGTTTTCCTTTTTTCGTCATTTTTACAAAAAAATTATTTCAGTGGGTTAATTGTTACCAATGAATTAAATAGAGAGGGTTTCGGAATTATCTCGAGTCCTCATCAATATTTTTAATTTGGTATACTGGTGATTTACTCCATGAAATTGTACTTAACTTTTGATTTGCCCATATTTTTTTGTATAAAAAATTAAGGATATGAACTCTTTTATTTTTTCTCCAATTTTCCCCTATCGTCTAAATTCTCAGCATTTTATCCAATTTTCCCCTACTCTTTCCAGCTAAATTTCCACTACTACATGAACTAGTCCTCCAAAGCCCAAACCCATTAAATAGAAATTGAAGTTTCAAAGTATTAGAGCAAGAAAACTTGAGAGGGAGAGAGAGGAGTATTATTTCAATTTTCATTAATTTAATTTAATTTTTAATTTTTAATTATTTTTAACGTACAAAATGACCATTTTGCCCTCATATTTAATAGTAAATTGGATGAAATGTTGCAGATTTAGACGGTAGGGGGGAAATTGGCGAAAAAAAAAAGGTTCATAACCTTAATTTTCTACAAAAAAAGGATATGAGGTAAATCAAAAGTTAGGTACAAGTTCAGGGGGCAAATCACTAGTATACCCGTATTAAATAACGGTACTACATAAGACTTCAACAAATTAACAGCAAAAAATTTCATGTTTGTATCAAGAAATTAAGTATATACTTGAGAGTAAGATGGCTGGCTGGTCACACTATGATTCACTAATTAAAAAGGTTCTACATTCTTCATTTACATAAGGGGACAAAATTTCTCCCTCCTTGAACAAAAAAATGTCCAAATTGTAGAAATTGTCCGCTTTACAAAATTGTATTTATCACATTGTTCATGCAATTGCTCTCCTCCATCACCCCTCACAATGAATTCAAGTGAGAAATGAGATAAAGGAAGGCATCTTATCTGCAGGGAATTGTTAGACCACCCATTGGATGATCGAATCCGAATTCTTCTTCACCCTCACTTAGCAACTCTTGAAATGCAGGCTGGTTGAGGAATGATATTGGAACGACGAATCGCTGCTTTTCACTCTCCCCAACATAAACTGCAAATTACCCTTTTGAGACTTCCGCTAGATTAGTTGAAGCTCCTCTGTTTGTATGCCGAATAAGCTTCTTCGCAGGAATTACAGCGGGCAGACGGTAACCCATTGTTGAGAATCTGGAGCAGAAAGACTAGAAAATTAATCAAGTTTGTAAGTTGTTCTAGATCGTAAAGAAGATGCAAAACAAGGAAAGCTATGTATTTGATAATTTGTAGTAGACTTAATCTGGTGGTCATAAACCCAGCCATGTGGTATATATAGGTGAAAGGTCATGAACTTCGCCTTTGTGGAAGGAAACATATGGTGAAGACAAATACACCCTGGATGGGGTATAGAAGGGAACAAAGGTTTATGAGGGATCACATGGCTTTGTCTTCCAAATATCATCAAGCATTTAGGCAAACTAGGTGGAGCAAATAAACTGTTTCTCTTTCCATCATCTCTTTTCATTTTAAGTGGTGAGCAACTGTTAAGCAAGATATGATTCAACAGATATGAAGTTCCAAAAGGATTTAATTATTTTAGTCCATGTGATTTTCCATGAGCTATTGGGTCCAAAAGAAACTAGGACAATAGAAAGGAGATAGCTTTATATAGCTCTCCTGTGCTAACAGTTCTTAACAGATTTTGTAACTGAACTAAGTGGCTCATAGCTCGCAACCTAATCTATAATTTATAGTCTTCTGCTTATCTTGTATTTGTATTGTATCTGACCACAAAGCACTATCTACCTTGATCAAGGGCATGTACATGGCTTCAACAGAAGAAGCACGTATAAGTTCAACAGGTGAGAAGAATAATATTGAGATAGCTCTGACTCAACTCAAGTTCAGATACTAGAGTCCCACATGGAAAAAAAGTTGAAAGATATAAATCCTTATAAGTACTTAGTCCAAGCATTGTAATTGCCGAGCCTTGTAGCGTGGGTTTGTAACTAAGCAGGGCATTAAAGTGATTGGGTATGATGGAGTCCAAGCCGGGTGGACGAGGTGGTCTTCATCTTGTCACCAACTATGTGGGTGGTGAAGTCCACAACATTAAGCATGCCCTAAGCCCTGAGGATACAAGGGTACCTCACACTCAAGGGGGTGGGTGGCAATATCAAAATTGGGAATTAAAATGATGTGACCTGGGGAGTGAAGGGAAAAACAGTTTCTAATTGGCCTGACCCCGAAGATGTAGATACCTCGCCCTAGCGTGCTCTTGGCTTGACCCGTCATCCCACAATCACTTTTTAAACCATCACGAAAACTATAAGCCACACTACTCAAAATCCAAAAAAGGAATTGTTTTATTTTGTTTTTTTTTTCTTTCTGTAAAATCCAGTCTGATCAAGAGGTGAGTCTCTGAGGTCTAATAGAATCACAGAAACCAAATTGATTCTTGATTATTATTCACTGAATGATTACGATAGATACAGTACTGGAGGTCTACTGGAATCACAAAAAAATCATAATTCCCTTAATGTGTCCCAAATGTTGTCTTGGATATGTCATCCGGATGCCTTATGTTGAAGCGATTGGATGTATGGACTATACGAGTTCAAATAAGGTTATGATTTTTCTTCAGATTTTAGTTAAAAAAATATTGGCTGTGCCATATTATCATAGCATATTAGCATTAAATATCGGGTACTGCATAAGACTTCAAAAAAGCAAAAAAATTCACACGTTTACTTTATTTTGTATCAAGAAATTGAGTATATACTTGAGAGAAGGACGGCTGGTTGGTGATGTTCAAAAAAAGAAGAAGAAAAAAGATGGCTGGTTGGTCACAAGAGCATCATGCTGTTAAGAATCTATGAGTCCAATTAAAAGTAGCTACATTCTTCATTTACATAAGGGGACAATATTTCTCCCTCCCCGAGCCCAAAAAAAAAGTACAAAATGTAGAAATTGTCCCCTTTACAAAATTGTAACAATCACATTGTTCATGTAATTGCACTCCATCATCCCTCATAATGAATTCAAGTGAGAAATGAGATCAAGGAAGGCATCTTGTCTGCAGGGAATTGTTAGACCACCCGTTGGATGATCGAATCTGAATTCTTCTTCAGCCTCACTTAGCAACTCTTGAAATGCAGGCTGGTTCAGGAATGGTATAGGAACGATGAATCGCTGCTTTGTACTCTCCCCAACATAAACTGCAAAATACCCTTTTGAGACATCCGCTAGATTAGTTGAAGCTCCTTTGTTTGTATTTGAAAAAGATCGCTAAAGAAGCTTCTTCGCAGGAATTACAGTAGGCAGATGGAAACCCATTGCTGTAAATCTCAGAGCAGAAAGACTAGTAAATGATAAAATATGAAAACTATGAGAGAATATTTGTTTGTGGGAATTTTCTATGTATTCTTCTCCTTGTAGGAGGTCATATTGATAATACAATGAAACCTGAATGAACAAGTAAATAATAAATTTCTAAATCTATTTACAGTAGGAAATCAGGAATTAAAGTAAATCAATTACAATTATAATAGGAGTTCTTGGTGTGTAAGGAAATTAAATCAATATTCACAAGTCACGCCAACACTCCCCCTCACATTGGTGCATAGATGTTGACAATGCCTAACTGATCCAATGAATTGTGGAATGCTTTACTGGAAATTGCATTTGTCAAAATATCCGCCAATTGATCCTCGGATTTCACAAAAGGAAACTGAAACACTTTAGACTCAAGTTTCTGTTTGATGAAGTGTCGATCCACCTCAACATGTTTAGTACGATCATGCTGAACCGGATTCTGTGCAATAGCTATAGCAGCCTTGTTGTCACAAAAGAGATTTATTGTGGATATAGGTTTATACCCAAGTTCAGTAAGCAACTTTCTTAACCAAAGAAGTTCACAAATCCCTTTAGTCATGCCTCTGAACTCGGCTTCTGCACTAGATAAAGTTACTACATTCTGTTTCTTGCTCCTCCATGTCACTAAATTACCTCCCATGAATGTGAAGTAACCCGATGTGGATTTTCTATCTGTTACATTACCTGCCCAATCTGCATATGAATAACCATCAATATTTAGATGACCATGCTTTAAGAACATAAGTCATTTTCCAGGTGCAGACTTCAAATATCTAAGTATCCGAAGAACAGAATTCATGTGGTCTTCACTTGGAGAGTGCATAAATTGACTGACAACGCTTACCGCATAAGCAATGTCTGGTCGATTATGTGACAAATAGATCAATCTTCCCACTAACCTTTGGTATCTTTCTTTGTTAGTTGGAACTTGATATGGATATTCTCCAAGATGATGATTCTGAACAATAGGAGTGTCCGCAGGTTTGCAATCTAGCATTCCTGTGTCTGTCAACAAGTCCAAGACATATTTCATTTGAGAGAGAAATATGTCTTGTTGCGATCGAGCCACCTCAATTCCTAAGAAATACTTGAGTCCACCTACATCTTTCATCTCAAAAACAGTAGCCAAATAGTCTTGTAGTTGTGATATTTCATGTTTATCATTCCCAGTAATAATCATATCACCAACATAGATTATTAATGCTGTTACCTTCCCTTTCCGATGTTTCAAGAACAGAGTATGATATGAGTTGCATTGTTCAAAACCATTGTTCTTCATTGCCATGGTGAACCATCCAAACCATGCACATGGTGACTGTTTCAATCCATACAATTCTTTTCGTAACCTGCAAACTGTTCTAGTATGAGTAGTATTATATCCAAGAGGAATGTCCATGTACACCTCCTCCGTGAGTTCGCCATGTAGAAAAGCATTCTTTACATCAAACTGGTGTAGTGGCCAATCCAAATTAGCTGCAAGGGACAATAAGATTCTGACGGTGTTTAACTTTGCAACTGGAGCAAAGGTTTCTTCATAATCTATACCATAGGTCTGTGTGTACCCTTTTGCCACAAGTCTTGCCTTGTATCGCTCGATAGATCCATCTGCATTGTGTTTTATAGTAAACACCCATCTACATCCGATAGTTCTTTTTCCTCGTGGTATAGTCTCCAATGTCTAAGTCTGATTTTTCTCAAGAGCTTTCATCTCCTCTTTTATAACTTGGACCCACTTAGGATCTTTCAATGCTTCAGAGACCTTAGTTGGAATATGGATAGCAAACAACTGATGCACAAAAGCCTTGAGTGGTTCAGACAGCTTCTCAGTGGATACATGATTTGCAATTGGATACTTGGATGTTTTGCCAATATCAGGTGAATAACGGTTTGGTGGCTTCCCACGATTTTGCCTGAAAGGTAATTGATATCCTATAGTTTTATCCTCTAAATGCACAAGTCTAGTAGGAGTAGTTACCTCAAGGATATTCTCAGGAAATTGGTCTGTTGGTACTGTTGAGTTAGAAGGGGGGTCTTCATCTTGTTGTTATGTATTGTTTGTAGGTGTGAGACTCGGAACAGAAATATCTTCGCATGGATCAGGTGGGTCAGACAATTGATTGCTATGAATGGGTGATTGATCGCTTTTTGGTAGAGAGTAATCTCGTGCTCCAGACTTGGGACGATCGATCATTTCTGTACAGAGGAGAATTTCTTCGTTTTTCAAGTTGCTCGAATTTTGCTCTTCACTTTGTAGCTCCCCCTGAAGCGTAGAATTGGATGATGGGTTATGGAAGAACAACTCAGATTCTAGAAAGGTCACATCCAAAGTGACATAGGTACGTCGGGTAATAGGGTGATAACACCGGTAGCCTTTCTGAAGAGTGGCATAACCCACAAAAACACAACGAAGTGCATAGGGGTCAAGTTTGCTACATTGATTTTTGTGGAGATGAACGAAAGCCACACATCCAAAGATTCAAGGTGTGAGTACCAAAACAAAAGGCAGAGGTCTGTGTTGCACAAGCACCTGTAAGGGAATTTTAAAGGTCAATACACCAGAAGGCATGCGGCTGATCAGGTGAACTGTGGTGACAATAGCATCATCCCAGTGATGGCGAGGAACATGAGCGCCAATTAGAAGTGATAAGGCGGTTTCAAGAAGATGACGATTCTTTCGTTTAGCAACACCATTTTGTTGCGGTGTCTGAGGACAAGTCGTCTCATGGATAATTTTATGTTGTTGGAAGTAAGTTTGAAAGTTGTGATTGACAAATTCTTCACCATTGTTTGAGCGAAGAATCTGGATTTGAGCATTAAACTGAGTTTTCATTTGTTTGTGGAAGGACTGAAAACGGGAAAACATTTCATTTTTATTCTTCAGCAAATAAAGCCATGTCATCCGTGTATAATCATCTACGAATGTGACAAACCATCGAACACCAGAAGGAGCAGTGATAGGTAAAGGTCCCCAGACATCAGAGTGAATTAATGTAAATGGAGTAGTACACTTGTTCGTACTCAACGGGTGGGGCACACGGTGACTCTTGGCCAAAATACAAGTATCGCATGTGAAGTCAGAGTCCTTGAAACTTGAGAATAAATATGGTATAAGATGCTTCATATAACTAAAAGAAGGATGTCCCAATCGACGGTGCCATAACCAGATTTGCTGTTGTTTGTTATCAAAGGGATGCATCACATTGTTAGCCACGCCGGGATTGAAGTCATCTACATAATATAGCCCTCATCTCTTAGTACCATGACCAAGAATCTCCTTAGTGTAAATATCCTGAAGCAAACAAAAACTCGAGTAAATAAGTACACAATAATTCAATTGTTCAGTAAGCTGACTAACTGACAACAATTTATTGGATAAAGATGGAACAAGTAAAGTATTAGACAGTGAGAGAGAGAATGAGAGTTCAACAGTGCCAGCTCCTGTCACAGGATAAGTAACTCCATTGACATTTGCAATACAAGTTTGTCGAGGTTGTGTAGTATTCAGAAAATCATGAGGATCAAACGTTATATGATCAGTTCCACCGGAATCAATTATCCAGCCCATGAAATCAATCTTAGTGGAATTATGGAATCCATAACCAGTACCATTACTGGTCGTATTGCGTTGTCCTCGATCTTTAAGAGTAGCCTACCAATCGAGGTAGCCATACAATTTAAAACAAGTTTCACGAGTGTGTCTCGGATCACCACAATATGAGCAATATGGTCCATGTGTTGGGGTCGTTAGTCAAGAAGTCATAATCTGTGCAGCGGAAGATGCATAGGATACAAGTTTAGTAGGAATTCAGATCGGGATCTGAGCCTGAGTCGAGGCCGGAGTCGGAGTCAAAGTCGGGATTGGGGTCTGAATCAGAGACAAATTTGGGGTCGGGGTCGGGGTCATAATCGGAGTGGGGGTCGGGGTCATTGTCGGAGTCGGAGTTGGGGTCGTCGTTGTCATAGTCGAGGTCGGGGTCGGGGTTGTCAAAATAGGATCCTGATTCAGGATCAGATTCGGGGCCAAAGTTTGCATATGTAGGAGCTGAGCCATCTGGGCACTCAACTCGGCTATGGTTGGTTGAGAAGGAGTCGGTGGTGCTACCTCTATGAGGGATTAAAAAATCATCAACCCCCATAGCAGCGGTGGGGGTTTGAAACTAGAGTTAACAATTCCAAGATCGCCGCTTTGATACCATGTTAAAATATGAAAGCTATGAGAGAATATTTGTCTGTGGGAATTTTCTGTGTATTCTTCTCCTTGTAGGAGGTCATATTTATAATACAATATAACATGAATGGGCAAGTAAATAATAAATTCCTAAATCTATTTATAGTAGAAAATCATGAATTAAAGTAAATCAATTACAATTATAATAGGAATTCTTGGTGTGTAAGGAAAGTAAGTCAATATCCACAAGTCACGTCAACAGTAAAATCTTGAAGAAGATCACAAGAAGATGGAAAACAAGGAAAACTATATAGTACTTAATAATTTGTAGTAGATGTAATTTGGTGGCCACAAACCCAGTCATATGGTTTATGTAGTGGAAAGGTCATGGAGGATAGCCTCTGGATGGGGTATAGAAGGGAACAAGGGTTTATGAAGGATCACATGGTTCTGTCTGCCAAATATCATCAAGCATTTAGGCAAACTATGTAGAGCAAATTAGGCAAGATGTGAGTCAACAGATAGGAAGTCTCAATCAGTGCCAAGGTCTTGGTTATGACATGGATGACAGAGCCATGTGAACTTTACAATCCTAGTGTCTCTTGCCAAGACCCACTTAATTGGCCTAAAGACCATTCATTCAGTGCAAATTGCCTCATCACCAATCATTTTAGATAACAGATGGTTTTCAGCATACACCTTTATCTATATATGTATTTAGGAGTAAATCAACACGAGTTTACTAGTTCCTAGCTCCCCAAAAAAGCTTTCTCTGTTTCACAATTCGACTGAAATCTTCACAACGTTTTCTTGTTGAGAAATTTTAAACCATGGGTTTCCGGTTGCATGGTATTGTACATTTTAAGAAAAATCAAGCACCTTTAAAGGCTTTGGACGTTCCTAAAGGCTATTTTGCAGTGTATGTTGGGGACAACCAGAATAAGCGGTTTGTGAAGCCGCTATCATACTTGAACCAACCTTTGTTCCAAGATTTGTTAAGTCGAGCTGAAGAGGAATTTGGATATGATCATCCAATGGGTGCTATGCTATCACAATTCCCTGCAGCAAAGATTCCTTCCTTGATGTCATTTCTCGTTTTGGTACATGAATAGAGGCTAACATTTCCATGTCTATAAACACAATTTTGACACCAAGTGAATGGTTGCGTCAGTACCAGAGTCTAAGGGAGACGCAGGGTGCGCCAGGAATTTCCCAAAAGGAGGTCTCCATGCTTTATGAGGGGGTATCCAGGTTCCTATCTGTTTCCTAAGGGAAGCAGGATAGTCACACAGTTGCCCATAAGGAGCGTCCTAAAGGAGACGCATGGCGACGGTTGGAAGCCTCCTATGGGAGACGTAACCCGCAAAGAAGCGTCCTCAGGGAGACGCAGGGTGCACCAGGAATTTCCTAAGGGAGGTCTCCATGCTTCCTAAGGGAGGTATCCAGGTTCCTATCCATTTCCTAAAGGGGGTAGGATAGTCATGCAGTTGCTCATAAGCAGCATCCTTCGGGAGACGCATGACAACGACCAAAGCATCCTACAGGATGTGCAAAACATGCCCAGAGTCCCTCAAGGGGGACACTGACACTTGTCAACTTCTTAAGGGAAAAACATCCTACGGGATATGTAGAGTACGCCCTGAGTCCCTTAAGGGGGACCCTGGTACACATGAATCTCCAAAGGGAGATGTGCAATCAAAATAGAGGCCAGTTACTCAAGCAGTTCACAAGTCAATATGCAAGTTACAATTGAGAAAAAGATAACTGAAATTTCCATTGCAAGCTGACCAACCGGCCAAGTTCAACAAAAGGAAGATGTTCGAACAAAACCAATTATTCTAAATAGGACAACAAACTACAAAAGCTGAAAAGAAATAAAGAAGTCTGCATCTACTCCGAGATGCCGGCAAGAGGCCCTTGATTTGCAGCCTCTTCGACATCCACCTGATCAGCCATGCCTTTAGCAGCTCCATATGCCTGCTCCCCGACATTTGCTGTCATCTCATCTACCGCGTCCTCCCCTGCTCCATCCTCTCCAGCTGCTTGCTCTTCAGTTGCTCCTTGCACAGGGAATAAGTTGGGTAGAGCGTCTCAATGTCTACATCGACAATTGCATAAAAGGGAGTAGTCCTATCCGCATAGTGCATGTAGCCTAGCTTGTATGCATGCATGGTAGCTTCGAACTTGGATTCCTTAGCAGACTTTCGATACGCGCGAAATCTAGCTAGAAGCTTGTCATAGCTAAGAGAGATGTTAGCATTCTTGCGCTCAAGACGAAAGTATGCATCTTTTCTACTAACCAAGTCAGCAGCAGAAGAAGGGGCAACAACAGACGAATTTCGGATAGTTTCAATAGCAAAAGCTACTCCTTTTTGAAATAGATGAAATGTTGCTTCCCTTTGTTTTTCCAAGGAAAGACTAGAGAAAGTACAAAGATCGCCAACCTGATGGATTTGATCAACCAGCTCAACAGAAGTGGATTGGCTTGACAGAAAGTTCGTCTTGAGTAGATCAGACATGCCCGCATCTCCGACAGGATTGAACTTGTCCACCTCAGGGTTAGCCGTTAGCAGATGACTCTCTTGTCTTCTTAGCCTCTCCAACCTCACCTCCAAATGAGTCAATAACGCTGAATCAACTCCACACTTGACTGCCCCTGATTCAGCAGCTAGATCGTGAGCAGACCTCCCAGTTCGATCTCCATCCTTCGACTGATGCAGGCGACCCGAACTTCAAAGAGGAACATCTGCACCTCTTTCCCTCTCAGTAAGTGAACTAGATCGTGCATGGACTATTTCACAGAGCAGATCATGGTCTTCAAGTTTGTTAGCAGGAGACTTGAGTAGAACATCTCGAGCACTGCGCATACCACCAACCTTTCTGCTATCTGTACTAGCGAGATGCTTAACCTTAGCAGATGAAGGAGTAGCTCCTACTTATGTCTTCTTAGCAGAAGGGAGCCTTGGTTTCTTCCTCAACGGAGATACATCCTTCGCTTGCGAATCCGCAGCTCCATTTCTTGAAGACTTAACATCAACCTTCCTTTTTGAGGAGGGGTTCGGTAGAACACTCCTCCTGTTCTGCAAGCAGATCATCCAAGTCTAGAACGTTCTACTTCCATCTCTCAACACCTTGGGCAGGGGGCAGACCATCAACCTCCCCCCGAGGCCCGCAACGCATGAGGCCCAGCATGCTCCAGCCCAGACCTGCGATGGATAAACAACAGCCGGTCCACTTGTGCGCACCTGCTCCATCACAGCTGCCGCCCACTACCAACCGTCGCCTGTCACGACAACAACTAGCCGGGCTTCCCCCACAGCCCACAAAAAAGAAGAAAAAGAATTATAGGTGCTCGACTTACCTTGGAATGCACGACGACTCCTCTCTTCGACAAGCATGACAAATTCTCCAATTTCTCTCTCAAGCTAGAAAGTAGAGAATTTAAGTTTGTGATGTGAAGAAGAGTGAAGAGAAGCCCTGCATTTACACAGGTTGGGCATCCTAGGTCAAGAAGGAATCACAAGCCCATTCCTACTAGGAACCCAACTCCAAGAACAGTCAAAAGCCCACTCCAATTGGGAACCCAATCTACAAAAGGAGTCCAACTCACTGAAAGAAGCCTAGTTACAGCTGGACAACCCAACAGTTAATTCACACCTCCTCCATGCCATCACGTGCCATGCAGAAGCTGGGGGGCATTTGTGAGAACCAAATTAAATCAAAATCCTAGGTCAAATATTTCCTTCCATTTGGGGGATTATTTGACCTAATTGGGAGTTACTTAATTTAATTGGGGGTTACTCAATTTAATTGGGAGTTACCTGATTTAATTGGGATTGATTTGATTCCTACCATAATTAGGGATTTGATTTAATTAAATCCCTAATTAATCAAATCTCGCCAAATCGAGGAGGAATAATTCATTTCCATCTATGGAATTATTCCTTTGAAACCCTAGCCTCCTAGGCCCCTATAAATAGATGGCTATGCACAAGGGTTGAGGTACGTCTGAATTCTTACTGAAACTATGCAGAAATCTTCCCTTCACAAACCCTAGCCGCCTCCTATCTCTCTTTCTTTTACATAAGGATCTGGCTGCCCGGTTTACACCATAAACATATCTTCGTACCCTATTAGCTATTGTTTTCTCTACGAATCAATTGAACTAACTTAGGCATCGGAGGGCCTTTGGCCAACACCCTGAGTGTGGTCCTCTTATTCGAATTTATTTTGCAGGGAGAAGGAGACGACGAAGAGGAAGACGAATCTTAGAGAATATTCCCGTGGGACGAGAAAGTGCTCCCACATATATGATGAAGACAATTTTAATAATGATGGGGGGTTATAAAAGGGACACTGACTCATGAGAGATCACAAGGTGCTTTCTTCCACTTGAACAACCAGATTTGAGGTGAAATATTATTGGGCATTCATTGACAAAATACTTTGAGGTATTTACACGAAAGAATTGATATATCTGTCGACACATACAGTTGCACAGATCTATAGTCTCAATCACTACCAAGGTCAACTAGATATGAGTTGGAAGACATAACCATGTGAACTTTCGAACGCTTGTACTCTATTCCCAAGCCCCACTCAAATACCACTCATCAAAATTCTATAGATTTTGTTGAAAACCCGTTTACAATTTTGTTTACCTGTATTCTACCCTAGGAAACAAGTCATCGCGTTCTCTACTAGCAAATCTGTTGAAATTTCAACATCATGACAAATTTGTAGGCCTAGCTCTTAAATAAATAGGTTTATTGTTTTAGTTTTGATAACGTCTGCTGGTCTGGCCAGTCAATCAAGAAATGTAGGACATTGTTTCTTGATTTTGGTAAGTGCCTCGTGAAGTTTTCTTGATGAATTGGAGACATGAGCATGTGAAGTTTTCTTGATGACTTTAGGACAAGTCCATGTGAAGTTTTCTCAGTTAATTCCACCGGTGCTTCATCACCAATCATTTAGGTGACTGGCTTACAGCACTTTTTCTCTATATATATACTTGATCATATTCAGGAGCAAACCACCAAGTCTTTTAATTCTAAATTCCCAAAGTAAGCTTAATTTCTCTCTTCCTCGTTGTTAATTTGCATTCTTTTTTAGAAGTTTTAAAACCATGGGTTTCCGGTTGCCTGGTATTGTACACGCTAAGAAAAATCAAGTACCTTCAAAGGGCTTGGATGTTCCTAAAGGCTACTTTGCAGTGTATGTTGGGGAGAGCCAGAAGAAGCGGTTTGTGATTCCGGTTTCATTCTTGAACCAACCTTCATTCCAAAATTTGTTAAGTCAAGCTGAAGATGAATTTGGGTATGATCATCCAATGGGTGGTATCACAATCCCCTGCAGTGAAGACACCTTCCTTCATCTCATCTCGTGCTTTGGTGTATGAGCACAACATGCTTCATACATGCACAATTTTGACACCAGTGTCTACAAAGACAAATTTTTGGATCTGAATTTGCAGCCAAGACATCCTTGATGAGGAGATGCTAACTGCGGATGAATTGAAGACAACTTCGATAATTCACAGTTTATAACTTCAAACCGCTTGTGAGAGCTGAGGAGAAAATGGCCAGCCTAGCAGATAAAATTAACCGACACCCTTGCTCAAGACTGTTATTGCTTTACTTGGAATTTGAAAGCTGGCAAGATCAGTTATTCAACCACATGACCTACAAGAAAAATTGAGATTAGCTATTTTCCTTTGATTGAACAATTTACAGTTCTGTACGTGATGATCATTTTTCGTTTAATTGATATCTACTGGCTACCATGTAATGTTTAATTAATCTGCATAGGGAGCAGATTTACACAAAATTATTAATGGAATATTTGACAGAAGTTGTTTCTAGCAGCAACGAGCTTTGAATTCGCCATGAATAGCTCTCTAATCCATGCTTAATTTCCAATGAACATACTATTGTTGTTCCACTCTCATAAAAGTCAAATATTTGATTTTGGTTTCCACGAAATCAAATTCATTCGACCAACCATAAGTTGAACTATCCACCTTGTAATCATTTGTCTTTGAACCTAAGATCTAGGAAGCACTTGGCCAACCTATCCCATTGCCACTTGAGCTAGAGCTAATGGGCAAGGTCAAAGAAAAGTATGGAAAGGCAATAAAATTCTCCCTGTAACAAAAAGAAAAGGCTATATGTTTGGTAAGTCGGTAAAACAGGCCAGGCCTGATGTGAAGAGACTGATCAGGTCTATGAAACTGCCATTGATGTGTACTTGTCAAGGTATGAGAATAAGAGATGTTTGGTAACAAGATATGTGCTCGTCATGCTGATGCAGCTTAATTAAATTACAGACTTTTCCTATCCACAACTAGGCACATTCTGATTGCCAGAGTGGTTCAACTGTAGTAAAATTAGTTTTTGCTTTCAGCAAAGACAGAACCATCTGATCTTCAAATGCCTATGTCTCCCAAACCGTGATTATGATTCAAACCAGCTGCTGATGGCTGGAGACCACAAATTCATGCATGGAAAGGCAGAGGTCACATCACTATCTAGCTACAATGTTCAAGAGATACAAAGAAGCCTTAGGAGAACATGCACATACAGCACAGCATCCTCTTCACAAGTGATTGTCTAAAAGGTTGATGTACTATGCATATGCAATGACCTTTGGAACGTTAGGTAATACCAGCTAATGCAGGTTTTTTCGGTTGAGAATACCTTATATATGCAACTGTTCATATCCTTTTTTTTTACCTGCAGATCTTCAAAACTTGCTTAGACATGTAATGTAATCTACTTTTAACTCCAAAGAGGTTTTCTTTTCAATTGGTTAAGATGAAACATCTATTCAGACAGAATCTTTGTAATTAAAGACATGCATAAAACTTGATAACTACGCAAAATTTTGCAGATTAACAAAATTATAATTATTGAATAGTTCAAATTAGAAAGTATCAAGCAAGTCATCTACTGCAAGAGGTCAACCAACTTATTAAGAAGAAAGATGCATGCTCTAATTGATGTTACGGCAAAGCATGGATTAGTATTATATGTGGAGAATTCAGTACTCACGTATGTTTAATTCTGATACCTATAGTGATTGCTTGCATCACTTTGCTACCATAAGATAAAAATGAAATTAATTATGAATCAGAATAGTAAATATCATCTTCTAACGTGTTTGAGTTTTTGTAGAACAACTAAGTACATGGTTTGACACTAAACAATATTGCTATTTATCAATCTCTATTCAAAGCAACATTGTACTTGGCCAGCGGTTCGCAAGTTTATATCCGCAGGGCTGGCCATTTTCTCCTCAGCACACAAGCGATTTGGAAGTTCTAGCCCATCAATTAGCCAAGGTGTCTTCAATCAAGGGATGTGAGATGTCATTAGTAATGCATGATAAACCCAAGCCCTTTCTTCATCCAGAGATAACGATCTCTTCAATCCTCATTCTCCTGCTTCACTTGCAATCCAAAAATTGCTCCTTAAGTAGCTCAAGTACATATGCAGCCAATGGTGTCAAAATTGTGTTTATATGTCAGCCTCAACTCATAGACCAAACTGAGAGGTGAGATCAAGAAAGGTGTCTTCGTTGCAGGGGATCGTGATACCACCCATTGGATGATCATATCCAAATTATTCTTCAGCTTGACTTAACAAATCTTGGAAAGAAGGGTGGTTCAAGTACGACACTGGAATGACAAACCTCTTTTTTTGGCTCTCCCCAACATAGACTGCAAAATAGCCTTTAGGGACATCTAAGGCCTTTGAATGTACTTGGTTTGAAGTTGGTAAAGACTGAAGAAGATTTTTCTTAACATGTAGAATACCAGGCAACCGGAAACCCATGGTTTTGAAATTTCTCAATGACAAGAGAACTAAAATGAAGATTTCAAATAGATTGCAAAACAGAGAAATCTTTGAATATGTGTGATCAATGAAAGACTTGTTGACTTGTATATACTTAATTGTACATAATAGCAGATTAGCATAGTTAGAGGCTTCTTCATAGGAGTTGACTTTTAGCCTTTATTTTCTTTCCATACTTGTAATTGGCTGTTCACTATTTAATCCTCCTTTTGGGAGAAGAATAAGACAAGCGACTATTCCTGTATCTCTAGAGAATTCAACATGGTATCAGAGCTCTCTAGAGAGGAATTTTAAAACCTTCTTACAGGTTACTTCAAATTAGCCAGAAATCCCTAATACCCAGACCTAAATCCCTAAATACCCAAAACCTGCCCACTGCTACAGACACTACCGACTTCTATTTTCTGGATTTCCTGGTCTAATGGGAGATATAACAGATTCTTCTGATTCTCGGCCTCTTGTATCTCTTCCAGCCAATTCCAATCATCATCATGATTTGATGAATGTCTAGTTGTTGCCAACTAAGCTTGATGGCACCAATTATCTGGCTTGGTCTCATTTTGTGAGATTATATATTACCGGTAAAGGTCGGATTGGATATTTGACTGGAGAGAAGAAGCAACTAGATAATACTGACCCAAAGTTCATAACATGGGTTGAAGAAGATGCTATGCTTAGATCATGGCTTCTCCAGGCTATGACCCCGGATATTAGTCTTGGCTATATGCGTCTCGACTCTGCTCATGCTATATGGGATGCGGTTTCTCAAACCTATTCTGAGGGAGGTTGTGATGCCCAGATTTATGAATTGAAATGTCGGATCCAAGCCACTACTCAGCAAGGTAAGATGTTGGAGACATATTTTAATTCACTCCAGGCTTTATGGCAGGAACTTGATTATTATCAGCCGTGCGACATGAAGTGCTCTAACGATACTGCTGCGTTGAAAAAACGGATCGAGAAGGAATGTACTTTTGAGTTCTTGGCTGGTCTTAATCCGGATTTGGATCAAGTGAGAACACAGGTGCTTGGAAAGGATCCTTTTCCCTCTTTGCGTGAAGCCTATGCATATGTGCGTGCGCAAGCTCTCCGTCGATCTGCTATGGTTATACCACCCTCTTTAGAAGGGTCTGCCTTGATTTCTACAGCAAACCATTCGGTTTGGGCGCCACCGGTACATCAATCTAGTTCTTCAGCTGCTGTCTCATCTGGTAATGTTGCTAAGAGTTCGAAATCTGATGATAAGGATGCTTTGAAATGTGATTATTGTCATCAGACCAAGCATGTGAGAGAGCAATGTTTCAAGCTCAATGGTTATCCACCTTGGTGGCCTGGCAAGAAGGGTGAAAAAGCTGAAGGCAGCAAGGGAGGAGGTGGAAAAGGGGGCCGTTCCAGCTCCAGAGCCTATCACACATCTTCTAGTGATCAGAATGACCAAACTACCTCTCAACTCTCTTCTGCTCAAATGGAAAAAATCGTTCAAGAGTGTGCTCGCTTGCTCTCTGATAAAGGATCTAAAGGGGCTTCCGGTTCCTTAGCCACCTCCTCAGGTAACTTTGGTTGTTGTCTTAGTGCATCTGGTAAGTCTTTCTCAGACTCTTGGATTATAGATACAGGGGCAACTGATCACATGACCTCTAAACTTGATTTCTTCTCTCGTTATTCATCCCCTAGTAAGACTTGTGTTACCACTGCCGATGGTTCACCCACTCTTGTGGTTGGTGAAGGCTCTGTTTTTCTTTCGAATTCTCTGTCCCTCTCAAATGTTCTCCATGTTCCTGGATTGTCTAACCATTTATTGTCAATAAGTCAGCTTACTAAATCTCTAAATTGCTTTGTCACCTTTTATGACACTCATTGTGTAATTTAGGATCAACGGACCGGGGCAACGATTGGTCGTGGTAGTGAGAAAGGGGGGCTTTATCTCTTGGATGACCCAGCTGGCTATACTAGTTCTCCCACAGTTCATGCTCTTCAGTCCGCTACTGACTCATCCAGGGACATTTGGTTATGGCACAAACGATTGGGACACCCATCATTTATCTATTTACAAAAATTGTTTCCTTCTTTATTGTCTTCGGTTGATCTTTCTCAATTTAAGTGTGAAATATGCGAACTTGCTAAGCACCACCGTGTTTCTTATCCATTAAGTATTAATAAAAGTTCTGCACCTTTTGCTCTTGTCCATAGTGATGTTTGGGGTCCTTCTCGTGTGTCAAATTTATCCAATTCCAAATGGTTTGTCACATTCATTGACGATTATTCCCGACTTACTTGGGTTTATTTGATGACTGACAAAAGTGAGGTTTTCTCTATTTTTCAGTCCTTTCACCAAATGATCCATACACAATACAATTCTAAGATTAAAGTCTTCCGCTCAGATAATGGGGGTGAGTACATCAATTCTGGTCTCAAAACCTATTTTTCGGATCATGGCATTATTTATCAAAGATCTTGCAGCTATACCCCTCAGCAGAATGGAGTAGCTGAACGGAAAAATCGCCATCTTCTAGAAGTTGCTCGTTCCCTTCTTCTTTCCATGTCTGTACCAAAGTCTTATTGGGGGGAGGCTGTTCTTACAGCTGCTTATTTGATCAATAGGATGCCTTCTCAAGTTCTCAAATTTCAAACTCCCCTTCAGGTGTTCACTGCTGCATGTTCTCCTTCTACTGTTAATCATCTTCCTCCTCGAGTGTTTGGTTGCATTAGTTTTGTGCATCTTCATCATAGTGGTAAGCTTGACCCTCATTCCCTCAAATGTATTTTTCTTGGCTACTCTGCCACTCAAAAAGGGTACAAATGTTATCATCCTCCGTCCAAAAAATTCTTTGTTACTAGAGATGTTACTTTTCATGAGGAACATGCTTATTTCTCTCATCTTAGTTCTAAGACTTCTCTTCAGGGGGAGAATATAAGTAGTGAAGATAAGTCTTATGGTGTGCCAATGTTTGAGTTGGAAAAAATTGAACAAAATGAAAGTGAAAAAAATGATACTGGAAGAGAAGGCAATTCCTTGACTCTCCCACCTGTTGGTCATCGTATGTCACCATATGATTTGGTGTATACAAAAAGAGATAAGGTGCCCTTTCAGAGAAATGATCAATCTGCTGCCCCGGTGACAGGTAATTCAGAGGTAGAGTTTGTTGAACCTTCTTGTTCTTTACTTGAAAATAACCCTATAAACTCTGTTCCTTCAATTGATAATGAATTACCTATTGCCTTAAGGAGACCACTTCGTTCTTGCCCATCAAAGTACAAATATCCTATCTCAAATTTCATGTCTTCTCATCGTCTCTCCCCATGTCTTAAATCATTTGCCTATCAGTTGTCTTCTGTATCTGTTCCTCAAACATTGCAGGATGCACTGGACAATCCAAAGTGGAAGGAGGCGATGGATGAGGAATTGAGAGCTCTACGAAAAAACTCTACTTGGGAGTTGGTGGAGTTGCCAAGGGGGAAGAAGGTTGTTGGTTGCAAATGGGTGTTCACAATAAACATAAGGCAGATGGCTCTGTTGACAGATACAAGGCAAGGTTGGTGGCAAAAGGGTATACTCAAACCTATGGGATAGATTACCAAGACACATTTGCTCCAGTTGCAAAGATGAACACAATTCGGGTCCTTTTATCTTTAGCAGCTAACTTGGGGTGGACTCTTCAACAATTTGATGTGAAGAATGCTTTCCTCCATGGAGACTTAGAGGAGGAAGTATACATGGACATGCCTCCAGGTATAGATGAGACCTCTCAAGGAAAAGTATGCAGATTAAGAAAATCATTGTATGGCCTGAAACAGTCTCCTAGGGCATGGTTTGGTAGATTCTCTCAAGCTATGAAAAAGTATGGATATCGTCCTAGTCAAGCAGATCATACATTGTTCCTACGACATTCTCGGGATGGTAGGATTACTATTGTTATTGTTTATGTAGATGATATCATTATGACAGGGGACGATATAGAGGAGATCAGTAAGCTGAAAATACAATTGGCCAAGGAATTTGATATCAAAGACTTGGGGACACTACGATATTTTTTAGGCATTGAAGTGGCACATTCAAAAGAAGGAATCTTTATCTCACAAAGAAAATATGTACTTGATCTTCTGACTGAAACTGGAATGTTAGCATGCAAGCCTGCGGACACTCCAATTGAACAAAATCATAGATTGGGAGAGCAAACTGATGATACACCTGTTGATAGGGGGAGATATCAAAGATTGGTAGGGAAGTTGATATATTTGGCTCATACAAGACCAGATATAGCTTATGCAGTAAGTGTCGTCAGTCAATTCATGCACGAGCCACGTGAGGTCCACATGCAGGCAGTTGAAAGGATACTTAGATACTTGAAATCAGCACCTGGTAAAGGCCTTTTATTTTCAAAGCATGATAACTTTGCTATAGAGGCTTATACAGATGCAGATTGGGCTGGTTCAGTTTCAGACCGGAGATCAACCACGGGATATTGCACGTTTGTGGGTGGCAATCTAGTCACTTGGCGTAGTAAAAAGCAATCAGTTGTTGCTAGATCTAGTGCTGAGGCTGAGTTCAGGGCTATGGCCCATGGTGTGTGCGAATTATTATGGTTGAAAATTTTATTTTGAGATTTGAGGATTACTATTCAGGGTCCTATGAGATTATTTTGTGACAATAAAGCAGCCATTAGTATTGCTCACAACCCTGTACAACATGATAGAACCAAACATATTGAGATTGACAGACACTTCATCAAGGAGAAATTATCACAAGGATTGATTTGCACACCTTATGTGAAAACCAATGATTAACTTGCTGATATTCTTACTAAGGGAGTTTCTAGCAAGGTGTTTGAGTCTTCTTTAGCCAAGCTGGGAATTCAAGATATCTATTCTCCAGCTTGAGGGGGAGTGTTGACTTGTATATACTTAATTGTACATAATAGCAGATTAGCATAGTTAGAGGCTTCTTCATAGGAGTTGACTTTTAGCCTTTATTTTCTTTCCATACTTGTAATTGGCTGTTCACTATTTAATCCTCCTTTTGGGAGAAGAATAAGACAAGCGACTATTCCTGTATCTCTAGAGAATTCAACAAGACTCGCTTTGCTTTGTTCCTCAATCTGATCATATGTGTATATATAGATAAGGTAGTATACTGAAAAAAATATGTTACCTAAAATGATTGGTGATGAGACACCAGGATGGACCCAATTAGTGAGAGACATTAGCTCATGGAGTATTGCATGGACATGTCTTCTAATAAATCAAGAAAAACTCACAAGCCAATGCCCAAAATGAAGAAACATCATGTCCTACCTCTTTTAATAGCTGCAAAGAAGTAATTAAAAAGACTAATACAAATATATGTATATCCTATGTAAAGTGTAAGCCATTAGCAGATCAAAGACATGCTTGAGACCAAGTAGACCCAGTACTACTTGTGGATCAACTCTCTCATAGCAATTAATTTTCCTAACCACAGGCTACTTTGCAACGCACGCCATACTGAAAGTGATGCGAGAGATCGGGCCAATTTCTGAATTGACTGAAGAAAATGGTACATACCTACTTTATAAACTAGGGATTGCTTGCCGCAATTTGATCTTTCTTAGAACAAAACCACATGGTGGGTGTTTATCTGCTCTGAATTCAGCTATCATAACTGTGGGAACCGAATTAAATCAGACCCTAGGTCAAATGATTCCTTCCATTTGGGGGATTATCTGACCTAATTGGGAATTAATCAACCTAATTGGGAGTTACTCAATTTAATTGGGGATTACCCAATTAAATTGAAGATTACCTAATTAGGTTGAGAATTGATTTGATTCCTACCCCGATTCCCAATTAAATGAGGAGTTACCTAATTAAAATGGGATTTGATTTGATACCTACCACAATTAGGGATTTGATTTACCCTAATAAATAAATCCCTAATTAATCAATTCCAAAAAGGGGAGGAATAATTCCCTTCCATCTACGGAATTATTCCTATGAAACCCTAGCCTCCAAGACAACTATAAAAGGATGGCCACACACAAGGGTTGAGGTACGTCCAAAATCCCTACTGAAACTCTGCAGAAATTCCTCTCAAACCCTAGCCACCTCCTTTCTCTCTCTCTTTTACATAAGGCTACGGCCGCCCGGTTTATACCATAAACACATCTCCATACCCTATTAGCTATTGTTTTCTATATGATTCAATTGAACTAATTTAGGCATCGGAGGGCCTTTGGCCAACACCCCCCGGGTGTGGTCCTCTTATTGGTTCTATTTTGCAGGGAGAAGAAGGCGGCGAAGAAGAAAGGGGAATCTTTCCAATCGAATATTCTCGTGGGGAAATTTGTACACTCAAATTGGTGCTTTCATTGAGAGCACGAGTTATACTCAACGCGTGCTCAAGGAATCCGTTCCTCCTATTTTCCAATCCACCGAAGCCTTCCAAACAACCATGGTTGGAAGCATGAAGACGAGAGGCAAAACTGCCGCGATGGCTAAATCCGCGACGGCCCAAAGCCACTCCACCCACGGTCCCGCAATTGACATGGTGGCACCACCACCTTTCCTAACCGCACGGCCACCGTTGCGAACATGGTGGAACCTCCTATCAAGGTGGGCTTGTTACCACCGCCGACTTAGGCCCGGTCTTGGAGCAACTTCAAGCGATCCTTCATTGCCTCCACGCTCGACATACGCTCCCGCGCACACCTCCAATGAAACCCTAGCCCGTGTGCAATTGGGCTCCACACACTTCTCTCCTCCTGATCCACGAAGTCAAGCAGACCTTAGTTTGAGAGTTGACCAGCTAGCTCAGAGAATGGACGACCAAAGCGATCTGATGAGGCAACTCCTCACCAAATCATCTTGGCTCAAAACCTTGGCCTTGGACAACTAGGCGAAGGGAGAAGGATTGACGAACGCACCGGCAGGCAGCTCAACGGGTACCCAGCAGGTCAAGCAGGAGTAGGCAGACAAGGCGAGGGACAACAACTTGATCGGCTACCGACATGTCACAAGCATCCGCGAGCCCCACTCGGAGCAGATTAAGTTCAAGGAACAAAATGCGCGAGAGGCTAGGCCCACGACTTGACGTCCACGCCCGCTTGGGGACCGCAGGGAAATGTACTTCAAAGGCTAGGCCCCTAGGGAGGACAATCAGACAACCATCGCAACGAGGATCGTGAAGAAAGACGCTCAGCTGTCCACTCGCAGACGAACATTCACGAGAGGCTACGTCCCCAAGGTGGTCAACCGATATCCTCACAATGAGGACCACGAGGAAGGACGCTCCGCTGCTCACTCACGAAGAGACGGCTCTCGTCGACAAGCTACGGAGAATCTCTCGCAAGCGCAGTCCACCCAACACGCCGCCTAGCCAGCGCAGACGAGAAGGTCGACCCTTGCAGACCCAGGAGGAGGTCAGTCAACGTCGCCCGAATCGCGAAGGTCGCCAACATGATCGACCAGCAATGTGTATGGAGGACTTTGAGAAGCTTATGAATGACCGACTTCGAGATCTGAAGACTGGTGGGAACCTCGACGATGCACTACGCAAGGAGATCGACCAGGCAAACTCCACACCTTTCACTGCCGAAATCGAGCAGGCTGCTCCCCGAAGCGATTCTCCACGCCTTCGTTTACACACTTCAAAGGGGACTCCGATCCCGAGAGCCACCTAAAACACTTCAAAAGTGTCATGATCCTCCATAAGGCCGACGACGCGTTGATGTGCAAGGTATTCGTAGTGACCTTGCGAGGAGCAGCCCAAGATTGGTTCCACACCCTGCCATCTGGGTCGATCAACAGCTTCAAGGAGTTGGCTTACGTCTTCACTAAAGAGTGCACCTCTTACCGGACGATCAAGAAGAACCCTGACCACCTGTACAACCTGCGCAAGAAGTCCGACGAATCCATTCGAGATTACATCAAGAGATTCAAAGCAGAAAAAGCCAACATTGTAGGATGTGACAACCGGATCACCATCATCTGCTTTCAAGAAAGGCCTCCAGCTGAACACGACTTGTACCGCGAGCTGACTATCACTCCCAGCCAGACTCTGGCAGAGGTCTACGCGACCGCGGAACGCTATGCGCTTTGGGATGACGATCGAATCACCGCAAAAAAGTCTACTAAGCAGGAAGATCAACCGACTAAGCGGGCAGGTCAAAGAAGCGATGGATTTAGCAACAAGAACAAGGATAAGCGCAGGTCACACCCACAAGGAGACGTTGCAGCAGGAGAGAACTACACCAAGTTCACCATCCCCATACATCAAATCTTAGCCCAAGTGAAAAACAAACCTTGGGTAAGAAGACCGCCACCCTTGAAAGGAGATCCAAACAAGAGGGATACAAGCAAATACTGTGCCTTCCATGGGACACACAGGGCACACTACCAATAACTGCCTCGCTTGGAAAGCACACCTTGAAGAACTCGTGAAAGAGGGTCACTGCACGGAGTTCATCGCGAAGCAGGCCATCCAGCGGATTGAAGATCGAGACACCGCCAAGGAACCACCCAGAAGGTCATAAGGATTAACACAATCCTAGCCGACGCCAAGGAGTCAGGACTGACCAGCAAGGAAAAGAAGAGGAAGATCAAACAGGCCACTATGATCTCCCAAGTCTCGACTGACCTTCCACCAGCAGAAGACGATCCTATAATCGGCTTCCAAAAGAAAGATCTGATCGGCGTCGACATGCCACATAACGATGCCCTTGTCATCAGCATACAAATCGCTCAGGCCATGGTCGACCGAATCCATGCAGACGAGGGCAGCGCAGCCAATATCCTGTAGCTGGCTGTCATCAACAGATGGGCTTGGAGGCAAAGATCAACCAATCAGCCAGATCGCTGACCAGCTTCAATGGCGCAACAGTTACCGTGGGCACGATAGACCTCGACGTCTACTCCCCACCTGTAGTCTACTTGCAAACGTTCATGGTCATTAATGAGGTCTCACCCTACAACGGCATTCTGGGCAGGCCATGGATCGGCATGATCAACACCATCACCTCTGCCACACATCAGAAAATTCGGTACCCAATCCCTGGGGGCGGTGTTGGACAAATCAACAGCGATCAGGAAATGGCGAGGAAATGCTCCGCCCAAGGGCTGAAGAAAAGCAAACAAGCGCAGTTCCTCCCAGTAAGCCAGGCAGATCTGAAGGAGGTGGAACAACCGAACCTTACTCTCTTATAGCAATCAAAGCGTCAGGACCAAGCCGAAGAAGTCTATCCAGAGTCTCTCTGAAGAAGGGTGGAAGCCCGAGGAGGACGTCGAGTTAATACCCTTGGATCCTGACCAGCCAAACAAAAAAGCGTGGATCGGCTCGGTCCTAAGCCCAGACGAGAAGGTGGAACTTACCACCTTCCTCCAAAACAACAAAGATATGTTCGCATGGTCGCCGTTAGACATGCCTGGTATCGACCCGAACATCATATGTCACCAACTCCACGTCAACCCTGCCTGCAAACCAGTGGCGCAGAAAAGACGCAACTTCGCACCCGAGCAGGTCACCATCATCGAAGCCGAGTTTGATAAACTCCTAGCCGCCGGCTTCATTGAAGAGGTCTCCTACTCGGAGTGGCTCGCTAACGTTGTTCTAGTGGCAAAACAAGAGAAGGGAAAGTGGAGAGTCTGCGTCGATTACACCGACCTCAATAAAGCGTGCCCAAAAGACAACTTTTCATTGCCAAGAATCGACCAACTAGTGGATTCCACTTCTGGCAATCAGCTACTTAGCTTCATGGACGCCTACTCCGGCTACAACCAAATCTTGATGCACGAGGATGATAAGGCGAAAATTTCTTTCATCATCGAGAGAGGGACCTACTGCTACAAGGTCATGCCTTTTGGGCTGAAGAACGCCGGAGCAACCTACCAAAGACTGGTGAACAAAATCTTCAAGGAGCAGATCGGCAAAACTATGGAGGTGTACGTGGACGACATGCTGGTCAAGGCCCCAAAACGTGCAGATCACCTCAAAAACCTCGCTGAGGCATTCAGCCTGCTCCGCCAGTATCGCATGAAGTTGAACCCAAGTAAATGCACATTTGGTGTATCCTCCGGCCGATTCTTGGGATACTTAGTCACACAACGAGGTATCGAGGCACACCCACGTCAGATCAAAGCTATTCTCGAGATGAAGTCGCCTTCCACAGTGAAGGAAATACAAAGTCTGACGGGCAGAGCAGCGGCCCTCAACCGGTTCCTCTCAAGATCAACCAACAAGAGTAAACCATTCTTCAAAGCTTTAAAGAAAGGACAAAGAGACAAATGGGATGAGGAGTGCGAAGTAACTTTCCAGAGTCTGAAGGCTTATATTACTTCACCTCCCCTGCTTTCAAAGCCAGTCCCTAGTGAGGACTTGTTCGTGTACCTGGCAGTGTCCAACTCAGCTGTCAGCTCAGCTCTCATCAGAGAAGAGCTGGGGGCCCAACATCCGGTATTCTACACGTCAAAAGCTCTCATCGATGCAGAGACTCGTTACCCAAAATTAGAGAAACTCATTTTGGCTCTTGTAGTTTCCGCGAGAAAGCTACGACCCTACTACCAAGCTCATCTACCGGCCAAAAGCTGCAATAAAAGCCCAAGCTTTAGCTAACTTCGTAGCGGAGTTCACCCCATCGGCCGAAGAAGAGAAAATGGTCAACGAAAAGAAGGAAAGTTCAAAAGCAGACGGGAACTCCGCTGAACCTAGCCAACCTAGAGACACGTGGCAGTTGCGGGTAGACGGAGCGTCAAACCAAAAAGAAGCTGGAGCGGGTGTCGTCATCATAACTCCGGATGGAACGTTGTTGGAGCAAGCTATCACACTTGGCTTCCAGGCCTCAAACATTGAGGCAGAATACGAGGCATTGCTCGCTGGCCTGCGCTTGGCAAAGGAACTTGCAATCAAGAAGCTAGCCATCTACTCAGATTCCTAGCTGATCACGAATCAAGAGTTAGGTGAATACATGGCGAAGCACCCAAGGATGATCTTGTACCTTGACAAAGTCCAGGAGCTGTTGAAGGCGTTTCCTACCTTCACCATCCAACAAGTACCCCGGGCAGAGAACGCACATGCAGATGCACTAGCCAGTCTAGGGTCAGCGTTGGATACCCAGTTCAGATGCTCCATCCCGGTCGAACACCTTGACCGGCCAAGCATTGAAGAAGTAGAGCCAATCGACACAATGCAAATTGACGAGGACCCCAGCTGGCAAGACCCCATCATTGACTACTTAGCGAATGGAAACTTACCCGCGGACAAGTCCGAGGCTAGGAAGGTCCAGCAGAAGGCCGCGAGATACTACATGCACGACAACAAGCTCATCCGTAGATCATACTCCGGCCCTCACCTTACCTGCATAAAATACCCTCAAACACTTGAGGTCCTCTGCAAAATTCACGACGGCGAGTGTGGCAACCACTCTGGGGGCAGGTCACTCGCCCAGAAGGCTCTAAACATAGGCTACTTCTGGCCTACCATGCCCCACGACTCTGCTGAATATGTCAAAAAGTGTGATCGCTGCCAGCGATACAAGCCGATCCCTAACCTGCCTGCCGAAGTTGACCATCTGCAAAATAGTCCATGGCGATTCATGCAATGAGTCATTGACTTAGTGGGTCTCTTGCCACCCGTGCCCGACAAGAAGGACATGGATGATCGTCGCCACCGACTACTTTACTAAATGGATCGAGGCAGAAGCTCTATCCTCTATTAAAGAAGCCGATGTGGAGCGATTCATCTGGAGAAACATCATCTGCCGGTTTGGCTGCCCACAATCGCTGGCCACTGACAACAGCTCACAATCCATTGGCAGGCAGATCACCACAAATCAGTCGCCCATAAGCAGCGTCTTAAGGGAGACGCAGGGCGACGACCAAAGCGTCCTTCGGGAGACGCAGCCCGTAAGAAGCGTCCTAAGGGAGACGCAGGGTGCGCCAGGAATTTCTTAAAAGAAGGTCTCCATGCCTTCTGCGGGAAGTATCCAGGTTCCTATCCGTTTCCTAAGGGAGGCAGGATAGACACACAGTTGCCCATAAGCAGCGTCCTTCGGGAGACGCAGGGCAACGACCAAGCCATCCTAAGGGTTGTGCAGGACACGTCTGGAGCCTCTTAAGGGGGGCCCTGGCACTCGCCAACTTCCTAAGGGAAACCATCCTAAGGGATGTGCAGGACACGCCCGGAGCCTCTTAAGGGGGGCCCTGGCACTCGCCAACTTTCTAAGGGATGTGCAGGACACGCCCGGAGTACCTCAAGGGGGACCCTGGCACTCGCCAACTTCCTAAGGGAAAAACATCATACGGGATGTGCAGAATACGCTCGGAATCCACCAAGGGGAACCCTGTCACTCATAAATCTCAAAGAAGAAGTGCAATTAAGACAGAAGCTGATTACTTAACAGTTCACAGGTCGATATGCAAATTGAAAGTTGAGAGTAACAACTGAAATTTCCATAACAAGATGACCAACTGGCCAAGTTCAACAACAATAGTATGGTAAAAAAGACCAATTATTCTGAACAAGAAAGCAAAACTACTCATTTTTTAAGCAGATGAAATGTTGCTTCCCTTTGTTTTTCCAAGGAAAGACTTAAGAAGGTGCCGAGATCGCCAGCCTGACAGATGTGATCGACCAACTCAGCACAAGAGGACGGGTTTGATAGAAAGTTCGTCTCGAGTAGGTCAGACACGCATGCATCCCCTGCAAGGCTGGACTTGTTCACCTTGGGATCAAATGCCGACACTGAAGATCCCTTCGCCCGGGCAGATGACTCTCTAGTCTTCTTAGCCTCCGCCAACCTCATCTCCAAATGAGTCAATGATACTGAATCAACTCCACGCTTGACTGCTCGTGACTCAACAACTAGATTGTGAGCAGACTTCCCACTTCGATCTCCATCTCTTGACCGATGCAGACGACTCGAACTTCGAGGAGGAATGTCTACATCTCTTTGATGCTCGGCAGAACTAGGCCGGGTACGAGCTGCTTCACGAAGCATATCATGGTTTTCGAGCGTGTCAGCAGGAGGCTCGGGCAGAACACCTCGAGCACCGCGCATACCACCAACCTTCGTGCTATCTGCACCCACGAGATGCTTGACCCTGGCAGATGATGGTGGAGCAGACCCCACTTGAGTCTTCTCAGCAAAAGGGAGCCTTGGCTTCTTCCTCGATGGAGATCCATTCTTTGCGTTCGAAGGAGTAGCTTCACCTCTTGAAGATTTGGCAGCAACCTTCTCTTTGAGAGAGACTCAGCATAACACTCTTCATGTACGGCAAGCAGATCATCAGAATATGGACCATTCTACTCCCATCTCTCAACATCCTGAGCAGGGGGCAGACCACCAACTTTTTCCACTCAGGAGCCCAAGTCACGAAGGAAGCCCAGTACGGCTGGACAGCCCAACGGATAATCTTCATCTCCTACATGCCACCACGCGCCATGCAGAAGCTGGGGGGCATTTGTGGGAACCGAATTAAATCAGACCCTAGGTCAAATGATTCCTTCCATTTGGGGATTATTTGACCTAATTGGGAATTAATCAACCTAATTGGGAGTTACTCAATTTAATTGGGGATTACCCAATTAAATTGAAGATTACCTAATTAGGTTGAGAATTGATTTGATTCCTACCCCGATTCCCAATTAAATGAGGAGTTACCTAATTAAAATGGGATTTGATTTGATACCTACCACAATTAGGGATTTGATTTACCCTAATAAATCAAATCCCTAATTAATCAAATCAATTCCAAAAAGGGGAGGAATAATTCCCTTCCATCTACGGAATTATTCCTATGAAACCCTAGCCTCCAAGACAACTATAAAAGGATGGCCACACACAAGGGTTGAGGTACGTCTGAAATCCCTACTGAAACTCTGCAGAAAATTCCTCTCAAACCCTAGCCACCTCCTTTCTCTCTCTCTTTTACATAAGGCTATGGCCGCCCGGTTTATACCATAAACACATCTCCATACCCTATTAGCTATTGTTTTCTATATGATTCAATTGAACTAATTTAGGCATCGGAGGGCCTTTGGCCAACACCCCCCGGGTGTGGTCCTCTTATTGGTTCTATTTTGCAGGGAGAAGGAGGCGGCGAAGAAGAAAGGGGAATCTTTCCAATCGAATATTCTCGTGGGGAAATTTGTACACTCAATAACCTTTTAAGTTCATGTCTCCAAATCACTGCAGGAATGGATTTTGACTATCACATAAGCTGGCAGCTTGCATTTTGTGATTTTTGCACCTGGTACGTACCCCAGTATTTCAGATTTTAATTAGGTGGGACATGATGTTCCTTTGTTATAGAAATTAACTCATGAGTATCTCTTGATTAGTTGGAAGACATATCCGTGTGATACTCCATGAGCTAATGTCTCTCACTTGGGGTCCATCTTCATCACTAATCATTTTATGTAACAGCTGGTCTTCACCATACCACTTCATCTATACATGCATATATATAATCAGCTTCATAGCACAGCAACACCAGCCATCTCATTACCAAGCATATCAAAGCTTTCTCTGTTTGAAACCTTCCTTGTTGGTATTTACAAGAAATTTCAAAACCATGGGTTTCCGGTGGCCTAGTATTGTATATGCTAAGAAAAACCAAACACCTTCAAAGTCCTTAGATGTCCCTAAAGGCTATTTTGCGGTCTATGTTGGGGAGAGCAAGAAGCGGTTTGTGATCCCAGTATCATACTTGAACCAGTCCTCTTTTCAAGATTTGTTAAGTCTAGCAGAAGAAGAATTTGGGTATGATCATCCGATGGGAATTATTACAATCCCATGCAGTGAAGATGCCTTCCTTGATCTCACCTCCGGCTTCAGTGTATGAGCAGAAGCAAGCCTCCATATATATACACAATTTTGACACCGGAGGTTGCAGGTGTACAAAGGAGCACTTGTCTACCCAGCTAACTTGAAAGGTCTATCTTCCAGTGACATGATGATATCCTTTTATGGGAGCGGCCTTTAGCAATCACCGATTAGAACTTCAAACCCTTGTGAGCTGAGGAGAAAATTGCCAGCCTAGTGGACATAAATTCCCTGACATTTATTTTTAGAAGAATATAATGACCTATATTACTTTGAATTTGAAAGATGGCAAGACATTTATTTTCAACCCCATGTACTCTGTTGTCCTGCAAGGAAACTTGAGATTATAATATTTTCTTCTTAACAGAATTGCTTACAGTTCTCTCATTCATTATTCTTGATTTTATCATTAGCTTACTAAGTAATCCAAGTATTCCCATAGGCAGCAGATTTTATCATTAGCTTACTAATGGTAGTACTAGGGCAGAATCTCTCTTTTTATTTATCTATTAAAACAATCAAATCCTGAACTTAATGCCATTTCCTGGAGTTTCAGTAAACTAAATTAGGCCAGGCTTCATATGCAGAGACTAATCAGGTCTGCAGAATTTATTTTGATTTGGTCTTGCCAAGATACATATGTATATATATATATATATATATATTGGTAACCAACCTCGACCATAGGATCGAGGAAATTTTATTAGAAGAAAGAAAGAAATGGATAAGAGATACATATGGTCACAAACTTCTCTCTGTATTAAGAGGTTAGTATGCTAAAGCAGCTTAATAATTGGAGACTTTTCCATACACAACTAGGCAAATCCAGAATACCATAGTGGTTCAATTGTAGTAAGCTTGATTTCGTTTTTAGCTACCCATGTCCACGACTGCCAAATTCCTGACAATGATTCGAGCTACTGATGACCACAGATTCCTGCATGGAGTATTTAATGCAGAACATGCACACACATAGCACAGCATCCTCTCTAAATATATGCATCAAACCGTTTAATTATGCTAATGTAATGTATAGGTACACTACCCCAGTCAGAAGGTCTCAAATATATATATGATTTTAGGAAGTGAACATAGTCTTGTTGAAAGCAAAACCTCTATTGCAAGAGGTGAGCCAACTTAAAAAAAGAATATGCTCTATCTAATGTGTAGAAAACTCTCCAATTATATAGCTTATATATACTTAATATAGACGCTTTTATATACATATACATATATATGAGACGGTAAAGGTGCCTTCGCTGCAGGGGATTGTGATGCCACCATTGGATGATCATATCCAAATTCTTCTTCAGTTCAACTTAAAAAATCTTGGAATGAGGGTGGTTCAATTCTGAAACGGGAATCACAAACCCTTTCATTTGGCTCTTGCCAACTTAATTAGACTGCAAAATAGCCTTTCTGGAGGCCTTTTGAAGGTACTTGGTTTGCAGTTGATAGAGTCTGGAAAGAACTATTCTTCACATCTACAATAACACCAGGCAACCAAAAACCCACGGTCTTGATATTTCTCAACAAAACCATATGCAAAGCAAAACAAGTCTTCTCATTTCCCAAGCTGATAAAAGCTCTCTGTTTTGCTTTTATTTTATTTTATTTTATTTTTAAATTCTTCTTCGTTTTGTTGAGAAATATCAAAGCAATCCCTGTTTTATATCAATGTGAAAATATATCAAATGAAGTTATGCTGAAAAAAATCTGATCTATGTGTATATATATAGATGAAGAATAGCACAAAATGATTGGTGATGAGAAACAAGGATGGACCCAATTGAGAAACCTTAGATCATGGAACAGCACATAGACCTTTCTTCCGGTTAACCAAGAAAAGCTCATGAGTCATTGTCTATGTCAATGAGAAAACATCATGTCCTACCTCTCTTTTAAAAGCAAGAGAGACCAACAGGAAAAAAAAATCCTGCTTAGAAGATAAGTCTCTATTAGATCACGGACACGTGGACCGCAATACTAATTTGCAGATCAACTATCTCATATAGCAATAATTATCAGTACTATTTATAGATTGATTGAAGAAAATGGTACGTAATCTGTAACCAAGGATTGCTCGTCACAATTTGATCTTTCATAGAACAACATCACATGGAGGGTGGTTACTTGCTCCCAGTTTAGCTATCATATGACCTTTAAATTCATGGCTCCAAATCCCAACAGATATAGATTGTGAAGCATCAACAATTATCACACAAGCTGACAGCTTCTATGTGGTTGTGATATTTTCCAGTGTCATACGTAAAACTTAAGAACTGGTCTATTCAAGTGAGGTGGGGCATGATGTTTGTTGAGTATTGCCACATGATTTTTCCTTCATGAGTTGGAACACAAGTCCATGTGATATTCCATGAGCTAATGTCTCTCACCGGGGTCCATCGTGGTGATTCTTCACCAATCATTTTACGTAAAACATGGTCTTCCCCATACCATTTCATCTATAAAAACACACACATGCTCAGATTCAAGAGCAAAGCAACACAAGTGTTTCTATTCCTAAGAATATCTTATCAGAGCTTTCTCACTTGATTTGAAATCTTCCTTTTTGGTCTTGTTATTGAGAAACTTCAAAACAATGGGCTTCCGGTTGCCTGGCATTGTACATGCTAAGAAAAACAAAGTACCTTCAAAGTCCTTGGATGTTCCTAAAGGCTACTTTGCGGTCTATGTTGGGGAGGGTGAAAAGAAGCGGTTTGTGATTCCAGTATCATACTTGAACCAACCGTCATTTCAAGATTTGTTAACTCGAGCTGAAGATGAATTCGGATATGATCATCCAATGGGTGCTATCACAATCCCCTGCAGTGAAAACACTTTCCTTGATCTCACCTCTAGCTTTGGTGTATGAGCCCAGGCTCAAATTCTCCATAGACACAATGCTGACTCCTTTGGCTGCAGCTGTACAAGGGCCAATTAATTCTCTCACAGATAAATTTTTGGTCAAAATTCACTGCCAACGCATCCTTCAGGAGACGCTAAAACTGGCTGAATTCAAGGAAGGTCTTGGATTGAGAATCAACTGAATGATATGATGATATCCTTCAGTAATTCACGGGTTAGAACTTCAAACTGCTTGTGAGCTGAGGAAAAAAAAAGCCAGCCAGCAGCACTGACTTTCAAGATTCTTTAATGTCAACCCCATGTATCTAATTGTCCTGCAAGGAAAATTGAGATCAAAATACTGGACACATTAATATGAAGTGCTTACAGTTCTTTCTTTCATTGATATTTTTCATTTTATTACTTTCTTCTGGCAACCAAGTAATGTAAATAATCACCATAGGCAGCAGATTAAGTCTCCAAGCTTCAAATTCTCAATAAAAAGCACTAATCAATGGTTAGAACATGTTAACGTTCCACTCTCATAAAAGTCAAATATTAAAATTTTGTCATCCACTAAATCAAGTTAATTAGACCAACTATCAATGGGATTAGTCACCTTGTGATCGTTTGTCTTTGGCAAAGTAGTTTGTGAATATCGGTCCCTCTGCCTTACATTATTATGTGTTGGTGAAATCGCAGCCTTTTTATTTAATACAAACGATAAAAATTGAACCTACGATATCCAGCTACCAGTTTCCCACCTTATCCCAATGCCACTTAGAGCTAAGGGACAAGGAGCAGAGTTTAGTGAAACAAAATAGAGGAAAAAATAGCAATAAATGTGTGATTTCCTCAGTAGCTTTGTTGTCTGAAGTTTGGTAATTCGGTAAATTAGGCAAGGCTTGCTTCTTATCAAAAGACTAATCAGGTATAAAGTTGGATATATGGGCACTAATTTCTCCCTGTATTAAGAGGTGTTAGCATGCTGATGCAGCTGAGTTAAATTAGAGACTTTTCCTATTCACAACTAGGCAAACTTGGATCTGATTTCCAGATTGGTTTATTGAAGTAAATTTAGCTTTTGTTTTTAGCTAAGCAGGTCCATCACTACCAAATTCTGCATGATGATTTGGAAGACTAGAAGCAGGTGACCCTTTAAGTGAGTATGTCTCCCAAACCATGATGACGATCCGAGCTACTTATGGATAGAGGCCACAAATGCATGCATGGAAAAGCATAGGCTAAATCACTGTTTAGCTAGCTACCATATTCTACAGATATAAAAAATGCAGAATGCAAGACATGCGCATCCAGCACAGAATCCTCTGCGCGAGTGTTTGTCTAGCAAGTTGATGTACTTAATTGGATCGAACGTAATCTATATGAGTGTTTAATTTCTCTTGTTGGTCTCATAGCCTACTAAGGTGGGACATGGTGTTTGTTTAGAATGGGCATTGACTCGTGAGTTTTTCTTGATTAGTTGGACGACAAGTCCATGTGAAATTCCATGAGCTAATGTCTCTCACATGGGTCCATTCCAGTGATTCTTGACCAATCTTTTTATATAACAGATAGTCTTCACGCTACCACTTCATCTATATATACATATGATCAGATTCAGGATCAAAGCACCACAAGTCTTCTATTCCCAAACATATCTTATCAAAGCCTTTTCAGTTTCTCAATTCATTTGAAATCTTCCTTCTTTGTGTTCTCATATAGAAATCTTGGAACTATGGGTTTCCGGTTGCCTGGTGCCATACATGCTAAGAAAACCCAAGTACCGTCGAAGTCCTTAGATGTCCCTTAAGGCTATTTTGCAGTCTATGTTGGGGAGAGTCAGAAGAAGCGGTTTGTGATTCCACTATCATACTTGAACCAGTCATCTTTCCAAGATTTGTTAAGTCAAGCGGAAGAAGAGTTTGGATACGATCATCCAATGGGTGGTATTACAATCCCCTGCAGTGAAGAAGCCTTCCTTGATCTCACCTCTCGCTTTGGTGTGTGAGCAACATTCTTGACACCAATGGCTGCAGCTGTATTGGCTTTACTTGTCTAGATCGAAAAAACCTTTGGATCCCAGTTTTCAACCAAGGCATCTTCCAGGAATTGCTATTAACTCAGGCTGAACTGAAGGAGGGGCTTGGACTGATCATCCACTTATTGCATCCAACGATGACAAAGACCTTTCACAATTCGTTGGCTAGAATTGCGAGCTGAGGATCAAAATGGCCAGCCTAGCGGATAAATCATCACTGGCGTTATTAAATTTGTCCACAATGATAGTGATTTATTTTGAATTTGAAAGATGACATGACTAGCCATTGTCAACCTCATGTACTTGGTTGCTCTGCAAGGCAAATTGAAAGGATTATTTTCGTTTAACTGAAATTCTTACAGTTCTATTGTTCATCTTTCAATTTGTTATGATCTTTCTGCAACCAAGTAATGTAAGTAATCACCAGGGGTCAGCTGACTTACACACAAGTGACTTAGGAGATGAAGTCACTTAGTAATGAAAATTAGTGCCCAATCAAACCAATTTCAGAAAAACATTTTCTATAAGTCACTCTAACCCAATTCAAACCAATCAAAGTACTAAACATTCACCCAAAGAGAAATCAAAACTTCTGATTAAACCCAACATCAAAATTAAGAATTGAAGAAAACCCAGATTTTGAAATTCGAAATTTCCAAGTTAAGTTTACTAAACTGTAAAGTATTTTCTTTTTTTTTTTTTTTTTTTTTTTTTTTTTTTTTTTTTTTTTTTTTTTGTTTTTGGGGGGGGATCGAAATAAATTTCTCTTTTTATGTCAGAAATATCACAAAAGCCAATTACAATGCTCATTGCTCATTGAATTAACGCACAAATCTTGATTAAAAGACGTATAAAACTACGAATAAATATTTTTCTAGTAAGAATGTGGATGGACTATTTATGCATAGGTGTGCAAGATGCAAAAATTTGCTTTCCAATAATTGCTGAAGTGATGTTGACTTGGTCCATAACAATGTTGAGACAACCTGGATTCTCAGAGCAATCAAATACTATGGCTTGCTCATTTCCAGAGGTTCCTTGGAAGCCACGGTATGTACATATGACATTTTAAAACAAAATAATAATAATCAGAAATTAAATCAAACTAGCTCTATTTCATCGTGTAAATCTTTGTTAATATTAATTATAAATTGTGAAAATTCACCCATTTTTTACAGTCATGTTTGCCATTACAGTAGCGTTGGTCAATGATAATAGGATTTTTAGCTGCTATCAATTTAATTTGCTCAAATTATATCTTTCTAGCATACCCAAAACCGCCCTGAAAAATACAAAATGAAAGGTAATTTTAACAAAAATAAATTATTTGCTTTTAATTTGTATTTATTGAGGTTATAAGCCTTAGATGGCTATTGGAACACATAAATTTTAGACTCAAGATTCATGAGAGGTAACTCTAATTGGTTAAGATAGCTAGTGTCAACATCAATGTTACTATTTCACCAAATAAAATTAAAAGAAAAACAACAACAAAAAGTTTTAACGTATCTAGTCGTTCCTCCTATGTCTAATTCTAGCACCCATTTTTGGTACCATTGAAACTACAATTTCGCACGTGTACGTCTTCACCTGTGGCATAAACTCCATTTTCACCTAGGCTCCCCACGTTGTATGCAGAAGTTAGAAATTAACCACACCTCCCATTAGTTTCTTTACCGTAACATAGGGTTAACCTAAGTGGGTAAGGGAGGGTGGAGATCAAGAGAGGAGAGTTCAAGAGTTCGAAAATAGAAAGAAAAAAAAAAACAGGTTGATATATTGTACGATACTAGGGTACTGGTATTATACTAATCATTTAATGTGGTATAATAATGTGGTCTCCCGAACTTTTTTTTCTTCCGAAATTCAAACTGCGTACGAACCTAATTCCATGACCTTGCCCGCATATTATGTTGGTGATGATATTCCGATGAGCCTGTATTGATTGCAACACAAACAAATCCCACAAAAGTTAATTATATATCCAAATAATACATATGTATATCAAGGAGTTCACGGTAATAATACTAATTAATTTACAAGTGAAAGAAAATGAAAAAAATATAAGATCCAAATTACTACCTGTTGCAATTATAGAGTCATGGATATTGACATGGCTTGATTCAGAAATGTCAATTCCATCTATGTTAGGGCTATCTTCAGGAGTAGTTATATACAGTGGCGGACTCATGAATTTTCCAGGAAAGAGATATGGATTGATAGATATCTATAGAAAATGTAATTCAAACCGTAAAAAAAAAAAAAAAAAAAAAAAAAAAAAGACCATGCCTCTTCTATATTGATTCACGAATTCACATTTATGTTTAGCGTTTTTTGATTCATGAATTTTCATAGAATTTGTTTTTCTATTGGAATGTCTCAGAGTTGTTCTTCCTATTTAGGTTGTCACCGTCTCCGCTAGGTGTTTATGGAATTATTGTCTAGCAGGTTGATCCTAAACCTTTTAATCCCCTGAAAGATAGTGAGGCTCCCCTTTACAGGAGCCGAACGGTAGAAAGTCTTTGAAAGATAGTGAGGCTCCCCTTTACAGGAGTCGAACGGTAGAAAGTCTTAGTATTCCGGTTAGCCGGAGAAAGAGTAAAACTCTTTGAATAGCTTTAAAGACAGCTAGACTCCCCTACAGAGCCAAACGTTCCTTCAAGAATAGATGGGGATTAGTAGAAACTCTAAATCCCCAGCATACGCGTAAAAACATAAATTTATTTATCAGCCATTCCCATTAACTATTTATTTTTCTTTAAGGAATAATAACCCTTGACTCACCACTAGCAACATCAATATTGTCCCCAACTTAACCACATGTTTAGTAGGTGTGGGGTTTTATACAAAAGGCCTCGATGTTATTAGGAGTGGACTCATTCATTATATGAGACTTTCTATTTTGTTAAGTTTCCGATGTGGGACTGTGTGTATTCTTCAACAGCACGTACCTCCCCAAGAACAGTGCAATATGTTTGAAGTGTGCGTATATATGTAAAATAGCCCTTTCTTTTAAAAAGGAAGTTGCCACTTGCAAGTTCGGGATTGTGTTAATGTTATAATTCCAACCTCAAGTAGTTAGGGATTGTGTTAATGTTATAATTTTTAGTGTCTTTTCTTGATTTAGTTTATATTATGGTTTACGATAAAAATAAAATAATAAGTGACACCTACTTTGCACGTGCCAATCGGCCTTTTTTTTCATTGTCAAGACATTTTTGCATAATATATATATATATATATAATATTTTTGTATTTTATATTTTTAGTTATTAATATTGTAATAGTTGAGATTTCCAGTTAGCGAAAACTGGATTGATGACAAATTGGATTGATACATATGTTGTCGTCATAGTGCTTCTTTTTTATAGTTCAAAAGCACTTTTTGTTATTTGTTACTTTTTTAAATAAAAAAAAAAAAAAAAAAAAAAAAAAAAAAAATTAGTAGGTTCACTAAAACACCCAAAATGGAGGTTGAAATTATAAAAAAACCCAACACCCAAAACACTTTATAAACACACCCAAAACCCATCATTACACACACTCAAAATCCATTGATAAACACACCCAAAAAATATACAATTGTTGATTTTGGGGTTGATTTTGGGTGTGTTTCTATGTTTAAATAGTGTTTGGATTTTTTTATAAATACATGTCTAGGATTGGGGTTTATTTATAAATTTGTAAAAAATTAATGGGGGTGGAGTGGGGAACCGCCATTCCTACGGAAGGCCCATAATTTGAGCATCGCGGCTTGAAAATGGAGGGAAAACAATTAACGGCATATTTGGCTTTGATTCGCCCTTTACCATCCGTAATAAAATACATTCTTTTAATTTTAACTCACTCACAAAATTTGTTTATAGTTCCTGATCATACTATTGTGACACTCTACACAGACACAGAAAGAAGAGAGAAATAGTCTCCTTTACCAACTTCAGATACTTCAAATGACTCTTTATTGGCTTTTCCATTGGTTGGGATTAATTTTTCATCACAATAGCCATTCAGTCACTTCAATCTGTCCTGTGTGCTCTTCAGAAGGGTTTGTTAGCTAGTTGATGTACCTAAGACAAACACTGATGAACTACGTACGCCAAGGACATGCTATTTTCTCCATGTTGTCTATAGTATACAAGAAAATATTTGATGATACTTGCTGAGCTCTGCTTGTTTCAGGCTTAAGCATAAAAATATAGGTTCCTGAGGAGAGAAACCTTGTTCAAGGTTCTTATTTTAAGGCCTGCGTTAGAAATCCCCACACAAAAACTATTATCGAAGCAAACGAAAATAAATCAAATGAAGAGACTTAAAATTTGGTCTGAAAAATTACAAATCTATGTTCTTGGAAAGATATACTAGACATATATATGGGTCACAAGCATGTCCTTCTGTTTACTAAGAATATACACCAAATTGATCAAATAAGATGCTTCTATGGATTTCTAAATTTTTATTTTTTTTGGTTTTTATGTATGGTTGGATCAAGTAGATCACTTTGGTCAGTTTAGTTTGTTGAATTGGAGAGTAAACAAAAAGTGCATGTCTATCAAGGAGGTAGGGAATAAATGATTTTTCCCACAGGTTGATTATCAATTAATGTGGAAGAGCTCCAGGGATGACTTACATGAGCTACCTAGTAAGCTAACAGCTTTGATCATAATTTTTATGAGTTTTCTGCATTTCCTTCCATCTATATATATGCACACATGCTCAGGTTCCAAAAACCATCGCTTGCAAGTTTAATTTCCTATGTATTAAAATTTCACACACCACTACTATGTAATTTTATTTGGCAACCTTTTTCGGGTCAACCGCCCAACGTAGTTCAGGAGTAGAATCGGTCCATTATGCATTTTAAGTTGGATATCAAAATTTGAATCCCAGAACTGATCAGTAGTTGTTCCTTGTAAAAGTTCTGCAGTTTATTTCACGTAGATTTTGATTCAAACATATAAAAAAGTCAGCAAACATATAAAAAAGAAATCAATTCTTTCCTTCTCCTTAGTTAACCTGGTTAAATGCTCTCTTCGATAAGAATTTATGCTACAGAGTACTACGTTCTCACCCATTGGACTGCTCCGGGGAGTTATTGAAAACGTAACAGAAAAGAAACGAAAAGCTTGCAAATTGAATACAATTTTAAATGCACTTTTGGAACGTATTATGCAACCCAATCAGAGCTCAGACGCCAAATCTGTAAATTCCTACTACGTCCTTTTTCCCTTCTTCACTCCAGTTCTTCTTCAATCCATTTAGCCATTTGTTCTACATCAATCCCCCTCCACCTCTGAAGAACTCGACCCCGAGTTATGTTAAGGATAAAGGGTTTCGTGAAGACGAAACCGATACAAATCAACAACATTAGAAGTATTGGAAATTCCCATGGAATCTGGAAATTCAATAACATAGGCATTGTCATTGATTCTTTTTAACACCTTGTAAGGACCATATTTCTTAGGCTTCAGCATGCTATATATACCAACAGGGAACCTCTTCTTCCTCAGAAACACCATTACAGGATCGCCTTCTTGAAACACCTTAACTCGCCTATGCTTGTCTGCAGCAGCTTTGTATTTAGCATTAGCTTGTTCAAGTTTTTGCTTCACTTCATCACGAACAGCCACCACTTCTTCAGCCAATTTTCCCGCTGCAATACTGGTTTTCTGGCCTTTAGGAAGCTTCACCAAATCTACAACATGATCAGGTACAGCAGTATAAATAATGGAAAATGGTGACTTTCCTGTTGCACTATAAACTACACTGTTATATGCAAACTCCACCTATGGCAGTGCATAATCTCATTGCTTCGGCTTCTCTCCACAAATGCTTCACACCATATTTCCCAATGTTCGATTGGTAACCTCAGTCTGGCTGTCAGTTTGAGGATGGGCAGTGCTACTACGGTTCAAAGCAGTTCCAAACATTCTCCACATAGTGATCCAAAAATGGCTCAAATTTTTTTATCACGGTCAGAAGTTATAGATGTAGGTACTCCATGCAAGCGAACAACCTCCCTAAAACACAGCTTGGCTATACTAGATGCATCAGCAGTCTTCTTGCAGGTGATGACATGCGCCATTTTTGAGAATCGATCAACCACCACAAAAACTGAATCCACACCTCTCTGAGTTCGAAGCAAACCAAGGACAAAATCCATAGCAAGATCCTGCCATATATCATTAGGAATTGGTAAATGCATGTATAATCCAATGTTTTGTACCTGTCCCTTTGAAACCTGACAAATATAACATTTACACACAATTGTTCCAACATCACACTTCAACTGTGGCCAATAAAATCTTTTTTCCAATCCTGCTATTGTTTTATCGCGGCCTAAGTGGCCACTCAACCCTCCTCCGTGCAAATCCCGAATGAGCTTCTACCTTAAGGAGGAAATAGGAATGCATAACTGGTTGCCCTTGAACAAATACTCTTCATTAAGAAAGAAATCTGCCATTGGCTCATGATTAGCACATTTAGCCCATATTTCCTTGAAATCATCATCATCTTCATATAAATCCCTCAAACGCTCAAACCCCACAATTTCTTGAGTAAGAGTAACTAACAAAGAAACTCTTCTGCTCAACATGTCATCCACATGATTGAGGTGCCAGAAGTGTGCTTGATAACGAATGAAAATTTCTGCAAAAAAGTTACCCATATGGCATGCATTTTATCAATATGTTTCTGGCTGTTAATATACTTCAAAGCTTGATGATCTGTAAACAAAACAAATTCCTTTTGAATAAGATAGTGCTCCCATTGTTTCAAAGCCTGAACAACTGCATAAAATTCTTAGTCATAAGTACTCCACTTTTGACGAGTGTCGCTCAACTTTTCAGAAAAGAAAGCAATTGGTCTCTTGTCTTGAGAAAGCACAACTCCCACTCCCATGCCATTGGCATCACATTCAACTTCAAACACCTTTTCAAAATTTGGAAGAGTTAGAACTGGAGCGGTACAAAGTTTTTCTTTCACAAGAGCAAAACTTTTTTCTTGCTCTTCTCCCCAATTGAACCTGCCCTTCTTCAAACATTCAGTAATAGGTGCGACAATGGAACAGAAATGCCTCACAACCCTCCTGTAAAAAGTGGCCAAACCATGGAAGCTTCGAACTTCAGAGACTGTTTTTAGAGTTGGCCAATCAAGAATTGCTTTGATCTTCTCGTCATCCACCTGGATACCATTCTCACCAACCACAAAACCCAAAAACAGTAGCTTATTTGTGCAAAAAGTACATTTTTTCAGATTCACATATAGCTTATTTTCTTTCAAAACTCCTAAGACTTGTCTCAAATGCACGAGATGCTCTTCTTTTGAGGTGCTGTAAATTAAAATATCATCAAAATAAACCATGACGAAAGAGCCAATAAATGGTCGAAGAACCTGATTCATAAGTCTCATGAAGGTGCTAGGTGCATTTGACAATCCGAACGACATCACTAGCCATTCGTATAACCCTTCCTTGCTCTTAAATGTTATTTTCCACTCGTCACCTGGCCTGATTCAAATTTGGTGGTATTCACTGTGCAACTCTATTTTGGAAAACACCTTAGAGCCTTCGAGCACATCCAACAATTTCGTCCAATCGAGGGATGGGAAATCTGTATTTTATTGTAATCTTGTTGATTGCTCGACTATCAACACACATACGCCATGACTGATCTTTCTTTGGAACAAGAAGGACTGGAACTGCACAAAGGCTCAAGCTCTCCCTGATAAAACCCTTTTGTAACAACTCTTCAATATGCTCTCTTAGGATGTCGTTCTCCTTAGGGCTCATGCGATAATGTGGTAGATTTGGTAGACTAGCCCTAGGTACCAAATCAATGTGGTGTTGTATATCTCTGTCTTCTCTTCCATTGTTGCCACCAATAGCTTGTAACAACAACTCACGCATCTCCCCAAGTTAATTGGCTAAATTTTTGATTTGCACGTTTTGAGCGTCCAAATCCACTCAAGTAATTGGGACAGCAGTTTCACGATCACCCATGATAAGCCAATAATACCGAGACGGGAGAGACCTGCTCTGATACCACTTGACGCAGCACAAGCAAATAGATTTTCAAGCCAAAATCCTAAAGAGCAATAATCTGGAATCCACTAGGAAATTAGAGAGAAAATTCTCTTTGAATTATTCGAGAAAAGTTGAGATGATCTCAACCAAGCATGACAACTGATTAAATACAACGTGCTCACCCATTGGGCTGCCTGGGGAGTTATTGAAAACGTAACAGAAAAGAAACGAAAGCCTGTAAATTGAATACAACTTTTAAATGCACTTTTGGAACGTGTTATGCGACCCAATCAGAGCTCGGACGCCAAATCTGTAAATTCATGCTACGTCCTTTTTCCCTTCTTCGCTCCAGTTCTTCTTCAATCAGCCATTTGTTCTACATTAGTCAAGCAAATAGATTTTCAAGCGATTCGATTGTGTGGGAGGATTCCTCAAATTTATTTTGATTTCATAGGCCTCCAATTTTCCTTGCAAATCTTCTATGGAAAGAGCAGAAATGTCATTTGACTCTTCAATGGCAGCCACAACATAATCAAATTTCGGTGGTAAACTACGAAGGACTTTTTCAACAATTCTTGCATCTTCCAAAATCTCTCCATTTGACGACATTAGGTTAACAATTGTTGTAATCTTTGTGAAATACTTTTCAATGCTTTCACTTTCTGGCATCTCCAACTTCTCAAATTCTCTCCTCAAATTTTGGAGTCGAACCTTCTTCACACTTTGTTTGCCTTGATAGGTCGTCTGAATTTTTTCCCTTGCTTCCTTTGTATTTTCAGCTTTGGAAATTCTCTTATACACTGACATCTCAATTGTTTGATATATGTGGAAAAGGGCTTTACTATCCTTCTTTCGATTTTCCTTCAATGCATTTCTTTGTGCTTGACTGAGTGCAAGTTCATTTTCAAATTCCTCATAGCCGTCTTCAACCATATTCCACAACTCCATGGATTTTAACAACACCTTCACATTGCTGCTCCAATAATCATAGTTGTCACCGTTGAATCGAAAGTGAGGCAAATTTTGCCCGTTGCTTGAAAGTGTTTCAACTAGGCTCTGATGCCAATTTGAAGGAGGAAGAGAAATAAAATAAATGGACACTAGTATCTTAGAGGAATAGGCTCTTTCATTATAATTCAGCACTCGCACAAATAACAATGATAAAGGACCTATTTAAAGACTTCTCTTATCATAACTGATTAACCCACTCTTATATCTTAGACTCTTCATCAACCCACCAACTCATAAAACTGACAATTTATTCAATTCATTAATACATGAACTTATTAAATCATAGAATAAGAAAAGACTCAACATATTGAAACTTCTTGAATGCAATAATGATGCATATTTGGTTTAATTCTCCAACACACATGACTATGTGTATTCATGGACTAATGTGCTAGCTCTCCTATTTTTCCTGCCACTTGATTCACCTAATATTTTGTGACTTTATTTAATTTCTTTTGTTTTTATTCTTATTTTAGATATTTTATTTAAATATTTTTAATTAACTTAAATTGTAAGGAGAATGCAAGCATAGGTCACAAGAAAACCTAGGCTCTTATACCATGTCAAACAAACTAGGCCAAATTGTTAGCGAGAACGTAACTTAGTTAGGATATTTATTTCCTAGTTTATTAGGATTATATTTCTTTCCTTTTGTACATATATTGTGTAATTAGGATTTTATCTTGTTTCCTAGTTTGACCATATTACGGTTACATCCTTGTACTATAAATACTTTCTTTTGGAGAATGAAATACAACTTGAAAAATATTCTACCCATATTGTTTGACTTGGTATCAGAGCCAACTTTTCTAGTGCCCTGTGTGTTGTGTCCACCCATGTTCTATCCCCATATTTTTTTTTCTCTACTTGTGCCGTGTGTGCCCTCCTGGGTTTGTGTGTTGTGTTGTAGTGTTCGTGCCTTTACTGTGTTCGTGTCATTCTTGTCTTCGTGCATCTGCCGTATTTGTGCCTTTGCTGTGTTCCGCTATATACTCTGCTGTCTTCGTGCCTATCTTCGTGCATCTGCCGTATTTGTGTCTCTGCTGTGTTCCGTTGTATACTCTGCCGTGATCTATTGAGTTTTTGTTGCAATTATGGGTGATAACTCCATTATTGGTGTTGTTGCTGCTGCCTTCGCAAATTTGTGTGTTTTTGACTCTATTCCAGATACTGGCTCCAATACTTGGATAATTGACACTGGTGCTTCTGATCATATGACTTATGATACTAAATTTTTTGATGAGTTGTCTAGTAACACCTGTGACCCATACATAACTAGTGCTAATGGCTTGCCCTCTCCAATTACTGGTGAGGGCACAATCTCTCTCACTCCTACCTTGTCCTTGTCTTGTGCGTTACTAGTTCCCAATATCCATTGTAACTTGTTATCTGTTGGTTGATTACTTGATACACTTAATGCTTTTGCTACTTTCTATCCTATGCATTGCTCTTTTCAGGATCTTAAGACTCATGATATGATTGGGCATGGTAAACGGATAGGGGGGGTTATATATTTGACATTGCCTTCTGCACCAATTTGTGATCGTGTCGTTAATACTGTTCAAAGTTGTAGTGTCAAAGACAAACAACAAATTTGGTTGTGGTATCGTCGCATGGGACACTCGTCATTTGGCTACCTTAAGTGTCTGTTTCCATCTTTATTTCGCTCTTGTGATGAATCCAGTTTTAAGTGTGAGACATGTATTTTGTCCAAGAGTCATCGTACTGTGTTTCCTTTGAGTGACAGTAAAGCTGCCAAGCCTTTTGATTTAGTGCATTATGATGTGTGGGGTCCAGCTCGCGTTACTTCAAACGGATTTCGTTGGTTCATTATATTTATTGATGATTGTACCCAACTCACTTGGGTTTTCTTGTTGAAAAATAAACATGATGTTGCTTCCATCCTTCCAGAGTTCTGTATTATGGTGTTTACTCAGTTTCATGCTCGGGTCAAAGTATTTCGGACTGATAATGGAGGCGAATATGTGAATAACACTTTGACATCTTTCTTCCGTGCTCAAGGTATTATTCACCAAACGACAACCTCATTTACTCCTCAGCAGAATGGTGTGTCTGAACGCTAGAATCTTCAGTTACTTGAAGTTGCCCATTCCCTTATGTTGGATATGTCTGTTCCCCATCAACTTTGGGGGCATGCTGTTTTATCTGCTGCCTATTTGATTAATCGTACTCTTAGCCGGGTTCTTGATTTCAAGACTCCACATGATGTGCTTGGTGACCATGTTTCCCTCGTCTCAGTCTCCAAGGTGTCCTTAAAGTTTTTGGGTGTGTTGCCCATGTTCATGTCTACTCTCATCAACGGAGTAAACTTAATCTTTGTGCTTTGTGATGTGTCTTTATTGGTTACTCTTCTACTCAAAAGGGTTATAAGTGCTATCATTCACCTACCCAGAAGGTGCATGTTACTTTGGACGCGACTTTCCATGAAGAAGTGTCCTATTATGTCTGTCCCTCCTCACTAATTCAGGAGGAGAGGAGGAGTGAATTGGAGAGTCTTGGATTGGAGAATGATGTGTTTGAAGATACTACTCTCGGGAAGGAAACGATCTGTCGCACTGAAGCAAGTGACCGGTCGCCCATATCTGAAGATGAAACTTGTGGTCTCTGTGAAGAAACGACTGATCGCCCTTTGGAACTCAACCGGTCGCCCATATCTAGAGATGAAGCAGGTGCTCTCGGTGTCGAAATGATCAGTCACACTGAAGCAAGTGACCAGTCACCTATATATGAAAATAATGACAGTGATTCTTGTATGGAGGAGTTCGATGCAATACCCCCCTCTGCCCTGCCAGTGCCCCAATCTACTCGTGATAGTGAATCAAGTGAGGTAATTTCTAATGATCTATCTATGTCAACTTATCAGTTACCCCCATGAACCACTCGTGGGAAATCTAAAGTACAATATTCTCCTGATATACATGCCAAGTCTAAATATCCCATTAGCCATTATGTGTCAACTCCTCGTTTGTCTAAGTCATATGCATCATATTTGTGTCAATTATCTAGTGTATGTGTGTCAACTAAGCTGCATGATGTTTTATCTAACCCCAAATGGATGGATGCCTTGAACAAGAATAAAACATGGGATTTAGTTCCTTTGCCACGAGGGAAGAAAGCTGTTGGATGCAAATGGGTGTTTACTTTGAAGTATAAAGCTGATGGTTCCATTGACCGTTACAAGGCTAGATTGGTAGCAAAGGGTTATACTCAGACCTATGGAGTGGATTATTTGGAGACCTTTGCTCTAGTGGCAAAGCTCAATACTGTGCGTGTACTATTGTCCCTGGCTGCTAACCGCGACTGGCCCTTATTACAATTCGATGTCAAAAATGCGTTTCTACATGGTGACCTCAAAGAGGAGATTTACATGGATCTCCCTCCTAGTATTCCTGTAACCTCTAAGGAGGGTGTTGTGTGTAAGCTGCGGAAGTTTTTATATGGATTGAAGCAGTCTCCAAGAGCGTGGTTTGGAAGATTTACAGCGTCTATGAAGAAATTTGGGTATGTGTAAAGTAACTTAGACCATACTTTATTTCTAAAGCGTCGTAAAGGTAAATTGATAGCTTTAATTATTTATGTTGATGATATGATTGTGACTGGAGATGATCAGGCAGAAATGCAAAATCTTCAGAAGTATCCGGCTTCCGAGTTTGAGATGAAGTCATTGGGTGATTTGAAATACTTTATTGGGATTGAAGTTGCCAGATCTAAACATGGTATCTTTTTGTCTCAAAGAAAGTATATTTTGGATTTACTTGCAGAGACTGGAATCTTGGATTGTAAACCAATTGATACCCTTAATAAACAGAATCATAAGTTGGGGTTGTATCCCTACAGATAAAGAGCGTTATCAACGACTTGTGCGGAAATTGATTTATTTATCTCATACATGTCCTGATATTGCATATGCAGTGAGTGTAGTGAGTCAGTTTATGCATTCTCCTAGTGAACATCATATGGATGCTGTGATGCATATTTTGAGGTATCTGAAAGTAACTCCTGGAAATGGGTTAATATTTTGCAAGTATGGTCATACAGATGTGGAAGTGTATACGGATGTTGATTGGGCTGGCTCAGTCACTAATAGACGTTCTACGTCTGGGTATTTCACATTTGTTGGTAGTAATCTTATTACTTAGAGGAGTAAAAAGCAAAAAGTGGTGTCTAGGTCTAGTGCCGAGGCCGGGTACCGTTGGATGGCTCAAGGTGTGTGCGAGTTACTATAGTTGAGAAGATTGTTGAGAGATCTTGGGTTTGGACCTCAGATACCCATGGATTTGTATTGTGATAATAAAGCTGCAATTGCAATTGTGCATAACCCTGTGCAACATGATCGTACAAAGCACGTTGAGGTTGATTGACATTTTGTTAAAGAGAAGTTGGATGCTGAAATTATTTCTTTTCCATTTATATCATCCGAGTATCAACTAGCAGATGTTCTTACGAAAGTTGTGTCTACTACAGTCTTTCTCAACTCTCTTGACAAGTTGGGCATGCATGACATCTTTGCTCCAACTTGAGGGAGAGTGTTAGCGAGATCCTAGCTTAATTAGGATATTTATTTCCTAGTTTATTAGGATTATATTTCTTTCCTTTCGTACAGATATTGTGTAATTAGGATTTTATCTTGTTTCCTAGTTTGACCCTATTAGGGTTACATCCTTGTACTATAAATACTTTCGTTTGGAGAATGAAATACAACCTGAAAAATATTCTACCCATATTGTTTGACTCAGATATGCTCATATTTTTATTCATCAGCGGCGTATATATATCACAGATCATTCGCATGGTGCCGCACTTTAGCTCAAGACCATTTCCTTCCTTCTTCTTCTTCTTCTTCTTCAACTTCCATCTTCTCATTTATTCTTTTCTTTCTTATTCTCAAAATTGAATAGAAGCCATTTTTGATTTGTGTGTGCAGAGGGGTCGAACTCTGATGAAACGGCTATGATAATTAATTTAGAGTGTTGATTTCCCCACTCCAATTAATGGAGGTCCAACCCAATACAAGATGTTGATTTGTGTAGAATTTATTTTCCATTATGATTTTGTTGCAGCAATGCCGCTGATAACTTTGCAAGTAAAGTATATTAGATATTATTAATTTCATTTCTGCACTTTTTTTCCTTTCTAACTAATTGATAAGCTTTCTAGTTTATCTTAATTGAATCGATTCTATGATCTGTGATGAATTTATAGGAGAATTTAATTTTAATTATTAGGCTTTTGGCTTTTGGCTGCTGATGTGAAAACACACATTCAAATCGGTACTTTTGGCTTTTGGTCTAATTGTGGATTGTTGATAGGACTTTGTAACTTTTCAATTCCATGAGGGATAAGATTGGCTTGTAATCATGCTTTTTGCTGCTGATTCAGCGTCTGATGCTTCCTTTCCTGATTCTGTTACAGATAACTGACGCTGTTGTTGCAGCTTATTATATCTTGAATGCTACTCTTGTTGTTCCCAAGCTGGACCAGAAATCGTTTTAGAAGGATTCCTGGTCAGTTTCAGCATATCACGGTTATATAACTGCTGTCAAGGTTAATGTATGTAAGCATAATAGTCAGCGTATTTTTATCACGTTATTTCGTGCATTACAACGTCTTCAGGCTTTACTTTCTCTTTCATTTTCTCCAATTTCTCCCGACTCTTCTTTTGTAACTTTTATATTTTATTTTTAAATCTTGTTCAGTACGTGTTCTAGGCATGGAATCCAACGACTGCCCTGCTTTCTTCATCTACAGTTTTCTCTACCTCCAAAATTTCAATATTTTGTAATTGGTTTATGGTGTTGTTGATACAAAAACGTAATTCATTTAAGAAATGCAAACAGCGCCCAATTTCCCATTTATGATTAAGAATGAAGAAAATTACATGGCTTACATTGGGCGTGACATGAAAAGAAACAGAGGCTAGGCAACGTTTTATGAAGGAGAAGACTCCTGTTTTTCATATATCAAAGATGAATAAATTATACAGTAATATAGGGCTGGGCTAGGCTATACAAGGCAGGTACTGTAATTACTAGGAATCAAGATCCTATAATCAAGACCTATACAAGGTAACTAAATCACAATTGTCTCCACATAATCTGTGATATGATTGCATATTTCAACACTCCTCCTCAAGTTGGAGCATGGATATTGTGCATGCCCAACTTACGGCAATGAGCTTGAAACATGAGTTTACCAAGTGCTTTGGTAAACAAGTCTGCAACCTGATGCTTAGATGGTGTGAAATGAGTTGTGATGAGCCCATTTTGAATTTTTTCTCGAATCAGATGACAGTTTAGCTCTATGTGCTTGGTACGTTCATGAAAGACAGGATTAGCCGCAATGTATAGCGCGACCTGATTATCACAGTGAACTCGAGCAGGTGCGGTATGAAGGACTCGAAGATCTTCTAGCAGAAAATGCAGCCATGTGTGTTCACAGGTAATTGCTGCCATTGATCTATACTCAACTTCCTCAGAAGATCGTGATATTGTATGCTGCTTCTTGGTCTTCCAAGATATCAAGGAGTTACCTAAGAAGATGCAGTATCCTGTAATGGAACGCCTTGTAGGACACGACGCCCACGAGGCATCACAATAACCTCGTAGCTGCAAAGAATTGTTGGATGGAAATATTAATCCTTGACCTATTGACCCCTTCAAATATTTCAACACACGCATGGCTGCTGCAAGATGTGGTTTGCGTGGTTGGCTCATGAATTGACTGAGGACTTGTACAGGATATGAAATGTCAGGCCTTGTTATTGTGAGATAGATGAGACGCCCCACAATTCTTCTATAACGAGTGGGGTCTTTCAACAATTCTCCTTCTGTCGACTGTAATTTTAAGTCTTGTTCCATGGGAAAATCCACAGGACAAGCCCCTAACAAACCAACATCATCCAGTATGTCTAAAATATACTTTCTCTGTGAAATGGAGATGCCTTCTTTGGAGCAAGCTACTTTAATTCCGAGGAAATATTTTAGCAAACTAAGATCTTTGATTCGAAATTGATGATGGAGAAAGTCCTTTAATTGTTGTATGGCAATAGGATCATTTCCGGTTATGATTATATCATCAACATAGATCAATACCATAGTGATGAATTTACCTTTTACACGAGTGAACATAGAGTAATCAGCCCTTGATTGCCGAAAACCAGCATGTTGAATAGCTGTGAAAAATTTGGAAAACCACTGCCATGAAGCTTGCTTTAAGCCATACAAAGATTTCCGGAGTCGACAAACCAAGTGCTCTCCCTGTCAACGAAGGACAGTTGGGGATAACATGTAAACCTCTTCCTCCACATCACCATGGAGAAAAGCATTCTGGACGTCTAGTTGATGAAGAGGCCAAGTGTGATGAGCAGCCATTGCTAACAAACATTGAACAGTGACCAATTTGGCCACCGGGGCAAAAGTTTCGTAATAATCCAAGCCTTCAGTTTGGGTGTAGCCTTTGGCCACCAGCCGCGCCTTATAGTGTTCAACAGAGCCATCTGATTTATGCTTGATTTTGTAAACCTAGCGGCTCCCAATAGAACGTTTGCCATGAGGTAATGAGGTGAGAGTCCATGTATGATTTTGTTCAAGAGCCTGCAATTCAGCTGTCATGGCTTCACGCCACCTGGGATCAAGGTTAGCCTGTGCAAAAGAAGTGGGTTCTACACTGGTAGTAATATTGTGCAAAAAAGAGCGATATGAGGAAGATAAATGAGAAGAAGAGAGATATTTGGAGAGAGGATAGCGAGTACCTGACACTGAAGAAGACGATGGAGTTGGAGTATGGGCAGTCACCAGTGAGCATGCGTAGTCAAGAAGGCGTATGTTGGGTTGTCGCGAGAACGAGTGCTACATCGAAGTGCTGGAGAGGAAGAAGTTGAGATGGGATTATTGGAGGATGGTGAAGGAGCGAGGGTTGCTGGTGGATCAACAACAGACTCAGAGATGATGTCGAGATCTGTGTTGAGGTTGGTGTTGGGACATGTATCAGAAGAGTGGTGATGGGTAGCTGAGGAGAGGGAAACTGTTTCTGATGAGGGTTTATGTGTTTCCGAGGTGATAATGGGCTGCTCGAAAGTCGCATCAGGGGGAAATGGGTCATATGGTAAGACTGGGCCGTGAGGGAGTGTTGTTTGGGTGTGCTGAGAAATTGTGGAAAATGGGAATATGTGTTCGTGGAAGACCACGTCGCGACTGGAGAAGAATTGGTGGGTTACGAGGTCATATAAACGATAAGCTTTCTGGCATGCGGGATAGCCAACAAAGATACAACGTCGAGCTCATGCATCAAATTTGTGGAGGGAATTTGTTTGAGTGGCATAGCAAAGGCAACCGAAGACACGAAAATGACGATAGGAAGGTGGGTTGTGATAGAGTACCTCATGAGGTGATCTTTTGGAGAGCACTAATGTGGGTAAACGGTTAATGATATAAGCTGCTGAGAATACTCTCTCCCCAAAACTTGAGGGGAACTTGTGCTTGAAAACATAAAGTACGGGCAACAGTAAGAAGATGGCAATGTTTGCGTTCCACAACCCCATTTTGTTGGGGGGTGTGTGAACAAGAATGTTGCCATAGTGTGCCCATTTGAGCAAAAAAAGAATGCATGGATAGAAATTCTGCACCACAACACTACACACCTGTTGAATGTCGCAATGAAATTGAGTTTTAACATAGGCAAAAAAAAAGTTTGATCTTTTCTTGTGTCTCAGATTTAAAATTCATGAGGAACAACCATGTGAAACGTGAGTAGTCATCGACAATAGTAAAAAAATATCGAGCACCTGAGCTAGTGGGTAATCGATGAGGACCCCATATATCGCAATGAATTAACTCAAAAGGTTTATTGGTTGAAATTGAACTTAGAGAAAATGGTAATCTGGTCTGTTTGGCAAGAGGACACACATCACATTGAGAATGAAAATTAAATGAAATGGAAGGGACTGTTTGAGATAAAACATGCATTGGGCCAGTAGACAAGTGACCCAAGTGTTTATGCCAAAGATCAAGAGTGGAGGACAACGCAGCAGCTGCCATTCTGGGACCACGCTCACGAAGAAAATCTTCAGTAACTGGTACTAAATAGTACAAACCATCATGCTCCTTCCCCAACCCAATCATCTTCTTCGTTGTTAAATCCTGCATGATGCAAAAAGTAGGGAAGAATGAGATAAGACAATGGAGATGACGGGTTAATTTACTGACGGACATTAAATTAACTCGGAAACCAGGAACACAAAGCACGTCTTCCAATTTTAGATGAGGAGTGATCTGAATAGAACCAAGACAAGAGATATGTGCCTGTGAACCATTGGGTATGTTGACTGAAGAATTAGACAAGGTGGTTTTCTTAGGAATCAATTTGGGTGAAAAAGAAATGTGGTCTGTTGCATCGCTATCAATTATCCAAGAGTCATGTGATATACCTGTAGCATTTGCAAAGGCTTGAATTTTACCATCACCTCGTAAAAAGGACTTGATCTGATTCACTTCTTGAGGGTTGAATTTCAGATCATCCAAAGTCTGAGTAACGGTTCCCTTTTGTGGTTCCTAGGTGGTGTTGTTGGCGCCCACACGCTTGTTCTTGTTGGGTGGCTTGACTGCCTTTCCATGTAGTTTGTGCCATGTTGGGAAACCATTAAGGTAGTAGCAGCGATCAACCGTATGGGTGTCACCATTACAGTGTGTGCAATGTAAATTCTTATTGTCATCGTGCACTTTGCGAGGCTGTTTGTTGGTACCCTTTGATGTGTTCATGGCATGAACAGAACTGATTGTGCTATTCTCAGTTATTTGTCGCTGTATTTCTTCTTGCAGGAGCATGTCATATGCCTTGGGCACCGTAGGTAAGGGAGACATTAAAAGCATCTGCGTACGAACAGCCGAATAAGTATCATTTAGGCCCATAAGAAATTGAAGTACCTGTTCTTGTTGCTCTCTATCAGCAAGCTCCTTCATGACTCCACACTTGCACGCTGGATCACATTGGCATGATGGCATGGGAAGATATGATCCCAACTCATCCCAAAGACCTTTAAGCATGTTGTAATATGTTGAAATAGACTGTTGGTGCTGTCGCATCTCAGCAATTTCTTGCTTGATCTGAAAAATACGAGACATATTCCCTTGAGAAAATCGCTCTTTGAGATCTGACCAAACCTCAGCGGCGGTGTTGGCATAAATTACAGTGTTAGCCAATGAAGGGCTAATGGAATTGAGAATCCAAGATTTAATCAACTGATTGCATCTCCTCCAAAAGAGGTATTTGGCGCTGGTTGTTGGCGGTGCCTTGATTGTGCCGTCAACGAAACCGAGTTTGTTTTTTGCTTCCAAGTTGATCAACATCGCCCGACTCCAAGTTGCATAATTGTCACCATCTAGAAGTTGCGTGACAAGGGTCAGACCTGTTTGATCTGCATGGTGTATGTAAAAGGGATCAGAGGCATCTTTGGCATACAACAAACAGATCCCACACTGTTCCACCTCCACCTCCACCTCCTCCTCCTCCCCCTCCTCCAGAAGGGATTCGTAGGAAAATTGCAGTACTTTAAAGTCAACAGAGACCTCAGTAATAAGTTTGTAAAACGCAGTGGGGCTCCGAGCTTCCTCTACAACTTCTTCAAAGACATTATTATTATACCACACAAACACCTGATGGGAATCTTGGAAATAGCTTCCATACGTATGCGGATTATACAAAGGATGGTTGATTTCGTGGCTTTCACCATTACTAGCTTTAAAGTTGTATTTGCACTCAATATTCATTTGATGTTCTGCATCACAGTTTTCCAATGCAAGAGAGAGGGCGAAACCCAAGAAATCTGTGCTAAACCAATCAGGAGAAAGCTGCATATTTATTGAAGATCCCTCACTTTGATGGCTGAACCAATTTGGAATTTCATTCCCAGAACATTTAACGGAAACGAAAGATCTCCTCCCAAAATTTTCCTGTGCCATGATAGTTTATTAAACTCGTGAAAAGAAAAGCAGCACGGAAGTGAGTGTGACAGACAGTGTGTGCTTGAGGTAGAGAGGGAGAGAGAGGGAGAGAGAGAGAGAGAGAGAGAGAGAGAGAGACCTTATCTAATTCATCTATATCGTCATTGGAATAATCTGAATCATCTGAATGATATGATGCTTGTTCAATTTTTTCGCCTTTAAACTTTGACGACGCAGTTGCCATTCGCATAATTCTGAGCTGTGCATCGGCCATTATGCATCTTCGTGCATTCTGATCCAAATTTGGGCAACTGGAAAATATATGTTTCTCATGAAGCCCTAGAGAGAATATATATTCATCCCAACATTGTGTGAGTAGAGTGCTTGAACTCGACACTGTCTTCAGTGACGTGCAACCATGTGCTTGAAACCAATCAGGCTCAGGCGAGACAGCTGAGGAGCTTGTTCAATGCTTGCAGGTATGCTCTTAATTAGGGTCCCGCTTAGATTTAACTCTTGTAATGAGGTTAAGCAAAAGAGGTCATTAGGGATTTCTTGTATACTGCACTCAGCGATGTCTAATTTTCGAAGCGCAACTAGACTTCCAATTGATGGGGGTACCTTTTTAACCATTGTACCTGATAAATTTAGATATTCTAGACGTTCTATAGCCTCCGAGATTTCTGGGAAGTTCTTGAATTTGGAGCAATGTCTGAGATCAAGGCTCTTAAGAGATTTCAACTTCCAAATGTTTGGGAGACTCACAAGGCTTCTGCAATAGGCCAATTTAATTGCAGTGAGACCAAAGACAGTCTCGATCGATGAAGGCAATAGTTTTATTGCTGTGCAACTCAAATCTAGCACTGTTGTATTCCTGGGAAGCTCCGAAAACTCATAAAAAGAATTGCAGCCCCATAGACTAAAAGTACCAGAGACTTTCAGCTCACAATTGTTGCTTGGAAGCCTAGTCAGGTCTTTACAATATCTAATATCAATGTCTCTAATTTTTTTGTGAGACCAAACTGATGGAGGCAATTCCTTTATTGATGTCTCAGATAAATCTAAGAATTTAACATTGCATGGAATCTTCGGAAGAGTTTTGAGATTTATGCAGCCTCCCAGATGAAGATGAGTAAGTTTGTCAAAATCTTCAAAATAAGAAGGAATTATATGCAAACTTTCACAACGAGAAAGATCTATGCGCTCAATTTTTTACTCCGAATGAGATCTGGAACTTGTGTTAGGTGTTTGCAGTCACGAAGACAGATCACTTTTAAGTTGATAAGATTCTGTAACAAATTAAAGAGAAGTGACAAGAATTAATAATAATTTAGCTTGCATATTAATACTTTCTAGGCCACACGTTATACAAGAACTAAAATAAGCATATATACCTGGTCTTTATTCCAAAGTTGTGCCCCATTAACTTGGCATAAGGGCATATGAAGCTCTACCAGATTTTGAGCAGAAAAGTTTGATGGCAAAGATTTCATAGGATATTTCAGCCAGTAAAGATAACTAAGAGAATTGGGAAATTCAAGAGAATCCATTAATTTGCACCTTTCCCACCAAGGATAATTGACATGTAGCCATCTCAATTGATCCATCTTTTGGAAGTTTGCATTTCTCAAGTGTTGTAGCTCAGACCAGTTAATGGATATGGCTTGGACAGTTGCAGCTCTCTGACAATCAAGTGCAAAGTATAAAAGGTCAATTAATATACCAAAAGTTTAATCAAAATTACATTTGTAGGAATCCAACTTGTTTAGTGTAAATGTGAATATAACATAATTAAAATACCTACCTGGTTATTTGTCAATACTTTATGGACATCCTCTGCAATGAACAACCTACTGCTCTCTTCAACACATTGTTTATTGCGAGCAATTGCCCTACCCATTTCTTGCAACAAATCATGCATCTCTATCGAGTTGCTTTCTTCATGAATTGATATCATAGACCTATCAATGAGAACTTTGATCCCAACTTCCCCACAGAAACCACGACTATCTAAGAACTCTTTTACATACTCCCTTCCATAGTTATTATGAAAACATGCTATATCAAGAAATATCTCCTTCTCATTTTCTTCTAATCCATCGTAACTTACTCTCAACACTTTCCAGATTTCTTTGCTTGGAAATCGTTTCAACTTGTTCAGTTGATCTTTCCAATCTTGTTTGCTCTTGCAATCAAGGAATAAGGACCCCATAACTTTCAGAGCTAATGGAATGGCGTTAGCATAATCTACGACCTTTCTTGACAACTCAGCATACTCTATTGTTGGAGACTTATTTCTGAAAGCCTGCGAGTGAAAGAGCTGAAGAGCTTCATCTGAACTTAATCCCTCAACGTTGTATATCTTATCATGGTCAACTTTGTGCTCAAGTAGGCCTTTATCTCTAGCAGTTATAATGATTCGACTTCCTTGGCAAAACCGATCATGACAACCAACAAGAACTTCTAGTTGTTCTGGAGCATTCACATCATCAAGAACAATGAGCACCTTGGTACGCGTGAGCCTATTTCGAGTTGTAGGTGGTATAGACAGAGTGTCGATATTCAGATCTTTGTCCCTTAATATCTCACGAAGAAGTTTATTACGCAATTTATATATTCCATCTCTTTCTTCTGAGTTCTCCCTCACATTTTTAAGAAAACAAGAAGCTTCAAATTTAGAAGAGAGTCGCTGAAATACAGCATCAGCAAGGGTGGTCTTGCCAATACCACCCATGCCCCAAATACCTACACAGCAAACACCTCGTGAATCCAAGCATAATAATGACTCAATTTTCTCAATTTTCTTTTCAATTCCAACTAGACCCCTTAAATCACTTGATGATTCACGATTCAATTTGGTCAAAATATCTTGAACAACTTCCTCAACAAAATCAGCCTCTGTCCTGGAAAATATCATTATGAAAGACAAACAATAGTAAGTATGAATCAAATGATAACAAGTAGAAATTGATACAATTTAGAGAGTTGGCTACCCTATTTTGCTTGAATCATGAAACCCACACATATTGGCTGCTTCCTCCAAAGCATCCCTCCAGTTTTTCACCTCATCTGTATTCCCCTTAAAACGTTTCTTAAGTTGACGACCTTCAAGTGCATAAGTTCCCTGTCGTTTTCGTACATGTGATGGATCTATGCCATAAAAAATGGGTATAACAATCTGTCCATGTCGCTCCTTGCATCCCAGTATATGCACAAGTTCTTTTAAACACCATGAGGAAGAAGCATAGTCTTTTGAGAAAATGACAACTGCAATTTTCGATTTCTCGATTGCTTCCAGAAGGGCAGGTCCAATGTTGTCTCCTTTCTCCAGTTTGTAATCCATGTAGGTCTCAATTTTCTTCCGTCATAAAGCAGCGTGAAGAAAGCTGGTAAAATTATCGCGCGTGTCCTCACCTCTGAAATTAAGAAACACGTCATATTTTTCTTGGAGGGGGGCAGCAAAAGGAGGAGAAGAAGAAGACGCCATATCGCTATCCAAAACCTGCAAACTTACAAGTCAATCATGCATACACGGGCCCGAGGGCTATATGTAATCATAAAAATATGCAAATAACGAGAAATGAGAGACCAGAAAGTCTCTACAAAAATCTAGAGAAGTTAAACTTAAAGCCTAAAAATTGGATGAGAAATGTCGGCTATGAGTAGCAAAATATCTTAGATACTAAGTCGGTGGAACACTATTATAGGTGCCTATAAATAGGCTTGTTGTTGTTCCAATTAAGCGTAGAGTAGCCAAAGAGCTATACATTTCGACCACAAAAGAAAGCCAGAGAGCTACCCAACCCGAGCAAGAAGCTTAAAGCCAAGAGATCTCTATAAGGCTATGCCTATTCTTCTCAAATCTAAAAATACTCTGTTTCTATTGTTATCTTATTTTCCTATCCTTCTATACACTTACAACAAACTGTTAAGAGTGTTTGTCCCACATTGAAAAGTTAAGGAACTTAGCCTGGATTTATAAAGAACTTAACCTATACAATTTTTTTCCTCAACTATACGGGATTTATAAAGCCCGTATGTTCTTCAACTACTATGAAAAAAACCCACATTTGAAATATGTTGCCATATAAAATATATGATGAGTGCTAGTATTATAAGTTATTTGGAATCTATTGTCATCCACCTTCATATTTGCTAACACTAACGTGTTTCTGTCATTTCTAATATGGGCACTTGATGATTTCTAGCTTTTATATTTAACTCCTAACATTTGGCACCTTTTTTTTTGTTTTTTATTGACATTTCCTATTAAAAGGGGTGATAATATATTAAACTTACATACACTATACGGATGCTAGGACTCGAACCTAAGACCTATCTTGGGGGGAGCATTTACTCCAAACCACTACACTAATGGGTCCTTTGCTTGGGCGCCTATTTAATATGATAAAAGGGTTCGACAAAACAATATATATTAAGAAACACACCAAATATGCATAAATTCTATTTTAATACGGCTAATATACCTGTACAATAAGATGCTATAATAATAATAATAATAATAATAATAATAATAATAATAATAATAATAATGTTACAGCTGAGTACTGATAATATACCTAACATAAAGATTGGCATGCCATAGCCACTACAAAAAAAAAAAATTCATAAATATATATACATATATACCTAATACAAATTAGTCTAATAATAACGACTAGGAAATTGTCCATTGGAAATTACGGTGATATGTGCAAAAGACAACTAGGTAATTCATAAGTTTTATTCATTATTAAATATTAGAAAATTAGGTAATTTATGTTTATTCTCTCTAAACAATTTATATGCACTTAACTCAAACAATAAAGTAAGAATAAGAGAGGTAATAAGTTAGAGACAGTGCCGCGGTGATCTTTTGATAGAGAGAATTGATTCTTCAAGTGTTGTAACTTATAAGTCAAATTATAGTTTATAGTCAAGTGTTGTGCTACAATAATTTCACAGAAAAAAAAGTTGGGTAGTTTATAGTCAAATTTTATATGTGAACCCCTAGTTATTTATTTCGTGTATTATTCACGTGCTGATGTATTTTTAAAATTATTTCCGTCTACACTTCTCAAAGATACGGAAAATTATGTGTTTTTTCTTATAATGCAAACATATTATTCACGTATTATATGTGTACGAACATATTTTTCACCAATCCATATATTTTCACGTATTATTAAAAAAAGACTGCAAATAAAAGAAATTGAATTTGTATATAATAGCCGAATTTTTCACCGTATTTTTTAAAGAGCTTTGTCAAACAATACATTTACGTATGTTACACGTACTATATCCGTTCCAGGATGAAAGTTGCAATTCGATCAGACTTTGGTAACAATCTTTTTCATAGGTTGTTGAAAAACAATCTTTTACAAAAAGCTGAGATGCAGAGCCAATTTTCAGGCCTTGAAGATGATGAAAAACAAACATTTCATTGCCCTATACATTTCAGGTAATAAATTGCAATTTGTTTTTGACTGCTTGACTCTTTTTTTTTCCCTCCATAGACATATGTTTCTGTGAGAACACTACAACAAATATTTGAGCAAACACTTAAGCAAATATCAAGAGAATATAATTGATGTGTTTATAGTATAAGAGAGGTAATGAGTTAAAGACCATACCGCTGTGAGTCAGTTGGATTAACTCCAGATCAAGAAAGAAGTTGCAGAGGTTATAGTATCATGTTTTAGCAGTTGCAGGTATATATATATAAGCATAAATAACGACCAGGAAAAACAACAGGACATTTATTTTTTATTTAAAAAAAAAAAAAAAAAAAAAAAAAAAAACTAAAATTCTAAATTTATAAAACAAAAGCATAAGGGAAACTTCCAAGCATTAAGCCACCCAACTCTGACTATCTAACCTTCTGAACAAAAAAAAATAAAAAAATCTCGGATCTAGCAGCTGGCATATTACATCATTTCACTTATTATTATATTTTTGTTGAGAGTTTTACTAGAAAAAACTTCATTTGACTTTGCAAAGATCATAATGGTATTTCACACATTACTCAAATTAAAAAGTAGAACAGCTGTCCCTTTTTAGGGTTTTTTCTTCAATTATATATATATATATATATTGTTGTTTAGAAAAAGAGAGTATTTATTGATGAAACATAACAAGTACAAAGCCACAAAAGTGCCGAAATGGGCACAACATCTCCAGTGACTAAATACAACACCATATCGGCTAAACCCTTAGTACCGAACTGGCTAAACCCCAACCCACACAAACTGGCAACTTCCATGATTGTAACTCCAAACTCTAAAATGGAGTCAAAACCCTATGTGTCACATCTCGGGATCGGCTCTACCATAGCATGATATTGTCTGCTTTGGGACCCCCTCTTTGCCCTCACGATTTTGTTTCTGAGAGCTCACGAGCAACTTCCCAGTGGATCACCCATCTTGGAATTGTTCTAGCCCCAACTCGCTTAACTTCGGAATTCCCATGACTCCGAAGCCTCCCAAAAAGTCTCGTGCTAGATGGAGGTGGGTATGCACATATAAGGCACATCACACCTTCTCTGTTGGTCAATGTGGGATGTTACACTATGTACATGGGCCAAAAACAACAACTAAATCATGATGATAATGGTGTTTTGCGATAGCAACATCAGCTACAAACCAACATAGCAACCGCTACTACCCTACCGACGTATTATAGGTTTTAGTATATATATATATATATATATATATATATATAAAGGCAGAATGCCTTAAAAGTGAAACATTCAAAATCCCCACAATTGCCCTTGGTTAATGAAAATACTAAGACGCTTTACTAAATAAGGATAAATAGTACATTCACAATGTATTTAAATAACAATAATTATAAAATTATAAAATAACATGTACTAAGTCAGAAGATGAGGATGGCCAAGGGACTAGTATATATAAAGTCAAAAGATGAGAATGTGGCCTTGGTTAATGCAAATATTTAAGAGTTGCAAGTATTAATTAAATAGTCCTGATCTCTTGGACTATAGGGTCCAAGAGATTTGTGGTCACTCATCGTTGGATGTAAATTCAATGGTTCACTCACTCTTGCACTCAGTTTAAGAAACTTTTTTGAACCATTGGATTAATATCCAACAGTGGGTGACCACAATCTCTTGAACTCCTGTGGTCCAAGAGATCGGGACTGATTAATTAAATATAATATGGTAAACTTATGCTTTCATATTTAAAAAATTTAAAATTTAAAATAAAATCGCAACATGGGTCTTATTTGTATGGAACACAATTACACCCATTTTATCTTTCTTAATTCTAAAATAAAAATCTTAAAAAAAAACAAAAATAATTGGACACGCTTGTGCCAAATGGCTAGTATTATATGTGTACTAACGTATTTTTCATGAATAATACACTTCTTTAATACATGTATTTTTCACATTTTTTTTATTTAAAAAAGGACTACAAATAACGAAATTTAAATAAATAAATTAACAAATTTATATAGTTGCTGGATTTTTCACCATATGTTTTTAACCTTTGTCAAATAATACATGTATGTATTTTACACGTATTATATCTGTTCAGTATTTTATCAACCAAGTGTAAAAGTTTGCTTCAAAATAAGTTTAGATGGATGCAATGCAAGTCCGAATCAGAAAGGGAAATCGTGTGCAATAATGATAGTTAACTTATTCTGTTTAGTTTATATGAAAGTTGCAATTGATCAGTTAAACTAATATGAAAACTATAAAAATAATAAAATAATAAAAACCGTGAAACTTGCAGATATCATCCAATTGCAATAATTAATGTTTAAATTCTTTAATCCTGCCAGTGTTGACATTACCATCCAGTTGAAATAATTAATGTTTACAAGATGATGACTGCATATATTAAACACCAAGTGACATCAACACACAGTTGCAACAAAGTAGACATTCAACGTGTGCAAGAATGATTGCATATATTAAACAACCAAATGACAATCAACGCGCAGATGCGACTAAGGGCCAGTTTGGCATTGTTGTGCTGTAAAAATAATTGCTGTCAGATTTGCTGTGAGAGAAATCAGCTGTGAGATAAAGCAGTTTGGCGTTTGGTAAAATTTTTGTTAAAAGTATTGTTGGTATTTATTTTATGCATAATCAAAAAATTATTGCCGCACAATTATTAAACTCAACGCCTCTTCGAAACTGATTTCTGCATAATCAGAAAATGAAAGCACCTCATTAACTGTTTTCCCTTATAGTTTTCTCTCACAGCAATTTTTAACAATAAGTGATTTTCTCATAGTTTACCAAACGGATTGGGCTCCTCAAAATTTTAAAAAAATCACTTATCACCCCAAATAAGCAATGCCAAACTGGCA